AATGTTGCGATAGACAGCCCTGTTGATGCCTTGGACTCTCGGACGCCGGCTCATAGTATGGATCAGAAAAGCTATAAAGGAGGTCTTGCCTCCAGCTGTTTATGGAATCCATCCTCTCCTGCATCGCCTTCGTTCGCATTAGATCTGTTCATTCTTCTATAGAACCATCATTATGGTTGTCTTCAGCAAAGTTACCGCCTCTCTCGCTTGCTTTTCGGCCGTTGTCTCAGCTGCGGCTGTGCCGGTCAAGAGCCCCCGTCAGGGCTTCAGTGTGAACCAGGTGCAGAAGACTGCTACTGGTACCAGGACTGTCAACTTGCCCGGTGTGTACGCTAATGCACTGGCCAAGTATGGTGCTACTGTGCCAGCCAACGTTCACGCTGCTGCCGTGAGCGGTTCTGCCATTACCACGCCTGAGGACAACGATGTCGAGTACCTCACCCCCGTCAAGATTGGCGAGTCTACCTTGAACCTGGACTTCGACACTGGTTCTGCTGACCTGTATGTTGGTTGGGATAACATGACTGGCTAGAGCAAGAACTGACAATTTATATAGCTGGGTCTTCTCTACCGAGCTCAGCTCTGCGGAGCAGAAGGGCCACGACGTCTACGACGTTAGCAGCTCCGGTAAGAAGCTGGCAGGTGCTAGCTGGTCGATTTCATACGGCGATGGCAGCGGTGCCAGTGGTGATGTCTACAAAGACACCGTCACCGTTGGTGGAGTCAAGGCCACTGGCCAAGCAGTTGAGGCTGCCAAGAAGATCAGCGAGCAGTTCGTACAGGACAAGAGCAACGATGGCCTGCTGGGTCTGGCTTTCAGCTCCATCAACACCGTCAGCCCCAAGCCCCAGACAACTTTCTTCGACACCGTCAAGTCCGATCTTGACAAGCCGTTGTTCGCTGTGACTCTCAAGCACGGCGCCCCTGGCACCTACGACTTTGGCTACATTGACAAGAAGAAGTTCACCGGGTCTCTGACCTACACCGACGTTGACAACTCCCAGGGCTTCTGGTCCTTCACCGCCGACAGCTACAAGATCGGCACTGGTTCTGCTGGGCCCTCTATCGAGGGCATTGCTGGTGAGTTGCATCTTTCCTTGTGTGGAAATCCATGTCTTGTTTCGCACGACTGATATCTTGAATTATAGACACTGGAACTACCCTCCTCCTGCTCGATGACAGCGTTGTCTCCGACTACTACAAGAAGGTTGACGGTGCCAAGAACGACATCTCTGCTGGTGGCTATGCCTTCCCTTGCGACGCCGATCTGCCTGACTTCACTGTGACCATTGGTAGCTACGATGCCGTTGTTCCTGGCAAGCACATCAAGTACGCTCCTGTTTCGACTGGTAGCTCCAGCTGCTTCGGTGGTATCCAGAGCAACTCTGGCATTGGCTTCTCCATCTTCGGTGATATCTTCCTCAAGAGCCAGTACGTCGTTTTCGACGCGGAAGGCCTCGCCTTGGTTTCGCCGCTCAGGCGTAAATCTCTTGACGAGATAGTACCCATGGGATATCGGCGATCCCTACGTGTGATGAACGGTTGTACAGCGAAGAGCGATGTGATACATGGACGATAGATATGTTAAATTTTCGATCGGCGAGTTGACATTGTGAAATTTTGGCCCTTGACTTAGCTGAGATTAGACATATCAATATAATGGGGCATGCATATATGGTGAAATTGTGAGATACAACATATGGAAAAGGAGCTTTAGACCAAACAGTAGCAAGACAGTAGCGTGGCGATTAGCGTCAGGAATTTTGTGGAGAAGCCAATGCCGAGCCTGGAATAGAGCATCCAGATTTCCACCTGGGCACCTTAATTGCTTCCTCTTTTGTACTCCGTACATTATCTTCCTGATCTTCTGATCTTCTCTTCTCTCTCATAGTGGCACAAAACAGAAAAATATCTCTCGTCTCGTGGCCCCAAAAATCCTCACACCGCCGTCGCTATTCCTCCAATTCTCAACATTAATCGCCCCCCGGCCTTCGATCTCGCAACATCCGTACGCGATCAGAGTCAAGGATGGAAGTCTAGCCTGTGAAGGGCTGTGATACGGGCGCACCGGTGGAACTGCGCAGTATATGAACACTTCCAGGGACGGCGATTTCAGCGCCGTTCATATCGAGTCTGATCATGGAAAATGACTTCCACTTGCTTCCCCGCCAGATCTGGGCAAATCCAACACCAACTACGACGAAGGTTTATTCGCCCGGGTGTACACCTGTTGTCTTGCCTAGTAATGGTACGTGGTCTCCCCTTTTCTTCGACACATTGGCCGTTGGGCTGGGCTGCAGGCCGCCGGTCGCGGACATTAGTCGGAACGCTCCTTCTGGAACTGTGTCTAATCGCGAGTTGCAATGCTTTATAGGACTCGTATATCTCAACAAGTCATATGCTATTACCCTCACTGAAAACGCCATCTTCGAGCCTGTCTGCACAGGTTCCCCAACCGATGAGGTTCACATCTCCGCCGTCCTCGATACCCGCGACCCCTTTTATTCCTCCATTACCCCCCAGCTATACGCCATCGGCTGTGCTACCGTCGTTAGCTATCTACTCGTCATCATCCTTCTTATTACCCCGCGCACATTCTACGTCGGCGGGCCCGGCGGTGGCGCCAATTTCCTCGGCCGCCATGGGATGATCAGCGGCTCATATAGCGGGAACTCGTCGGTGGTTGGAGTCGGTGGACGACCATGGCTACAGAAAGTGGCTGCGATCTTGGTTGCAATCTCGCTGACTATCGCCACGGTCGATTCCTTCCGAGTCGCTGAGCGGCAATATGAGTATGGGTTTTCCGATGCGGAGGCGCTTTCCCAGGAGGTTATTGACGGACTGGAAATTCGCATCGTGCGCGTCATATCCAGCACGTTTCTGTGGCTTGCCCAGGTTCAGACGCTGATTCGATTGTTTCCGCGACATAAGGAAAAAGTTATGATCAAATGGGCTGGGTTTGCGTTGATTGTGCTGGATACGACTTTCAGTATTTTGGATAATTTCTGGGCGAGGAACTCTCCGACACGTCCCAGGCTATACGAGGATGCCATCCCTGCTCTGAGCTACTTGTTCGAGTTGTCGCTTAACCTTCTCTATGCCGCTTGGGTGATTTTCTACTCGATATCTAAGCACCGATACGCGTTTTTTCACCCCAAGATGCGGAATATCTGCTTAGTCGCTCTTCTCTCGCTATGCGCCATTTTGATCCCCGTTGTCTTTTTCGTTTTGGATATTGCCAAGCCGGAAATTGCTGGCTGGGGTACCTATATTCGATGGGTTGGCTCTGCCGCCGCCAGTGTCGTGGTTTGGGAGTGGGTGGAACGAATTGAAGCGCTCGAACGAGATGAAACCAAAGACGGGATTCTGGGGCGGGAGGTTTTCGACGGCGATGAAATGCTTGAAGTCACGCCGTCCGAGGAAGTTGACTGGCCACGTTTCTCGTCCCAAGGACACGACCAAGGTGGCGGCAATGGCGCATCGTCTGGATGGGGCGGTGTGATGGGTTTAGCCCATCGACCTCTACGAGCCCGAGCTGGATTGCCTCGCGGCAATAGAAATAAAAAAGCCGGGGAGCCACCATATAACCAAGCCGCTGCGTCGGCTCCGCGGGGGCCAAACGATAACCGGCCCACTCCACCCCCAGCGGTGATCACACCGATCAGTCGTGCTGATACTGCTAGTGCAGCAAGCACTGTGTACAATGTCCGATATCATTCAGTGGCTAGCCCTACTCCTCCAGTCGCAATGCCAAATATGCACGAGGAGGAGGAATTGGACGAAGCCAAGGAACTGGAAGGGGAGCCACATACGTCTGATACGAATGGTAATTCTCTTTCTGCTCAAAATACCCGAGAACAATCCCCGCAGATCGTGCAAGCCGATCCGCGATGGCACGTTCTTCTGCATCCATTCAAGAGGCGACGTGCATCTCTGCCAAAAGAGGTGGCATCGGCACAAGCTGGAGAAGAGTTCTCAGGACAGAGGCCATCTGCTGCAGCAGAAGAGGCCGAGGCAGAGACAAATGCTGCCCGGTCTCGAGCCGATCACTTCTTTTCTCTCCATCGGAAAACCCGACCGGGCACTGGATCACAGAACGCCGACGGCTCGTTACCAGTAACCGTTATTCCAGCACGTCGTCGCGGCCAGCACACATGGTCACCGCAAAACCGACTGCTGGAGGACACCCAGCCACCGGGAGAGAGCCGGCCTATAGAACCCGCTCAGCATCACGAAACACCCTCCAATCGTCCCAATCTACCTGTACGGGTGATTCCTTCTCGACCACAAGCGTCGGCTCCATGGACGGAGGCAGACGTGGAGCGAGGAGGCGGAGATTATGTCCTACATTATGATCCAGAAGCCGCGGCGCTGATCAACGAGGACGTCACTCATTTGGATAACCATATCACCAATTACGACCAACAAAGCTGGACAGATACGACATACTCGGAAGAAAGAAACGATGAGTCAGCGGAACAGACCGGCCGGCCATCCATGGATGCCGAATCTCACCGGCACGGGCCTTTCAACGAACAGCATGGCCAGAACTCTTCTTAGGCCACTTTTTTTGCATGCCTGATCGTGGCTGTGGATATAGCGTGCGGGCTAACAGATTTGGGCATGGGGCTAAGCAACTTGGCCTCTGACAGTTGGTGTGGTCATTTTCATGGAGTACGGATTTGATATTATTGGAAAGGTGTTAGGAATCTGTTCATCCTTAGAAAGATACCCATTATAATTCTGGAATTGAATATAATATTTGCATATTTAGGTACTTCTCCATAACTACACTGTACTCCATATATAGGCTACTTATAGTGGTGACTATTGGTGATCTCTGCTTGGCTGTCCACGGGTGATCGAGTGGCTTACCGACTGATCCTGGCTTACGAAAGTGGAGACGAAATTTCACTCGGAAACTCGCGATCCCGGTGCCTAAGAGGCTTTCCCCGTATTCTTTGTATCCCTATGTGACACCTTACCTTGGACGTCGCATCATGGCGACCGTCAATCGAAATATGTTTGGAGCGAGTATTACTGAACCCCCCGGCGGTGCCCAGTTGATGGTTCTCCCGTTGAACCTCATCGCGGAGATAGTGTCACATGTGAGAGAGCTCCACACATCTCATTTCCCAATATCTAACGGTTGGTAGGTTCACGACACAGGTGATCTCGCCCGGCTATGTCGAACATGTCGGGTCCTCAATTATATGGCGTTGCCACAGCTATACCGCAGCCTGACGCTGACCTCCTACGACAAAATCCGTTATCGCGACGAACAACCAGAAGGGATCGGGAGCGCCAGTCCCTTCACGATGGGGTTAAATGCAATTATTACACGATCTTATGCGACGCTGGTACAATCGATGACGCTACGGGGGGAGTGGAAGGACCACGAGCTGGAGGAGCATGCCCGAGTTGGCCGGGTGCCCGACGCATCGATGTTGTTGAACATCGCCGCCCGCGCTGCCATAGATCGCATGACTAATTTGGAAAGCTTCCATTGGGAACTGAACACCAAAATGCTCGACACTGTTTTTACAGGGTTGACACAGCTGCCGAAGCTCACGTCCCTGACTATCAGGTTTCCGTCCAGTCGTCATCCACAGCCCACTTTCGTGATTCCGGGTATGCCCCATTTGCGATGTCTGAAAATCACCGATATCGATCCGCTATGCTACCCCGACGATATTGCGACTCTTCTTGCTAAAAGTAGGAAACTGCGCGAATTGAAATTACATTGGTCGCCACGGATGCGAGATGCACACGAGCCTAGTGTCTCTCTGCATGATTACTTCCGCAAGCTGATTGCAAGCAAGCAGCCCCTCGCGGTTAAGAAGATGTCTTTCCAGAATCTGTATGCCTTCCACACGGAAGATTTCAACTTCGCGTTTGACCCGACTACCGTCGAAGACGTCACATTTCTCAGCGGGCTTGAGGGCCCTAGTCTGGTCAACACGTTCGTCGAGAACAGTTGGCCGACAGTTCCCCCACATGCCAAGCTCCGCATAAAATCCGTTCGGATGGACTCTGTGTCAAAGCGGAACGCGGAGTTTATTGGAAATTTCTCTGGCCTCGAGAGGCTATATTTCGTCAATGTTACGTCTGAATCAAGCGACCTCCTCAATTCCCCACGACCTGGAGGAGGCGCGGTCTCATCGGCGCTCACGCCGCCGGTCTCCGAACACCATTTGTCTGGTGCGCCCAGCGGAACCACAACCAACTCTCCTATTACTTCTGCCTCCCCAGCTAGCCAGCTCAATGCTATGGCTAGCATGCGAGATATCTACCTCTCACACGTTACTACAAACCATGGCGCGACGTTGCGCCACCTCCTTCTTCCATCTAGATGGCCTCTCTCCACCGGGATGGTCGCGCGACTCGTCCATAGCTGTCCGAATTTGGAACAGCTCGCCCTTGCCACTGAATTTTCCAGTATGGATTCACTGGGTCTACTAATACCATTCCTCCGGAAGTTGAAAGCGCTCCGGCTTCTCATCCCCAATCTTCCGGACAGGCCTCAAATGCTCCTGCAAGTTCTGCAATCAAGTCGTACCCATCTGTAAAGTTTCATACGATTAAAATGGCGCAAGATGCTTTCGCGAATGCCAAGACTCTTACAGAAGTGGTGGACATCGACGACGCGATCCTGACCGAGATGTTGAGTTACGACCTTGCCGACAAGAAAGTCTACGGAAACGTGAAGGTCATCAGCATGGGCTGGAAAGCCTGGGAGCTAAAGGAGTTCTATAAAGCCCCTATCCCGTTAGGGCTCAACAAGGAGTCCCCATTACCAACAAATGGCGACAATGCATCCCCAGAGACCACCACAGAGAGCCCTGTTCCCACGCAAGGTACCAATGGCGTTGGGCTCAGCACACCATATCAGCCTGCCGTACCTCATAAGTCACCCGATCTACAGACAGCACATGCCCCTTCTTGGCCGAATCCGCCCGGGACAAGACCCGGCGTGCCGCCATCAACATTAGGGAAACGATCACGCGATCGAGATGATAGCGAAACGCCCAGGCCACCGCCTGCCTGCCCAGATACCCTCAATAGACCCGAAGAAAGTGAAGATTCTCAGGGCTGGGGCTGCTCGCACACCTTAAGTGATGATGGTTTCGCGTGGAGACGGCGTGCGCGGCGGGTAGGATGGGAGGTTCTGCAGCATTGGGAGGTGTGGGCGTTGGATTCGCAGGAGATTTGAGATGGTTGTCCTTTGCTTTCTCGCGTCATGATACAAAGGAGTTTGGCAAACGAATGAGCGTTGGTTTTTACCCTCTCGGTTTTCGGTGGTTCAGTTTAGAGTCAACGCAGGTTATGTCCTGTACTCTCGGCGTTGGAAAAGTATATATACTACATGTGGAGATATCTCCTCTCTATGGGGCTCGTGTCCCTCTTATTTATAAATTGGATTTGGTTGGATATTCTGATAGAGGGAAAAAAGACAAGATGGTCCGATTCAGACTAAGTTATAGCTGATACCTAGATGCGCAGGGCTGTATGCCTTGGTAGGATTTCATTCCACTCAATGAACGCGAAGCCCACACCGGAAGCTGATTTGGGGGGGGGGAAGGGGGTCCATGATTGTCGAGAACCTCCCGAAGACTTAGGATGTTGATGCGTCCTTCAAATCGACGATGTCATTGGTGGACAGCCTTCGTACTCGTGCTGCAGTACCTGCAATGGAAAACCGAAGTCGATGGTGTCGTGGTGGGACAAGTCTGGGCCTTCCCGTGCATCCGGGTGGCACGGCATCCATTGGGCGTAGCGGTTCATATTGGGTAGGTGTCCGCAATATGCGTCGGCTTTGTCCGGTGCGCGAATGAAGTAATATCAATGAATATGCTCGTCGAACAGAAGCCAATCGCTCTCGGCAATTCTGTTTAATGCAGCCTGAGATTCTGTAGCGAAGTCATCCGACCTGACTTCTAAAAAGCCAATAGTTCGCACCCCGGAAGTGACATGGTAACCATTCTTGGCCATTCGCTGGTACCGTCTTCCCGCTCATCGCTCATCGCTCCTCTGTGGACTTTCCATGAAAAGGCGCATATTTGGCCAATTCGTACTCTGTACCATGTTCCAGAAGGTCCTCATTCGTCTGAATATCTGCATTCGCCTTCTCGGCACGGGCATTGCGCTTAGCAGCGAGAGTTTCTCTCATTGCTTTCTGAAAAACGGCAGCGGCTTTTGCGGGCCGCCACTATCTTGGCTATTCGGGCGAGAGAGATCGCTATCCGGGCGAGAGAGATCGCAAGCGTAGCCAGTGGTGTCAAGACGATATTCAGTGAAACACAATTTCTCGGCATCTAGCTCGTAGGGTAACCCTACGGCTATTTCATGGCTTGTGGGTTGGCGGACATGACGCCACATATCTGGACCTTCTGAGAAGGTCAGGCCGCACATCTGCTGCCCATTGATAACAATATCAAACACCCCAGTATTCTCCATATTAGCACCACAGCTGGGTTTTGGGGGCGTGGTTGCCAGCATATCTGCTGAATATTGTATCTGGGCATTCCAGGAACGGCAATAGCAGCAGTGTACAGAGTGATAGTATCGTTGCTGCAGTATGAGGGATACTGACAGAATAGCCCTAGACGGGTACTCGGACATCACCGGAAGAGTGGATTTCGAAGCCTAGGAGGAGCCCATTCTAGGGACAAAACATCCAGAGTTTGCAATATCGTTGCCATATTTCACATCTTGCGTTTCTCTGCGATGGGAGAATAGTGACGGGGCTCTTGAAGACGGTTAGAGACTGCCGTAGACTGGTCCCCATTTTCGACATGCCTAACAGACCTGGCTCCAGATCTTCTGCTCCTCAACGGCGTCAATTTCCTCTTCGGTCTGGATGTCACTCAAATCCTGGTTGAGGCGCTCCAACTCTCCGGCCATTTCCTCCAGCTGGTTTCGGTGGGAAGGAGGCACTGGGCTCGAAAAGAAACGACGACTTCACGAAAAGCGGTGGCGGAACCGGGGGTACCGGGAAGAGCAGATTTCGACATAGGACTAGCCTTGTAGAGGTGCTCGCGCTCAAGGGACTCCATACCGGTGGCGCGGGGTGGGTTTTCGGCCTCGTCGAAGGTCACCTTAGTGACGTGGGTGTTCATGCGGACATGAAGGGGGTACTTCTTGGAGCCATCGTCGTTCTTAGCATCGCGAACAGCAATAATGAACTCGCGGGAACCATTATGGTGGGCGTCATCGGTGGAAATGGAGATCTGGTAGCGTGACGTCTAACCTGTCGGTGAGGTCCCCGACCTGGTCCCGTAGTTCTCGCACTTCTGTTTCGAGTTGGCTCGCTTTTGCGGCCTTCTCCCTCGTCTCCTCCTCCCACTTAGCGATGTTAAACCAGTAGGTGGCTTGCTGCATGATGAGGCCAGATGCTGACAATGTAGAGGGAGGAACCGTAGAAAAAGGTGCAACCTTGAACAGCAAAACAATGGTGTTCACACCACTACGACTTCCTTGGCCCAGTTGTTTCTCCATCAGCAGCTCATATTCTCCCCGGTCTTCAGGGCGCATCTCATCGTGGTGGGATCAGCGGCCTCTCTCTGCTTTGGCATGGACTTTTTCGTCGTCCGGGATGGGGTGTCGACAATGTTGTTGCTTGGTTGATAGACGAGGCGAATTGCCGTCGATGGCGTCCAAGGATGATCTTGACTGGACCGTCCCAAAGTAGCCGTTGATTTGAGCCTCAATTGTTGCACCATACTCAAGTTTGGCCTTGGATGGTTTCTTCCGTGGTGTATGAAAGGGTGTTTGGAGATAGAAATTAGGAAGGTCACGAGGCTCGAATTTCTGGAATCAGAATGCTCGGCAATCCGTCATTCGCATTTGCCCGTGATTGCGAGTGATCCGCTTTCGCTCAACAGCCGGTACTTCGAAGATTCCGGGTCCCCACACGTAGTGTAGTTGGACATTGGGTTGTTGCAGGCTTGGGATGGATCTCCCAACATTGAAGCCAATCATGAGCCTCTTTCAGCATGCCGTGTTTTTTTGTATCCACAAACAACGCAGATGTAGGTATCCTCAGGTTTGGGCTTGAGGTCCGCGGTTTGTAAAAGAGCGTTCCAACACCTCCAGGGGAACCTTGAAGGAAATTGGACATGAGGTCATCATACATCATATCGTCAGCTCTTTTTATATTCATCTGGGTAAAAACCGTATATATAATTGTGTCCCCCCTACCCTTTCAATCAGACGACTTTTCGAAGCAACGGTCGTCGCAACCCCCCCTCGGAATGGCCCAAATGCAGCAATCTCAGACTCGAGCTCGGGCACACTCGTGTTGGAGATCGAAGGCCACAATTTCATTCTCGGTCTGGCGCCGCTCAAGGGTCCGTAGGGCTGGGTGCCGACGAGCGAAGCTTTTGACAACCTTGTCGGCGACAAGGACGTTGTGTCCGATCTCGACTTTCTCGAGATTCGGAAACACAACCTATGAGAAAGCATCAGCACGGAACCTGTATCAAAATAGCTGTGGCAGAAACATACCGAAATCCGTCTGAACAACTTTGCCCGATCTTGGGGCAACCCATGGAGAGGCCATCTCCATTCCGGCTCTCTTCCGCCATAGCTGCAGATGGAGAGGACGGTGACCGATTCGCCCTGGATGCGCGGGATATGAGCGCCATCCATAAGGGTCCGAATGTCAGAGTCGCGACTGCTCCCTCGCACGCACAATTTCAGTACCCGTAGCTTTGGGAAACGAACATCCCGCAGCGCGGCGTCGGCAGCACGGGCGTCCCCGGCGTCGACGGTGACCAGCGAGGCCAGCTCAACGTGGTCAGCGTACTGTTGGCGGAAGTGGGCGGGGACCTTTGCGAAGATCACGTCCAATGAGCGAGACACGGCTGGCGTGTTCATCGCACCCATAGTGTTCTTCCAGGTTCGTTGACGGTGGATTATCTCCGTATACCACGCCCGGTTCAGCGCGGCAAATTGCCAGAGATAACCCGCCTGGTCCTCCATGTAGGGCTCCCGCTTGGTACCCCGCCCATATGTCCATCGCCGAAACTTCGTTGGCCGCACCCAATGCTTCTTTCCTCCGATGCCCGCGACTTCTCGTAGGCAAAGTCGCCAAGTCCCTGGACCTGCCAGTGGACAATCTCAGAGACCAGCTCTGGGATGTTGAAGACTCGCTCAGCGGCGTTTCTCTTGGTGATGCCACGCGACCAGCGCAGGCGAAGAGTTCGTCGAGAGCGAATTGGAGCCATAGTTGGTCATAGAGAGGGAAAGGGGAAAAAAAGCAAGGGTGAAGGGGAGCTTCATCGAAACTTATGCTCCTTCGAGTGAATGCCTACATGATGAATAGGTATTATGTTTCTATGGAAGTATGGTAGTAGAACAATAGAGAATGAGCGAAGTAATAAGGAATGAACGTATATGTGAGGTGGAAGTGATATTGTACAATCTCATTTTCAAGAGGATCAATAGATTCAATTAGATTCAAACATGATTAGCCAGTGAGTAATGGGGTAACTGTACATGAGAATAAGAGTGTAGTCAAAATAATCGAGTATTGAGAGAATATTAAACATTGAATAAAGATGAGACAATACAGAGTGATATATGTGCTATTGAAGAACAATAGGTAAACATAAATGTACCATATACTATTATTAGACTCTCAAGTCGGATATCGGTTCGTCGTCTCTTGAGGATCCTGCGTCTCATCATTTACATTTGAATTCGTTTCGCTTCAAATTTTAAATGCGCCGGGCAAAGTTGGATCAATCTCCTACCTAGAGTTCGTCCACGATCTGGACTCTACGCACGTGGTTCTCACGCTTTAGTAAATAGGATGGTATTTGACAGATCAAGCGTCCTCGTAGTGCATTGTGAACAAGTAACTTCATACTTGTTGCTGTTTACTGATTGTGGCCATTGAAAGTCTGGCCAGCATGTTCAGTCTTTTCATTATCCAAGTCTCATTGTCTCCAGACTTTTTATCTTCAGAGGGTGCTTGGCTCGAGTCTCTTCGAATAAACCAATAGGGGCTTATAGGCACCGTACTTTGATTGTTCCGAGCAGACTACGTGTTTCCGCGGAGGCTCACGGCGACCCCTCTATTATATGGGAGCCGACTCGGAACTGAGAGTAATCTCGCTAAGACTGAGCATGAGAATCTGTTCATATCATAGCAATCAGTGAATGTAATTTAAGAGCGAGATAAGGCCAGAGATGACTGACCGAGAGGGGCCGTAAGACAAAATCCAAATTGATCTCTTCCTCAAGTTGAGCCACACGCCTCTGGACATGAAGTGCACTAGAGAGAAAGTGCCTACAAAGGTAGTGATGCTTTAGGATGTGGATGCTTGCAAATATTCTGGTCAACTTAGAAAACACAAGCCCGTGGAGCATACCATTCTCTGCAAAGGCGTCCTTTTCAAACTGAGAGATATATAGCACTAGTGCCTAAGACACGTAATTGGCGTGGTATTGCCGACGTATAGGTTTGACCTTTGCCATAATGACCGCGAGGGACGAGCGAGGGCGAGCCCAGAGTAGGGGAATAGCCTCGCTATACCAGCGGCTATTCACGAGAGCCCACCTCAGTAAGTCTGAATGGTGGGACTGGGTTTCCTCTTCGTCGCGAGTGTTTTGGGCAAATATTATGCCAAGGATTTCGGGGATACTGAAGACTCGCTAGGATGCGGTCTCGGACTGGGAGGAGGGTTCCATTTGAGAAGAGTAGATGTGGTGTGAAAGGAAGTGTTGTACAAGGGAGATATAAATCGACTGTGTGGAAGATGTCAAAGAGTATTTAAATATAATAATAGTCTAAGACAAACAATCTGGTTTTGGAAACTGCTATTGGTTTGGATGCCCTTCTTCGGACATACGCCTTAGTGAAACTGCTGGCAGTTTTCATGGTTGGATGGGGAGACCTTCTCGCGGCAGGAGACATAAAGCATGATAGTTGTAGATGAAGGAGTTCAAGTCTGCTGATAGGGGGAAAAGAGAGAGAGAGAGAGAATAAGTAGAGTGAAGCTGCAAAGGGAAGAGGGAGAACAAAGGTGTCATGAATCCAAGTTTGACAGATTGCGCGCAGAAGACTGCTGGTGGCCACTGTACGTACCCTCTGCAGGTGGCATCTAATAGCTACAATTCTTCAACCTAGCACGTTTATTTCAAATTATTTGATATGAAGGACAATCACGTCGAGGTGAACGGCAATGTGGTGATGGGTAACGCGACCTGAATAATGGCCCGGGGACGCACCGGAAAGTTGCACTATGCCTTTATCATCAGTCTTCTGGATAACGCAAAAGAAGTAACATTCAGGTTGGGAGTGTCGGTAGAGTCGGCATTATCGGCATTACCGTTACTACCTAGTGTACTAGAATGAAAGGAGGATGTGGTTGAACACCCGCACGTATTCCGTGGGACCTGCCAAGTGGCTATGGGAGCCCAAATGCTCAGCCACAATTTTGTCAAAGAACTTCCACAAGAAAGCCCGGTTTGGTTTGGGTGTGGACCTATATGGACCTCAACAGAGGGCTGAGAGAAAGAAGAGAAGAAGGGGAAGAAAGGTGGAAGGAGCCCTTTGATACTCCTGACAACACGTACCTTCACAAAATGTGTATAATGGCTTTCCCCTGCACCTTCCCTAATTGTTCCATATCACATGATATCTTTAAAGGACACTTTTCCGGGGTTCTGAGAACGAATATCATTAGCCTGTGTCACTTGTGATAAGATATGAAAGGAGAGCCTATTTCTCGACTATGAACATCTTGTCCGTCTCCTTGGTGATTACTGGGCCATTATTCAACCAAACACCAATTTAGAAATACTCGGATAGCTCGCACAAGCCCTGATGTATAATTCATCGGGGTCAAGCAATATTTCCGAGGCAGCGAATTGCGTCGCCCGGCATTCTTAGAACATTACCTATGCCTTTGTCACATGGGGACTATTAAGCCCATATCTGTGGCGAGGAATTTGATGGGGATCGAAGGAATATTAGGCGGTTCGATGTGTCGTTGAGAAAAAGATGGGACCAACAGTGGGACGAACGGGAGCAGCCGAGACCCACCAGTATATTTCCCCATAAACTCTTGGTATAGAGCCATGGCTTTTGCCCAGGTGGTTCATGCTCCAATCATGCTATTCATCGATATAAGGATATAGAAGTGGTAAAAGGTGGTGGGACCTGGATCAAAAGCGGGAAATAACGAATGCGAGCCAATATTCTCGTGGGTCAGTATTATCTCTCAGGCTAGACGACTTACCTTCTTGTATTCCTATAGAACGTAGTGAGTATCGGTGGATTTTGTACATAGGTAGTTATTCGTCGTTGACTGCTAGTCAGTTAAGTCAAGTTTTGATATAGTGGCCTCACAATCAAGACACGAAAACATCACATCAAAACCCATGGTGTATGCTGCTGAATCAAACCCTCTCTCGGGCCATTTCTCATTGATCCTCATAGACTTATGATCCCATTTGCCAATGTTCATTTACAACGGGAGGATTGGCTGCCAGAGGAGTCCGATGTTGTGAATCGTGTGAATTCACGCAAACTCGCCCGATATAACTGGTCAAGAGCACTTGGCTCAGTGATAAGCATGAAAGAGGTAGAAGCTTACAGTCTTGAGCTTATGGAAGAATGCAGTTTGGGGGCTGTGGAGAATAACGAAGTGTCTGAGCCCGGAGATTTCTGTCTGTGTAAGAATTGGATGGTTCACTGTTAGCAATGTACCCGGGAGAAAGCTTCCAATCTCTAAAGGCCTTGACATAGGCTGACATGGAAGCAGAAAGGAGAGTAGTGATTAGTGAAGACCTGATAAACATATCCAAGAACCGGTTGTCTTCTGCATGAGGCCTCTTTTGGTTGCTTTTTGCCCAGGTGGCGTCCGGCAAATCGGAAGATGCTGCAGCTGTGCCGAGAGCCATCTACATAGCGGTCCATTTCGATGTGTTACAACATATTGACCAGGTGGCGGCTTCCATAAGCCTTTAAATCAGACCGGTTTACGTCGAGGCTTTAGCTTGGCCCTGTTCAAACTTCCTTAGTTAATTTCTCAACTTTCAGCATACCCAAAAGAGTATGGATAGAGCGACCACGATGTGATCGGTATACTTTGGGGAAATGCTACGAGGCATCATCCTCGGACCTTTTTAGTTCAACCCGTGGACGTTGCTCTCTGATTCGTTTCCATAGCTGATTGGTTCACAATTAAAGTGGGATGGCGGTTAGGCGGACCGTCTGAGACACCTCCGCTCTCGTGTCTTGGCGGGGTCGGCCCCCTGCTTACCCGTCAGAGGCCATCAGATTGGACTTTAGAGATATTGCGAATTTCCAGATGTGCTGGCCTTAAATGATGGATCACATTGGAATGTTTCACATATTTAAAGGCAGCAGATCTCGCGTTGTTTTGCTTATTCCAATTCAGTCTTGAAACTTTACAGTTCTATTTGGAGAAAAACAGCTACCATGGCTACTACGACTGCTACTACTACCACCACCACCACTCCACCTCTTAATAAATCTACTTTCGAGTGAGCTTCCTGTGTTTCACATTACTAGACAACAATTGCTAATTGGGGCCGCTAGGCTAAGTGGTCCATATGGAGATTGGAGAGACGACCTTCACAATCAAGGCTATGCGATTATCAAGAATGCCATTGACCCAGAAAGAGCCCAGAGCTATCAACGTAAAGCTTTAGACTGGCTAATGTCTTTCGACACAGCCCTTAACCTTGATGATCCTTCCACATGGACCAAGGACAACTTGCCTGTCCAAAGCAAAGTGAATACATTCAATGGGTATTCCGTCACCCATGAGAAATTCATGTGGGATGCTCGCATGGAGCCAAAGATATTGGAGGCATTCGCCAAGATCTGGGGTACGGACGAGCTACTCGTCTCGTTTGACGCATTGAATATCACTTTGCCAAATCGAGAAGACAAACCTGCTCAAAAGCCCTGGCCCCACGTGGACCAGTCGCCCTTGCGCCGCGGGCTCCACTGTATTCAGGGCATCATCAATCTAAGCCATGCAGGTCCCGATGATGGATCGCTTATGGTATTTCCAAGGTCGAACACGGCAACCGAGAGGTTCTTCGACACAGAAACCGACCCATCTACCTGGGAGGAAAAGGACATACGCCTATTCAGCGAGGAAGAAATCCAGTGGTTTGAAGATCATGGTATGAAGCCGTCCAAAGTGCTAGCGGAGCCTGGTGATTTGATCGTGTGGGATTCACGTACTGTGCATTGGGGTGGGGAGCCAACGGTCAACAGCAACACGATCCGAACGGTGATTTATGCATCATATGCCCCTTTTGAGCTAGCCACCGAGGAGAGTTTGAAGCGGAAGAAAGAAGCTTTTGAGTCTTACCGGGCAACGACTCATTGGCCACATGAGAACATAGTTATACGTGACGGAGTGGTGCAGCTTCCAGATGGCAAGGTTGATCCTCGCAATCGATATGTGCCCTTGGAAATGCCAGAGCACACAGATCGGTTGCTTCAACTAGCAGGAGTAAAATCTTATCGGTAAATTAATATAAGGCTTGTTCTCGTTTTCGACTCAGTGCTAAGCTTGATTATTAAGGGGCTAAATTTTTGGCGTTTGCTGACGACCCCGCAGTGAGCCTTTGACGTCGATCTTCCGCATTCCTCACAAGTCAAATATGAAATCATTTGAATCCCGCCCTCCCGTCGATTATCCACGGAAGCGTGCATCAATCGCATGTAATTTCTGTCGACATCGGTACGGTTTTAATTTCCTCTTTTTGAGCGGTCACTAAAGTAGACTAGGAAACGAAAGTGCGATGGTCAAAAGCCGACATGTGGCCTCTGCACCGATGCGGGGGCTCAGTGTGTTTATCAAGAAAGCGACAGGTAGAAAGCGTCATCTCGTGAATAGGGTTCCTAGATAGTGACCATTCATAGGGTGCAGGATATTCCAGCTGAAATCCTGCTTCGCTTAACCCATCTGGAAACCCTGATCGAGCAACAAAAGGACGCCATCACCGAGCTCTCAGCCCGAGTAGGCTCTTCATCGGATCATCCGGGTCGGTCGACTTCCTCTATTTATTCGTCACAGCCAAAATACGACTGGGACCCATCACCGGAACATGTATACGACAAATCCTCCTTCGGCCTCTTTTCACCAGAGAACACATACGGCAATGAATATGCATTTACTATTCCTCTCGGTCACCATACGCCAACAGGAAGCCTATTTGTGTTGGACCGAGTCAAAAATTTGGTTGGCGACTACCCTCAAGACTTTTTCAAGCAGATAGAGAAAAAGCGACCATTCAACAGTATCCAGGTCGCAGGCATACCTCAGGCCTTTGAACAAATCGACATATCCCGACTGCATCCCCAGGTCACCAAACCTCTGATCACCGAGTTCCTCCAACATGTCCATGCATTCTTCCCGATTGTCGAGCCGCAGTTGTTACATATGCTCTTTGACACTTTCTCGACATACACCAAGGTCAACAGCATCCAAACTTCACTTTATCTCGTCATTTTGGCCCTAGGAAAGGCCTCCTCGAATCCACAACGAATTTTTGATATTGAGGCGGACAAGGATCTGAGTGGAATGGAATATTTCGCTTCCGCATATCACTACTTGAACAATCCGTTGATAACGTCCTTTACAGCGGACCACTTGCTGCCTTTGGCTTTATTCTACGGCTCTTTGTATCTGCGTCACATAGGACGCCCAATCCAAGCATGGCAAATGATTCGTGATGCGTCCGGTAGTGTGCAGATCATGATTTCCGAGTGGGTGTCTCCTCTGATAAGTGTTTGCGCCGGGGTATTGATACTGATTTGGACACAGACTACATGATATGAACACGCACGAAGAGCGAGCTAGTCTCTACCGGATTGCTTGGGGTTGCTTCATTCTCGAATGGTTGGTATACTCTGTAAGATCATCTTGTATTCGGCTAATCACCTCACCCCAGTGACGATCTTGCGGAATTTCATTTCCCTCCCAGTGGCATTGAACTCCTCGTTGATAGATTGCCATTTCCTCGAATTTCGGAAGACAGCCGAAACAGCCACCTAGTATTCCTCGCAATGTGCTCGATTCGAAAGCTTCTCAACCGTGTGCACAGTGCTCTGTATGCAAAACCCGACCAGGAAAACTTCCATGCCAGCCCTCCGCCCCAACACGCAAGTGACACCTCCAGTGTGACCCCCCAAAAGCATTCGATCACATCCCTTAAGACAATCAGCGAGGAACTCGATCGCCAATTGGAGGACTGGTTTGGCTCTCTCCCAAACCCGATCAGGCCAACCCTGGGTAATTCGATATCCGCAGAGAAGCCTTACGACACTTACATTCTCGCCCGGTACTATGCCACAAAACACATCATATGCCGGCCGAGTCTTGTTTTTGCTGCCCACACTCAAGGTAGTACAGTATTGCCAGAGTTTGTTTTCGCGAATTGCAAGAAGTGCGTCGACAGCTGTCGCAAATTCATCTGGGCGGCCTCTCTTCTTATGCGGCAGAGAACACACTCAAACTGGCACAGAATGCAAGCGTAAGATCATCTTCCTGTTTCTGAACTTCACCTACTTACTTTGCACATCTAGAATGTTGGCTGCCATTTTCACTCTCTCGACTGCGAAAACCACACCGGCTTTGGAGGCTCTTGTTCCGGATTTCGATGAGCTAGTGAAAGAAGCCATTCAATGCATTGAACTATGGGCGCAGCATTGTGAAACAGCGGATACTGTCGTCAGCATGCTGAAGACCATCCGCCAGAAAGTGCGAGTATTAGTTCGGGGGGGCTTAGTAGAGAGCCTCTCGATCTATACTTGGGTAGATATACGTATTTTGTTACCTCGCATTTCCATGTATATGAATTTAAATGCGCTGGATATCGTCCAGGCTAGCATTTTTAGCGTATTTGAATATATTGTTGTTTCAAAGAAGTTGTCCTCTGTGTGTTCAATGTTATCAATAAGCTCGTGATCTCCTTCCAAGGTTGGAAGCTGTCGAACCCCCACGCGCCGCGGGGGGCTCCGGGAAAGAATCCAACCCAAACAACACTTCACTTGCACAAAAATATGTCTCCGCCACGACTGACGAGCCATATCAATTTCATTCGTGGTATTCGACTAGCAGGGGAGCCGTCCACATGGGATATCCAGATTACATACCCTGCAGACTCTACACAGGGCAAAGTCACCTCTGTAACCCCGCATGAACCCTCTACCAAAGATGACTTCGAGTCCCCTCTAGCCTTACCAGCCTTGACACACCCTCACATTCACCTGGATAAAGCCTTTATCCACAGCACACCTGAATATGCCCCGTTTCTACCTACAACTGGCACGTTCCAGGAGGCTCTGTCGTCCACGACCAAGGCCAAACAGCAATTCAGCCATTCTGATATCATTAGAAGAGGAGAGTGGCTTCTTGCTGAGTCCGTTGCATCGGGTGTCACTGCAATGAGAGCGTTTGTGGAGGTAGACCACACAGTGCAGCTGATTTGTTTAGAAGCTGCCGTTGCTTTGAAAAACCTATGGAGAGATTCTTGCGATATCCAAATCGTCTGTTTTGCGCAAGATCCTATATTCTCTAGTGAATATGGAGAGCAAAACATGGAATTTCTGGAAACTGCTCTTCGTAAATATTCGCAGGTCGATGTTATTGGGACAACACCATACGTCGAATCCAGTCCTGAAGCTGCAAAGCAAAACATCGAATGGGCAATTGATCGTGCCTTGGGGCTGAAGAAACACGTCGACTTTCACCTTGATTACAACCTCGATTCAAACAAAGAGCCCCTGGTTTGGCATGTTTTACAGACACTCAAACAGCGAAGCTGGACTACCCACTCAACCGACAAGCGTGTCATGCTTGGTCATTGCACACGACTGACATTACTCACGGAGAACGAATGGGCCCGACTGGCAACTGAAATCCACGAGAATAAACTCCCAGTCAGCTTTGTGGGTCTGCCAACAAGCGATATATACATGGCGTCGCCTCCTAGAACGAGCGGGGACTGCAAGTCTCCGCAAGATCGCCCGAGAGGCACTCTACAAGTCCTAGAGATGATCAGGAAATACAGCCTGGATGCAGTGATTGGGGTGAACAATGTCGGCAATTCATTTACCCCGTGGGGTTTGCCCGATCCTTTATCGTTGGCTTGTGTCGGTGTGGGAATCTACCAGGCTGGAAGTCAGGCGGATGCTGAGCTACTCTATGAATGTGTGTCGACACGAGCGAGGGCAGCCATTGGACTCTCGTCATCACATTCGGATCTATGTGTAAAGCAGGGGTGCCAACCGGACCTGTTGTTGGTCCATAATAGAGATGACACTGGGTGCGGTGTTTCTCGGCCGCGAACAAATATTGCGGAGGTTGTGTGGACTCCACCAGGGAAATTGAATAGGGATGTGGTTTCTGGTGGACGACTTAAAGTTTCTCCTTTTGCTGGTGCGGATTCAGACTCCTTGTATCAATTTTGATTTGGTTTCGTGCCACAGCGGCTGTCGAAGAAAGTGGTTGTATGTACATAATGGTGAACGGTTGTGATCGGGCATCCATGCGAATTGGGGGATTAGAAGATAGGAATAACACATGCTGGACCGGAAATTTCAAATTCGTGCAAGCATCCATCAAAGCCCCGGTGTACCCGTCCGACTAGTAATAGAAATCCGTAGAGACCAAATCTGGCACCATGGACCATCGAAAATCTGGCAATGAGAGACACAAGGCATGGGGGGGCTAATTGGTTGTCTTCGGCCGCAAGGCGTAGAACTGCACAGGCAAGAGTTTGAAAGACTGGGGGAAGCCCTTCTGGAGTTCCGACTTGACGACCTCCATGCCGGCCGCCTCGAAGACTTGTCTGAATTTGGCATCTGTCCTTGTGACACTGCTATCCTCACTGTCGTACATATCCTGTCCGGAGAAATGGGTGGATAGATTCTCCTTGACAACCATAAGGCCGTTTTCAGTCAATGCCTTGCGGCACCGCACGGTATAATCAATGAGCTGTGAATCTGTAAGGTGGCCCACACACCACTGGACCCAGATCAAATCGTATTTCTTCTCTGGGGTCCAATCTTCAAGGCCACGCGTGTAGATAGTTCCAACGACGCCGTCTCGTTTCAATTGGCTGTCTTTCATCACTTGTGTGAACTTGGCTACCGGCTCTACCGCATCTACCACTTCACAGACATGGCTTAGGAAGCCCTCTGTCACCCGGCCGACACCGGCGCCGCAGTCCACACCTTGGTGGAATTTGCCCCCAGATTGGACGCCTGGTAGTAAACGGCGAACCTTGGCTAGGAAAGATTTAGACCCCTGTAGGTCAATGCGTGACACTGAAGGGAACTGGCCCAGCATGCTACCCGTGGTGGCTGGCACGCTGTTCCAATATTTCAAGGAGGCGGCATGGTCGATTTTGGAATCGGCCGTGGTGTGCGAGTCTGTCATGTTGGAAGTGTTGACAATGTTGGCCTGTATAATTGTTTATCGGAATGATTGAACATCCGTAAGAAGCGAGGAATGTCTTAGGTGATGATTGTATGACGAGAAAATCTATATCTATCTCTATCACGTGATCATACAATTGGCAACGTACTCCGTGCATCGTACAACGTTATACGTATAACATACACATACAACATAGTAGCCTCTATCTTCGAGATCTATAATATGCATACTTTATTGTGATTGGTTTAATTTTTCTTTGTCTCAGCACTAAAGTCATTTCCCTGTATTCTTGGCAAGTCGACTTTAAATTGACCCTAATTGGTCTCATGAAGACGTGATACGCTAGACGAGGAAAAAAGAAGAGTTGAGTGGGCTGTGCTATGATCGACAGGGATAGACCACAAAAATCTCCTCGATCTTCAACACCCTGAAACCTCCCAGGGACCCCAGGGCTTGGGGATTACGTGGAAGGACTGGGCGACACACCTATTGAAACGGCGATGTGATTGGAAGTGCCCACTGTAGCGTCTCCATAGGGGTGTAAACTGCCGATCGTTCATAAATCCATTTCTTTCCCCTTATCATCTCCCTTTCACCTTTTTTTTTTCTCCTACTCACCACAGTCATTCTTTTATACTGTTCTTTTGATTTTCACCATGGCAAACGGTCGCTCGTCGCAGGATGAGCGTAAGCTCGAGGGTGGCTCTCCTGCCCCCAAGGACAACGGCCTCCACCCCGGCTTCTACATTGCGTACGTGACATTTTTACGTCCTAGAGACCTTCTTGTCCAGAATTAAAACTAAGACTGGACTTTCTAGCCTGTGGATTGCTCTGAGTTCCAGCGTCATCCTGTTCAACAAATGGGTTCTTGCGAGCGCCAAGTTCAGTATGGACCCCTTCTCTCTAATCCCCTACTATTCGCATTGGGCTTCGCAGCTAACTTTGATTGATTATAGACTTCCGTGAGTCCCTCCGCCGCCAAAAACTAGGAATTTAACCGCGTCTGTGGAAATCGATTACTGACGTGACATACCAGCGCTCTTCTTGACCACCTGGCACATGGTGTTTGCCACGGCCATGACCCAGATTCTCGCCCGGTTCACTACCGTGCTTGACTCCCGCCACAAGGTCCCTATGAACCCTGCGACCTATGCGTGAGCAACCCCGATAATCCAATATAGAGTAGCTAGCACGGCTGCAGTTCAACCCCGAATTCTCGATCGCTGACCGGTGGATTTGTGCATACAGACGCGCCATTGTGCCCATTGGTGTCATGTTCAGTTTGAGTCTGATCTGCGGTAACTTGGCATACCTCTACCTGAGTGTTTCCTTTATCCAGATGCTGAAGGTGTGTTTGAACCGGGAGTTTTCGCCTCAATTGCGATTTGCGCTCTCTCAAGTGCTAGGCTCGACTCAATGCTAATGCCACATTTTCTAGGCTACCAACGCTGTCGCAACCCTGTTGGCCACCTGGGCTTTCGGAATCGCTCCTACCAACTTGAAGACTCTCGGCAATGTGTCCCTCATTGTTGTCGGTGTTGTGATTGCCTCGTTCGGCGAGATCAAGTTCGAGATGGTCGGCTTCCTCAGTATGTTATCTTCTGGTATATCTGATATTCTAGTTCTAACGACCATATAGTCCAGATCGCCGGTATCGTCTTCGAGGCCCTCCGTCTTGTCATGGTCCAGCGTTTGCTCAGCTCCGCCGAATTCAAGATGGACCCCTTGGTCTCTCTGTACTACTACGCCCCGGCCTGCGCCGTCACCAACGGTCTCGTTACCCTCTTCGCTGAGGCTCCCCGTCTTACTATGGGTGATATCTACGGCCTCGGTATCGGTACTCTCATTGCCAACGCACTGGTTGCTTTCCTTCTCAACGCTTCCGTTGTCTTGCTGGTAAGCCGTTTTATCTCATGGATAGTAACCACGTCTCTGACACATCAATAGATTGGCAAGACTTCTGCTGTCGTCCTGACCATGGCTGGTATCCTCAAGGACATCCTCCTTGTTGCTGCCTCCATGATCATTTTCCGCGACCCCGTCACTGCCCAGCAGTTCTTCGGTTACTCCATTGCCCTGGCTGGTCTGGTGTACTACAAGCTTGGTGCTGAGAAGTGCCAGAGTCTTGCTACCGATGTGCGCCTCCAGGTCGGCGAGTACAACCGCAGCAACCCCGTCCGCACCAAGGCCATCCTCATCGGTGTGCCTTGCATTCTCATTCTGCTTGTTCTCTACAGTGGCAGCCCCGCCCCCGCTGCTGCTACTCAGGTGACTCACTAAGCATGAACGCGCGTACATTGGCGAACTGAAGCAATCGACGGAAATTTGGAACACGCGGAGCGCATTCCGCGTGGGCCTATTGTTTCACGAATCCAAGCTCGGGTAACTAAATCCGATGCTTATGTTAAATTTTGATCAAGACCATGTCTTGTCTTGTCTGGACAGGACAGAACATGCATGTAAAGTTAGGGACATAGACGATATCTGGCTGTTTTCATTGGGGATAAGATTTATAATAAACGGCTGCATGAAATTGATATATTCGAAGTATCGACTGTATGTTTATTCCTGGTATATCCTTGCGTAGTACAATGTTGCAATTCGTGTTTCAGGTTGACATATTCCTAACGATGACGCGCGTATCATGGTACCTCACGGATAACGCTTGAACAAAATATCCGCTAGGCCATGACAAACGGACCCGACGGCAAAAGTAGCAGCAAAGACAGAAAACCCGACGACATACCCAGGCGAGTCTTCCGCTGGAAACAGGGCACTCCCATATAACTGCGCCAAAGCAGCAACGGCAGGTATCCACGCGAGCATGATCGCACGAACATCAGGAGTGACCGAAGCCAGAGCCGTAGTAGCAAATGAAAGAGCAAGCGCGCCTCCTGTCCAGAGAGTCATATTAATGAAGCACAAAAGCACGTATCGTGCAATATAATTTCGAATGGCCGCTGTAAGAGCAAAAAACACCATCCCGACTATCATGTTGCCCACCAGTAGCTGTCCCCTAGCATGGGGCTCGCGGTCAGCGAACCAGCAAATCGGGACAGCGGCAAACAGAGAGGCAATATACAGCGGAGCTGTCATGTACTGCGCGTTGGTGGAGGTATATCCCATATCGTTGATCAAAGTTGGATAGAAGTATGAGATAGCCCCGGGCCCCGAAAGGGTTATGTATCCCGGGATCAGTACCCAGGCGCGCCAATTTGAGAGTGCTTTGAGTAAGAGTATAAAGATAGAGGTGTTCTGGGTCTTCGAGTCGCCTTGGTCGATTCCATCTTCCATGAGTCTCTGTTGGGCTAGCTTTCGTTCTTCGGAGGAGAGCCCGCGACTGCTGTGCGGGTAGTCTAGTAGAGTCCAGTGGACGAACAAGCTGACTCCAGCAGTTGCGACTCCTTCGACAATGAAGAGCCATCTCCAGCCACGGATACCTTGTGCGCCGTCTAATGTCGATGTGATGGCTCCCGAGATTACGCCCCCAAAGGCTCCTGAGAGTATACCTGCGGTTAGGAAGATGATGAATCGTTTTGATCTGCTTCGAATAAGCGATATTTCAGGTCTGTGTCATTGTGCTATAGGAAAACATACTGCTCGTTCTTTCGATACCATGTAGAAATTAAGAAGATGACAGCTGGCTTCGTCAATGTTAAAAGTGAATTTATGGAATATTACTCAAGTCACTCACACTAAACCCTGCTTCGAACACACCGAGAAGAAATCTTAGGGCTATCAGCTGGCCTTGATGACGAACAGCACCTATCAAGGCTGCCACAGATTCCCATGCAAACGTGATTATTGGAATGAAAATGGATGGGCGAGTTCGACAAAGGATCATGCTGAATCTAGAGTTAGCACGTGGCATGTGGAAGAAATAAAGCCTCTCCTCTTACTTAGATGGTACCGCAGAAATAGTATAGCCAATCACCCATACTATCACGGCTGTATAGTATTGATGCGATGTGAGGTACAGATCTTCTTCCATCCCTGCGATTTTTGCAAGGCCAATGTTCGATCTGTCCTAGTATTTTTTAGCGATATATAGTTGGCCATTGTTAGGTTAAGGTACCATGTAGGAGAAAAGGTAAAGAATAAAGATGGAAGGCATCAAATAGAGATCGATCTTTCGGACAAGCTTCTTCTCCTCGTGTGCATCGACAATGATGCACCTGCCGGTATCCTCAGAGTGCAAAGACTGAGCTTTGGTATGTTCGGCAAATATAGACATTTCAGTGATGGTTGATTATATCAATTGGCAGGTTATCTAGCTAGAGTGATGTTGATAAGGCAGATGACTTTGTTGAACTACCATTCCTCTCGCATCTAGTCTGGGATCAGTGGCCTTATATCAAATTTATGGGGTTATCAGTGTACATAGAAAATATTATGGTTGATCTGGGGTAATATTCGGGGGTTAGGGTTGTGGTTCTGAAGTGGTTCTCTCTCTACACGATCTTGTTCGATACCAACATGCCACAACATTGTTTGCGTCGTAGCAAAGCCCAGATCAAAATATCCCGTCAAGAATATGGTAGATAACTAGGTTGACATTTATAACAAATACGTTGCCACGCCGGAGCTAGCGGAGGAGGATACGGATATTATAGGGATTTATAAGATGGGAATGGCTTCAATGCCTGGAATTGGATGAGCATGGATATTTGTCTAGTGGATTCATCATCTTTTTTTCTTGTTTTTAAGGAGTAGGGCGACACTGCTACAGTTGTCGTTTCTTGTTTGGCGTCTTTTCGTTGGCCAAATTGGCCGTTTTGGTGTGGCTGTTTATGGAAATGTGTCATTGTTGCGCGTGTGGGCCCAGACATGCCATGTCCCAAATTTCATTCCGATTCAAACACCATTCGACATTTGTGGATTCGCATCGAATTTGAAGCATTTCAAGTGGCGAAAGAAGCAAGAGATATTTGGCCATGGCGACCAATAGGGGAATTGTTGTCATATCAGGGGGAGCGCGGCGAATAATCTCGTCGATGTATTCAGCGCCGTCCGTGAAAGCAAGAATTGTCCCCTTAGCTACATCATTCCAATCAGTGATAACGGAGGATCCTCTTCCGAGTTGATTCGCATATTCGGTGGCCCTGGGATTGGTGATGTTCGGAGTAAGTCCAACACTTCGGATCTCTCCTAACTCGTTTGCTAACTTGTCGGACAGGTCGATTGGTTCGCTTGATTCCGGATTCGCCAGAGCACCCTGAGAGGTCGGCGATCAAGGCATTGTTTAACCATCGGCTGCCTGCGGAAGCAGGCATCGCAACCAATGAATGGCAGTCCATCGTTGATGGCACATCTGGGCTATGGACAGCTATCACTCCCGCAAAGAAAGAATTGATACGCTCATTCTTCAATGTATTAAACCTGGAAATTCTAAAACGAGCCCGACCGCCATCATCAACTTTTGACTTCACCTCCGCCAGTGTGGGAAATCTCTTTTTGACTGCCGCCCGGCTGTTCAGTGGAAGCTTCGAGAGTGCCATTTATCTACTCGGGAGCATCTGTGGCGTGCCGTCAGATCTGGTGCGCGTAATCCCAGCAATCAACTCCAATTTTTCCCACCATATCTCTGCATCGCTTGCCGACGGAACTGTCATTGTCGGACAGAACTGTATCTCGCACCCAAGCGAGGCGACAGCCCTTGACCACAACTCCCGCTCTAGGAGGCCGAGTCTGCTCCTTGCCGATGGAGACGATGCTGATTATACAGATTCCGAAATGTCGGACCCGACAACATACGAGGAGGATCATCTTCCTGGCTCTCTGGCAACTCTCCGCAACAAGAATATCAAGTTCAGTAAAACCGAGAACGAAGATTTGAGTTCCAGAATCACTCGCATCTGGTACATCAACCCCTACGGCCAGGAGATTCGACCACCCGCGAACCCACGAGTGCTGGAAGCAATAAACGACTCCCAGGCCATTATCTACAGCATTGGATCTCTCTACACGTCGATCATCCCTGCCATCATTCTGCGAGGTGTAGGTAAAAGCATCGTCTCCAGTCCAGCCCGGCACAAAATCCTCATTTTGAACGGATCATTGGATCGGGAAACGGGGCCTCCATCCGCACCTTTTTCCGCGTCTGACTTTGTGGAAGCAATTGCAAGCGCTGGAGAAGAAAGTCGTGGACGGGGCCCAATTATTCATTCTCAAGATCAAAGTCAAACCCCCGCCACGACTTCAGTGCAAGAAAATGTTCGAAATTACAGAGCCCTTCCTTATACCAACTATGTGACTCATATACTGCATCTGGATGGTCCGGGGACACCGCATGTGGACCGTGAGCGGCTCACGCGTATGGGCATTGAAACGCTTCGTCTCTACGGACGAAAAATCATGGCCAAGGATGGCGATAAGGAGACCGTTATTGGGATGCAATATGATCCCAATGCCCTTGTACAGGCCATTGAGGTAGTGCTGGGGAAGAAGGGGGATGCAATGGTCCGGGGAGGTCTGGGCAGTGCGCTTGGTCGACGGAATACACTCGATCCTGCAAGAAGAGACCGATCGGATATGCAATAGTATCTTTTTAGAAGTCAACATCGTACTATAGTCCACATCGAGATACAACGATGTCTACACACCATGTAAATCAATAGCAAATGAAACTCCATTCATCAATCCCGAGTCATTAACCACAGACGCAATCGCTTATGCATAATTCCAAAAATAAAATAAAATAAAATAAAATTTCCACCCATTCCCATGCTCCGATTCGCAATGCCGCAAGAGTCGAGAGAAAAAACAAAGAATTAAAGAGCCGAAGAAAAGCCGACGTAAAGGCTCTATGGGCCAGACACGGGAATATCACCTCGCTTTCTCGTTAGAAACAACAGCGGAATGAGATTCTTGGGCTTCCCAGGCGTCTCCTTTCGCGAAATCGGTGTGCGGCACACCGGGCAAGTACCTTTGTGATGTTTCGTAGAGTCACCGCCGCGTGTTTCTTCGCTCATCTTCAAGCAATCGATTATGCACTTGTGACAGAAGAGATGGCCTATATATAAGGAGTCAGTAGAAGCCCTGGCCAAGCCTATATGGTAGAGAATCAAGAACATACCGCATGAGGTGCTCGTTGCGTCCACGGGCGTCTCCATGCAAATGGGACATTTGTAAGCGCGTATAGCGGAGAGATTCGAATCGCACTCTGCTGATGCCTGTGCTTTGATGGCATCCTCCCTCTGTTTGGCCACTGTGCGAGCGAGTGCAGCCGCGCCTGCGTCGTCGGTCATATCGATCGTTTCGATGGGCTGGTCTTCGGAGAGAGTCGAAGAGGATGCTGTGGAATCACCGTGCTCGTCGCTCCAATTGCGACGACGCTTGACACCACGGGGAGTAGGCAGCTGTGCATGGCGGGAGGAGGATGCGTGGTCCGAGGCGGCAGGTGGGGAGGAGGATAAAGAGATAGGATTTTGTCGAGATGATCTGGTGGTCAGGTCCACAACAGCAGCCCTGTTTCGACTCATTGTGATGGAACAGGTAGGAGGACTCTTTCTAATAGGGTTTCTGTGAGGGTCGACCGAGAGAAATATTCTAGAATTGGAAAGGAAAGTTGTCCGCGGCTCTGTGCTGCCGTGTGGGGGAGGACGTGAGACGACGTAGAATTGTTGGCCCACGAACAGCCTCAGTATTTAATTTTTGCTGAGACACAAGGCAGCTATCATAGATTTGAGCAGAAGAATATCGTCGGCAAAATCGGGGGCTCTTCAGTGCTCAAAGAAGGCGATGGCGACAATGGCGGACACACTGATCTCCGGGCTTATCGAGAAGGTCACGTGGAGATAAAGGATCAGATAAGCCCGCCATGTAGTATTCCCTATCTATAATTGGAAGGCGGTAAGTGGGCAAATATATAGGCATAATGCATACATACTATATTGTCTCCAAGAAGAAGGCGGTCAAAACCATGGGAAAACTATATTCCGACCTGCATGACGCCCAGATCTGAGATATCGCGATAGGCGATGATATGGAAATTACCTACATTCACCTTCTTTTTCTAGGATCTTCTTCGGGCTTCAGTGCAGCCATACGGCTGTGGCCACACTTTTAACATGACCTAACGCTGGCAGTCTCTTATTTTTATGATGTTATCTTGGAAGTCCTCCTGCACTCCTTGTTCCAGGGGTGCCGTGAGGTCTTTCTCGCGACTAAGCTCGACGCTCCTGATCAAGCCGCCGTCATGGTACCATTTACACAGAAGTCATATAAGACCTTCTTCTACTTCCGCCGACAATGCTACCACTGCGCGATCTCTTTCTGGTGGGTGTACTGTCTTTTGCGCTTTTCGATAAGAGAACAACCAAATCGCAATTACTGACCTCTCGCAGTCCCTTCCTCATCCAGATTCAATGACATCGGAGTCCAACAGCTCAGCGATCATGTCCATGCTCAAGTTTTCCCACATAAAGGTCGCATCCCGGACCCAGAACTAGTCGCACTTTCGAAGGATCATTTGGCTAGGCATGAGCTCCTAGGCAAATCTCAAAGCGGCGCCGGTCCTGTTGCATTCGATCTTCCTGCTCTCAAGGGGCAAACATTGGATGAGCATTTCTACAAACTTGGAATGGATTCTTCCGAACCCTACCTGTCATGGGCTAAATCATACGCGGCTCTCAACTGCCCGGCCAAACCACGCAAATGGGTCAAACGCAGTGGATGGACGAAATATCATACTGACGGCACTTCTGAGCCTGTCGATGCTCCCAATGAATCAATGTTAACATTCGACACCGAGGTCATGTACAAAAACAATGCATTTGCAGTCATGGCTTGCGCGGTAAGCCCGACGGCATGGTATGCATGGATATCACCGTGGCTGCTCGGCGAGTCAGAGAATGAAATACAGCTAGTACCCTTGGGAGACCCCAGCCAACCCCGCATTGTGGTTGGCCACAATATTGGTTACGATCGAGCCCGCGTCCTTGAGGAATACGACATGCAACAGTCTCAAAACTTCTTCCTTGACACAATGTCCCTTCACGTGGCGGTCAACGGCATGTGTTCACAACAGAGACCAACTTGGATGCGCCACAAAAAGAATCAGGACATGAGAGATAAAATCGCGAATGAGCACGATTCTGTGGAGCTTGCTGCACTTCTCGAAAACAACATGCTGAGGGAAGAAGAGGAAGAGCTTTGGGTTGGGCGAAGCTCGGTGAACTCTCTGCGTGATGTGGCCAAATTCCATTGTGATGTCACCATCGACAAGGCGCAGAGAGATTTCTTCGGTGAACTTGATCGTGACTCTATCGTGGGCAGACTGGAGGAACTTCTCGATTACTGCGCCGCCGATGTTGCCATCACCCACCGTGTCTACCGAAAAGTTTTCCCCAACTTTCTCGAGACTTGCCCGCATCCTGTCAGTTTCGGCGCTCTTCGGCACTTGTCCTCTGTCATTTTGCCAGTCAATCAGTCCTGGGGAGAGTATCTTGCCAGCGCAGAAGAAACATATCATAAACGACTTGACGATGTCCAAAGTAGATTGATAGCACTATGCGACGAGGCATTGAAGTATAAAGACCAACCAAACTTTTACACGAATGATCCTTGGCTACAACAGCTGGACTGGTCCGGCCAAGAAATCAAAATGGCGAAAGGAAAAAAGAAGGGGGATCCTCCTCGGCCGGCAGCCAGGCAAAAGAAACCAGGAATGCCCAAGTGGTACAAGGATCTTTTTAGCTCAAACGCCGCAGAGATCAATCTGACGGTGCGAACTCGCATTGCACCTATTTTGCTCAAATTATCGTGGGACAACTACCCTCTGGTTTGGTCGGACCTGCACGGATGGACTTTTCGCGTTCCTCGTGAGCAAATCAAACAATATGAGAATCAACCTGTCGTTATGTGTGATATGACCGAGGAAAAGAACACCGAGCTGCGAGACGATAGAAAAGCCACATACTTCAAAATCCCCCACAAAGACGGCCCACAGGCCAGGTGTACCAATCCGCTTGGCAAAGGGTATATGCAATATTTTGAGCGTGGGATTCTGTCATCTCAGTATGAACTTGCCAAACAAGCGCTGGATATGAACGCCTCATGCTCCTACTGGATCAGCGCTCGAGATCGGATCATGGGTCAAATTGTGGTCTATGAAGATCAGGTGCAAAAGGGCGACAGGAAAATCGAAGCAAGTGATAATCGTGTCGGATTTATTCTGCCTCAGGTTATTCCCATGGGAACCATCACTCGACGTGCCGTGGAAAATACCTGGCTGACTGCAAGTAACGCGAAGGCCAACCGTGTCGGGTCAGAGCTAAAGGCTATGATCAAAGCACCGCCAGGCTACTCATTCGTTGGAGCTGATGTTGACTCCCAGGAATTATGGATTGCAAGTCTTGTCGGAGACGCCTCATTCCAGATTCACGGAGGAAACGCAATTGGCTTCATGTGCTTAGAAGGCTCCAAGGCTGAGGGGACTGATCTTCACTCACGAAGTGCGTCGATTCTGGGAATTTCGCGTAACGATGCCAAGGTCTTCAACTACGGCCGAATCTACGGGCAGGCGTCAAGTTCGCCGCTACTCTACTTCGCCAGTTCAACCCCTCTCTGACCGAAAAGCAGACGCAAGAGACTGCTAAGAACCTATACAAAGAGACCAAGGGAACGCGCACCTCACGCCGCCTCTTGAGTGAAACACCGTTTTGGCGAGGTGGCACCGAATCCTTTGTATTCAATAAACTCGAAGAGTTCGCGGATCAGGAACGACCTAGAACCCCTGCTCTAGGTGCTGGGATCACCGAGGCGCTTATGCGACGTTTCATTAACAAAGGCAGCTTCATGACATCTCGAATCAACTGGGCCATTCAATCGTCGGGTGTTGATTATCTTCACCTCTTGATCGTTAGCATGGACTATCTCATCCGACAATTCAACATTAAGGCCCGCTTGGCCATCACTGTTCACGATGAAATTCGCTACCTTGTCAAAGACGAGGATAGATACCGCGCCGCAATGGCTTTGCAGGTTGCCAACGTTTGGACTCGTGCCTTATTTTCACAGCAAGTGGGGATTGATGACCTTCCCCAATCCTGTGCCTACTTTTCTGCCGTCGACATTGACCATGTGCTTCGCAAAGAAGTCGACATGGACTGTGTGACTCCTTCGCACCCCTACACAATCCCGCATGGTGAAACGCTGGATATTACTCAGCTTCTGGACAAGAATCAGGAAGCTTTCTTGGACCCTTCCATCGCACCACAATCGCCTCCAGCCCCCGAAAAATATCCATACACCCCACGGGAGTCGGTCATGTCCGCCTTCCAAGCTTCCAAGGACATTGATTTCATCAAAGCTCAGATCACCAAGGATGACAAAGAGCTCCGCGATATCATCAAGGAGAAGACGCGGGCAGCTAGTAGCGCCGGCGCTCCTAGCCCTCGCACCCCTTCTACCAAACCGAAAGGCAAATCTACCAATTGGACCCCAGCAAAGCCCCAGCGGGCGGTCCTGATGGACATGGAGTCAGGCCTTTATCCCGACTTCCACGGGCCCCTTAGGCCTAATTCTCATGGGAACAAGCAGCCTCAAGTGGGATTCCACCGTCCTCCCTGGAAACCACGGGCAGCAGCGCGAGCATAATGCTGTCTCCCCTATCTTTCTCTCATTTTCTTTGTATTCTCTTTGGCAACCTATTCTTGCTGTAACTATTATTTTACTTCCCCATCTTGTTTAACTATTGTGGATGTTGTTATATCTGGAGTGATAGGAAGCCAGCATTGGGACGGCGTTACTGTATGGTGCATAGTGATGTGATGGAATGGAAACCGTGTACCTATATGTTCTTGTACGAATCAATCTATGCGAGTTCAAAAATCCTAAATACATGTATGTAGCATACTTATGTACGTATTGTACGAAGTAGAGTACTTCATCGGGGCTGTATCCAGGTCACGGTGTCTCCCTTAAATAAGGAGTAGCTAGGTACTCCACCTGAACCCCCCCTACGCATCGAAAACCCCTTTGTCTCCTAGTTTTTTTTATTCCTGCCCAGTATTTTTTCTTTGTTTTCGTTTCTTAATTCTCATGTCTTTCATGTTCAAATACATCCTTACTATTTGAGCCGGTTTCGTCTTAAGCAGACGCGGCAGAAAACCGCCCCTTCGACGTCATATCCCCCGCGCAAGTTCGACATGTTCTCCCCTGAAGCTGTGGTGTCTCGATGAGAGGTGCACCGATTATCCAAATATATTGGGTCTATTTTCGCCAGGCATTGACTAAAATATCCCTCTGGCCCAGGGGTCACATCATTGACGCACAGCACAGCAAAGTTCGGAGCCGATGAAAACCCGTCATTCCACCTCGCGATTACATGTGCGCGTCTATATGAACCGCCAAGATGAGCGTACACTCGCTTGATTATGCGCATCAGGGTGCTCCACGATCTGATATCGATGTTGAGGCGGGTCGCCTGTCGGTCAGCTCCCAAGTCTCTCCAACAGGAAAAGAGAGAGAGGAAACTTCGTCTCCCGCTTTCACCACAGCAGCACGAGTGAACTCCACCGAGACGACAAAACGCCGAGCCAGACGCAATACTGCCCGCTCATACCACCCCGAAGGCTTCGCGCAAGATCCCAATTGGCAACCAGGAACCGAACCCGGCATTGATCCAACCAAGCCGCTACCGCCATACACGTCAGAGTGGGCGTCCAACATACCCGCGGACCTACAACGACGCTGCCAGATTACAGTGGTGGATTTCTCACAGCATGAAATGCGACAGTATGAGCTGGACAATGACACACTGGAGCAATTCTTGGAGCGCGAGAGAGAGCCCTGGGTGCAATGCCGGTGGATCAATGTCAATGGGCTGAGCTGGGATGTGATTAAGATTCTTGGAAATCATAAGAGATTGCATCGACTTGCAATTGAGGATGTCGTCCATACCACTAACCGCACGAAAGCAGATTGGTACTCGGACCATGCCTTCGTCGTACTGACATTGCAAAAGTTAATGAAAATACAAGAAGAAGACTCCTCTGATTCGGAAGATGAGGAGGCAACTTCTTCCATTAGTCGATGGAAATCAAGAGACCGAAAAAGCTCTGTGATCAGTGACAAGAGCTCGATTTCGTTGAAGCGACCCACGAAGTGGAATGTTATCATAGCGGCGTTGAAGGACATTTTCCGATTCAGATCATCCACTAGACAGGAGCGCAAGGATAAGGCGACGTATGGATCGAGCGTTCGTCCTGGCCCTGGACAAACTTCAAAACAGAACTCCCATTTTGGAAATGTTGGGACCACCACAGAAACGACTGCCAGGAGTCTTCAGCGATATCGCGGTGGTCCCAATGAAGATCGAATTGAGTTTATGGAACGCCATGCTGCACTGTCTGCCAAAGGGCTATGCGTCACTTTAGAACAAGTCTCGATCTTTTTGCATGCCGATAATACGGTTACATCCTTTTTTGAAACGAGCGCGGATGACATTGAGGCGCCTATTGTTAGGCGCCTCACGTCGCCTGAGACTATTCTTCGACAGTCGTGCGATGCCAGTATGCTTTTGCAGGCCATTCTCGATGCCGTGATTGATCTTGCTATTCCAGTCACGATGGCATATCAAGATGCCATCGGAGACCTCGAGCTGGATGTCCTGACTGATCCAGACATTGAACAGTCAAAGTCTTTGTATATATTGACATCTGAGATTGCTGTTCTGAGGAACTCCATGCAGCCTATGGTGGCTGTGATTAATGCTCTCCGTGATCACCGGTCTGAGCCTGTCGGCTTACCAGGCTTTGGTGTCTTGCGGAATCCGCTTAGCCCAAGTGTGACTCCTGGGGAATTTGTTGATCCCCGTCCACATGTCGGGACTGTGACGCCAAATCTGAAGAGTATCGGAGGCACAACTGTTACGATCAGTTCTATGTGCCATACATATTTGGGTGATGCCCTAGATCACTGCATTACCATTGTCGAAGGATACGATCAGATGCGGCGCAATGCCGATAACATGATTGACCTCATTTTCAATACTATTGGTGCGTTCAATTTCTTTGATAGCCCGTGAAGAAATCAAACTAATATGCTGCGCAGGTGCCTACCAAAACGAAAGTATGAAACAGCTTACTCTTGTGACTTGTCTTTATCTTCCTATGACATTCTTGACAGTATGTATGGCTTAAATCTATCGAGAAAATTTCTGACGGTTTTAGGGTTATTTCGGAATGAATTTCACTCAATTCGGGGCAATCGAAAACAATGAAGGGTATGTCTTTCGACCCTTTCCTTCTGCAATCATTGCTGACCCGAGTAGATATTTCTGGAAGATTGCAGTACCTTTTGTCTGCGCTACGATTCTGCTCCTGATGTAAGTTGTGATATTCCTGCCGAGAACAGCCGGGACTAATTTACATCTTTAGGCGCGACAAAATCCAACGCTACGCTGTCATGCTCGCTCAGCGACGTTTGATTGTCAGCTCACGAAAGCAGAGACGAGAGAGGAAGAAGAAATAGATCCTGAACATCCTACAGCTCAGTGTCCCTATTATTGTGCCAAAATGTTGCTGCGTATGGGTGTTTTGGCTTGGGGCTTTCATTATTCGTATACACATTTTATTACTTGCAGACCTAGTCAGGTCTTATATTTGTACATTTCACTTCCATGGATAGTTTGGGGGATCAGTGTTCGACTTCACATCATGGCAACCGTTTATGTATTCCTAATGTACAACTACGTCACCACCGGTCTTAATCCCGAAGTATATCAGACACATATTATACACGACCTACATGCCATCAGTCCAGAGATTTCCGTCGGTAGGCCGAGTAAGCCTTCCACGGAAGTCTCCAGTCTGACCGAAGCAAATTCGGGCTGAAAACATCGAAGTCTTGCTTCTCAAGGCGATCCAACCACATGCGCGCGCCGACCGCCGGAAGGAAAACGCCAAATGCCCGGTTGACCTCATCGAGAGGTGACTCGCTGTTCCGAGCACCGGAAACATCATATTCATGGCCCTCTTCGCCCTCATGCTCAAAGTCATGACCGACATCCTCTCCGGCGCGGAGGTTGCTCAGCATCTGCTGCACAGTAATCAAATGATCGCTTGCCCGCGTCGCAACCGTGAAGACTGCGTCCCGGAGACCCTCGGCCTGGGCTCCATACCGGAGGACATCCTCTTCCTTAACACCAGCCTGAGCCATAACATCTAGAGGCAACATAACGGCTCCCTGCTTCGCACCCCCTCCTATCATGGAAGTCGCAGCCCCGCCAGCAGGTGCCTGAGCAGGCGGCGCAGGGAACGCAACAAACGGCAGTCCACGCAACACGGCCGCGATCCCCACTGCCTTTCCGATATGAGACGCAACATGGTCTGCAGTTACCGATGCCATGGGCAATGCCGACAGGGTGAGATACATGAGCGTCGAGTATGTATTCTCGGCGTAGGACTCGAGCGCGGCGATATTTGGGTATGGGTCGTTTGTTAGGGTTTGCTCCCGCGAGTTGATTAAACGGGTCAGCCAGCCCTTACTTATCCGCGCGCGGCCCTGCGTGCGCTCATGGAGTTCGGAGATGGCAGATGCAAGCAAGATAGCGACGGGTTCTTTTGGTGGCGTGCCGGCAAGGATCTTCGTTACTGAGTCGCGCCAGAATTGGAGCCGCATCAGTCCGATTGTGGGAGAGGAGGTAGTGTCGGGAATCATGGAGAGGGAGACATTTAGTGCGCGTAGCGCAATATAGAAGGATTGCGCATGTCGTGGGATGAAGGTGCTCAGTGTGTAGGAGGGACGGTCATATTTTCTGTGGGAAGCGGAATATGTTAGCTTTCGGAATTGTTTCCATCGTCGGAGCTTCAATCGGCTTGGAGAGCCATAAGGACGGTGTTTCATACGAGAGAAGAGCAACGCAGTATTGGTGAGCGCCTTGGACTTCTTCTGCGGTAATGGTGATGGGTGCGGCAATGGATTGTGTCCGGCTGAAGTGTCGTTTTTGTGATTGGAAGCTTCGCAGGTAGAACCTGCAGGCCCTACTTGCCTGGCATGGCCTAGCTGTCCCGAGAAAAGACATGTTCAATGTGAAGTTGACAGGCTCTGGGGAAAAAGATTTGATGTAATCGGGCCAAAGGCATTGGCCGGTCAATCTTTGTCAGCGATACCTGGACACCAGCAGGTAGGCTCGTTGGAAATGAAAGAAATATATTAGAAAGATTATAGTAAATTACAACAAAGAGGATAAACTAAAGAAATACAAACAATGAGAATTGAAATGTCTTGAAAAGCGCAGATATCAAAATCCAGTTTACAACATTTTCCCTTCAGGGCTGACGTCGATCCACCTGACTTCGCGTTTCTCGGCGCGTCTCCCCGACTTCACTTTTTTCCATCTTCATCACGAAGCTCGATGGTACAGCCAACATGAGCGAGGATGTAGAGCAACGCCCAGCAAAGAGGCAGCGTTTTTTCACTGACAGTCCAAGCTCGCCTTTACCCTCCAAACCAGAAGATACAGACGCGTCCTTGCCTCGTTGCCTGGAACACGAGTATCGTACGGATCATGGCGCCACACTCGAGCCTCCGTCACTTGACCGCATCCCGAAAAACTCTCCTAGCTTGGAAAACGAACCCTATCAGCAGCATACACGAGTTCGAATGACGGAAAGCCTAAGGGTTACCCAGTGTGAACGCTGCGCCTACCCCCTCTCCGCATCAGAATGGAGTAGATCAACAAATCGAGGAGGAAGTGACTATCAATACAACCACAACAAACACAATCCCAGATGGCTTCGATGTCGACCTTTTCACCAGCATCGTGGGAGAGCAACTACCTGCCGACTCAATCAAAATCATTCAATCAGCTGCTTCCAATGATCTTGAGCGAGCTGTGAACATATACTTTGATGGATCATGGAAGAAGCCTGTGCCGATGAATGGCAGCGCCCCCGCCAAAAGCCGGAAGCCTGCTCTTCCGGTACAGCCTAGCCTTGAAACGCTAGTTGAAAGTGAATCGGTACTGCGACATCAGCCACCAGCAAGGTATGTTGGCGCATTTGGGGTGGGAGGGTGGGCAACAAGAAGTGGCTTGGGATTTCTCAAGCATGGAGACCCCGTCATCATTGAACGCGCACGCTCACAGCCAACGATGAAACGTGGCCGAGGAGGCAAATCATTTATCAATCACAAAAGTGATGTTCTAACTCGGTTCACAAACACCTCGGGGCAAGAAGTCGGAAGGCTGCCACATGAGACTGCTGAATGGGTTTCTACGCTGATTGATCAGAAAATATGTCGGTTTGAAGGAGTCTGTGTGTTCGTGCCCGATAGGGTGCGAGTCAACGATACCATATATTTACAACTCCGAGTCTACCTGCGAAAGGAAGCCTTTCAAAGTGGGGCGCTCGCTGCTTTGAACAATGATGACAACAGGTCCACTGGACTGTTTGAAGAGAAGGAGAGCACCGAGGAGAAGAATTTGCGACTACGCCAAGTCGGTCTAGTGAAATTATTTCACGAAATCAATCTTCATCCTACCTCGACCAACCCAACTACGGAAAAGCACAAAAGGGATGGTATTCTGCGCGCCGCTGAAATTGCAGAACAATATGACAGCACAAAGAAGGAAAAAGACAAACCAAAATCAAACGATGATCCCAACGAGTCATCAGGCGAGGACGACAGCGAAGAACTGGAAGAAGATCAGCTCGATACGCTGTACCAAAAAGCTCAGTCATTCGATTTCAACATGCCAGCGGCAGATCCAGCGCCTAGTTTCACCCTTGATCTGCGCAAGTACCAGCAACAGGCCCTTCATTGGATGTTGGCAAAAGAGAAAGACTCAAAGCAAACTCGAGAGAAGTCAATGCATCCATTGTGGGAAGAATACACTTGGCCCAGAAAGGATGTTGACGACAAAGATTTACCACAAGTTAAAAACATTGACCATTTTTATGTCAACCCGTATTCGGGAGACCTCAGTGTTGACTTTCCTGCTCAAGAGCAACACTGCCGAGGCGGAATCCTGGCTGATGAAATGGGTCTGGGGAAAACTATTGAGATGCTCAGTCTGGTTCATTCGCACAGAGTCGAACCTGATCCACATGTTTCGAATGGTTTCAGCTCAGTGAATGACCTTGCTAGGATGCCAAACTCATCCGGGGTGGTGTCTGCACCATATACTACTCTGGTTGTGGCACCGACATCTTTAATCTCTCAATGGGAAAGCGAGGCACTCAAAGCCGGGACGCTGAGAGTCCTTGTTTATTATGGGTCGGACAAGGCTGTCAACTTGAGAGATATATGCTGCGAATCCAAATATGCAACAGCTCCACAGGTGGTTGTCACCAGTTATGGTGTGGTATTGTCGGAATTCCGCCAGTTCGCTCTCCAGTCTGCTCTAGGACCCAGTGCAAATGGGGGTCTATTCTCTGTGGAATTCTTCCGAGTAATTCTTGATGAGGCCCATGTGATCAAGAACCGCCGTTCTAAGTCTGCTAAATCATGCTATGAGTTAAAAGCTGCCCATCGGTGGGCACTGACTGGCACGCCCATTGTCAATCGCCTTGAGGACCTCTTCAGTCTGGTGCGTTTCCTAAAAGTGGAGCCATGGAGCAATTTCTCCTTCTGGAAGACGTTTATTACAGTGCCCTTCGAATCTAAAGAATACGTGCGGGCTCTGAACGTCGTGCAAAGTGTACTGGAGCCTCTCGTTCTTCGGCGGACCAAATCGATGAAAACCCCAGAGGGCCAGCCATTAGTTCCCTTGCCCAAAAAGACAATCACTATTGAGGAAGTGGAGCTACCGAAACAAGAACGAGAAATTTACGACTGCATATTTACTCGGGCTAAACGAACTTACAACGACAATGTTGTGGCTGGCACACTGTTACAGTCTTACAGCACAATCTTTGCTCAAATTCTCCGTCTTCGTCAGACCTGCTGCCACCCTATAATGACACGCAACAAAGCCATCGTTGCGGAAGAAGAGAGTGCGGCAGTAGCGGCTGATGCAGCCAACGAGTTTAAAGATGATATGGATCTTCAAGAATTGATCAACCAGTTCACCACGGAGAATGAGAACGCCGACTCTCAAGATACCTCCGGAACGATGGTTAAGTTCACCACCCATGCTCTTCGGCAGATCCAAACCGAGTCCAGCGGCGAGTGCCCTATCTGTTGTGAAGAGCCTATGGTCGATCCTGCGGTAACAGCGTGCTGGCACAGTGCGTGTAAGAAATGCCTCGAAGACTTCTTGCAACATCAAATGAACAAGGGCGTTGAGGCACGGTGCTTCAACTGCCGTGCACCAGTGGATGCAAAGAATACCTTTGAAGTAGTACGACATCCGTCCTCGAACTCAATTTCTTTCGGAGACGACACTGTGAGCAGCACGCCGCCAACCAGCTCACAACCTGCCCCACGCATCTCTCTCCGTCGCATATACCCTCTCTCTCCTTCTGCCCACACTTCAGCCAAGATTCACGCCCTCATTGCCCACCTCGGGCGCATCCCTCCAAATACCAAATCCGTTGTCTTCTCCCAATTCACCTCCTTCCTGGACCTGATCGGCCCACAACTCTCTCGTGTCGGAATCTCGCATATACGCCTGGATGGCTCAATGCCCCAGAAGGCCCGTGCCGCTGTTCTGGCCGAGTTTACAAAGCAGAGAGCTTTACTGACGATGACATCGTCGATATTGAAGATGATACCCCAGGGAGAAGCGTGCCTGTAAAGACTAGCGCTCCCTCGCCCTCAACACCAGCCCCTACAGTCCTACTCATCTCGCTGCGTGCCGGCGGCGTAGGCCTCAACCTAACAAGCGCAAGCAATGTCTTCATAATGGATCCGTGGTGGAGTTTCGCAATCGAAGCGCAAGCCATCGACCGCGTCCATCGAATGGGTCAGACACGCGATGTCAATGTGACGCGATTCGTGGTCAAGGATTCCATAGAAGGCCGCATGCTGCGCGTGCAAGAGCGTAAAATGAACATTGCTGGCTCGCTTGGATTGAAGATTGGCGGCGATGATGGTGATGCAGATAAGGGGAAGGAGAGACTCGAAGAGTTGAAAATGTTGTTCGAATGATTGTTTCCATGGCTTAATGGTTGGTTGCTTCTTTACACTTGCGATACCCTGCTCCGGCGTGTGGATGATAGAGATTGGATTTCAGTAAATGCAAGACACCATGTATTTCCAAATTGTAGTCTTCGAAATTTTCTTCGTTGGACTTTGCGTCAATATTTAAAATGAACAGTTCGATAATTGAAGTGCAATTGGATATCAGTACACTTAAACTCAGAATAAGGGTGCCAAATAAACAAGCCCGCAGGATATAGATATCAAAAAAGAGCCAACTTCAAGACATCGGAGGCTTCGTCACAAGCACAGCTGCTGTCAGATTCAATCTAGACAACGACACTGTCTTTACTTGCTCGAGTGATGGAGATGCCTCTTAACGCTCTCCTTCACCTTCGAGATCCTCCCACTCTTCTCGCTACCAAGAGAAGTAGGCTCAACCCCGTTGCTAGAAGGGGATCCATTGCTCTTCCCGCTAGATTCACTTGGAGAGCCTATAACAAAACGTCAGACCGACCTAAAACCAATATGGCCAAAGGTATACGACGGCGAGGGTGCACTGGAAAAGGGAAGCATACCGTTCTCACTATCCTCATCCCTACCTGCAGACTTCATGGTCCTATAATCCTTCTCAAAGTCATCAGCAGCCCTCGGGGCACCCTGCGGGCCCTGGAGCGCCTCTTTGCTCACGTCCTGGGGACGAGCTAGGCGGGGGGGCTTCGCTGCTCTCGCCACCTTCAGCTTGCGAGATGCTGCGCTGTTCTTGTTTGGAGGTGTTGTTGTCACTGCTTCCACTGGCTGTGGTAGGGTCACCGGAGATGGGTAGAGCGGGGGTGATGCTGGTACAGGCAGTAATGGATGTTGGGGGGCGTGGAGTAGTGATGCTAGTAATCTCGGTTTCTTGGGACTTTGAATGCCTCTTCTTTAGCAGGGATCCCAGGGGTGCCGTGTTGACGTCTGATTGGATTGCGCCGGGTTGTTCTGCGGGGTGAGGTGTCAGATATATTGGACATTTATGTTTTTTGGAGCCGTAGGTAGTAATGTGGCGATCTAGATACTGATATACTCAAGTACTTACCATCGCGGTTGCCGCCATCATAGGGATCTGTAGCCTGTCCTTTGCCTTGCACGCCGGAGATGGGCTCTTCGCCGTGTTGTTGGGCGTGAGGGGAGCTATTCTCGCCCCAAATTACATTTGAAGCTGCGCTGACGTATCTGTTGACAGTCTCCATGGTTGTATTGTTGTGGTGTAGTTCAGGTAGTCGAATGGATATAGAAGGTGCGAGTCTGATATAGAGGATAATAGGATGGCAGACGAAGTATATTGGACAAGGGAGGATGATAATAATAAAGTGAGATACAATGTACTCGTTTGTATGGCTCGAAATTTAAGTGGCGAGCGGATTGAATTCGTGGAAGCTCTGGACAAGTCAAGCTTTAAGAACCCACAGGCTGAAGCTGCCTTGTTCAATACGTCAGTGGTGCTGGGCCATGGTGGCTTGCATATGGATTGCCGGTCTTTCATAGGGCCCAATTTGATTCCACCCGTGGACTGATTCCTCAATGGCTTGCGAATGATAATCCGGTGATATAAATTGGACTATCGAATCGAGAGAGCGGCGATCCTCTGGGCCTATGTCATAGTATGACGTCAAGCAATATGTGTCATGTGACCTCATACTACAGCAAGTCGAAGAGCAACAAAGAGATGCAAATAGATGCAAAGGTATAGAGTAATAATAGAAGTAATATAATCTTAGTCAATTGACCATTATATTAACAGGGTAGACATAAACACAGTCTGGACAAAAAAACGAGTCAATGTCTAACGCTTAGCAAGGGAAAAAAAACCAAGTGTGAAGGAACAAAGAAAGATGAACAAAGAAACTCCCTGCAAAGGTAAGGTAAAAACAAATCTAATCTTGAGGTATCGTAGGTGTAGGTGTCGAAGCTCCCTCCTTTAAATTTGGGTTCAATGGTTGTGCTGGGTCATAACCGATGCTCTTGACGATTCCCAGTCCTTTCGTCTTGCCCTCACGGAAAAGGACACGGTCCCCGGGAGCTAAGAATTCAGGACGCTGTACAAATCTGAACGCGACTAATGCTCGATCTCCAGTACGAATGAAAGGGCGATCAATGCCAATGACTGAACATGTCTGACTGACTGCCCCGACATGAAGCATGGCCTGGTATTTGGGCTTGATGGTAGTTGCATGGGAAAGGATTAGGACTATTTCCATTAGCATGTGGTCATTCAAGCCCGAATGGGCGACTTACCCTCCGCGACGAATTCCCGATACACCTTTGGAGGCTCATCCATCTTTTTCAACACCACCATACCCTTACGCACTTCCTTCCGGCGGACGCGCTTTAGGGCGAAAGAACCGGACTGGCCGGCAAAGCAAGCATTCACCTGGATACGCTTGCGCTCAATGGACTTGATGACAGTGGTGGTGAACTGGCCGAGTGAGTCTGGCCCCACAATGACCGAGTCTCCGGCATGGATGACACCGGACTTGACCACACCCGAGACAACTGTACCCACATGAGGAACAGAGAATGTGTCGTTGATCAGGAACTCGAAGGCTCCCGCGGCGTCGTATTGTCCGCGGTGGGCAGAATGTTTAGGAAGGTCCGTACTAGGTCGAGGTTCTCCCCTGTAACATTGGACACCTGGAAGATAGGACATATCCGCTGGCTGACAAACTGTGTGGCTGTATTGATGGTCTCCTCCATATCCTTGATGAATATTGGAATTTTGCGCGCTCCAGGCGATTTGAGAATCTTGGTCAGCTGGGACAAGGTCTCCTGCAGAATATGGGGCGGGCAAATGTCAATCTTCGTGACAATGACCATGACAGGCACATTGAGGGCCAAAGCAATACCCAGATGCTCCTTGCTCATTCCGATGAGACCGTTGTTGGCAGCAACCATCAGCAAACAGTAGTTGGGGCTGCTGCTCAGCATACCGAATACAGTAGTGCGCAGATACCGCTCGTGACCTGCCAAGTCGGAGAAGGAGATGACCTTAGCAGAGCGCTTGCCGATATCTTCCCAGGACATCTTCCGGCCCTGCGAATTGCCGACTATTTCACCTCGGCTGTCGAAGCCCATGATCTCCAACCCGACGGAGCTAGTACGCCCGCTTTCGATCTCGTGCTTGTGGCGGAACAGATTTACTCGCGCACGACCGCGTCCATCGTCAAGACCACCTTTCACCAGCACTCCCAGCATAGTGCTCTTTCCAGCATCGACATTTCCCACTACGGCAATCCGGAGCTCCGCCATCTCCTCGACGTTATCAGCGTGGTGGCGCACGAGAACTTTGCCCCAAGCGCCTTGTACCCGGTCATTTGTGACAGGCGATTCTTCAGGGCCTCCCACGTTGTAGGTCAGCAGTACTCGGCAGTGGGCGGGGATGGTCTCGGCGGCTTCGCGCAGACGCTGTAGCGCCGTCTTCCATTGATCGAGGTCGAAGCCCATGGATTCACCGCCATCCTCCAATCCGAGATCGAAGATGGTCTCCCCATGGCCTTCATCAATGCGTGTTTGTAATGTCCCAGCTAGCACTTGCAGACTGTCTTCGATGGCATCGCTTGTACCGAGAAGGAGCTCCTTAAGCCTGACTGGTTGAGGGGTATCAGACAGCCCTAGTTGATCGAGAATATCGAGCTCTGCATGGTCCTCGAGATCGCGCGAAACGCTAGCGGTGGAATATCCGCTGTCGCTTGGTGCGACTTGAGCGGAGCGGTGGGCTTGCTGTTTCTCGGCATATTCGGCGAATTCACTGAGAGCCTAAGTCGGAGATCATGTAAGATGAGGAACTTATCACATCTTCCCTAGGAACACATACGACTTCACCTCGTTTTCGCTCCTCGTGGCTTAGTTTCCCGGTTGCAGGCATGGTGTGGAGTTGGTAAGTTCAACCGTGTCGACTGATGTGCCGCCTTTTGGGGTAGTGACGTTATTGGTCGGTGGATCGGATCGCCGTTACTGTTGGCGGATATGAAGTCGTATTCGAGTGATCATAGTTTTCTTTTGCTCGAACAAAAGATAGGAAGGATAACAAGGCAAATAATTAAAGGAGTATTCTGAAAGTACATGGTAGCGGGGGGGATCGGGGAGCTTTATCGATAAGTTCCAAAGTTGGAGTCACCACTTGAGTCATCGACTTGGGCAGCGGAGGGCTATATCAGCCGCATTTCAGTGACTCAATATAAATCTACTAAGAAGAATGTCGAATCATAAGGAATACTGTGACTAACAATTGCACAGCCCGCTCAGGCTAATATCCAGCTATATCCAACGGGACTAGTATGGATGATCATAAACCAATTTCCATGGTATCGTTACCTATCTATGTTGACTTCGTTTTGTGGTATCTTGTGTCCTTCCTAGTATCGTTCCCGTCGCCGGACGCCTTTCTCTTTACCAAGGGCATATCAAGCCCGTCATGCTTGGGGGGAGATCAAGACAACGGAGTCTCCTAGACAGGAATCAGCAACCCACTCAAAACATTGCATTTTCGCTCCAACTCACCTCGCACGAAAAGCATCTCTTCTTGTTTCTTGATTGTCTGTATCCAAGGATCCAGATTAGCCCGTGCTGGTATAGATGTCCCAGATTCACATGATCCCATACCCGCAAAGTTTCCTCTTCATTCTCATCCTCTTCCACCACATAGATTGTCTCCTCCACATCGCCGAGGACTAGGTTACAGTGACTGTCGTAGGCCTGTAAACACATACCAGGGTCAGAAATTATCCGAAATATTGCCAGACGGAGGGGAGCTCACATGAAGGCGGCCCTTGAGCTCACGGTCACCGCGCAGCTTCACGAACACGGTCTCATCGAGAGAAAGACGGACGAGATCCAGAGGCTCCGAGACGGATGGACCGCCAGCATCTTCAGTATCGGCCATGGTAGAAGGGTGATTGGATTGGGTTTAAGTGCAGGTCCACACACGCAGAATCAACGAGCTTTGGGTGATACCTAATTTGGCTTAGTGTGGGCCTTGGCAAAGGATGAGATGAGTCAGCAATTTTACCCTGGGTTTTCAGGATTCTCAAGTATCCACATGGGATCTTGACAGGTATGTGGTGGACCTTGGGAGCAATTAGATATCTACATATGTATACATGTATAATATAAATTGTTAACGTATTATAATGATACTACCAAATCCTAGAGTCTCGCCTAATTACTGCAGGGGTCTTGTGCTTATTGTGAAGCACAACCTGCATGAAGTACCCTTGTCAAAAGATCCGGGGTCGAAGCGCACCTTCCCCTCATTTAGGCCCCTGGTCATACTGTGGTCTTTGTTTTCCTTTTCGTCCTTGACACTAATTTTCTCACTGCAATTTCCTCATGCGAAGGTTCTCACTTACCGAGAAGTTCGCTTCTCGCTTTGTCTCGTCTCGGCCTGGAGACGGCATCAGCAAACCCAGACAATTTCCCCCACACCGTTATCTCAGTCACGCGAGGCAAATACCTTGTGTCGCGACATCTTCAAATACAAATACACGGGATTCTTCTACACAAAGAACGCAACAAACTTGCTATCGCAATTCCATACGGCAATTGACTACAAGTCAACGACGGAACAGCGAACTCGCTGTTCCACGCCCTGCGGCTTTCGGAAAGGAAATTCAAATACCTCTACCGGAATGGAGCTCACCCGAAGAGGAGATATGGTATAGAGCGAACTTCTTCCGAGTCATTGAAAACGGACAACCGAACCAAGTGAGGGAAGCCATGGCCGACCCACGGTCGGTAGAGCTAGTTGGATCGCTACCACAAACTGTGTTTATCGAAGCCTTCCGTCTCCTCTCTCCAGCTCAATTCGTGATACCCTACCGAGACCTCCACCATACGCTGCATGGGTGGGGCGTGTTAATGGATGGACTCAAAACATTGGAAGCGGTGTTCGATGACTTTACGAGGGACCTGCTCACGATCATTCAGTACAGAACCGTGGCCGGGTACCCACCCCAACTAGCGGAATACACCCACCTACTCGACTGTGCTCAGGCGATGGGAAATGGCCCCCTAGTCAATGCTCTTTGGGATGGGATGAATGACAATGATGTTACTCCCGACGCAGCGTGCTATAATCACTATATGGCAGCACTGGTCTGGAACCACTGTTATGTGGGAAAAGAAGCATACAATACTCGCATGACCCCTCACAGCTACAGAAAGCGGCGCATGGTAGATCCAAATCCTGGATGGCGTGGCTACGCAACGGCGTGGAACAGTGTCAAAGGGAATGTGCTGGATATATTCAGTCAAATGAGTCAGGACGGGCTTAGTGGGGATGAACAGACATACATCAATATCCTCCTCGCAGCGGCCCGAGTTGGCGACATGCAAGCTTCGAAGAATATCCTCAAGACTGTATGGAACGTCGATGTTGATGTTATCATGGCTGAAAGTGATGACTCGATGCTGCCACCGGTTACACCCTACGAAACTTGGTCCGGTCTGTACCCCACTGAGCGTCTTCTTTTTGCCGTGGCCCATGCCTTTGGCACGAACAACGATATGTACGCCGCCATGAGAACAGTCGACTTCATAGCCTCCTCCTACAACGTCACCATTTCAGCTAAGGTCTGGTCCGAGTTGCTTGAAAGGACATTTACTCTCTCCAAAGAACACAAGCGGAGACAGGCAGAAGATGGGCGTATAGGCCAAGTCCCGAGAGACATGGTCCGCGACGTGTTTCAGATATTGACGACGGAGCCGTACAATGTTCCTGCGACTCTGCAAATGTACCGGTATATGACCCAAACCAACAAGCTAGACGGTGACCTAGAGGCTTGCAAAACAGACATGCGTAAGGCATATGATGTTTTGAGCCAGACGAGGCAAAAAGGAAGGAAGCGAGAGACGCCGTTATGCAATGTCTGCAGCCAGTCTTGGATAGCATGAGACCGCCAGCGAAAAATGGGAGGGAATTGCGGGAGCAAACCAAATACCAACGAGGGCATGGCGTGAAACCAGACCTGTCATTGTTACAGTGTCCCCTGCTCGCCGAAGCTATCAACACATACGACCTCCTCCGGCTCGAAGTCTTCCAGCAGATTTATCTAATGCAGCGCATAGCCTATTCCATGATCATCACACGTAAGTGGAATGACGTATCACCGAGAGCTTGGGAGCTTCAAGAACGGCCCAAGCTATTGGAAGAATGGAAAGACTTTCTGCCAGAGCGTAATACGTACGAATATAGAGACGGAGAGGTTGGAACAGTCGAGTTCAAAGGCCAGACATATTCCAGGAGCCGCCATATGAGCCAGCATGGCCGTATTCATGCACGCCGAATACAAGATGGGCCGGAACTTTTTCATCCAATTGAGCCAAAGGTCCTCGATGATAGGATATTCTGGAAAATCTTGCTTCATGAGTATCCCGAGCTGGACTCGTCCATTTCGCCGCTCAATCGCATCTACTCCTTCCAGGTCGAGCACTCCAAAAAATTAAAGGAGAAGCTCAAAAAACTCGGGACATGGGTTGATTACCCGCAAGATCATCATTTGTCGAAAGAGCATAATTCTTCCGGTGGGTTTTATGGTCGCCTTCATGCACTGGGCTTTGATGCCAAACCCCAGAATTCTATCTTCTGGCGGGATGGCAATCCTTGGTGTTGATGGCTTTTCCTTTTTCTGTCATTTGAAGCATTTGCGCTTGACGTTGATTTGCATGATACCATTTGTACAATTTCAAGAGCAGTACGCTTATTGTCTTCGTCTTTTTTTTTCCCTGGGCTTTTTCCGTACCGGAAGACGTGTATGTCCGTTATAAATCCACTCAAGACATGAGCTTTGTAAGTTGAACAGTAGAGATGAGTGTACAAGAAGGCACATAGGCCTTAGGAAATCATATGCAGACATGAAGCGTAAGATATCAATGCAAGAAAATGGCGATCAGCCAGAATGATACAAGATCTGAGCAGTAAGCAGCCCAGGTCCGAAACTAGCCCTTCAATTCCAATCAGGAACAAGAAAAGAACCAGTCACCTAGACCTTCTCCCGCTGAAGGTCATTGACAGTCATATATCTCCCAATAGTGATCCACCCCCACCGGAACCAAACCATCTGACTCTTATGACAGATGACCATAGCAGACTGTGCAGTCAACCACTCATTTATCGAGCTAACAAACAGCAGCCGCACAGGACCAGCTCCAGCCCCCGCATCCTTCTTCCTCGAGCCCGTCAACCCAGCAACGACGTTACTCCAGACACCAAGAAACATGGTCAGCGGCGCATCAAGCACACCCGCATACTTGCGGAACATAGACGTTGTAGTCAGGGTATACAGCGTGACTGGACAGGTGAACCCCGCCTTATCCTTCATCAAAGCGCGGACGAAGTTCACGGCGCCGTGGTACAGCGAGCGGTGATTAGGATGATTACTGATGCCATGCTTGTCGAATGTGATGATGACGTCGATGGTAGCGGTAGGGGCCTTATTGTGATCCACATGCTTGCCAGGCAGCTTCTTCTGCGCAGCCATTTCCGGCGCGAAAGCCGAGGCCAGCAGCGACGAGATCTGGCCCTCGTCCCAATCCTTGTCCATTCCATCCGGGAAGCGGTTCACGTCGTCGACTATGAAGACATCCGATTCGCTGCGCAGTCCGAGCTGCTTTGCTGATTTCTGGAGCTCTTGCTTGCGCGTCTCGCCTAGGCCGTCTGCGTCGCCGCTGCTAAGACAGAGGATCTTTAGGTGGTTGCCGAGCTCGGGCTTGGTGAGGGATAGCACGGTTGGTGCGAAGAACATGGCTTCGTCGTCTGGGTGTGCGATTAGGAGGCAGATGCGCTTGTTTTCGAGGCGTGGGAAGGACCGCGTGAAGGGTGAGGAGGAGGTTGAGGAGAAGGTCCAGAATATAAAGACTGCGGTTATGGCTACCGCTAACGCGGTCCAATTGAATGAGGTCGACATTGCGGTGTTCAATTGGTGTGATTTGCGTGTTTGGATGAGTTGTCTGGAGATATCGTGGAGTTCCACGCCTCCTGGTTCCGTTTCTCTGTGTTCCGAGTAGTATCAAGGATCTACCTGGGGTGGGGATACAGGTTGTCTTGCTCGATTGTATTATCGCTGGGGCTGTGGTAATTGGGCCGAGACGGTACAATGCGGTGCTCAATTGTTATGTAGTGTAATTGTTTATCGGTGGATCGGAGACCAAAGTCAAGACATATGGTGGGGAAATGCGAATCATCCCACTCGTGTTGATGCAGGGGTCAACTACTTCAGGAGAAAACTAACAGCCAAGCCCATGTTGGCGCTGGAGCAATCCAAAAAGAGTGGGAAAAAAGAACACGGTGGCTTGAGCTCTCATCTAGAATAGGGGAAGCTCGAGTGATTCCTCTGGCGATCTCCCGGAGAGGTCACGTGCCAGCTTTATACCGTCAGTATTACTTTAACAACTCCTCCTTCCCTTCTCTTTCTCCAGCAGTCTGGCAGTTTTGATAACACAATATCCATGGATAGCAGTAAATGTGTCAACCAAAACCATGCCTACATAGTGTTGGTGTCCCAACCCACACAAGGCTAAACACAACATTCTTTTGCGTGGATTAGGTACATCGTAAGCATAATATCTTGTCGTTCGGAATTGTTATGGGGGATATGAGAGGATGTGTATGGTGTATAGTGTATAGGCTATCTCGTTGAATTTAAAACTGGTAGAGAATATTATGCAACGAGTATGTTCCTACATACTCCAACCTTAATATATGTAGTGCCTTCATTTATATTGCAAGATAAGAGGCCCCGGGGCGGCCTTTTAATTTTTAACAATGCTGTACGGAGTACTTCAAAGTGCTAAGTACATATGTAGGGATACCCTAGATACTATATGACAACTGATACAACGAAGTGTAATAAATAAAAGGAAAGGCCCTATCCTTGCTACGATCCCACCTCGCACCCGGTTGGGGTGCCAGGCCCCAGAGCTAGCATAACTACCTGGCTATGGGCGGTAAAGTGGAATCCAAGCAATGTAAAACAACACGGTTTACAACATACGGACATTAAAGATTAACAAAATGGATTTCACGTATTCACCCATGAGTGACACAAGTGGCTATCCTCCTTCCACATTACGTATGTAGATATTGAGAATCAATACTAGTAGTATTAGATCAATCAAGCCAGTGCAATAATATACTAGTAGTCTTTCCCTCGCTTCACCTAATTCTGAGGGCTGAGAAGATCTATATGGTGCAGAAGTATCATCTGCATGAGTAAATGTATGAGTAAGTCGTACAAAAAAGACACCTATCTAGGTTATTTCTAGATATTGTGTTTAGCATTGCGTAGGCTAGGGTACACAACAACCCCGGTTGGTGTCTTGGGCGATTGGCAAGGTTTTGATCTCTCCCAGCTTCCCTCCCCAACAAGAAGGATTATTGAGTGAAGAAAACCTGCACTCTTCTGAGAAATCCAGCCACAACCAGGCGCCGAAACCAAGCGCCTTACTATTAGGCTAGCCGCCCTATATTGCAGAATGACCCAAACTCTCCAGCCCTATCCATGACCCAGGACTTGGGAAGGAGGTAGACATAATAATGTAGAAGGGAAGGAATTATCAAATGAAGAAAAACCAGCTGACCCTAGGTGATTTCCTTACTCTGGGTGTATTGACGAATCGGGCTCCGATTAAGGAGAGGAAAATTACGGTCAAGGAGGCGTTTGTACATTTTCTGCGCAAAATGCTATGGTTGGAGCCCGGTAGTTAAGTGTAGCTCATCCCTTCGTACCTCACTTGGAATATGACCATGTCTAAATATAAATAAGTCAAGAAAAGAAATAAAAACGATATCCGTCAGGGCGTATAAGTGATATAGTTCACACCCCCCTGCCTTAGCAACACAAGGACCTTTTAATAATCTATTCCAAGGGATGGCTGAGGTCGTACTTTTAGGGTTTAGGGGGATTTTTTTTTTTAAAAAAAAATGAGCGACGCAGGGATCGAACCTGCAATCTCTAGAGATTGAGTGATACACCGAAATCTAGCGCCTTACCATTAGGCCAGCCGCCCAATTGATATATGTATCGAGGATTGACGAGCAGAAGACGTAGCACATTCTTTTGTCAGTTAAATGAAAATTTTAGTTTGCGCAGGCTTTAGTTTGGGACAGACCCACAGACCCGACCAGTGTTATTATATATGAATACCTAGAACACCAACTTGATATCACCCGTGGACCTCTACTGCTGACCCTTGTTTGCGATAAGAGACATGTGATATGATGCCAAATCTTCACCCTACTTACATATCCTACCTACTAGGTAGGTAAGTCCTGCTGTCTGTTCATTCTCCTTCTACTAGCTTGCAATCTGATCATCTTGACTGTGCTTTCTGGTCGTTCCGCTGTCCGGTTCTAAGCCCTCAATCTTCTTTCTGAGATTCCATTGGATGATCCGTGACTATCTTCCGTAAACATGTTGCTAATATAACTACAGTACATATGCACGTATGTAAATAACTAGATCCGATCTTTATAGAGTCGGCGCTCGTTAAGGCCTCTCTTACTTATATGTCTCACTAGAAGACGCCTTGCATGAGACTAATTCTTTCTGCACTCTACTTTGCTTCAGATGTCGACCCTGTCGATGATTCAGATCATCCCCTTTATATCAACTCTGCAGACAATTTCTTCTCTGTTGTTACCATCTCTTATTAGAGCTGGAGCATTTAATTACAAGTCCCCGACCGTATCTCGAAACTGCCGTCCCGTATGCGGAAGCTTCGCTCTTGGTTATTACTTCACTTCCCATAAATCAACAATGCAATGCCTGGTGGAAAGGTGAATATTTGACGGAGAAGACCTTCAGAGATGCTTGGTGTATCTGACAACCCAAGGAGTCACTGACTGCTTGTGCAACAAGCCAAAATCCGATAAAACTTGGGATGCCCGCGGATCGATATAATAAGTTCTATTAAAAGTCTATCCTTGAATCAGACAGGGCTGACACGAACAAGGATTAAGTATTGAAGCTACCTTTTTCTCTGCTAGGGAAGCTTCGAGTTGCGCTTTGGTCAACTATAAAACCAACATATATTCCTTGATTTTGATAGACGAGCTTGGCTCAACAGCTACAATACATGTAGCCTTTCCACACCGCCAGCCAAATCGAAGCCATTGCACTATCAAACCGGGTAACGGGCCGGTTCTCATAACGATCGTCTCGCTGCCAAGCTAATGTTTAGCTAATTATTACCCCAAGAGACGGCCGCCTCCGACACATAACCTAGAAAAAGTCGAAACTACGGTTTCTGCCCCATCGACGGTGGGGGCGATTCTTCAGCGTGCTATATATTTTCTCTAATTAAGCCAGGAGAAGGGGGGGGGGGAAACGCCCAGGCAGAATCTGAACCAAGGATGAGAGTTACCAGAGCGGGCCGTGAGAGGTGAGGCTAAAGATCACGTTGCGACGGGCCGAGTATAAAGTTCGGAGTGGATGACCGACAGAAATTTTCTGCTTTCCCGCGCTTAAGCGGAGAGCGGGCCATCCATGCGGAACTATTTTTCATTATGTATTTATTGAATTTCGATTAGTTTTAGCTCTAGTTTTGCGGTTTTAAAATGGCGCCATTTATAGACGCTAAAAACATGTTGGAAAAGTTGGAAGTATGTAACTGGTTGTACGGAGTACTCCGTACGAAGTTACACGATCTACATGATTGCTTAGGTACACTTCTGACTATGACGAAATGGCGTTATTCCCATGTGGTATATGGCTCAATGTGTGCAGCACGTTTCTCCGCGATATGTACTTTGCACCCTTTCTCAATAGTCAAAGTAATCAAATTCGGCAAGTAATTAAATGTCGAAGAAAGCGGAAAAATAAAAAGGCGGATCATATACTCCGTGCTGGCGGAAACAGATCGGAGGGGCAATCCGAGATCGCCCCGAAACAGGAAGTTCGCCTGAGACGCTTGCCGATATCCCCTTTTAACAACAATTATTGGCTAGTCCATCCGACGAGCCACCGGCGGACGACAGCCAGTGATTTGCGATCGTGACTTCCGAGCCGTTGATCGAGAATATTAACCATAATGATATTAGCCTCGACACTGGTATACCTCTTGCAGCCAGTCCGGGGAGAAAAGAAAGGAGATAGTGTGGACCTACTTCATATAATATCCCAGAAGGGATAGCTCTATCACTACTTAGTATTACCTCGATCAGGACAATGTTGCGCAATATCCAATGTTGCTGACCTACTTAGATCGATCTACCTGACACAAATTACTGATGCATCAAGAGCTGACGTGCCCGGGATTGCAAGAAGAAACCGGAATGGCATCACCGCACCCGCGTCTTCAAGCCCGATACAGATACAAAACACAGGCCATGGCGTGATCAATTCCCTCAGCTCACTATAGAGCTCCGAGGAAACATTTACTATGTTCGGCTCCATAGTGGGTGAGTCAGGGATCATAACCCGACGCACGAGCCCAAACAAGCCGCAATTCTTCAAGCTCCCTGCATGCACACAACGTGTCTGTGCTGCAGCTCCAGTACCTGGGCACCCTGCGCGCGAGGCCGATGCTTATAGGTGAGTGTGAGCGGTTAACTGCTGATGATGCTGTTGCTGTTAGGTAATTAGTGTGCGCAGCGGGGATGGTGATTCGTCAGGGGGTGCACCTTGTGAGCACGGAGCATATCTTGACAGTAGAAGGGCTAGAACCTTTTGTTTTGGATGTTGATCATTTATATATCGTACTTTATGTTGTATATGCTGCTATTTTGATAACTTCACTTCTGTTGCTCTTATTCTTTTCTAAGGAGGTTTCACAGATCTCGCAATTACTGAGATCCCCCGCAAAATGCAAGCCTTGCAGTGCGGGGTAGGGGCGGACAGGATAGGCGAGCGCCGTGGCCTCGAGAAGGGAATGCGTACCTCCTAAGCGTAAGTCCACTTTTATAGATCAGACGACTGAACGACTAGTCCGTAGTTTTCAGGCGGTCAAGTGAAAAAAAAAAGAAAAGAAAAGAAAAAAAAGAAAGAAAAATTTTCCGGGTGGAGCTCCGCGAAGGGTCCTTTTCCATCGCGTTTTGTTGTCCCGATGCGGAAAGGCGGACTTTTATTTAGGGAGGCGCTAGTCGAAGATCCTCTAGAAGAGATGATGGCCGGTATGGTAATGGCCCAGTATGGTATTGGTTTGTCATTTACCTGGGTCTGGACAACTCCACTTTGCAGCCCATTACAATCATTCTACGCCATCACGCCACGTGATGGCTTAGTTTAACCTTGGATCCGTTGTAAATTGTATAGCTCTGTATTGGACGAAGAACCCGGAGTATTAACAGGATGAATGAATATTCTAGAAACTGGAAAGGCAGTAATGAAATAGTACAATGTAATGATGTCTGCAGGTCATGTCACTTCCAAGATCAAGATGCTGGGAGTCACACCTCATCGGACACATCTCCGTGTGTCCTATAGGACCATGAAGTGCTGGATAATCTAAAGCCGGGGTATCTTCCAAGGTTCCTTATAACACAAGTACGGACGATCCTATTATTGGTCACATTGGCCACATTTGGCTATATAGCGAGGTCTCAAGCCTGTAGATAGATTGAACCCCGCTGGCAAACTTCACATGCTACATAAGCAAAGTCCAATGCAGTCTGTATACCAAGCCGAGTAGACCATCGCAGAACCTATCCGACCGGTTAAGCCGAACCGGTACGGAGTATATACATCGTGGGTACGTGAGTCATTGCGCACGGTCGTTCTACGCTAGGGCTGGAGCCAACAGTGGCATCATGTGCTCCCATTGATTGCCCTGATGGGCTCTAGCCTGGAATTTATTGATGGTTCCTTCGTGATCGAAGCATGATGCCGACACTATTATTTGAGATGTGGGGTAGATGCAGACAAGTCAGGCGATGGCAGATTCTCGAGAGATATGTACATAGTTTATATATCATTCAACGTATATTCCAACATTGGAATACATCGTACAGTACAACATAGTCAATCTAACAATAAAAGTTTGGGATCTTTGTCTCGGCATCAGACCCGCTACCCGACATGTAAGATGAGACGATGCCATGTTTTAATGAGGTGTCCACAGGTAGAATTGCGACTTGGCAGAATAGGATGATCTCAGAATAACAAACAATTCTATCGAAAATAGGACCTTGGAGGGGTAAGATCACGAATGCAGTGTATTTTTGGATGTCATTGCAGTGTATGTGTACTGTCAGACCCCACTATGACGCTGTGTCACGCCCCACTTGCTAATTTTTCCTTTCTTTTTTTATTTTTCTAATTGAATGCGCCGGTACCTGGCAAGTGGGAACAGCAAAGAGGAAAAAGAAAAAAGAAAAAAGAAAATTCAGTTTTTTGGTTTCATTTTTTAGTTTTCCACGGGTTCAGTGAATTAGCACATGATTGTTCTTGCCATTCAAAAGCGGCGGGCTGCGCACTTAACATTGAATTTCGTCTGCAGATCATCTTCCCCTACATACTTCTAGGGACTCATATTATGTGTTGGATTGCTTCGTCGGCTTCTCAATTATTCCACCACCGTACTGCTTCTTGAACATACAAATCCTATCTCATCCTCTAATTGAGCGTCTACAATATAATCGAGAGCCAATATGCCGGGCCGCCTAATCCCCAATCTGATTAGGAACGCAAGTTCACTACATTCCTCCGTCACCTCAACTCCTAACCACTCCAACAACTCCTCAACCGTCTCCGTCAATGAAATCCCCGGACATGCGAAGAAGCCAGCCCACAAGTCAGAGCGCGCACGATCCCCCGAACGCCGTCTATCCTTCTCCATGGATCACTTGATTCACCCTCTCCGGGACCATAGCAAAGAGAAGCGCCGCAGTTTGGGCCGCGCAGGACGTTCCAAGGAACGCTCCAGCCATGAAGTGCACCCGCCAGCGGCGAAGCTGGATGTCTTGATCGAGTCACCGCCACTGGTTTGCTATGGCCCACCTGCCAGCTCTACTGGCGCGCTGTTCTCTGGACGTTTGCGCATCGGAGTCTCTGAATTGACTGGCGGAGTTATCTTGAGCCAGTTTGATGTACGCCTCATCTCCAAGACAAGCACCAAGAAGCCTGTCTCGAATCACTGCTCCAACTGCGCTACTCGCACCGAAGAGTTGACCCAGTGGAACTTCATCACCGAGGACCTTCACCTCAATAGTGGGGACCACGACTTCCCTTTCAGCTACTTGTTCCCTGGCCACCTTCCTGCTTCTTGCAATGGCGTGCTGGGCCAGGTCGAATACTTCCTGCTGGCGCATGCGCAAAGCGTCACTGGAGAGGAATACAGCCTCAAGCTGCCTCTGGACATTAGTCGTTCTCTGCTTCCCGGGCCAGACAAGTCCTCCATCCGCATCTTTCCTCCAACTAACCTCACTGGCCGCATTGTGCTGCCTTCCGTCGTTTACCCCATCGGACACTTCCCTGTAGAGATGACCTTGAGCGGCGTGGTCGACAAGGGCGAAAAAAACCCAGACCCGCTGGCGTCTTCGAAAGATGATGTGGCGCATTGAGGAGCAACAGAAGATTGTGTCCACTGCATGCCAGAAGCACGCTCACAAGATTGGTGGCGAGGGCAAAGGTGTTTTGCACCAGGAGACTCGCGTTATCGGCCACAACGAGGAGAAAACCGGCTGGAAGACCGACTTTGACACCGCTGGCGGTGAGATCACCATGCAGTTCGATGCGAACATCAACCCGGCTGCCAACGCCGTCTGCGACATGGATGCCCCTGGCGGTTTGGAAGTCAAGCACAACCTTGTCATCGAGCTTATCGTGGCCGAGGAGTTCTGCCCTAATGGCAATACACGTCTAATTACTCCTACTGGTGCCGCGCGCGTGCTTCGCATGCAGTTCCACCTCCACGTTACCCAGCGTGGTGGTCTTGGCATTAGTTGGGATGAGGAGATGCCTCCAATCTATGAGGACGTCCCGGCCAGCCCTCCCTCTTACACCAAGCCCTCTGGCGCCCATAGTTTCATTGAGGACTACAACGGCTCTCCTCTCCCTGACTACGCAGACTTGGAGCGCATAGACTCCTTGCGATTGGACAGCAGTTCTACTCGCTCTTCCACCCTCTCCTCCAATCGATCTACTCATGGGTCTACGCACACCCGATTGCCGCGCTTTACCACCGAAGATCTCGTCACTGGGGAATCGCCTGCTCCCTCCCCTATTCCCTCGCGCGTCCCTTCTCGCGCCCCTTCGATTGACTCTTCCCGTCAATAAAACATCAAAAATATCGACATGTTTTAATCAGCTAAGCTGTCTTGATTATCGTTCTCCATTACGACTTAACGATTCCCATGATCAACCCAAAAATTCCCCAACCACAACGCCTTTTACGTTCTACCATAATTTCTCATCCCTCTTTCTTCATTCATGGAGTTGATCTTGTTCACTTGCCATTTTCGGTCCCATCTCAACAAAGGACCTCGTGATACCAGCGACAGAAAGAAAATCGGCCACGCAAATCAGTCGAGCTGCCACACGTTGTCCGGACGGGTCCTCTTCCAGCCAATTTTGCATGATACCCATTCACTTTTCTTCACCTGTGCATAATACTTTTTTCTCCCTCTTACTTCTTCTTCTTCTTCTTAATCTTACCTCTTGATGGAGTTGGTTATGGGCTCGCTTGCAAGATATCCACGTCTTACTCTTCCATTCGGTTTCCCAAGGCAGCTATTCTTTCGGATCTTGATTCATTGAAATTTCTCTACTCCTTGATAATCAATTCATGATCATGATCTATCAGATTTTTGATATAATCTCAGTAATTGGATCATCAATGTAAATGCATTTCAATTTCGAGCACTTCATGGTAGTCCCCTTGGCCTTTATGATCTGTTGGACGTTCTCGATATTCTGTTCTGCTGATCAATTTCTCCGATACTAATACATATATAGCTCTTGTTATGTACGTTGGATCCAATATATACAAAAGAGATAAACAACAGCAGCCACTCTATAGAAGCATCAAGAGCCCCTAAAATTCACCACCCCTTCCATGGAACCCACGTCTCCCTAACAATATCCTGTTCATCAACAACATAGTAAGCATAATGCATAGCAGCCGTAATACAAGCATGCTGAATATACAGCAAAACTTTATCCCCAACCACAAACGCAGCCTCCACCTTCTCTCCATCACTAGACTTCGACCCCGTCTTCTCAATAAGCCTGCGCGTCTGATCCGACTCCGTCCACCCCAGGATCCCATGTTCCTGCGACATCCGCACAACACTCCACTGGGGCCGATCGACGACAACCGCAAACCCGGGGAACTCTCCCGTCTCCTTCGAAAGTGCAATAGTCCCCGCATTGACGAGCGCCTCGTTGCGATCGGGATATACGCTGCAGACATCGGCGAGAATGCGCACCGCCTGTTGCGTCGGTTCCACAAGCGAGGTCGCTACTTGCTGGAGGTCGTTGGCCGGGTAGTTTCCTTGCGCCTATGTCAGTGTCTCTGCGATTCATGCGGTTGTCTGAGGTTTAGGTAGTTGCCACGGATCACAACATACCAGCATGTAACTCTAACTCCATCCCCTCTGGTAATGCGCCTTGGAGTCTCTTCACCACATGTGCTGTGGGTGTTGATCCCACAGACACAACGATCTGTCTATCATTTTTGCCATCTACCAGGACCTTGGCGGCTTCCACTACACCCTCGACTTCGGTCTGGAGTACAGCAGCGGCGGCATCCTCAGTGCGACATGCATATGAGTGCCCGGCATGGCAGTAGAAGCCGTAGACGGTGGCTGTAGACGACGACTCGATGCGCTGGATTAATCTTGGGAGGGATGGTGAGTGTGTGGTCATTCCGGCGCGCTGGGAGCCGACGTCGATCTTGATAAAGACGGGCCACGGTACTACGGGAGAAGATGATTTGGCAGCGTAGGATTCGAGGAGATCTATCTGCTGCTCGCTGTCGACCATAAGAATAATCTTCAGGGATTTGTTTAGAGCCTCGAGGAAGGGCAGTGCACTGGCTGAGACGGGTAGGCCGTACAGACACTGTTATGATTTTAGCTGATTCTCTTTCATTGTGAAAATAGTCAATGTGACTCACCTCGTCTATCTTGCCTTCCTTAACAAGATCCAACGATCCCCGAATCTCGGCTAGTGTCGATGCAACGATCCGACGGTGCATGCCGTCGCCCAGCATCATGCGCGTGACCTCGGTGCACTATAAGCCCAATGCAGTTAGTACAGTGCTTGCAAGCCAAGACTGCGTAGAATCGGTACCTTCAGGGTCTTGACATGGGGCCGAAACTCAATCCCCAACTGTTTGACATCTTCCAACAAGATCTGGGTGTTCCGCTCCAGCACCGGCTTACTTAGGATGAGAGCTGGGGTCGGAAGTTCCGAGACCGGACGGCCAATATAGGAAGCGTGGTTTTGTAGAGAATGATCCATCTTTGACTTAGCGGAGAGAACAGGGGTCTCAACGGCGGATTTATATGAGCCGAGTTGTGGGGTTTACTGATAAGAGGGCGTGGGGGCATGGGATGGTTTTGCGGGGATGATATGGGGGTCCCAAGGTTGTTACGTGAGAGGCATTTCTCTCGGTGGTTTGATAAAACTGCGAGGAAACTCGTATCTCATATAGCGAAGGCTTTTGCAGAACGTGTAGAATGGGCACCTTTGCAGGGATACCTTCGAATTGTATCACAGAAATTGCATGAACCCCCATGTCCATTCCTTTAAACATGCAGGGAAAGTTCACTCCTTGTAGCTGTTGCTTGATGATTTGCGATCCATTTATAAATACACACAAAAGAAATTCGTAATGGCCCGTGTGATCAAATTTTTTGCATTTTGTAGAGCTTGGCAAAGCAATGCTGTGGTGCCCGGTGGCTCATTGGGGGCGGTCATTTCGGAACCAATACCGACAGAAAGCCCTGAGACGGCAATTAGCTTTGTATGTTCAAGATCAAATTTAGGGCAACCACATAGAGTTACCTATAGGCCTTCTTGGCAAGTGACTTGACGATGGGCTTGACAACCTCGTCCATAACAAAACTGACAACATGCCAGGCGATGTAAAACCGGATAAATATCCATCCCCAGGCGTCAATTATGTACCCAGAATTTTCGAAAAGATATTTGTAGACTTGTTCGATGCACTCTTTGTCGTCTGGTGGGGACACGAGAGGACGTTTCTTGGTCAAATTCTACCACAAGACTCGTGAGGCTAGGTGATCGGCTATGAAGGCCTTAGCATAGTCCGCGAGGAAAGTGTTCGAAGATGACCAAGAAGAACTTACTATGAGGCAAGGAATATGAGACTGATCGGACAGAGTGGAAAGAAAAGCAAGACGAAGTCGGAGACAGTCATGATGTATCAGCAGGTGATGACGATGCCAAAGGGTGATGTCAAAGAGATGGAGCTGTCAAGAGATGAAGCTGTCTAAGAGGTGAAGCTGTCAAGAGGTGAAGCTGGCAAGAGGTTCTGGTTGACAGTAAACAGAAAGATTGGAAGGCACGTGTTCCTGCCATACCAGGGCTCTGAGCAAGTGCGACTTGACACCTGGGCATCTTCCCAGGTGCCTATAAGTGCGCTTGTTGACAAAACACAACCGAAAACCTTGGAAGGCAACAAAAGCCTGTGAGCAGCGTTGTGAAACTAAACGGGGGACGTTGAGTGTGAGACATATGTGACGCTCTATATTCGAATGCTTATCTTACTCGATGATTTTGGGGCTCACCTATATTTACCCTTGTAGACCTCATGGTCTTTTTGTTTGAAGTCTAAAGCTACATAGTCCTTACGCTGAGAACCAGTGAGCTAGTAGCAATAGCTAATTCAAATCGATCGTTTAATGGCAAGTTGTCCATTTGAAGGCCTTTTGCCTCATCTACGAGATTACATCTCAGTCTCCCCTTCTCTTTCCATTGGTCACTCTGGCTTATTCGCGAATGGTACTTTAGCTAGGGAATCCGCCTCTGTCTTCCATATTGCCTTGCCCAACTTCACGAGTTCCGGCCCGAAGTCCTCCAGCAATGTTTCTACGGACGATTCTTCGTCCAAAAGAACTTTGCCATACTCTTCATCGGAGCCAAACGTCGCCATCCGCCAGATTCTCTTCCACAGTTTGACCGCTTCGATAGCCTCTAGGCGTTGACTTTCAACGTTGGTAGCAACCATGTAGAAAGTCGATCGCTTGGTGTAAGATGACTTTGGCTTAAAAAGCCGAACTGACGAGATCTTATGAAACTTCCAAATGACGTTGACGGTGTTCCATGTTTCAAGTCTGTGAAGAAGAATGATCATGGTGCCACCAGGTCTAAGGTGCTGGAGACCCAGAGCGAGCTGCGTGATCGCCACTCTTCTTGCTCCCCGGCTCCCTCCATAGGGGGCTCTTGAATGTTGCCTCAACACCTGGCCGTCACATATGACCAAATCGAAAAGCCTACCTTCCTCAAGTTGCTGGGGTAGAAAGTTCTCAGTATCTTCATGGCCCTCGGGGATCTGGTCCACGCCCATATCGGCAGCAAGCATAGTCAAATCGAGAAATACTCGCTTGGTATTTAAGTTGCTTGCCAGACTAGTCTTATAACCTCCACAGGAGACAGGCAAGCTGAAAGCGAGAGCGCGTGCGCCTGGGTTCCTTTTCAATGCTATCTCGAGCAATGCACCTGGGGTCATGCACATGTCGAGAATGGCAGGTGGGGTTGAATCAACACTTTGGACTTTAAAGGCACTGGTGGCTTCGTCAAACTCGTGTGCGGTTGTACTCATAAACTTATGCAAGTAAGCAGCCCTATTTTCGACGGACTCATCCGCACTCCGAAGAACGGTCGTGGAGTATTCATTGCGCTCTGGGGCTTCCCATCCCTGCCAGTAGCATTGTCAGAATTATGTTTATGATATCCGAGGTCGGTATAATTAACCTGCTGTCTCATATCACTGAGATCTCGAAACTCTGGACTCTTTTCTAGCAGATAGGGTAGAACAGATCTGCTCTCTTCGGCAGGATATTCTGCAGGATCCTCAGTCAGATGAGGGTCGTAGAGTTGGCTACCAGGCAGGAGAGCTGGGAGTTCGAGCTGTGACAGAGTTGAATGAACTGCCATGGTTTGGCAACTAGACCTGATGTCATCCCAAAAAGGCTCAATATCAGGTGTGATGACAGGATGTGTTGGTGAAATAACACAAGTCAATCTTGGAGATGGTTCACAAATGCAATGTCTTTATGCGATATAGCGTACCTTCCATTATTTGCTTTGTTTGTCACATGTAATATTTCGAGATCCTGTTTGACATATCACTCGTGGGCATCGAATAGACTAGGAAGGGAATCTAAGCCAATTCTTTTTCTATTTTGCCAGAAACCAAGACCTCCCCGATATTAATGACTGAATAAACTGTCATGGGATTTTCACATATAGTCCCAATTATGACCGAAAAGCTTCTAATTAGCTGGACAGAGATGTTATACCTGGATAAGACAATACTATGATATTTCTTTCAAAGGTTTCTGGATGTCTTTCATGTTTAGACAAAGTGTATAAAATACTAAGTCACACAAGATACGTTGAAAACATATCTGTGTAATATTGTCTCTGCTATAAGTACCTAGGTAGCCAACAGTGTCTCCTGCCTCTTCCATCTATTCATGTTGCATAACACAACTTGATGTCTGTCTCGCAACCTTCACCTGGCAGTCAATATGCTTGAGGGATAGGACTGAGCAGAGCTATTCTGCAATACTAATGCCTCCATATTTGCCCTCATGGGTCAATGTCATCCCGTATCTCTGATGGCCCCATTTCACAAGTGGAAGTCAAAAATACCCTTACGATAGTCAGAGTTGACATCCTTGACCTGCTTGAATACTTCCAGATCGGCACCCCAAAGCAAAAATTCTTCCTTTCCAACTCATCCCGAGGTCCCCTCTCTCAATTACTCATCCGAACCTCACACATCCCTCATATTTGGTACAACTGCACGCCACGATCCAATTCCAACCGAACAATTATGGCAAAGCGTAAGAGAGCAGCAAGATCTAAGCCAAAGCAAGAAACAAAAGCATGACTGAGAGAAGCCACCAAAACACCGGCTTTAGTCCGATGTGGCATGCACCACACCCGAGAAGTGAGGTGACTGCGAGAAAGACATGAAAAGAAGAAACGCGCACAGCAATAAAAGGCTTCACAATGAACACCTTGAATAAACCAATCACAACTTGCCTAGTAGTCGACCGACCTCGGACTATGCCAACTGGGCGTCGACCCAAGTCACAAACGCAAAAGACAACAACGGTCAATGAATCCCACCAGCCGACGGGTACGAGGCGGCTGACCAGAACGTGTACATGGCGAGCAAGTACTTATCATCAATCGACAGAGCTAACATATCCTATCGACTGTTTTTGCTTTTGTTTTTGCTTTTCCGCTGGCTGGTTGGATGGGAGGGATGAGACTTTATCCCGGTCAACGGGTGTAAGACAGAAACATACTGATCTGTTCAACAAAGAGGTTTATTTGCCAATTTTTAGGTAATTTGATCGTGAGATCAAATAATAGTACCTGCGTGATGCGCTTTTAGTACATCTATAGAGGTAATACCATTAAAGAGCCGTGATTGGGTTAGGGTACTGCAGTAACCGAAGATGGAGCAGTCGACTGCGAGTAATTGGGATATTCGATGGAACCAGATCTAGCCTAATTAAAAGGGTTACGTGCCTAGAGACGAAAGCTGCGAATTTAATGTCATTAGCGTGATGAAGCTTGCATATATATTCTAGGTGGTCAATATACTTCGTCTGCCTGGATACAGCAGGCCAAGGGTACGAAAAGAAAAGCCTCTTGGGTTTCAATTTCGTCGATCGAGTCATTTGTATTTGTTTATCTGTTTTTGTGTGAGATCTCATGGATTCACATCGAGGAAGAGCAAAGACAAAGGAGAGTTGACAACAAGGAAAGCCGTAATTGAAAAGCGCTAAAGACGAGACAAGGATATTTCCAACTCCAAAATGAAAACTCCAAGAATGTTATACATGATAAAAATGCCCTCGCATGGGACTCCGGCGATGCAACAATGGGGAAAGAGGGAAATGAAAAGGGGAAATTCGCCATGCTATGTGGATGCGCATGAGAAAATAGGGGAATCATATTCCCTCGCCGCGGAGAAGGCGCCGAAGAATTCCTTCACCGGGACCAGCAATCTGGCTCTCAATTTCCTGCTGGGAAACAAAGCAGACAAGAGCCTGCTCGTCAAGGGCCTTATGCGGAGTCGACGGAGCATGGCCGGATTTTGAGGGTGTACGGCGCAGATCTGTGCCTCCTGCAACAGTCCCACCTCGGCCACGGCCCTGATATTCTCCAACCAAGCCCATTGTTTCCAAATTGCTGAGAACGTCTTTGAACTCGGTGGCAGTTAAGGGATGCAGAATGTTGTCATTGCGACACAGAGCACAATATGTATCAAATGCTTGCTTGATAGTGGGTGCCGATGTACGCGACTTGGAGGGCGTGCTTGGGATCTCGAATTGGCGGCGTTTGCGTTCAAGCGCAATCAGGGAGCAGATAGCAGCCTTTTGCTGCAGGTTCAGACTTTGCAGTCTTTGAACAGTGCCTTGACCGAAAGCTGCAGATGTGATGCGGGCAATGTGGGCGATGCTGGCTCGAGGTGCCGTGATGACTGTGTAGCTTGACATGGAAGTTGGCTTCGGAGCGCTGCCGACTTTGGCAGGCGAAGACAAATTGGTGTTCTCCCCTAATATCGAAACACTCTCAGACTCCTTGGCTTGCGTATCCAATTTCTGGAATGTTTCCTGTTCAATGACATCGATTGCCCGCTTAATCAACTCAAAGGCCTTGCGGAGATCGCCTGTCTGTGAGGCTACTTTCTTGGAGCAAAGTTGGATGGCGGCCGGTTGAACAAAGGGGACAAGCTTTGGGTCGGATTCTGCCCCAGCAGGGAGCAATGAGCGAAGACGATTGGTCATGACGTCTGCGATAGACGCAGCGCTGTACGGCAAGAACGGCAACAAGAGGGGCTTCAGGTTCTTCGCCTTTAGCTGGGGGAGCGAGCGGTCGGTCAAATCAAGGGCGTTAGCGATGCCAATTAGCATCAGCTTGGACTTGCTTTGCAATGACCACTCGAAAAGTGACTGCAAAACCCCTGAATCACCGTTGAGAAGATGGTCAATCTCGTCCAAAGTGACCAGGAACATATCCTGCCCTTTCTTGGATGGAACGAATATAGATTTGAGGCGATCCCCCTCGCTTTTCTTGAACATATCCGAGTCCTCGCAGAAATCTTGGATGAGCCTGCTGTAGACATCGCGAGAGATTCGCATGCTTGCACAGTTCACATGCGAGACCTTGATTTTAGAAAGGTCGAGATCTCCACACACTTCCTGGACCATGGCGCTCTTTCCGGTTCCAGGGGGACCGCTGATATAGAGGCACCCTCCTTTCCGAGACTCCACCCCATCTGTGATAAAAGATACCAATTTTTCCCGCTCCGCATCACGTCCCACTAAGCGGCCCGAATTGGAGCCTCGGGCGAACAGTTGCCTAGCTTGCGAATACACCGAGTTCACAATTTTCGGAGTGGCACTCTGTCTGGGGGGTCGGGGGCAGGTCGGCATGGCGGGGGGTGCGCGGTGTTATGGCCTTTGCTCCGACCTGCACTCGATGTCTAGGGGTGACGGGGGATTGTGGTAGATCGTCTCGGAATCGCGATTTGGAAGGTGTCTTGAATTCGAACTCAATGGGTTTCGCGATTTCTTCTGCACGTCCGATTAGCGCTGCCTCAGGCGCCACCCAAAATTTTCGACTTACCTTCCACCGGTTTCGAGACGGTGAAATGTGAATTGATCTTGACCGGAGATTTGAATTGGTCATCACGCAAGGTATGTTTCGAAGAAATATTCTCCGACACTGTCTTGCTCTCGCCATTTTCTTGGTCAGGTTGTTCTGCTTTCTTTACTGCTGACCTAGTTCGTCGTAATGAGGTTGGAACGGTATCTCGTTGGTGAGCTCGGGGAGCAACTGTTCGGCGCTTGCTCGCGGTTCGTACCGGCAATCCTAGGAAGGCGGGTTAGAATTTAAAGATAAGGAGCAGAGGAAAGTGGGATGGATGATCTTACCTGAGTCCACAGCACCATGAGTGCGCTTTCCTAAGATTGTTCCTGCCATGACTTGGAACACACAAGAAAACACAAGGTAGGAACAACAGACGCAGTTTCCGTAGGAGTTAAAGAGGAATGTTAGGAAAGAGGCCCAAAGCCCAGTTAGGAAGTGTAATTGGCAGCTCCACTATTGGGGGCTCGTTCGACGCGCTGGACGCGTCGCGCGTAGGGCTACGGCTGCGTATATCGACCACACGCGCACTTTTCAAGGCTTAGTCATCCGCGTCACTGGCCACCTGGGCACCTCAGGTGTCGATGATCGTCTCATGTGCATTTCGATTCGAGATGACGGAATTCTTTCAACCTACGTGAAGCTGCACGTTCTTTTTCTTTTTTTTATTTTGCCCTTCATTCTTGTCAACCTCTTTTGTGGGACCTGGTGATCTTCTGGTTTGCAGCGGTTTGCACCAAATCTCGCTCCCCACATAGCACAACCTCCGAGTCTTTGCCTCATTTCATACTACGCCTAAGCTTCCAGTGGGTATCCAAAGTCAATCCTTTCCAGCTTTCTTCTCTAATATTAAGATCTTCCTTAAGGGACCTTCTTTGACATACTGCCCACCATGGAGAATGACGTGGTAGCTCAGTTCACTGAAATTACCGGCTCCACGCCGGAGCTGGCTATACAGTACCTACAGATCACCGAGTTCCAAATCGAGCAGGCGATGCAGCTTTACTTTGAAAGTGGAGGTGCACCCTTGACTGGTGAACCTTCTCGGCCTTCGAATCGGTCTGGGATCCTAGACGATTCCGAGGTGGTGAATATTGACTCGGATACCGATGACGATACTCCCCAACACACCGCCCCACCAACGTTCGATGATGACGAAGCTATGGCACGACGCCTTCAGGAGCAAATGTATGGCGGGCCAGGTGGCCCAAATAATGAAGATGAAGTGAGAGCGCCGTTGGCGCGTACAACAGAGACTTTGGTAGGGCCCGGGGCGGACTATGACAGTGGTGAAGACATGCATGCCAATATTCTCAGCCAACTACGAGCTCGTGGAAGACCAGGTGGGTGTCATTTGTGTTTCTCAAACTTCCAATAACTTAACTTACACTTTCCTCTAGGTCGACCGGGGATCTTCAACCAACAAGAGTCATCGATATGGACGGGCGGCAATGAGGCTCGTCGCGAAGAACTCTCCGCCGCTACTGGGGGCGCATCTGAGGCATCATCCAAGTCCAACATGCTGGCCGAAATGTACCGCCCTCCCTTCGAAATCATGTCACGACTGCCTTGGGATGTGGCGCGCGAGGAAGGCAAGGACACCGAGAAATGGCTGCTTGTCAATGTCCAGGATGCATCAATCTTCGACTGTCAGGTTCTGAACCGCGATTTGTGGAAGGACCGCGGGGTGCAAGATACCGTCAAGGAACATTTCATTTTCCTGCAGTACTCGAAAGATGACCCCCGTGCGTCTGCCTACCTTCAATATTACTTCCAGGGAAGCGACGTCGCCGACAATTACCCCCACATTGCTATTGTCGACCCTCGGACTGGTGAACAAATGAAGGTCTGGTCCGGACCGCCTTTGGTCAAGCCTGCCGACTTTCTCATGCAGCTTCATGAATTCCTCGATCGCTACAGCTTGAACCACAATGTGCGCAACCCCGTCGCTAAGCGTAAATCTGACAAGAAAGATAAGAGCATCGATGCGATGACTGAAGAGGAAATGATGGAGATGGCAATGAGAAACAGTCTTGGGGGTGCAGCAGGAGTTGGTCAGACGGTCGAAGACCCTGATGAGTTGACGCGCAGTACAGATAGTGTTAAGGGCAAGGGCCGGGCTATCAGCGAGGAAGATGTCGTCATGGATGAACTGGAGCCAGCTGCCGAAACCTCCCCATTCGCACTAATTCCCAGCGACCGACCACACACTGAACCTGCTGCGGACCCGGCCACAACTACACGCATTCAGTTCCGACACCCATCTGGCAGAGTTATTCGGCGCTTTTCATTGTCGGACCCCGTTCAGAGAATCTATGAATGGCTCAAGGCCGATCCTCCCTTGGAAGACAAGGCTGGTGTCGAGTTTGACCTGAATAGTATGGGGCGCAATCTCATTGATCAACTTTCCACGAGCATTGCAGACGCGGGACTGAAGAATGGCACGGTGATGATTGGATATCTGGAAGAGTAATCCTCTTGATCTTTTGATCTTTCAATCTTACCATCGTGCTGCAATATTTTCTGAGATTTTGCAAGGCGTTGATGGAAATGAATTGGATCCCGTGGGATCTCACCTTTGTTCCCCGTCATTTCCGGGGATATCATTCAATCTACCAGGTTCTCCAGTTGTCGTTGCCAACCTTGAGACCTAGATGTGAGAGTATACATTACTACCAAAGCTTGGCTGGAAAGCATGCAATGAATCATGATAATGAAAATAGTATCAAATTAAGACAGAAACAAGTAATCATGAGTATGGAGGACAGCCGAGTTGAGTCCCAATATGCTCCCACTCGTATCCCCGTTTAAGAAAATGCAAAATTTATAGTTAGGAAGGTAGGACTTTGGGAAAGCCAACATTTGGATTTACACCCCAACTCTCAAAATCGAGTTCAATTGATGATCTGAAGGCCTTCCAAGCCTGAAACTCGAGTCTCAGATACATGTACGGAGTACAATCTGGTAATTGGACTCGGGAGAAGTAGATTCACCGCCCTCAGATAAGCAGCGGCAAAATAAGCCCCCCCGCGTCGATAAACAAGCAAGGGCAGCTCACGACATAGATATCCCTGAGAAGCCCGGGGAGTGAGATGAGTTGATCATGACGTGAAGGGCATGCCACAAATAATTCGGAATTCCATGACTACCCTCGCCGAGCCTGCTCTGATTGAACGACTGTCTTTGTTTACCAGTTGACATCTTATCAATTGTTAGCACCCAAACGAACCACGCCGTCTCTTCTCTTCCTTCTCTCCTTTCCAGTCCTGGAACCTTGCGGTCCTGAAAGACATTCCACAAATCTTATCAGTCGAATCAAGTTGATCAGATTGTAAACGTTATTTCTTTCTTCTCAGGCAACCATCCCCGAGTCCACTTTCAAGCACCGTCACGTACGGCCCGAACCCACACTCCATCCTTGTGATAGGCGACTGCTGGTTGTGGATCTGACAACCCATCGTTAGCCCCAACAGATTCAAGCTTGATTCATGTCCATTGTGGTCCTCCGGTGATTCGGATAAATCGCCAAAATGCCGCCTCCCATCGATCCGGAAACCATTTACACCAAACAAACTTGCATCGGTAGGGGTTTCAATCATTGCGGCTTGAGGGCCATGGATCACGAGGTTGCTGACCGTTTCGGGAATTTGTAGGTGGCGGAAGCTTCGGTAAGGTGTTTAAAGGGTAAGTCGGGAACCTCCTATATCAACGTCTGCGCTGGACAAGCAGCTGACCTAATTCGGATAATTAGTCTGGATAGACGTACTGGAGAATCAGTGGCTATAAAAATCATTGATGTCGAGAATGCTGAGGATGATGTCGACGATATTATCAAGGAGATTGCTATCTTGTCCGAGCTCAAGTCGCCCTATGTCACCAAGTACCATGGTTCATACTTGAAGGGATCCAACCTATGGATCATCATGGAGTTTTGTGCTGGTGGTAGTTGCCACGGCCTCCTACGACCTGGTGTGATCCACGAGGAATACATTGCCATTATCCTGAGGGAGCTTCTGCGCGGGCTGGACTACCTCCACAGTGACCAGAAGCTGCATCGGGACATCAAAGGTACGAAGAAGCCAATTTGGTCGGAACTGCGATGTTCTATAACTGACATTTTTGATTACAGCTGCCAACATTCTTCTCAGCGCGAGTGGCCAAGTTAAATTGGCGGACTTTGGCGTGTCGGGACAATTGTCTGCAACAATGACAAAGAAGAATACCTTCGTAGGCACTCCATTCTGGATGGCTCCTGAGGTTATCAAGCAATCTGGATACGACTATAAGGCTGATATCTGGTCCTTGGGTATCACGGCAATTGAACTGGCTTGTGGTGATCCTCCGTACGCCGACATCCACCCGATGAAAGTGCTGTTCTTGATTCCCAAGAACCCGCCCCCGACATTGGTAGGCGATTTTAGTAAGCCTTTCAAGCAGTTTGTTGAACTATGCTTGCGCCGAGACCCCAAGGAGCGGCCATCAGCTAAGGAACTCCTTGAGCATCCGTTTGTGAAGCGTGCCAAAAGAACAACCTACCTGACAGAACTCATTGAGCGCGCAGAGCGTTGGCAAATAACTCATCGGGGCCAAGATGACGAAGACGAATATGATGGGTATGATGATAGAGAAGCCGACCAAACAGCAAACGCCAGAACCCAGGAAAAGGAAGACCTTTGGGATTTCGGGACCGTTCGTCCTGTGGGAAAAGCATCTGCACCCCCGTTGCGCCCTATGAAAGACTCTGACAGCAATGCGCGAGCAAATGAGACAGAAGAGTGGGATCTGTGTGATGAGACTCCCCAACAAGCTACACAAGCTCAAGTGAACCCAGCAAACCCTGCTTGCAATGTTTCTCCCACAAAAACCCCTCTTCCTCCCTCTGCTCCATCTTCCCCTCTCAAGCAACGCCCCTCCCAGACCGCACTTCCTCCGCGCAAAGTTGTGTCTCCAGTGGCTAGCAAGCCCGCAGTAGAAAACCCTCCCGTGAGGGGATCGAACGAACAATACGCACAGGCAGCGACTCACTACGCTGGCAAACTTGATACTGCTTCTTCAGCCAAACCTAGCTCTGCGGTCAGTAACCAGGGCATTCCTGCCAAACAAATCTCCAGCATTCCCATTCACGACCAGTACCGCACCCCATCCGGTCAAATTGTACATAAGCAAGCTGCACTTTCTCGCACTGTTGCTGATTCTCTGGGACACCAGGCACAGTCTCCGCGCATCCCTCAAGCCGCTCTTCCAAGACATACAGATCCACTGCAACACGCGAAGCCAGTTTCTGGACTCAAGTCTAAGCGCGCACCAGCAAACATGGATGACCATGTTATGCCCCACCGCTCCGCACCCCCCCACCCCAACTTCCAGCGACCACAAGCGTCCGACCCGACCTCTCCCTGAGACTGAGCGGGCAACCGCCTGTGGGACTGTGATTCTCCCTGCCCTCCGCGCAGCCATGGACCGCCGCCGCAACCATCTCGTCCGTCTCGAACCCGGACGCAACCCCAACGACCCCCCGCCTACCCCAGAGCAAGAGAAGGACTTTGACCGCAGCGTTCGCATTCACCATGGTCTGGAGAAAGTTGCCGAAGATATCGCTCGAGCCTTTAACAGCCTCCACCACTGGGATATGGAGAGACCTGTCGATATGGGCGGTGGTGTTGATGCTGTTCTCGACGCGTTCCTCGAGGAGGTCCTCGTCCGATTGCAGCCCAGTACCGACGCGTAATTGATGCGTCTGAATTTTGTTTGAGTAGAAATGAGTGTTCTCGATGTTTCTAGGGCCGGTACTTTGCATGGTTTTACTCCTTGCTTTTTGTTTCTTGAGGCCTTGGTCTCCTTTTCTTTCATATATGTTACGTGTAGGAGTTAATACTTCTAAGGGAACTTTCATCTCCGCTCTCATTTCTTGCTCTCACTTGTATGACTATGTAAATGATTACTCTGATCTCGCTTGGCTCCCAGCAAAGGAGGGTCACTTATTGGGGCCTGTCTTAGAGGATCAATGCTGACACTGACCTTATCTGGTCTTTCCCTTCTTTTTCTCATTTTCAACGGCTGGCTATTCCCCATCACTGGGTATTTCAAGCTGCACGCTTTATTTACATAGAACGTCCAAATAATGCCATAGTGAGGTCTAGAAACAATCTCCATCCCTACAACCATGAATACATTCTTACAATATGTGTCCACTGTTGTTTTGAGGCTGCAATATTCTCACTTCATAGTCATTTTCATCCGTGTCTTCATCACCACTGAATTTACCATCGTCTTGGCCTCCATCCGTGGACAGTTCCATGCCCTGGTCACTTTCTCGTTTGTTGGACAGAAGTACCTTGACTTCAATTTGTTTGCAACCCTCTTCGGGGACTTTTTCCATACGTACTTCTTCCTATTCGCCATAGTCTGTAACATTTTTACCTAGTTTACAAGCTTGTCTAACACCTTTAAACTCATTGGGATTCCTAACTTCTTTCTTAATACTCTGGAGATGACATTGCATATGTACATGTACACGTGGACACTGTAGTGTTCTCAATGTTGCAGGTGTGCTAACTCTTTTAGAGTACTAAGGTTGTGGTAAGTGGGTCCGGTCACATTCATCCATGGATGAGGGATTTACATAAAGTTAAGGTTATTAGGGCTCCTCCTCCGCTTTCGCATGGCAGTGGCCAGGTGGGTTCCAAGGTTATAACCTTATCATATCTCGAATAAGATCTCAGCAGGGAGAACAGACATAATTCTGTGCCTTCTTTCCAATATTTTGGCAGTAGACTTGTCTGTTACATTACGTATCCACCGCTCCTTGCAAGGTGTCGTGGACTAGTTAGGACACCAGGGCACTATATAAAATATCATCGGCGGCGGGGTAAAAAAAAAAACAGATTCAGAGGCCTTTCTCACTTACTCTATGTTTATAAAAATACTTCCTTCCAATATGGGTTCTAGAATCACACCGTAAAACATAGAACCAGGTCATTTAAAAAGATATTTGATTCCTATGCTTGCCGAAGTCTCCTGCACACTCCAATGTGTCAGTTCTCCGGATACCCTGTTTTCGATTACCGGAGATCTCCAACCACAATGTCTGGTGATGAAAAAGAAGACACGCAGTTTCGAGTGAAATCTGGTCTTAGGTTCAGGGATTTCTCGCTCTAGAAATAGCACACTCGATGATCTCGATTTCAAACAATTTTACAGCTCTCACTTCTTATATATCGATCTTCCAAAGACTTCCACTCCTCAGGCGGCATTATATACTTGGCCTGACGGGTTATATTTTGGTCTAGCAAGTGCGTTGATCTGTCTCCTCTTAATACCCGGAATAGTTCAATACGCACAGTCTTGCAAGTTCCATCGTCCATCTTAGCATCAAAAAGTAGAAAGACTTGAGCCACCGGATAACACTTTAATTCCCCTCTGTATTTCCTCAGGATTATTACGCGAGGCGGATTTGCGGGACTTGTGTGTGGTTTGGTATCCATCAATCTGTCCACTTAGTATGAAATATTGGCAGGTAACAAGGTTGGAGACTGACTTCTGCAAAGAAAAGGAAGCCATACTGCCCAGGTATACTCAGCTAGCGGTTCTTCAGGAACGGTCGTGTACGGTTGGATGACATCAACCCTATAGACCGCAAGATTAAGGATAAGACAGGCCGGCTAGCAAAAGTGGGATATCGGGAATTGAATCTGTGCCGCTACAGGCAAGTTATGGAGAATGTGGGAACATTTTGAAAGCATTTACCTCTGCCACTATATCTTCCCTCGATGGAACGTCTTCACTCCGGCAGAAGGGCTCAATAGAAGGATTCCGACTAGTTCAAGAATATATGCTTAGTAGAAAGCAAACACCCAGGTAGTAGTGCATCGAACGCCCGCGGCATCAGGATATCAATATGCATGATTATATATTGCCTAAATCATACAAATGCCCGTATACTACCCTACCTGTCATCATTAGCAAGGGTTGTCCGACTTCAGAGCTTACTATTACTTGTGGCACGTGGAGATTACGGCCGTTGCGACGGACTCCAATGTCGATTGGCCAGGGAGATGCCAGGAACCACCAGGAGCGCAATATCGCAATGTTATCCACCACAATTGCGTTGCCGGTTATATGAAAGGGGCCTGTGTTTGGAAACCATTGGCCAATGCTAGATCTTTCCGTTCTTCCCTATTCTGTTCTTCTACGTGCTGTACCACCTACTGTGTTACCACCCTTCATGCTCCAGAAGATCATGGAATTCTCCCTCTTAGTTACAGTATAGAAGTTGGAGAGCGTGGCCTCCGCCCCAACGGTGATGGAAGTCGAGGGTGGCAGTACTCGCTCCTTCCTAAACCGCATGATCCTGTCAAGGAAGCTATGACGCTCAACGCTGATACTACAGCCAAGATAACCTTGGAACGTTGCATGCTTACATGTATGTACATATGCATGTGGCTAAAGCATACAAACCTTGAAAGGAACCCGGGTCAACTATATTTCCCTTCGTAACTCAGATGACGTGGGCTGTCATCCCACCTTGTCTTCGTCTGACATCCATCAGCTCAAACCAACCTTCAACCCTAACTAATCGCAACTTTTTACATGTGAATAATTCTATTCACAGGTTCATCCTATTCTCTACCCTTAATTTCGCATACCCGTGGCTGACTAGTGTCTTTTATCTAGACCATATGCGATCTTAATATCAAGATGATGAAAATCTCTGAATTTCAAGACAACGGCATCCCAGTGGATGACCTCGTGGATAATAAGGAGAAGCTAGAAGAAAAAGGCCAAAAAGGAGGTATGCTAATGGGAAAGCTCAATTTATTTATTCAAAACCTGCTCAACACTACTTAGACCGAAGAAGGTGTTGTTGTAGATCCGACCTGGATCAATCCCGGTCAGTTTCAATTGAGCGAGGATGTGCGCGCTGTCCTTTTGAAGAAGCAAAAGAAGCCAGGCTGTGTTAGGGTTGTAGCGAATCAAAAACCTACGAGATATACATTGACGGACAGCCTGAACGGTACCGTGCTAATCGCTGCAAAACGAGGGGAAATGATTATCAACCTAGGCAATGCTTCCGTTTCCGTCGTCGTCCAGGAACCATGAACGTATTGTTTAGGTCGGCTGCAAGCTCTTCAGATAATTGTACTTTTGCACTACATCCAATTCGTGAATAGATTTTGATATCATGTATGGCATGGCTCCGTACCAGGGCGAAGTTGCAAATATCGTAAAGCAGGACAACTTAGGCGATAGGTTTTAAGACAGTCGATAATCTTTGTGATCCCCGATTTTGGCACCGTTGTTGACCCATATGATCTTTCTAAACGCTACCAATGAAAGGGCGTTACACGGTTTTACTAAAACAGTAAGGTCAATCAAATAAGCCTCGCTATATATTAAGACCTTACATAGGAGCTCCGTTGGTCACGAATTGACAAAAAGGTGGAGGCTCAATGCATTTCCCAAGAGATGCTTATAATACATGGCGGAGATATACAACTACCGTGAAGGGGCATAAAGTTGGATAAGAAAAGGAAAGAACAACCGAAGAATGTAATTCAAGGTCTGTCACTTACTCGCAAACGAGAGATGAAAGACATCATAAGAGACGGGAAATGAGAATACCGTCCACGGGTTGTACTAGTACTTAGTAAAAAGCCGGTATGTGTCCTAGAAGGTTTCTCCCAGATGGAAGCTACCATGAGGCTATCCATGGATCGCGAAGGTGCGACGTATCCACTTGCGAGTATAACCCCCCCCCCGCTTCTCTTCCCCTCCTCCATTTCCTTTTTTTTCTCATCCTCGAAAGACTTGCGAAGAGATATATACAAGACATGTGAAAAGGCTCTTAATAGGAATTAATTGAATAATTGAAGATCACCATAGTAGTAGTCAATAACAGGACGGAATTCCTCTTAGAACCTGTTCGAAAGCACAAGCACACCTGTCCCAGTCCACTAGCTCTGTTCTCAGACACATTCTAGGTGACGAATGTCCATGGCTGATTTCTTTCTCTCTTTGGTGCATTCCTCCCATGTCTAGGCTGCTGCGAGACTGCGAAAAAGTGGATGTAATTCTCTGAAAACGAGATAACTTCCTCTTTGACTTCCCACGGACGTTTGATGCTTGACTCAAATTGTCGGAGGGAGGATTCAATGGGCTGAACGGCAAAGGTGTAGCCGGTGGAAGGACGTGGATCGGCAACTGATTTGTGTTGAGATACTAACTGACGAGCGGATTTTCTATCCAACATAGCGGAAGCACAGAATGCTGAATGAAACCGATCTCACCGAAAGAGGCCGCGAGGACGAGGATGCAAAATCCATCCATAAAGGGCCGTGGAGTAAGAAGAATCCCCCATGAAGGGGTTATTAGATCTATTACGGTAGAACGCGGCACCGATTATCTTAGCATTTGCTCCTATCCGCTATACCATTTTCCTTCATTGCGTGCTTTGTGAAATCCAGACACGTCTCAGCGTCTGGAAAAGCAAAGAAGCCAAGGCGCACTCAATATCCAGCGCAGAATCCAAGTGGGTGATAGGCCTTCTTTTTCGAGTTTACAGAATATTCGGCATTCCAGAGCATGTGTTCTCCATCGGACTCGGTCTTGACTTGACTTCCGTGTTTGCGAGATGAATTTCTTTGTCGGTCTTCAGGCAAGAAGCGACTAAAAAATTGCACATGCGAAGAGCAGGTAGTGCCTCTAGGATGGTCGAAACAGCCAATCCGTCTCCGGGGTCGGAATCAAGTAGTTGGTGATGTTGAATTCATTCGCATTGGAGGGATGTCCACCGTCATCCACTGATCCAGTTGGAGGCGCGGGGCCAGCGTCCGTCAATCCATGAATTGACATTGGATTTGGTACAGGCTCTGTGATTTCCAAATGAGATGGGGTAGAAGTAGTCAGGTCAGGAGCCCGAGCAAGAGGAACACGGGGAACATTGAAGAAACCAAACACATCAAGGTACTCGAGTTCGTTGGGGGCGAGGTTGCGGGTGGGCATTGTCGGGAAGGGCGGCCGGGGCTGGTGACTCTCACCAATACCATTATCGGCGGGTGATTCGCGTGGTTGACGCGAGATCAAAAAGTCCAGGTCGAATGCACAGCGACGCATATCGGCGAGAATCTTGACCGTTGATGGTGTGGATCGTTCGCCGTCTATGGCAGTGGATTGCTGATACTCGTTGTACTCGTCTAGGACCCGTTGAAGGATGCTGCTGTATCGCTCGGCGACTTTCCAGTATTTTCCTAACTGGAATAGAGTATCCACGAAAAAGACGATATCGGGGCTGACGGTATGTGCAATGGTTGAGCCGTGAACAAGGAGTAGGCGTGCTGAGACCCAGAGAGTGAAAGCGAAGGGCGGACCCATCTTGTCTAGCATGTTGTGCTCCACAACAAACCTTGTTACTGATAGAATGTTTTCCACAGCTAGTAGACATCGCTGGCTGGCACTATATGAGGGCATGAAGATTGGGGATCGGGTTGTCGGGTATGCTGCTGAGGAGTGCAGACGAATTACAGCTCTATAGTAATTGACCCGTTAGTTGCTTGGAACAACAATAAAGGCGCGGCGCGCTCACGTTTGATAAGTTGCATGCAATTGCACCCAATCGCTGTGCAAAGCACGGCCATTCTTGGGCCCACTGAAGAGTCGGGATGAGTTTTCGCAGGCATATTCCGCTGGGAGATTGAACTCCCACGACGTGAGCTCGCTGTCCAGTTTGCGATAGGTAGCCTGCCATTCCGCGACATCGGAGAGAGCGCCGATATCCACAGGCCGTTTCAAGAACAGGTGAATCCGCGAGAGGATACCCAAGATTTCAACATAGAGACCGAAAGAACCAACGTTTTCAGCTTTACTGAGATAATCTGCACGGTCACTGGAGCATTGGAACCACCGCGTCTCAACCGGTTGATTCTTCATAAAATAATCATCCTTGCAAGGGAGTTTGCGGTCGATATCTCTGTCATCCAAGGCGAAATTGAACGCAGTCGCCAGGGTGGAATATCGGTCCAGCAAGTAGACCATCCAGAACAAACGACGTCTGCTCTCATCTTCAATCCACGAATCTGGCTCTGAAAGAGTGACAGCTCTTAGAGTATAGATTGACGGGTAGAGGGGGTTGATAAGAGAAGACTTTGCTTCCACAGCCAACCCTAGCTGAACTACAGATCGGGTAATCAGGGCAAGTAGCTTCCAACCCGGTGGGCCATTGGAAGATCCGACCAAATCAAGAGCTAAAATCACGAGTGCCTGAAGTGCCTTGACGGAAGAATTTTCCAAGCCATACAGGACGACCTTTTGTTTAGACGAGTCGTGATAACGCTTTCTGTTCTGGTCATTAAGCCTGCTGTCGGAGGAAAAACGCAGCGTTGTTGCCACAATTGCATACAGCACTATTCGGTCTGCCTCGTCTAGTGGCGAAGGGCCAAAGAAGGTATCTAGGGTTGTTCGCCGGTGGAGGATCGGGCACCAGGAATTGATATGTTCGAAATAGAGATCTACCAAAGCATAGAGCAAATCATATGGTGGCAGATCTAGATCAGGATTAGTAAGAGATTGCTCTTGGTTTGAGTATATGCTGACGGGAATCTTCAAAGACGATTCGTTTCCTGTGTAATCATGAGGTACGTTTTGGTCATGTAACAGCTGGTCAACTGGCGCCGTTGACATGTCGTGTTGCAGATGATTATGTGAGGAATTCTTCACAGAGCCATCTGATGGGCTGTTGGTGGACACGTCCGCACGGCGTGAAGGTAGAGTGACAGAAGACCCAGGGTCGTTGAAGTAAAGAGCCGTACTAGGACTAGGGCCATGGACTGCTGAAGGCTCTGATGGAGAGCTATATGAAAGACGCCCAGCGTGGGGTAACTCGTGGCCCATTGAAGGCTGACTTTGCAGCATATGCATCTCGATAAGCCGAGCTTGTGATTGGATAATATCTTCTAATCGATCTGATGTACGAGTGAGCTATGAAATAGATGACGAGTAGACTGTAGCAACTTACCAAGTCTTTGTTCTAGCTCCTTTCCATATCCAGCTCTCAGCCCAGGCTTCTTTCGTTCCCTATATTCGCATAGCTGGCCATTTCGGGTACACCAGCCACAGCTCGGTTGTACTCGGTCTGGGGTGGTCAGTATTAGAAACGAAACATTTGCCTAGGACCTTTTTACACCATACCGCATTTAACCTTTCGCTGCTTGCATAATTCACATCTTGGTAGGGTTAGTCGAAGTTACATTCCATACATGGGTAGCCAGGGCGATTCAGGTACGCACGAGACAGTGAGGGGGCGTTTTCGCTTCAAGGCTCTTGTGGAGCCATTGAGTCCAACATGGTCGTTATCAGAATCCGAAGAATACTCTGCACTCTGATCTCGGTTCGGATCACCGAATTGCTGATTGGAGGATGGGGTCTCCTGTGCGGGAAGCGCAGTGTTCGGCATTTTGATTTAGCGAGATAGCAATTCGCCCTATCAGGGACCGAGCATGATGCAAGGCCGATTCACAGTGTGAGGTCCAAACAGGCTGGGGTCGCCTTGTATATTGTTATAAAATAGACCGAGCCTTTGGGAAGCTCTCCGCAATAGTTTTGAACCCGAGGGAAGGAGAAAGAAGGAACAGAAATGGTCGGACTTGTGGAGCTAAGGCCTCAGGCAGAAACCGGGGCACCCCCGCATTCTCCGCTTTTGGAATCCCCTGATTTGACTTGGATCTCTTCGGTTGCTTCGATTTCTTCTGCACCTTCGATTTCTTTGATATTTTCGAATTTTAATTCTGACAAGATATCATTTGGAAAGGGCCAGCAGGCACTCTACATCATAAAAGGGAGTGCAAACAGTTCAACAGAAATCCGTGGTCAATACCAGTCCCCACAGGAGAGTTGCAAGTCTTTGCCAAATATAACCTCTGACTACCATAAACCTACCATAAACCCATTACTTTAAAGAGTATCATAGCTCAAGACCTACCTAGGTAGGTACATGCATGAGCGTTGGGTACCTTTGCCTTGGCTCCTATTCGCTAACTTTACAGACCCGTGGACAGTCCCATACCCTCATTATGTACATATCAAGCTGTTCATTCAAATGAAGATTGAAAGCTGCTAACTCTTTTGAAACATTTTTAGCCCAATACTGCCAAAGTGTCACTGTAGTCTACTCGGAGACGGGGAAAGGGGATCAGTGTCATTACACCTTCCTCACAACTAACAACAGGCGAGTTTTCGGGGCTTTATCAAACTGATAGATTTACTGAACTATTAGAAGGCATAATCTATAGCTTTTCATTTATTATTCGTTTGTGAGGTTCTTTCAATATATGCATATTGATACGTATATATTGATTTGAGTGCCTCTACACCCCGCTCTATATCGACGATGAAGATATATCACCAGATCTATATGTGGTAATCTATAGAGACTTATATTCTGTACCATAGATATTATGAGTACATACAAATACGGAGACCTTCTTGCAAAGAATAAAATCGTGCATTAATCGTTGGGAGTAATCCCGAGGTCATGAGAATTGCCCAAATGTGTACAACATCCCTCGGTGTTCAAGGCTTTGAAATTTGAGAACTATAACCCATGGATTTTCGTAGAATTTCGAGACCTTTTTTATCCGGCCCACCTATACGTAGCTTGACAATGAAATAATATATGTTGCCGCAACAAATTCTCCGAGTCGCCGTTTGTCCGTCCCTCGGGGTAGCGATGCCCCGAGCTCTCCTCGGCATGTGGAATTCGTTGAAATAGATGCCAATCCCCCGCAACTGTTGGATTTCTGCTTTATTTCTCTTCTTCTATCTCCTCCTGTAGATAACTGAGTTCTTTTTCTCTTGAGGCTTGTTCATTTCATACATCATGGGTTCAACAACGGCGACAACGGAATTCCCCCGCATTAAGGAAGTCCGCACCTTCATCATTGATGGTGTTGGCTCTGGCGGTGATTACCACAATGTTAGAGCTTTGCAATATGATTTGTCTTAATATTTAACATGCTAACTATCGTCACAGGTCAAGGGAGGCCACTGGCTAGTCGACAGCAACATCTCTACCCCCATGACCAAGTGGGCACAATTCCGTGGGTCGCGAACATCATGGGGTATCAATGTTTTGGGATCATTCTGCGTGGAGATTGAGGCCACTGATGGTACCAAGGGGTTCGCGACTGGTTTCGGAGGTCCGCCTGCGTGCTGGCTGACCCAGCAACATTTCAACCGCTTCCTGGTTGGCGCGGGTATGTACACCATCTCACATACACATAGAGCAATGGATCTTTCTGACGGACTATGTTTTAACAGACCCCCGTGACACCAACGACCTCTTTGAGAAGATGTACCGCGCCTCGATGTTCTACGGCCGCAAGGGTCTGCCTGTCGCCGTGATCTCGGTTATTGATCTGGCTCTGTGGGATCTGCAGGGCAAGATCCGCAATGAGCCCGTCTACAAGCTAATCGGAGGTGCGACTCGTACCCGGTTGAACTTCTACTGCACCGGTCCCCAGCCTGGCTCCGCAAAGGCCGCCGGCTTCATCGGCGCCAAGGTGGCACTGCCACATGGTCCTGACGAGGGTACCGAGGGCCTTCTGAAAAACGTTGAATACCTGCGCCAGCAGCGCGAGAAAGTCGGCGCTAACTTCCCACTACGGGTGGACTGCTACATGTCTTTGACTGTCCCTTACACAATCCAACTAGTCAAGCGCTGTGAGGCTATTGGGCTCGACATTGACTGGTGGGAGGAGTGCCTCTCGCCCGATGACTTCGACGGCCATGCGCTCCTCAAGCGTGCCCACCCCACTGTTACCTTCACCACTGGCGAGCACGAGTACTCCCGCTATGGCTTCCGCAAGCTGATTGAGGGCCGCAACGTTGACATCCTCCAGCCCGATGTGATGTGGGTTGGTGGAATGACTGAGCTACTTAAGGTATCTGCCATGGCTGCTGCTTACGATCTCCCTGTTGTGCCCCATGCATCCGGTCCCTACTCGTACCACTTTGTCGTTTCTCAGTCCAACAGCCCCTTCCAAGAGTACCTTGCCAACTCTGCCGATGGCCACACCGTCGAGCCTGTGTTTGGTAACCTTTTCTTGAACGAGCCCATTCCTACCAAGGGCTACCTTGACGTCTCTGTTTTGGACAAGCCCGGATTCGGTCTGGAACTCAACCCTGCTGCTCCTCTGATTCCCGCTGCTGCTATCCTTACGCCGGCACCCCAGAAGTCCCTACGCGCACCCGACAACGAAGAGGCGGTCAATGGCAATGGTTCTGCGTAAATGCTGACCATTCGGCGGGATTATTTGCCATCTTCATGTCTTTTATCCATTTCATTTCTATCAGTTATCTACGCGCTACACGAGAATCATGTATATACACATCGGATAAAAAATAAATCCCATCCATTTTCATACCGATTATCATTTAAATGGTACAACGTTTGCCTCATCCTCCGTATATAAGCGGTATAAAAGCAATTTAACCGGTGCTACTTCAATGTCAATGGATAATTCGAACTCCGACAATATTGCCCCTCTCTACCTAGGTACCTAGGTATATTCTGCCGGAGTGGGGTTTCCCCACACTTGGGGTAACATCACCACGAAACCCCGAGCTTATCGAGAAATCACCCACTTCGCCCCAGGTGAGAATTTGTGAGAATTGCGAAGGACACCTCTACATTTGTAACATCCTCAATGGCTTTCCCACAGTTACTAGTTGGTAAAGTTGCCGCCATCACTGGTGGCCTCACAGGAATTGGACGGGTAGGATTTCTCATCTCCGAATTTGAATGGATTCAGAAAAGCAGAAAAGAAAAGCACACTAACTCCATTACAGGCAATTGCCCTTGATTACATCCGCCATGGAGCTAAAGTCTCCATCAGCCATCTCGGCGGCGCAAAGGAAGACACGCTGCTAGAAGCACTGCGCAAAGACGTGAACGAAATCGAGGCCGAAGCAGCGAACACCCGATTCCTCACAGTTCCCGGCGACATTTCGCAGCCGGAGACAGGTCAGAGCTTCGTCGCAAGGACCGTCGAGGCATTTGGTCGGCTAGATGTATTCGTCAGCAACGCAGGCGTGTGCCAGTTTGCTGAATTCCTAGAGTGAGCTATAACTTACCATTTCACCCCTCTTCTCCTCTAACGATCCCGCCAGACTCGAACCCTCCCTCTTAAACCACACTATTTCAACAAACCTCTCAGGCGCCTTCTATGCCACCCAAGCCGCCGCCCGCCAAATGGCACTGACCCAGTCGCCATCCGGCGGCTCCATCATCGGCGTTAGCTCCATCTCCGCTCTGGTTGGCGGCGCCCAGCAGACGCACTACACCCCCACCAAGGCCGGGGTGTTGAGTCTCATGCAGTCGTGTGCGTGTGCTCTCGGAAAGTATGGTATTCGGTGTAATGCGCTGCTGCCAGGGACTATCCGGACGCAGCTTAATGAGGAGGATATGAAGGACCCTGTTAAGCGGAGTTATATGGAGGGTCGGATTCCTCTGGGCCGACTGGGCCAACCGCGGGATCTGGCTGGGCCAGCTGTTTTCTTGGCTTGTGAGGAATTGAGTAGTTATGTGACTGGTGCGCAGCTACTGGTTGATGGTGGGTTATTTGTTAACCTGCAATGAGGATATGTACAGCTGTTTCTTTTCTTGGAAGTCTAAGCTATTTATTCATGAATATATGTACTTCAAGCTCAAATGACTTTCCATTTCTGTACTTCATAGTAATGGAATCTCTAGATCTCTATACCATAAGCATGCAAAGCAACAGATCCCCATACACCCCTCTTTTGTTCCTCAGATAATCCCCTCCGTTCCAAAACCTCCTCGACCACACGTCTCCATCTACCCCAAGAGACATCATTTCCACCGCCGCCAACATTGCACACCGGCCAGTCTGATCCAAACATGACACGGTCCGCCCCAAAAGCGTCAAAAACAACGTCAGTCCATGGCTGCACGCGTTCAACAATTGCCCCAAAATCTGGCACCGACTCCGCCTCTAACGGTAGAAGCTCCGAAAACGCCCCAGAAAGCTTCATATAAGTCCTAGGATTTGCCCTCGCCATCTTAGAGACAAGATCCTTCCACTCAAGGAACTCGGGATGAGAGCGAATATCATCCGACACCAAACGAAGGTGAGGCTTGCACAAATGGTCTGTAGCAGTCAGCAAGGAGAATCCAAGCAGGAACAACCAAAAGGAAAAGAAAAAAAGAGAGAGAGACATACTAATAACAATCGTAAGCGCCTCATCTCCCTCCAAACCCCCATAAACCAGCTCCATCATTTCAACCGCCTCCCTCAGTTGCCCCAACCCGCCAGACCTCGCATCAACCCCAAGATCAAAAACAAACCCCTTCCTCCCCAGCCACCTCAACCCCTCGACAAACCCATCTCCAAGCATAGTCCCGGCAACCTTATCCTGGACCAAATACCTAAACCCCCCTAACCTTCCCCCAAACTTCCTCCCCAGTCCGGGCACGGACCTGCTCCATATACGCGCTCAGCACATCCGGCCCGCCTGGCACAGGCGCCCACGGCACAATCCCCAGACAGAGCGTCTTATCGTGCGGGACGTGGCCCTCGCCTGGGATGGGTGTGCCGAGGGCTATGCGTGTTAAGAGGGAGACTTCGTCTAAGGCATGTCGCCAGCCGTGGTTGGGTGGGGTTGAGTCTGTGATTGAGGAGAGTCGGTCTGTTTCTAGGAATATGAAGCCCCGCAGAAGGGACGTGGCGTTGGATTGTGCTACTGCATGGCGGTATTCGTCCACGCTGTGTTGTGTGCCGAGTGGGTTGTTGGCGTTGTGCCAGGATAGGGTTTTTAGGTGCGTCGCTGGGAAGAGGTGGATGTGAGAGTCCACGATTGGGATTTGGTTTGTTGGCGTCATGGTTTAGGGTTATGTAGTTGAGTGTTCTCTTGTTTCGTTGCACTCGGCTCGGAGTGTTTTGGCTGTGGGGTTTAGTCAAGTTGCACTTTGCTTGAAAGATGCCGGGCGGATGCGGGGTTGGTTATTCATACAAATTACTTCTGGTGTCTGGCTCTGGTTTGTTCGAGACGTTCATAGACTAAACTAATATTTTCGGGGAGAACGTTCAAATCCTTGATTCATGGGAGCTAACGCTCGGTGGTTCTTGTCCCGAATCCAGGGCGTGGTGGAGACAGTAATTTCCGGCATTGTTAGCTATTGAATTCCACGTAAATTCTACAGAGCTACGCCAACAGAGAGTAATGCTATGTATAGGACAGAAAGAAATTCATATGCACGAGAAAGGATCAGGAGTATACATACACCAAGTGGATAATACCACAAGGGCAACAAAGGGAATGCATCAAGGAACATAAGAGGAAAATCACAGTAGCAGTAACAGAGGCAAGGTAGAAAGGATGTGAACAAACCCCCTCTGCGGTAACACAGCAGAAGGGACAGGGTATGTATGTATGCATGCATGCCTCCTCGTAGGCATGCAGTAAAAGTTCAAGTTCAAAAAAAAGAAAAACAAAAGACAAGAAAAAGTAAAGGTGATGTTCCAAATTGCAACTCGCCAGGTCGTCTTCACCATGATCAGGGAGCAAGGAAGATGTGAATGGGATGCGATGCAATGATGCATGTTTTCCCCCAGCACGCCGATGCGCTGCTCCCAGTTTGATCTATACAAGGTTTCCTCTGCATCCACAAATCATCAAAAGCTAGTCATCCATAGGCTTGTCTTCCAGAGTGACTCTGTTGGGTTCACTTTCAGCGATGCTGCTTCGGTTGCTGTCAGTGCCAGTACTGGCACCAACAGCCGAGCCAGTGGGGAAGCTCGACAAGCTACCAAGGCCTGGCTTACGACTGGACCGAGCGCCAGAAGAGCGGGACATAGAACTCCGCTTCTCGAATTCAGCGGACGCTGCAGCCGGAGTAGGCGTAGGAGTTGGTGAGCCATCGGATGCAGTTTCTGGAAGAGGAACAGGAGGGGGACTAGGGGAGCTCGAGTGGGTGCTGGCGCTGGCAGCAGCCGAGGCCGGGGACTCAGTATACGTGCCATTAGTAACATTGCCAACAGTCTCAGCAACTTGGGTGTTCACAGTAGGAGCATCCTCAGATCCGGCCTGGGGAGGCTTGCTGGCTGGTACATCCAGACTAGTACCACGGGTGGATCTGCGGTCTGAAGGGCTGTTAACGTTGATCGGGAACCGGCCAATCTCCGAAGCACCGCTCGAGCGGTCACGTCGATGCCGTTGGCGATTGGCGGGACTGGTTGCCCGGCTGCGGTTGACAATGGCGCGTTGGCGGGCCTCCATCGCCGCGCGGCGGTTACTCTCATCCGTGCTAATGGCGCGTGGACGGTTGGAGCTGGAGCTGGTAATTCCGAGCGCGCTCGATTGGCGCTTAAGTTCGCCAAAGATAGAGTCCTTATGAGCAAACAGATCGCGGATCAAGCGATAGCTGTGGCGTTCGTTCATCGTCAAAGTGTTCTCTATGCGAGGACGGAGAGAATACAAGGGAAAAGGCCTGTGCCAGCAGAGCAATGTATTCTTCGTCGGCCGAGGTCAAATCAATCAGGCGCGTGAAGTGAGTCATAATGGCATCAAGCGTAGCGATATTGACAAGGCGGAGTTGTCCAAGGGTGCTTTGCAGAACCTTGATCCGTCCTTCTTCGGTGGTCTCATGAGCAGTGGTAGAATAAATCGTCTTCACGATCTCGTAAACTTGCGAGGAAACCAATGAGTCTATCCGGGTATTAGCATAAACATGGACCAAGCCACCAAGAGAGCGACGAACCTGGCAATTCGAGAAGGTACAATCTTAAAACGCTCGCAATAACTGGGATTTCGAACTGAGGCAACACTTCGGCATAATCAGCCTTGCTGTTGTTCAGAGCTTGACGAAGCTTGTGCGTCGTGCTTAGATCAACTTCGATTAGCCAGATCATTCGCCGCGTTTCATCGCCTTCAAGTTCAGGGTAGCCTGTGGGATTTGTGAGCCTTAACTCATGAATTCGAATGTACGTATTCCGCGGATTTCTTACGATTATCTAGGTATGTCAGAATAGTGGTCACCAGGATCGGAACACGTTTGCGGTCGGCACGGGCTCTAGCTTCGAGGTCGACACCGAAGTTTTGTTCTGATGGAAATTAAAATTAGCGACGTTTCATCATTGCACAATCACCGTGGCTGTACCTTCAACGGAGCCATAGTAGTTCTCGCATGTTGGATCTTGGGTACGAATCCACCAGTACGGTAGTTCTCCAGCAGATATCTCAAGTCACCGAGGGGCTGAATTGTTTCCTGATATAACATCATATGATCCACTGTGCTCTGCAGGTTGGGAATGACATTGCTGATCGCGCCCGAGAAATCAAGAACCACCGCTTTGATGGCCTTGAGGCGGTCCAGCTCGCACTGCTCCATGTATTTGAGCTGGCCAATGACTTCTTCCTCCAGACGGCAGCGGATCTGGTCAAGCTTACGAACAGCAACTTTGTACCGTTCATCCGCTTCCAAAGCCTCCCTCCGGAGTTTCTCTGAAGGTGTCTCGTTCGGGTAAGGGTTGTTGAGAGGATTCCAGCCAGATAGCATTTCAGAGACAGATGCAATAGGCGAGTCGCTGCCGCTGCCGTCCTCGCTTGATGCCGCTGAGGTGACACGCATGAGAGGCTTCTTTTTTTCCGGGATACCGGTGATTTGGAAAACTTTGGGACGCCACTGATAGTTCATCTTGGAGCTATTGGCAAACACATTGCCCATATTTCCAACCAAGCGAAGAAGACCATTGTCTACCATATCCTGACCAATTATCTCCACTTGAGCGAGATTATCAGCCTCCATGTAAGTTTGGATATATTGCGCGATATCCGCGCCAGTGGAAACATTCTGATAGGTACCGATAATGGGGACCTTCGCCTCGCCAAGCTTGATGTTATCAAGCATATGGGTGAGGAGCTTTTTGAGGTGGTCTGGCGGGAATATCCGCTCACCCAACTCGACGGGGTCTTCCTCTGGCTCTTCCTCGGTGGGGAGAACGATCTTCGGGGGGAGCTTTGATCTTGGGGCTCGACTCAGGGTCTTGGAAAGCAAGTTTGTTCTCTTCTTCCAGGTCCTCAACGACACGACACTTGTTGAAGTAAGTACTGCGCAACTTCTTTACCAACTCCGCCTGCTTGGTGTGTTCCTTGATGCGGGATTGGAGGAGGTCGTGCGAATACTGAACACGCATATCGTGCTGCTCGCCCCATCGCCGGAAGGGCGATACAACCAATTCACGGATATTGTTGGCAATCTTTTGGTGGTTCTTGGAGGCCTCAACCATCTCGGTACGGATTCCTTCGTATGCCTATAACGAGGTTCGCGCGATGTTAGTCTTCCTTCACTCCGGTACATTCTAGGCGTTTGAAACAAACCTTTCTGACACTGGCACCGTCATCCTTGCCGAATCCCGCCGGAGTCAACCTGTCCACGCTCGGGGCAATCTCTCCCATGCGGAGACCATACTGCTCTTCTGCATCTGCACGCATGGACGCAATGGCCAATATCTGCTTGTTTTCCACAACGCCCTGCTGCAGCTTCCCGTACAATACCCCCCAGACCCGAAGCATAGTCGGGGGTCCAGAAAGAGTCCGCGAAACCGGGCATTATCGCGGCGGCTAAAAGGCTGATTCAGGCCGTCAAGCGGAGACACGTTATGATCGGCGTGAGAAGGGAAAGCGACCCGGTAGCTGACACCGGTGAGTTCGTATGTTCGGAGGAAAATGGGAATCGTAAAAGCGTGGAGAAAACGCGAAACCGAGAGTCAATCGGAAATAATTGATGTTGAGCGGCTACTGAGGCACAGTGTGTGCGATAAGGCCAAGGACACCGAGGGAAGACCGACTGGCTTGGTTGTCAATTCAATATCCAGTCTTGACGCTGGATGGAACTGCGCATAGACCGAGACACCAATGACGAAGCAGGGAAGATCACTTTGGAATGCAAGAGAAGAAAGTGCGCAGGGTGTTAAGCGCCGGATCGCGGAAAAATTCGAGGCTAAAATGAGCGAAAGCCAGGCTAAGCAAATTGCGATGCAAGTCGGCAGGAAGCTGGCAACAAAAACAAAGAAAGACAGAAATGGGAAAGATGAAGATGGAGACGGAGTAGATGGAGTTATGGATTTCCAGATCGCAGGGCGTCATGTGGCTCGTAATATTACGGGGATTTGCGTACATCTGAGACCAATACCGCCTAGTTAAAAGTCCTTTCTTTGGCTTACAACCTGGCTCTTCCAAGGTTGTCCCCACCGTCTTCGAATCCACTCGGGCTATTTTTGGGGTTGAAAATTACACTGGGGTGGTAATCCGCAGCAAATCTTTAAATTTGGGTGTTTTTTTCAACTGTTGACGAAAAAAGGGGGGTTGGCGTCTGCAAATGTTGTCTCTTTATGTTTACAACTAAATTGCACTCAATGTTGACATTGTGGCTATGAGCACTTGCCCGAGGGTAGTCATGTACATCAATCAAAATGTATTACAGAATATAGTGCAAGACTACAATATATGTGGCACCCTACTCTTAAGCCGTTGATCATGTCTGGCTTCCTGGGTCAACTGCTCCCCACAGGTATGCCAAGCCTGGAGGCTCGAGATTATGATCGGCGTTAATATATGTTGTAGACTGTCAAACGGAGTTTTAAGTCCTCTGAAACTGTATGAATGCTTTGTATACATATGTAATGTTCGTAGAAAAATTATCGTATCGTGGTTATCTTTAAACTATGTATGTAGCCTTCCAGGTAAGATGCAAGATCAAGATGTAGTACATAGGGGGAGATGTTGTCGAAAGCAAAAGAATATCGAAAAAGAGAAAACGTCCGCTTAACAGAAGAACTTATAAACCTTCTTCCACTTGGGCCATTCTCTTTGCTCGGCCAGCTCCTGCTCAATTAAATGCTGGATATCAAGGTCGCGACGACCGGTGACCAAATCCACATCGGACGTGCGAACAAACTTGGTCTTGTACACGATCTTATAACCGATGTAGCAAATCAGAACCACGGGGGCGGCCAAGTAGACAGAGAAGAATTTGTAGGCAATCTCCTTAGGGGTCATGTCTGCGTAACCAATGGGGGCGAAGCCAACCCAGAACTGGGCGATCAGCACGAGACAGTTGAAAATGAAACCGACCCACGAGCCAATAACGCCGGGCTGGGAACGGAAAGCCAGCTCATCCAGGCTGTGGCCCTGTTTCTTCCATGCGCGGCGGAAGAGGATGTGGGCGCCGCACACGGAACCCCAGGTGAAAATAGATGACAGACCCGAGATGGCCATCATCCATTCGAAGGCGGTAGTCTGCACGTCAGAGGCGGCGAGGTAGGAAAGCAGACCCAGGATAGATGCAATGATAATGGCGGGTAGGGGACGACCCTTGCGGTCAATGTATGCTAGGAACTTGGGGGCTTGGCCCTGCTCAGCAAGGGCAGCAAGAGTACGTGAGGATCCATAGACGGAGGAATTGCCAACAGACAGGACCGCAATCATAATCACGACATTCATGATCGAAGGCAAAACCTTGATTCCTGCGTTCTCAATAGCAATGACGAAGGGAGAGGCCTTGGCATCGGCGGAAGAGGAACCGCTGATGAGTCTCGGGTCGTCATATCTCACTAGGAGGCCGACAAGGGTAAGGGAAACCACGTAGAAGAGAGCAATACGCCAGAATACTTGCTTAACGGCTGTCGGAAGGGACTTGCGAGGATTGGTGGTTTCGGCGGCGGCAAGACCAACAAGTTCGGTTCCAGCAAAGGCAAATGCGGCATTGACAAAGACACTGCAGAGACCCTTGAAGCCGTTCCTAAATGCACCTGGGTCGTACCAGTACTTGGCGCCGATGTATCCACCTTCGGGTCCACCACCGCAGTTGAGGATGATTCCAAGTATACTAACAACAAAAGTCAGTTAGACATTCAAGTTTCAGGAAACAGCAGCGTAACTCACATGAAACCAATAACGGCAATGACCTTAATGAGGGAGAAGACAAATTCAGCTTCACCATATCCTCGCACACCGAATAGGTTGATTGAGACAATCATAACCCAGAAGATAGTTACCCAGGCGGCATTTGAAACACCTGGGTTCCAATAATCGACCGTGATAGAAGCAGCGACGATCTCCAAGGGTAAGACAATAAGCCACTGAAGAGCGTAATTCCAGCCCATGGCAAAACCCCAAGCAGGATCGACGAAACGAGTCGAATAATGGGCGAAAGAACCGGCAACGGGGAAGAGAACTGCCATTTCACCCAAAGCATGAACTGTACAGTAAAGCATGCATCCAATCAAGATATAGGCAATCAGTACTGAGGCTGGACCACCGGTGGCCAAAACAGATCCGGAACCAACGAAAAGACCAGTACCTACGTAGTAAACGGAATTAGCAAGGTCGAATGAGATGAGAGAAGAATCAGTAGAGAACATACCAATAGAACCACCAATAGCAATCATCTGCAGATGGCGACCCTTCAAGCGGCGCTGCAACGGGGAGTGAGCAGTGTTGTGGGCGGCAGTCTCAGCATCGAATCCAGAGCCATCAGCTCCAACATGACCGGTGACTGTATGGTTGGGGTCTCTCTTGAAACTGTCAAAGATTCGTTGGCCTATGCCTCCCCGCGTTGGAGATGAGTCGCCATAGGCTGGGGGGCCCTCTGCGCCAGCCTGGACGGCCTCAAACTTCTTCTCCTCCATAATGTGTATGTGAATAGGTTTCTCTTCCAATGGTGAGATTATCTAGAAGAGAAGAAAGAAGGATCTGTATGCTCAACCTGAGGGCTCCAGAGAATTCAGGTCTACCAACACAGAGGTAAACCAAGTAGAAGTTTGACCGTTGGGGAGGGGGGGCGAGGGTATAAATACAACCAGTCCAATTTCAGATAAAAGCGATATAATTTATTTTTACAGTTTTCCATATAATCAAATTAAAATCAAATTAAATCAAAAGCACCCAAATCTATCTGCATTCATGCGCTTAGACCGACTAAAGTTTCGCACTAATAACATTTCAAACTCCAATCTTCTGATAGCCTTGGCATGCTCTGGGTAACGCCCGAGTCCGAGAGGGCAAATTATCTTCCTTTTTATTTAATTCAGGTTTATGTCTGATCCATATACTCCGTACTCCGTACTCTGTACGTAAAATATTGCTCGAGGATGAATTACTCATGATTCATACATATCTACGGAATACATAGGTAGTCGCGGAATAAAGCTGCAAACGGTCAAGTTCCCACAGCTTTTACCGGGAGATAAGGCCTTGGAGCTTGGAACCATAGTGTTTCACCCGACTATCTTATTGTTTTAGAACAAAAAGGGAAAAGCGAGATAATTATTGTAGGATGTGGAACCCTGTCTGGTAGGCGCCACTACTTATCTATCTCTCGCGTGATTTAGCCTGTCACAACGGAAGGAACCTCAAAGGGATCTTACCTCATGCCAATATCTACTAGTAACCTAGCTTGACTATCTCCACGACCTGAATCCCGTCGTATTACATGGATAGTCATGCTGACAAGTCTCCAGCGACTTTTTCTGGTATTATCCATCGATGCTATTCTGTGTGCGGACAAGGGAAAAGCCAAGCTTCTGGAGACCAAAGACGGCAACTCCCCAGATCCACTAAACCCCATCTGTCGGTTTCTCCGCACTCTGCCCATGGACGATAGTCGATCATTGCCCAATCAGACAAACCTCGGGAGATAAGAGCGCACCTGCGCACCTCCCTTTCCCCGGGGCTTCCACCGGACACTGCCCAGGTGCGTCCACGGGTGTTTCCTAGGTTCTTGTTCTAGAATACTTTATCTCGCAGAGTTGGTATCCTAAGTTTAGACAAAATAACCTTAGAAACATACCAACATTACTCTATATCTATAATATACTATATCTACTGGCTATTGGACGGGATGGGAATTCTTTTCGTTTCTCACCCCTTGCCTATGGGAAAGGCTTCCCGACGGACCCCGTTCCTATCGCATGCGCTATGGGCCACAGGGAATATGCGTGCATTGCCATATGGCTGGGGAAATCCGCCCCACTGAGGCTTGTTCGCAACCTTTCACAATTGAGTTCCCTGACTGTCACCTCGGTACGGGGTATAGTCTCTTGGCCTGTGTATGTGGTCAGAAAGGCAGACGAGAGAGACTGTGGGGAGTCCACCAAGAACCGCCTCGGTCGGGTTCGCCACTACCGCATGACATTTAGCTCTGGTCCCCTGGGATAAGGGATGGTGCCATGAAACTCTGTTCTTAGGCAAACTCTGTGCTTAGGCATCTCGAAGCGAGGGTTTCTCCCTGCATGGCTCGTGGCGGTCTGCCACTCATATGCATGGAAGCACGGGAGAAGCATACAGGAAGCCAAGAAGGCGCGTTGGGAGATATTATCATGCGGTGTTCATTAGAGACTCGTGGAATGATTGGCCTGGTGTCGGCGCGTTAAATAATACGCTCGTATTTTTTTCGCTGGGCAATGTGCAGAACATATCGATCAGTAAGCTCTGGTAGGCCAAGATCATGCCCTCGCATCTTGGGTCCGCGAATAGACTTTTGTAGGCCAATAGCTGAAATCGGGCATCCCGTCAAAGAAGAAATTAATCACATTTGGTGGTTAATGGATGTTGAGATCTCAAGGTGTTTATAATCGCGTGACCTCTGAATTCGAGTGTGAGAAGCCCTTTGCGACCAAATCGAAATGTGCAAACGGCCGCACTAGTCTTATCTTTCATGTCTGCTTTGCGGGTCAAGGACATGGCCAGTTTCTGAGATAGGTAAATCCACAACGTGAGACTTGGTTGGCCCATGCAACCCGGTCAGATAATAGGGGGCGGAAAAAGACGCACCAGTGTTCTCGGCCTTGAGCTGAATTGAATTGATGCTTGACTATCAGCCACTCAAGCCTTCGCCAGCTGATGGCGCGCAGTAGCCGATTTTACTGGCCACGCTCCCGCAACAGATAGCCACGGTAACATCGGGCTGGATTGGCATTTGTGTTCCGGTGACAGGAGCCATGGCCGACCGATTGTCCTTCGTTGATGCTAGGTCAGCGGCTGCGCCCGGGTTATGGTCCAATGTACAGAGTACTTTGTACGTTGTACAAAATTGCTGCCTACCTACATAGGTAGGTGCTCATGTGAAATCTGTCGGTTAGATCTGTAGCACAAAGTTAGCTCTTCCGTGGACACACCCGTGGACCATTCTAAGGTTATTTGTCGGTTTCCAAGGTTGAGTATCAGAAGTCTACGGGTAATACCCCGCAAAATGATCTCTGTACGATCGGAGTACTCCGTATCAAACGTTTCGCTCTTGAGGTTACTCAAGTCGACGAAAATTGCTAGAAATGAATGAGCACAGCCCCAAACAGCACGCAATGAGCATTCAGAGTTTCGCCACCGCCACGAAATGGTCCGCTATTACCCCAGGTTGATGTACAAGATACATTTACTTCATTCGGAGTACGGAGTACATTTGTTCTGATTCCTTTCCGCCATGTTCATAATTCCCTACTTGCTGCCAAGTCGGACCTCCCCATTTAGGTCCATGAGGCGCTTGGTGTATTCCATAGTTTGTCTCACTCCAAGACTCAGCTAAAAGCCCTCACGGTGAACATGACTATAATTAATATATCCAAATATACATTGGAAATCCGAAGTCGACATTAGGTGCATATAAAATGCGGGGGTGACAATCTGTTAGGTAACAGTTTCCACATAGTCAACTTTGGAGTCTGGGAAATACGGGACAATGAAACATCATGCTTTTAGAATGAGGGAATTCGGGGAAAGTGAATACTCGAATAATAGTCCATGATTATCCGCAGACAGCTGGTACTGCATCTGCAGCCCCGAGTCCTGGAGCCCGTGTGCATCGACCCCCTTTGCTGTCCCTGACTAAAGGCTGCCGCTTTCTTGTGCTTATCTTGCTTTAAAATAGTTACTGGAAATTTTTTTTACAATACGTATGTTATAGATGACTCTCTAGTGTGAGCTCTACAGCATCGCACTAGGATTAGACCGGTCTAGTATGCCCAGATGAGGTAGAGGCTATAGTATATATCGAATAATGTACCGCAGTTGACCCCATCCAAATTAGCTACTCGTCAAGGTTCGCCGCCATCATTAATCTCCACTTAACAGCAGTTAACTGACTAGCAATATAACACGCTGAATGCGGGGTATTAAATCGATTTGGAGTTCCTTTTCTCCACATTGTACATCATGATAACCACAGTGAAGAATTGCCCGATCGGTACGCGCCAGCGGCCTCTGCTCGTACCGAATGGATGGTCCCAGATCTTGTTAATAGCCGGCTGTAAACTGTAAATAGCGCGCGGCGACCGGGTTTAGCCGTCGATACCCTGATTCCAGGGAGAACGACATGTGGTTGGGGGCTTATCCTGGACCGCTGGTTGCCTGGAGGTCTTCTGTAGGCTAGTTCCTGCATGCTTTATCTCGCATCTCATTGGAGGCTGCAGTGGTCCCTTTTAGCGGACTGTATTGTGGTAGACTCCCCTGGATCATGGCTAGCCACCACTGCGATGGACATCCTCTTCGGCGAAGGACACATTCACTTGAGTGTTGTTGACAACAGCTTCTTCCTGGTCTTACTTCAATGCTGACCTACGCGCTGCCTGAGACACGAGATAAAGGGAATCGACCAAAAGCACGCTTGACATGGAGGTTCGTTCATTCAACGATTTTGTTCTATCTCGTTGCATTCGGTATCATTAATACACAAAATTTTATTTTCGTCACGGCAAGAACTGGGTATTTCAAGCTCATGAACTTGCCACCGGACCTTCACCACCGGGAATCAACTGGTTGAAGAGTCAATAAAGCACTCGGTTGGACTCAAGGTGAATTTAACTTACCATGCAGATATTGTTTCCATTCAGCAAGAGCTTAGGGAGCTTGATTTGGGCACCGGTGTAGTCGCTGAGAGCAAGTTAGTCTAGGGAATAATCACAAGAGTGACCTGTCGAGAATCTCGACACTGGAATTTGCAAATCAGATAGAGATGAATGAGCACTGCTCAGGGGCGTAGGAGCCAAGCCAACCAAACACGATCACAGAAAAAGAAATGGTAGGTCAAAGCTAGACAATGAAAATATCAAAGAACGTACAATTCTGTCACATCTTCCATAACCATGTCTAAATCGAAATTAGTGCCTGGTGAGATCGCCACTTCTCATGCAGGGATACTCACTGACGTAGTCATCGAATCCGAGTAAGGTCCCGGAGAACTCTTCGTAAGCATTAGTACGCTGGTCCAGTTCCGTTATCAACATTGAATTTTAGCTGACCTTTGTCACCCTTCATGACAACCCAAATCCGGGAGCCAACACACTTATCAATGAGCTCTATCAAACGGGTTAGCGGGGTCATGACTCTTGGGCCATTAGGTACGGACCAAGAGGAAGCAGCTGAGAAGCCATGATGTCAGGAGATAGAAGATAAGGGTGCTCGATAATTTTCCCTTCTTGGCAAGCGTCTTGATTTAAAATCAAAGGTGATCAAAGCATTCCGCGTGGACAAGATCGATATAGAAAAGGACGTGAACGTTTGTCGCTCGGCACTTTTAATGATCCGACCCGGGCGACTAAGCCAAATAAGGTTTAGAGGCAACTTTGAAAGTTGATTTGCGCGCTTGGAGCTCCGCAACATGGGGTGCTATCCTGACCCTCAATTGATTTGGTAGTTGCAGTCTTGTTGATCACCATAAATTGAGCCATCACTTGTTGTCCATCAAATCGATCAGATCCGATTGCTTCGTGGGGCTCCAGGCTGGTCCACTATGCTTGTCACACATTATGCCAATGCGGCCGATTCTTTTAGCAAGTCGGAAGACCCGATCTTCCCTTGCAAACATAGTGGTCACCTCAATAGATTCAAATCTCATGGGTCATTGCGATGGGGACTTTTTGAGCAGTGGGGGTAAGCAAGCTCTATTGTGTCCAGCTTCAATAGCTGTTTTCTAACTAAACTACAGTGGCCCCGACACTTGCGCACGATCTGTCTCAAGGCTCCGACATGTGTCTTTACGGAATACAAGCTCCTCATACATTCCGCTTATGACCCCTCAGTCAAAGCGGAACTTTTCCAATACCACTCGCAAAGAAGGCATATGGGATGACGACGATGAAGTCCCAGAGCCAAAACCCGTGCAACGAATTCCAGGCCGACCGGCTTTTGTGCGCCCTGCCCAACATCGAGACTTGGGCAGCTTGATTCGATCGAGAGTGGATGGGAAAAATCGAGTCTCTCAACGTCTGCGCATTGAGAAGAAGTTCAATTCGCTACCTTCATATCAGGAACTTGTTGAGAGTTTTATCCAATTGAAGTACAAACATGTTGATGACCTTCTCGATGAATCCATCAAGGCCAGCCTAGCCTATGAAGCCGAATATGGAGCTATCTCGTCAATACTTCAAAAGCAAATCAATGATGTGGTATCCCGGATAACAAAACAGGTTCTCCATGCCGTAAAGACCACTCAAGAATATGTGACTGAATGGGAAATCATGTCAAGCTTCATCAGCACGCGATTTGTAACTATGGTCTCAGACACCACGCGTTCAGTTCTACAAGCAGAGAAGATCACTCAGAAGTATGTCGCTGAAGTGACAGCTTTGTCATCTTCCATACTGGGATTGGACCGAATACAGGCTGCTGTCACAAAAGCAGAGAATACCGGTCGAATGATTGATCATGATTTCTGCTGCATTGTTTTCGGTAGAACTCCGGAATGGAAAAGAAAGCTGGGAATATCCTCCCAGACGATCCATGGTTGGCAGGAGTGTCTTCGTACGACTCAAAGAACACTCATACCACATCTACTCAACATTTCTGAGCTGTCCATCTGTCAGTTGAGAGACACCGTCAACAATGATTACCTACAACCCCGGGATACCGCAAGAAGTCGAATTGATCGAGTTCTATATCGAAGCGAACTTATTAGGACGAACTACAATGAGTTGCGACTGAAAAGCATGAACGCACGAGCTTTCCCCATCAGGAACCTTTGCTTGGAGCTTCTACGTAACTCAAACCTTCGCCCAAGTGATAGATGGGTGTTTGGCCAATACGGAGAGATCCTTTGGCATAATGATCGCGAGATTAGTAGATGTGCGCATCGTCACCGTGCATTCTGGCTCAGAAGGCAGATGGCGCTGCATCCACTTCGACAAAGTGAACTATGGATGTTGAAGGATTTCATGGGGGCAGCTGTGAACGCACGTTCTCCTCAAGCTACTGGCAGGCGGGTCTTACTTGCGATTGCACTGGGTGCCCCCAAGGCGTCAGCAGCGGGCCAGTACTTACACAAGAACCCACTCGTGATATCCAACAAGATCTATCTCGAATACAAGCGTCTTTGGATGCCAAAACCAGCACGCAGCCCTGAACTGCATATCTACTGGCGACAGTTGGATGTAATGGCGCCACTACGGATGATGGATTTTCTTATGTGGAGACTTCAAAATGAAATTTGGTACCTTCACCACAGCCTCAAAGGTGATGTCGGGGCATTGTGGGCTTGGGTCCCTGAGCAGACTCTGTCGCACACTGCCTTAAAAATAGCCGACTGGGCCTTAGAATTTCAGAAACATCGCAGCGATCTTCGACAAATGATCTCTGAATACAACCATATAAACTGGCTTCGTCTTCGATCGGAAACCTTGCTCCACTCAACGAGACAACCTGTCTATCTTGCTGGAAAGTTTGAAGTCCTCAATCCACTGAGCCAGAATATCCGTGGCTTCAAGCAATGGGCCGATCGCATGGGCCAGATTGCTTCTGACGCCCATATTATCTCAATCGCCAATGAGCAGACACGAGCGGATTGGGAGTCCATCCACAGTGAGATTGAGGGCAAAAGGGGGCGGGTTGCTTCCGTGATATCCCACATCCTAGAACTGGGTTCTTCGGCGAAGAAGGCTAGGCGTAGGCGGGGACGAGGGGAATCCGAATCTCACAATGCCAAGGCTGCTTTCATCAGGTCGTCTCAACGCCGTCTTTCAAGATATACCAAAGGGCAATTGTCGGGCCATTCCGAGTCTCCGCTTGCTAATCGGGGCAATCAGGAGCCTGCTCAAGTTATGGTATCCACGAATAGTTCCTTGCGAAGAAGCAGCCAGAGACTGAAGAGAGCTAAACGACACCATGCAGCCGAGTTAGCCGCTAACCAAGATGGTCAAGTGGAGAGCCCCCTCGGGCACAAACTATCTCCCGATCCTCCAACAATAAAAGCTGAGGACCACAAAATAGAGGGCAGGCCTGTGTCCAAACCAATCCCAGTCGATGCGCCTACCGGTCAGAAATATCAGGAGGACAGTCAGGTCACCCGAAAGCCATCGCCCAGACTCTGGAAGAGCAAATCTGGGAACCTTGACGCCCCTGAGTTCAACCCGTTCCTAGTCAATGCGCATGCTAGCCAGACGAATCAAGAAGAGAAACAGGTTCTTCACAAGCCACCGCCCATGCCCTCAAAGAGCAAAGATGTGAGGCTCAGCCCGGGGCCACATCTTGATGACCCCCGTCCGCCAATTCCAAGAGGAACCAGCAATACATTCCCAGGCACAAGGACACGCAGCGGACTACAACCGGCAACTATGCTTCCGAGGAAACCATTCGCTAAACCAGAACCAACCAATAGGAGAAAGTACAGCACAAATGCGATTTTCCACCAAACCCAACAGCAAAGCAGTGGTGTCCGGGATGATTCCCTGTCTGAACGGCCACTTGGGACTCATACGTCCTCGGTCCCAGGTACCCCGAGCGGACATGGGCCTGGATATGTTGAAGAAGATGACTCCAGGGGTGAACCAAACCCATCTTCAGACATTGGTTCCGGTGCAAACAGTCTGACAACACCCCGGTTCTGGAGCCATAGCTCACAGCAAAGCCCCGATGGCCGGAAACTCATTGTGCATTATTGCCGGTCCCTCCAAAGTACCGAAGAAGCTGTGCAACACTTCCTCGGGAGCAAAGTCATTGGATTTGACATGGAATGGAAGGCTCAAGCATCCAGCTTGGACAGCATTCAGAGCAATGTCTCGGTGATCCAAATCGCAAACGAGGAGCGTATCGCGCTCTTCCAGATTGCGCTTTTCAAGCCCGCGCGTTCTCTGGAGGACTTAGTTTCCCCATCATTGAAACGCCTCGTTGAGTCTCCCGATGTCATGAAAGTGGGTGTTTCCATCAAGGCAGACTGCACGCGGCTGCGCAAGTATCTCGGCGTCGATGCCAAAGCCACCTTCGAGCTCAGCCATTTGTACAAGTTGGTCAAATACGGCAAAGACAATCCCAACTTGGTGAACAAGAGGGGTGTTAACCTCAGCGAGCAAATAAACGAGCATTTCGGTCTTCCCCTCGAGAAAAGCGATGACGTCCGCTGCGGTGATTGGACTCGGGCTTTGAGTTATCGTCAGGTTCAATGTGAGTACTTGGAGTCCTGCATAATCTCTCTCCTTAGATGCTAATCTTGCCTATTTCTTTTCCTAGATGCTGCTACTGACCCGTATGCTTGCGTTCGTCTGTTCTATGCCATGGAGGCCAAAAGACAAGCCATGGACCCCATGCCGCCTCGTCCCGCGTACGCTGAACTCAACCAGCCCATTGTTCTTCCACTAGGACAAGCGGTCAATAGCGATGAGGATCCATTGATCTGACCATGTAGATATGCATACATGTACTTACATTTGGTTATCCTTTAGATACCCACTCTTTTTGTTTTGCACAAGTTTTGGAGCATATATTTGGGCAGTTTCAATCCGGAAAGGTCTTTTTCTTTTTCTTTTTCTTTTTTGGTGCGTTACTTCGTGCCCTGTCTTCTTAAGCGGCATACATTCGGATTTGATTTACATTTACATTCTACATTGTACCGAGAAATATATATTAACCGGCTGTTCCATGTGAAGATCCAGTCGAATTCTACAATCCACGGAAACCATACTCGAAGGAAATAGAAACAGGGGGTATATATTTATCCAAAATAAGTGTATAAACATTTATCGGCCACGCCACTCTCTTCAGTGATAATCCATGAAGATCATGAAAGCACTAGCCTAGAACTTATTACCTCAATCAACCACATAACTACCCTCTTAGAGGAAGCACCTTAGAGAGTAAGAGCTCCTGTCGGCAGAGCGGGCATTCCGGCTTTTCACGAACCCAGTCCCGAACGCAAATCCAGCAAAAGACATGGCCACAGGTCGTAACACTAGGATCCTTGAACATCTCCAGACACAGGGTGCACTTCCGCTGCTGACCCTTGGGGATCCACGAAACGGCACCAGGGTCCTCCTCGAGATCATACAAAGGCACAGAGGCAGGTAGAAGAGGAATAGAAGACGGGTTCTGGATTGAAGCGAGAACAGCTCCAGCCTGCGACAGAGACTGGCCAGCGTCCGCAGACTGGCTCTCGTCTTCATTCATGCTCGCGCCGAGTTTGCGAGCGTGCAGGAATCCCTGCACGGCGATTTGGAGAACGAGCAGCACACCCAGAACCTCGTATCCGATGCGTTGCTCATTGTCCTCGATCTTCTTTGTGAAAACGTAACGCAGGCCCCAAAGTCGCTTGGAGAGATGGTAGTACGAGCCGGTGAAATAGAAGGTCGCAATGCTCAGTGCATAGATGGGTGACAAGGATGTGATGGAGTCCAAGTGTTCAAGGATATACTGCTGGATGCGTAGTTTTGTAAACAACGGCCGTTTAGTTGGGGTAGTTGAGAATTGGGGCTTGTTGAGCAGGCCAGCCTGCTGCGCCGCTCGTAACTGTTGGCGTGCAATGTTGCGCTCGAGCTTATTGCGGATTCTCTGTCGCAGGGCAGGCAGTATCCGCTGCAGTGTCCATGGTACTAAGATGCTGCTTAGGATGTACCCCACGCGACGGCCGATTGACGGTAATTGAAGTGTGTCATCCTCTAGTTGTACGAGATCGCAGTATTCTTCGCCTAGGGTGCGGTTGCCGATGGCTGTTGTTAGGGTGAAATAGAGAAGTTCTGTGAGGTGTTTGATAGCGTCGGAGTGGGTGTGGGCGTATCGGGCGCCACGGAGAGCCCGAACGATCCCTTGAGATTGTTGAATCAGGCTTCCCGTGAGGAATGCATCCTTCTCATGTGAGCGGATAATGTCTGGTGAGGTTGCGAAGGGGTAAAAGTGTGAGGCAGATGAGCCGAGGGCTGAGTTCGGGGTTGGTAGAGAGAGATGGGAGTCGTCCGCCATGACGGATTGTAGGGTCTTGATATAGGGATATTAAGCTTGAGTGTGATCGTGAATGATATCTGCTAACTTAATGCATCCCCGAGACGAGTCACAGGCTCAATTCCCCGGCTTTCGTACCTGGTGGAGATAAACAATTTCCCCGGAGTCATCCTCGGATGAAATGCCTCGGTATATTATTACATCAGGTGACTTGTCCGTTCTCGATCACTGTCACGTGCCTAACCAGATTACTCCATTACATAATAAAAGTTACGAGCTCGGGAGCAATACTATTATGTAATTCACATAATTACCTCCAACCTTGGAAATTACCATACGACGCAAGCGTCAACTGGTCCCACTTGGGGTACTTCAGAGGTACCTGGGCCTGTCGCAGATGAATGCGGGAGGCTTGCAGTGGCTGAATGTACCTAATTCGGTACCCCCTTTGTGCAGAAATCCAGGGGTGTTGAATGTTCTCTTGAACAAAGAACGTTTTTGACTATATTATGATGCCATGTGTACGTTGTTATTCTTAGAACGACGTAACTAGTTTTGTAAAGACTTCCCCTCTTCGATCTTTTCTCCTGAGATGGGCTTCTAATTCCAATTATACCCAAATCGACGCTGTGGGGATCCAGACCGCGGGCTCTGACTAGTCCAGGCGCGTATTCCACTCCTCTCCGCTTATTAAACCGCCCCAGCGGCCTCAAACTGGGAAAAGTCTCAACTTTCGGACTTTCAAAGACGACTCACCCCTAGTCATTCTTTTTGGTGTCATATCTAAGGGGTCCTTGTTGTTAATTTAGCCCTTTTTTCTTCCCTGTGATCTCCCCTTTCCCACCCCTGATCAATGGAATAATGGCGGTTGATCAACATGCTCAATTGGATGCCTTTGGGCTGGTCTTCCCATTGCCGCTACGTATAGCTGCTATCTTGGTCGCTGGTAGGTGAATTCCTGTCTGAAAGGGTTGGATCCCGACTTAGGCGTGTGTTAACACAAGCGGGCTAGGTTTCTGGGGATGGGGTATCAACCTTCAATACCTGGCAAAAGCCAACATTGTAAGTGCCGCCCCTCACCTAAGCATCGTATTGCCGGCAGCTAATCAGATTCCCTTACTTCCAGGACGTTCCGGCGCTCATTAAATATCCTGCCCGCACATCCTCCTCGCAACGCCCACATCACACCGCCGTCTATCGCCTGGCCACATGTTTCACCATCCCACTTGTCCTGTGGTTCATCGTCTTTTGGTTAGCCACCCGCCGGTCTCCTGAATTAGTGGAGCGACTGGACTGGATCCCGCAGTCCGTGTTCATTATCCTCCTCCTTATTCTGATATGGCCCTTCAATCGCGCCTCTCGTTCCGGCCGAATCCGATTTCTCCTTACCCTGAAGCGGATCAGTATTGGTGGTCTGGCCGAGTCGAAGGATGGGAAGTTTGGTGACATTCTGCTGGCAGATGCCCTCACTAGCTATGCTCGCGTGATCGGAGATTTGTATATCAGCTTCTGCATGTTCTTCACCGATGGCTTCGCTGCGACTTCTAAGCCCAACCGGGCCTGTGGAAGTGAAATTGTCGTTCCGATCATCCTCGCTGTTCCCAGCTTGATTCGTCTTCGTCAGTGTTTGACGGAATATGTTCGTGCGCGGCGGACAGTCACCCGGAGAGAGACGAACAAGGCAAACCAGCACTTGGCCAACGCTCTCAAGTATGCAACTGCGTTCCCCGTCATCTGGATAGCCTCCAAGATGCGCAATTACAATCCCCTGGAACTACGTGGGTATAGCGAGGTCAGCATGATGCGCCTTCTGTAAGATTGTATTCCACATCTGTTGTGTTTATGCCTTTCTCTAACATCCCACAGATTTATCGTCTCTTTTATCAACTCTGCCTACTCTTTCTGGTGGGATGTTGTCAAGGATTGGGATATGACCCTCTTCTCCTCGGAACGTCGCGACAGCGCCCATCCATACGGACTCCGCCGGCATCGTTACTTCGGATCCGACAAGATATACCACTATGCCATTATCGCGGATTTGGTCCTTCGTTTCTCATGGCTATGGCGTATTGTCCCAGGCCTCGGCTGGATTCCTGAAACCGAAAGCGGATTCTGGATGCTCATGTTCCTCGAAGTTGTACGACGTTGGATGTGGGTATTCTTCCGGACTGAAGCTGAATGGAGTATGTTTTCGCCCTGTGCACCCGCACTCCCCTGATCCCAACCGTGTGACCATGCACCATTATCCTGGTTTTCGGACAATTCCACTCACGCTTTTGTGCACTAGTTCGAAATACCCACGGCCCAGGCCCAGATGACGTCCTCCTCGGCGAATACAACCACAAATTCGACGCGGACTAAATTTACCTATGCTCTTTCACCTTTGATCATAACTTCAAGCGACTTGGAATCAAGCGACTTGGAACCAGAACGTGATGCAGAGAAACACTCCTTCTCAACCCAACACAACGGTCGTGTCTTCGGGCATATTTCGCCCTCAACCAAACTCCGGATATTCCTACCCAATCCAATGCTAGAGCAGCTATAGATGAGGACTGAGCTTGGCTCTTGTTTTCTTTTTGTTTTTCAGGCGTGTGTGAATCCATCTCATCACACGCCCTTGTATGCCTATTGTTTTCTTTTGGGCTCGATTCAGCTATACGTGCGTGTAACGTCATGCACAATGATTTTTTAGACTCCTGGGCCTGTGGCAAGCATGAATTTCTTTTTCTCTGGATCTCCGTTTACTCTTCATTGTACCAATACTTACCTAGGGTCAACCTGGTCTGACGTCTGCATCTACCCTGCCTTTGTTTTCCTCTTTACATATACCATTTACCCTATTGGATCACAATTCTGGTCTTTTATTTCTTTTCCTTTTCTTCTCGGCGTTAGCTGTCGAGATATCTAATTGGTGTTTGTGGCCTTTCTTGGGGGGGGGGGGGGTTCGGTGATTGACGGACCTAATGATTGAAGACTTGAATTCGTTTAGACAGACTTTGTTAGATGATGCTAATTAGGGCTTGATGCCAGCAGAAAGTTGAAGCCTTATAATTCTGTTGCATTATTCCGGGAGTTTCCCAGGCTTCATACCCTTATTCCTCATAGCCAGACACCTACCTAGGTAGGTACATATGTAGACATGTGTGGAATGGGCCCAGTGGAAGTTACAATCGTACTGAATTGAAGCGAAGGGATACGGTACGAGCGTTGATCTAAAGAAAATAGTCCATTGACTTCTAAAAAATAACATGACAAAGACAGAACTCGTTGACTTCGTGCAAATATCCTCCCTAGACAGGGCGAGACATAAGATATAGAAACACAACCACAGATAAATATCGAGATAAATATCCAGGTGGACCAGCCAAATAGGCCAGTGACCTATCCATGCTTCTCTTCTGCTGCCATCCCCTGCCTTTTTCTTCAACAACCACTCATGCAATTCGGCTTCACCTCACCTCATGTCTGAGGTCATGTCATACCTGCCTAGTAAACATTTGATATGTTCACAGTAGAACAACATTCACATATTTCCGGCCCCTTTCAGAATGTCATACTAGTCCGAGGGGGGCTGATATGGACCCCCGGAAGAGCAGATGAGGGCTAGGACTGTACATCAATCCCTCAAAGCTCCTTCTTGATAATGTGGGCCTTGGGAAGGGAGCCAGCGCGGTCGATAGCGTTCTGGCGAGCTCCAGCAAGACCGTGCTGAGTGGCGATGCCCTCAACACGGTGGGTGGAGTTGATGTTCTTAACAAGGGTGAGCTGCCAGCAGGTGGCACCACCCTGGCGGGAAGTGATAGTGGAGGAAGCAAGGAAGTACTCCCAGATCTGAAAGAAAAAGAGTGGTTAGTGAGAAAGAAAATCGAAAAGACCCAGTGGGAGTACTGTGAGAGAAACTTACGCGGAACCAGCGCTTTCCGTACTTGGCCTCGACCTTGTCGCGGTTGCCCATCCAGTTCCGGTACCAGCGCCAGAGGGTAGCAGAGTAGTGCACACCAATGGTGTCAACAGCCTTGACCTCAAAGCCAGCGCCCTCGAGGCGGTCCACGACGAAACCGAGAGGAGTACTGGCGTCAGCACCGGGGAAGATGTATTTGTTCATGAAAAGACCCCAGATCAGGTCCTCGTATTGCCAGGACTTGCGGAGACCAGCGATCTGCAGGAAGAAAGTACCGTTGTCGTCGAGCATGTCGTAAACCTGAGACAAGAAAGAAGAGAAGTGGCGGACACCGACGTGCTCAGCCATCTCGAGACAAGTGATGTGTTGGTATCCACCGTCAACGCGGGGAGCATCGCGGTAGTCACTGCATAGAATGCGGCTCTGATCCTCCGGGATACCAGCCTTGCGAAGACCATTGTTACCCCAAGCAGTCTGGTTACGGCCAAGAGTAATACCGGTAACGTGAGCGCCGTAGTGAGCCGAGGCGTACTTAGCAAGTGTTCCCCAGCCGCAGCCAAGATCGAGGACCTTGTCACCGGGCTTAACACCAATCTTCTCACAAACAATGGCCAGCTTGTTGTCCTGGAGCTCCTCAAGGGTCTCCTCCTTGTTGATATCACTGATGACACCGGAGGTGTAGATCATGCGTGGGCCAAGGAACCAAGCGTAAAAGTCGTCACCGCGGTCGTAGTGATCACGGACCTGCTCCTCATCTAGGAATAGGGTTAGAATTGCCACCGGAGCTGCATGTAGACTTGCTTACCCTGAGAACGAGTGTGCATCAGCATCTCTGGGATGAAACCAAACAGGAAGTGCTTGAAGAGACCAGTGGTGAACTTGAAGTTGGCCCAGTCGTGACGGTACTCGAGGCATTCCAGAGCATCGCCCTTGAAGTCAACCTCGCCATTGAAGTACTTCTCGTAGAAGACCTCCATGGGGATCTTGCTCTTGCCGCGGTAGGTGGCACGGTCGTGCTCGCTGTGGAACTGCAGGTAGTGCTCGACGGGACGGCCGCAGTACTTGGCCTTCTCGGTCTTGCGAGGAGAAACGGCGGAAGAGACAGCCCAGAATGCCACCAGAACGGGAACGGAGGTGAAGAGAGCAAAGAAGATGGTGGTATAGAAACCTCCACCAACCTGGCGAGCCAGCCACCAAGGCACGATGATCTCCAGAGCGATCATCAAGCCATTGGAGAAGCTGTCGCTGCCGGGTGAGTCGGCGGGGACGGGAGCATTCTTGATAGTCGGGTACTGGAGATTAAAACAAGCAGATTAGGTCCTGGACTCGTCAAGCATCCCTCCCGGATAGCTCTAGCTATGCACTTACCAGAGTAGTCGGAACACCGCAATCGAAGGCAGGCTTGGTCTGCTCGGGGGCAGCCGGAGTCACAATGTATTCGAACTCCTCAATGGAGTCCGGATGAATGGTCGTCATGGCGAAGCGTCAATTGAGAGGAATGGGAAGGGAAAAGGAGAGGCCAGAGAGTAAATAAGAAGATATGGGCAATTCCGGGGCGGTGTGGGCTAGACCAGGTACCTGGAAATACGTGATTGGTACCTCGCGTTCCATGGGCGGGCTAGCTGGGAACCTGGTACCCGCCAGGTACACCGTGTTTATGTCCATTGGATTCGATTTTCCCACTGACGTACGATGTAAACTATTATTACAGGGATTCGTGTAGCTAAGAGGCTAGTGGGGGTTTTCCTCTGATTCATAAAACTATCTTGAACAGACTAGTCTGCATCACCCAACACTAGCAGCGGATGACCGAGGATTCACATTTCTCCAAGAATCTGGTACAGCCTACGTGGTCCCTGACGGAAATGCATGTGCGAGCTCGCCTGTCTGGGTCTTGGCAAAAGATCGTCATGAGAGTGGAGAACAACTGAAACAGAATGATCCGCGGTTAAAGGGCTACAACCTATCGAGTTACAAGTACATTAACACTATTCCATAACGCCGGGACCCTTCGGCTTGCCGCCAGCCCCTATGAGCCAATGCCGATCGCCATATGCCAAATCAATAACCATACTAAAGTAAAATTGTAGTCCCCTTTCGATGCTGAGTATCTTTCGCAATGTACCCTACAGAGTGAGCTGGAAGCTCTGGGCCTCATCATCTTCGTCAAACGTGGGCAGTGGTTCTTCCGGTTCCTGGGTGCTCTCGTCCGGGCTATCAAAGCATCCAGCAGCTTTGCAACGAGTCCACATTTCCGAGTCCAGCGGAGGGGGGTCCATACAGCTGCATATAAGTTTCGGGAGACAGGACCTGAGAGCTCAAGGGCCTCTGCATCTGGGAATTTTTCTCCCGCAGGGTGGATGACACACTGCGTCCCTTGGAATATCCGACGGTCGTCCGAGAGTTGACAGAAGCAGCAGTATTGCGCATTGAAGAGGGGTTAGACGGGACCCTGGCGTTCCTCTTGGGCATAACCAGTGACGATGCCAACGACGCCACCCGTGGCTTTGGGGTTGGAGCCACTCGGGGTGCAGCAGTTGGCTGGGATCCGTTAAGTGCAGCCACAGCATCACGAGCTCGAAGGGTCGACACACTGCGAGTGTGTCGTGCGGTGGATGTAGGTCTCTTTGGGGGATGGCATCTGGCTGGAGTGCTTTTGCGGACTCGCTCTCACCAGAGCTCTCAAAACCAATGTCCTCGAGTTGTTTCATGATCATATCATCCACCATCCTATCGCACGCCTCCGAATCCTCCTTGAACTTTCGCTGTTTTCGCCGTGAGTCCATCACTGCCAACTTGTTGCTTTCCGTAAACACTCTCCAAACCAAGCGCTCGATTCTTCGGTCGGAATTGGGGAAATGTGGTGTCATACGTCACATCGTCTGGAAGGTCCGGAAGATCTGTAGCTCGTCAGAAATAAGCTTTTAGGTTTTGCAGCTTTAGTTCAACTTAGCGTACCTCTAGGCTTCGGCGGCATGTATTCAATATCCGGCACATCATCTGCAGCGTCAATGTGGACTTTGGTTTGAGCTTGCTGTGTCACTGGGGCAGCTTTTCTGATCTTTTGGGCAGTCGACTGTCGGCGGTTTGTCTTCGGTTGCTTGGTGGTTCCTCCAAAGGGCGCAGGCGTCTGAAGGTTGTTGGCTTTAAGATTGGTCGTCTTCATACCCAGAGGAGCGCGATCCTTCACTATAAGCGAGAACTCAAGTCAGTCATTATTTAACGGTCATCTCCAAATCCCTAATTTTCGCGAAGCGCGCGTACCCATCGGAGTCATAAACGCGTTGTTGACCGGTTTTCCATTTTCCTGGCGATTCCCATTGCCCTTGACGGTGCGATTTCCGAATGCCAACGGGTTGTTCTCGTCGTTTCGTGGCTTGCCGGGTGTCTTGGGTGCTAGCTGCTTGCCTTGGTTCAAGGGCTTAGCTGCCGCGGCAGTCTGATGTGTGTTTACCAGGTTTTCCTGGTCGCGAAGAGCCAGCATAGTGGCGAACTTGAGCTGATGATTCTCATGCACTGTATCGAAGAAATCAAACGTTATCGAGTTGAGAGTGATAAAAGAGCCAGAAACGAGTTCTAGATGCAAGTGTTGTCGAGTGGTTGCCCGTGGAGACGCGGCGATCCTTGGGCGGTGATTGGCGTAGAGCAAGAGCGGATTTGTGTACCTAACCATACCACGGTTACGCAGTTGGTACACAGTAAGTATACGGTACTTCCCCTGTAGTGGAGCTGGTACTTGTTGGGCTGGTACTGTCTACTTGTTCACAAGTCAGCCATTATTCCTCCCCTTCTCTCCCAAAACTCTCCCCATATCATCTTCCACCCACCCCCCATCCAACACTCGCCCGGTTTCTCGCTGAGCGAAAGCCTAACTACTCTTCCTTTCAACAATACATATTATCTTCTTTACTTCCTTTTCAATACCTTTAAAATGGACAAGATCAAGGAGGTAAGTCACCAAGACCCCTGCCGGCGGGGTAGCTTTGACTGCCTCCCAAAATCACAGCCCCTCGTCATATGCATATATGCATACCCCCCAACATTCCATCACTTCCCCACTGGGAATTTGCTAACGTGTTGGTTTTTATTTTAGCGCATGGTCTCCCTCCGCGCCGAGGCTGATGAGGCTCACGAGCTCGTCGATGAGCTCAAGGCCAAGGTCAAGACACTGGAGCAGGAGAATTTGTCCAAAGAGCAAGAGATTACATCACTCAACCACCGCAACCAGCTTCTAGAGGAAGAGGTTGAAAAGGCAGAGGCCGCCCTCAAGGAGGCTAAGGATGCTGCCAGCCAGAGCCTTCAGCATGACACCCAGAACGAGGCCCTTCAGCGACGGGTGCAGCTCCTTGAGGAGGAGGCTGAGGAGAATGACAAGACTCTCCGGGAGACAAACGAGAAGTACGACCAGCTACCAGTTCTTTAGCAGTTCAGTACTGACACTTTTGGACACTTAGGCTCCGCCAAACTGATATCAAGGCTGGCCACTACGAGCGGAAGGTGCAGGCACTGGAGGATCAGCACGCCAAACTGGAACAAAGATATGAGGATGCGATCAAGGAACACAGCGCTGTGAAGAAGGAGCTTGACGACCTTGCATCCCAGATGGCCGATATCTAAGGCCCAGACTGGTGATGGGTACAGGATATCGGGAAACATGTGGTCGAATACAAGCTTCATTCTCTGGTTTGCCGTTTGGTTTTTCATGCTGTGATTGTTTGTGTTACACTGGTGCCAACTATATGGGCCAGATACAGCGCTTTTGATAGCAATAACTTTTTATCATGTAACATGCACTACGGTGTCTACCATTCGCATCTTCATTGCATTTTTCATGTGAAACGCCTGTGATCCGTAAATTGACTAATGAATAATTACCTGAAGCCGAGTATATGCACATGTGATGTCGTATCTCTTTCAAAAGGTGGTTTCCTCATTCCTCTGCCCCCTTTCGTGCCTTTGCCCTCTTCGCTTTCATAGACCGCTGTTTTAACATTGTCTGTTTGCGCTCAACTTTTGTCTCGTAGCGGAAGTTCCTCTTCTTTTTCCTGGCCGCTTCTGAGGCTGCACTCCGGGGCTTTCTCTTCTTGGCTTTTGTTTGATCCTCTGTCGACTCAACCGGATATTTTTTCTCTTCTTCATTCTCCGAGTCCTCTCCCTTGGCAGCCTTGAGCAGACCCTCACGGGATGCGTCCATTTCTTCAACCGTGACTGTTGTGTATTTGTCCTCGTCGACGTATTCCGCTTCGTAGTCCACTGCTGGAGGCTCTTCAATTCCCTCCCAGTCTTCCTCCTCTTCCTCGCCTTCCATTTCGCTGATATCACCAGCATCCTCCTTCATGCGCTTGAGTACTGCTTTATGCTCCGCCATTGCCTGTTCAAAGTCTCGTTTGCGATCCTCTCGAATCTAGTAAAAATTAGTGGATATCTTTGGTCACACATTGCAGCCGGTCGAACCTTTTTTCTTGCTTCTCTCTTCTCTTCTTTGTATCTCTTGATGGCATTTTCTTGCGCATGCTTGGCGCGCTGCACCTTGCGTTTGTGAAATCCAGTCAAGTATTCGTGGCGGGATTCGTTGTCGAAATTGACCTCTTCAACTTTAGGCGCAGCAGCAATTTTGCGCTTTTTCAAATCCTTGGGACCCATGATGAACGAAAATCCACAATTTCAAGTATATTTGAATCAAATAAGAAGCGGAACTTTGTATATTGTAGGTTGTGTTGAAATTGCGTCCAAAGCCAAAAAAAAAAGTTGATATGGGAAGCTCAGGCGGGTCGGGGCTCTCGACCGCCTCCGAGGCCAAGTCGGACACCTCCCGTTGGCAACATCATCGCCAACCTGACTCCATCCCCACGCCAAACACAATGCGTCTCAGCAGGTTCGGGCTATTGGCCCTTGGGGCTGCTGCCGTAAATGCTTTCAGAGATACTTCGCCATTCTTCCTCGCCTCAACTTCTGAGTATGTTTGATTGAACATCTCCTGCTGTGGTCTACTAACCGCTCCTCCCTTAGGGTCCTGACGAACTCCGCTACATCCAGACAGGAGCTTCGCTCCTTGAGAACCTTTCATCATCCCTCAGTACCTGTCCGTCGGATTACTATGTTGTTGTCTACCAGCCTGGTGTGCACAGTTCCGACTTCTCGACGCGAAAGTCCGCACCCCGCTTGGGTGCGAAGATGCTTGGGAAAGACAGCTCGATCCGGTCCAAGATGAGCATCAACGAGGTCGCTGGCTTGTTGGAACCCAAGGAGATTAAGGGCCTTTTGGAGAAGAAGTGCAAGACCCAGACTACCGCCGTCGACGCTTCCTGTAAGTTGCTTCGACGGCCCTGACAAATCCGCGAAGAACATCAGAGCTAATAATGTGAAGCCGGATCGTACCCTTCATACTTTGAGAAAGGCCCCCGAGTTATTGATGTCGAATTCCCCATGCTATCGCTGGGTTCGGACCGCGCACAGCAGCTTTCTGAATTCGGTACGTACGCAGTCCAATTAATGCACTTCATTGTTACTGACTTTGCCAGATGGTTTCCTTGCCGATGTCATTGATCGACTTCCTCCTCATCCAAGTATACGATTCTCTACATCACCTCGCCGAGAGAGTTCCCCGAGACGGATTCTGTTGTCTACGAAGCCTCTGGAGATTCGTATCAAGACTCGCTTCATATGGACCTAAAGCGGGATTACTCCGCCCACGCCTCGAGCTCATCAAGCAATTCCACCTCTCTCTTCGAAGAGTATCAATACTTTACTCCAGGTATTTATCGATTGCTCCCACCTCTCTATTCACTACTCACCCTTTTCCAGGTATTTTCATGGGACTCATGGCTACCTTCCTGTTCCTCGCGATCTTGTATATTGGCATCGGTGCCCTAAGCAGCCTTGAGATTCCCTATGCCGCATTCGAAAAGGACACCTCGGCTGCTGTGCAGAAAAAGGCTCAGTGATTTGTAGCGCTTTGTTGGATTATGGTTTTGGAACGCACCTCCATTCCTGCAATTGATTTCTTTTTTGTCGGGGGTTCAGGGACTATTATCTCGTATTCCCATGTATGATAATTCATATTCTCCCGTTCTTCAAATGTTAGATTTGCCAACGTAAATGCGCAAGTTCTTGTATCTGTTTTTGGAAGCTGTCAGGTGACAGGATCAGTCTTGCCTAAGGCGCCCTCTCCTTTAGCGTTGGCGTCTTTTCGGCTACGAAGGCCTTTTCTTGTGGTCATCTTCATTCACTCACTCGTTGGCCTCATTTCAACAACAGTCATTCGTTTATTTCAGAGATTCACAGGGCCTCATATTATTTGGAACTTCGTTGATTGTGGATCCGTGACCTGCAGCCTGAGTTCAGCATCCGCCAATCTTCCACGGGGGATGAATCGCAGTTATTTTCGCAATCAGCAGAGATCTTAGCCTTGGTGCCTAGGTTCATTGATGAGCTGACAAGGATTGATAACCTTCTTTGTCCCTCACTATCGTTGGGATCGGCGCCTACTCCAAGTGACCCGCACGTTGTGGAGAAGCAGCTGATCGGTTGTTTACGCCGCCATGCGAGTTCTACCGCAGGGGCTTGGGAAAGCCAAGCCGTCATTCCTCCTGTTACTGCTTCTCGTCATTTCCATAGCTGTTCAAGTATCTGCCGTGCCGGCGGACGATACAACAACGGATACTGATGCCGCTAAGACCACCGACGATCCCTCCACCACTCAAAGCACCTCTAGCGTGAGTGAGACCACCACATCTTCAACCACTTCGAAATCGACGTCAAGTTCTACAACCAGTACCTCCTCCTCCTCTTCTACAACCACAACCATGGATACGACCACCACATCCTCCTCTTCCTCCTCCACAACGTCCGACAGCAGTACAACAACATCTTCCGTCTCCACGACAACGACATCATCAACATCCTCCTCTTCCTCTTCAACCACCACCACAACCGGCGGCGCTATTGTGACGATACCACCAACAGCCAATGCCCCATATATGCAAGAGAGCAATGCCCCAGAAGGTACAGTGTTCATCGCCGTCGGCGCGGCGCTAGGGCTGATCGGCCTAACTCTGCTCGCCTGGCGCGCAATGGTCGCATGGTCCGTAAACCGCTCAGTGCGGCGCGCCGCTGTAATACACGCCTCGGAATCCAAACGCCTGCTACGCGGTAGCAGAAAGAAGCGGTCAACCCCGTACTCCGCCGCCCCGGCGGTCGATGTATCCCTCGACAAACTCGGCGCCGCCACTCGCGCAAGCTACAAGCCCAATCGGGTCCCGAGCGCAAGCAGCGGACTTTTCTTTTCGCCTACCGCAGGCGGCCCTACTGGATCGCACGCCAGTCTGAATGCGACAGGAAGTACGGGAAATCGTGGCTCAACATACCTGCCTGCTGGATACTACGCTGCTGCTGGTAGCTCCAACCCCGCGGCAAGTGGAGAGCTTCCATACTCACCCACTGCTGGCCTCTCGTCGCCTTCCCTGCCTCCTAGTGGTGTCTACCATGATTCGCATAATCAGCGCCACTCTCATGTGGGTGCCTCGACAAGTTCCTTGAACCTGAACCAGGCTCCGCAGGGTCGTGCTCCTAGCGCATACCTTGAGGATTTGTTTGAGAGCCATGCTCCGCATAGTCCTGATTCAGGCCGTCGGTAACGTCGCTGCGGGCACTCGGCAATTCGGTCATAATATGAAGGAATGATATTGGCGAAATGTTTCTGTTGGATCTATGGGGATTTCTTCCTCTTTTTCACTACATCTATTCTCTTGTCCATTTTCATTTCAGATTTGTTTCAATTCGGCGTTCCATAAACCCTTTCACGTGAGGTGATCTGCTATTCCATTTTTTCTGCGCATTACTAACTATTACTTGTCAATATAAATCAGTTTACAAAGTAATTCAGCTATGGATATAACTACAACTCTACTGGTCTTTAGCTACTCTTGCAGTCACTATGCATTGCATTAGATTAATCAAAACTTGCGTTTAATTGTGATGGTAAATCATGAAATATCGTTAGGCCCAACCAAAAGGGCGAGAATGCAGAGGAGGAAAAAAGTAAGAGAAGTCACCAAGCCAATTCATATCGACAAAAACACTCTCTCTGAAACAAAGAATATGTGCTTGAGCTGTGGGACGGGGGTATGGGGTATCTACGGGTTGATAAGAAAGCGAACTAGTCAATGCGCCTGTACAGCTTGGCCTTGGAGCCAGCAGACGAAGCTCCAGCACAACATGCAGCAGGCTGCTCTTCGGGGTGGAGAGAAGATTTGTTGAACAGCTGGGAGGATTGCGGAACGTCAAGAGCAGGGTTCTTGGTAAAGAAGCCATCGGGCTTCAGCATGACGCTGATGCGCTCCATCGGCATAACGGGGAAGTCCTCAATACGGGGATTGTGGGTAAGACCGAAGGCTGCAAGGGTTCGTTAGTCGTACGGTACAGACTCAGTCACGGGGAAGAATGCTTACTATGCCAAAGGACGACGTCTTCATTCTCTGTGTTGTCTTTACGCTGCACCCAAGTCTCGACGCCCTCGGCGCGGCGGCTTTGGTTGGTGAACTCGCCTGCAGCGTACAGTTCATCATCCTGGTACTTGGTGACCCAGATGGGCTTGGTGGCAAACTCAGCACGGCGGAAGCCGTGGGCATTCTTGCTGACCAGAAGCATTTGGCTGGGAGCAGCCATAAGCTTGTATGCGACAGGCTTATAGGTGATTGGGTTGGTAATATTATCGTTACGGATCTTAAAGACGCGGTGGCGATCGACGCTGGTGTTCGCTGTGCCTGCCGTGCGCATTACCGTAGACTCGGAGGTATAGCCCACAAGGTAGGGGTTCTTCTCGTCTTCTGGCATAGGGACGCTGTCCTCGTAGTAGACGGTGTTCTTAAATCCATCAATAGCAGGGTCAATCCGTAGCGAGAACATATGCTGGTGGAAGGGAGCCATGACACCAGGACCGACATTTGTACCCCAAGGGACGGTTTGGCCGTTCTCGTTGTCGAATGGGACGGTGGAAAGAATGCCGGTAGCCCGGACTTCCAATTCCACATTGGCGGCTTGATCAAAGATGTAATTAAAGATATACTCATAGTTGGCCACGGTGCAGATCATCTGTAGGACCAACTGGCGATTGCGCACAACGGTAGCGGCACCGGACCGATAGTTAGTGTGTTTATGCTGCAAACCGTTATCTTGTTCGTGCATACAAATCACGTTCTTCAGATGCAGTGGGTTGCCCTTGGAGTCGTTGCGGTAGCCATCAAAATATTTGATATGGCCGAGACAGTCACACCCAAGAGCCAACTGATTGGCATTCATACCAAAACCAGTGTCGCCGACATCAAACGCCTGCTTGCGATGATAGGGGGCTCGGGGATCTAGATTCATATTAGTTAGGTCCCGTAGGAGTTAGGAGTGATAGAGCCCCGATCTCACTTACCTCCATAGGGAACGGTCATCTCAGAAACAGCTAAACGATAGAAGAGATTTCTGTTGTCATATGTAACGTTATAGATAATCAAGCCTTCGCGAGCGTTGAAACCGACCCTGAAGCGCCACTTCTGCCAGTAGACGGAGTTTCCATCCACTGAAAAAGAAGGACCCTCGGGCTGTTGTACGATATATGGCTTGAGATCGGTGCGGAGGGGCTCGTCTAAGAGGTCGTGGGCGTACTGGACTGCCTTGACAGGCTTCCAAGGCTGGGTAGAGGTAGTCCCAAAATCAGCACCGCCGGGCAGGTAGTCCATACGGACCAACTCATGAGTGAGACCGTCGAACACCGGTGAAAACTTGCAAGGAAGAGAGTAGTGATTGTTCTGGGGGTGATCCACTTCGACCATGTACATAAAGCATTGGAAGAGCCGTCGGTCCTCGTTGTCGTCGTCCGTACCATACATCCAAGGGTCGTTGCACACAGTGACGCCCGCGGGCAGTTGCAGTTTCTCGATCTCCGCCAGTACGGCGGGGTGCTTCATGCACATCTCTTCAATTCCGGCAATTTCATCGATATCAATGGGACCCTATAAAGTAGACTTGTTAGTTAACCCGGTTGCTTGCCTCGTGAAGATGGCTCTACTTACCTGAACATCCTTGGGAAGCTCCTTGGCATAGACAATGGTCCGCTTGTCGGCATTGAGGATAGCCTTATAAAATGCGCCGGTGTCCAGACGGTGGAAGAGCACATAGAGGAGACGGGCCGGAGGTGGGGGCAGCGGACGCCGTAGACGCTCTGCTTCAATGTATGCGATAACATCCTTCTTGATAGGCTCATTGACATCAATGCGCTTGTAGCGCAGAGAAACGCCCGGGAAGGTCGCCTCAAGGATGCGTACGGCGAGCTTGATCTCCTCCGGTGTGATTGGGTCGAATGGGTGCGGGCCGTGGTTGGTCACCATTTTAGCGGTGTTGGGGTACACGTCTGATGTAGAGATATGAGGCGAAGGTATTAGAGAAGGAATATTACACGAGTCCACGGAGAAGTGAAAAAAGACAAGTGAAAAAGGCAGATGTATTGAATGAGGGGATTAGGCCCAATGCCTGCACTTAAATATCTCGTCGCATTGGGGGGGGGTCCGGGGGATCTTATCAGGTTACATAAGTTCTGGATGGACTTCCCTAATTGGGAAAGAAACCAGGGCAATTGGAGAAGAGGGTCTTGGCTCTGATAGTCAGGCCAAACCGGGTTAAACATGAATATACGAGGCAAAAGTCATAACGAAAGAACTCACTCGACTTACTCAAAATACCCTCTTAGATTCATCTGAATGATCCAAGCTAACATACCCTGTTCTCCGTCGAAATAGCAGGTGAGGAGATCATTTACAGTGCCAGTCACATGACCTCCAATCCACAATTGGGATGGCACGTGAGTGTGGGGTCGCGTGAAATTGTCCAAATTCGGTTTAGTGGGATTTGCTATCGATAACTCCCCGAGAAATCGAGCGGGTTATTACATCGGGAGCGCATGCTTGTCTGAATTTGTCCAATATCTGTGATAAGCATGCCGTCACTAGTACCTGTTAGAGAACCTCCACATCACCCAGGCGCTCCTTGACACTATGAATGCCTTTCCTATGAATGGCTCGGCGCAGTCGTCTCCCCTCACGTCCAGCCAGCCCACTTCCGCCCCGAAGAAAGGTAGAACACGGCAGTCTGGCACGGCATGGACTCGGTCAGGATGCATAACCTGTAAAAGAAGGCGCAAGGCCTGTGATAAGACCAAACCAAGGTGCGGGGTAAAATTTGACTTTCAATTTCATAACTAATTCGATCAGTTGCAACAATTGTCTCAAGCAAGGCCGGACATGCGAGGGCTATGGCTCCATATGGGTAGAGCCGCTAAGTCCATCGGCGCAGGTATTCTCCCAGACAGGAACTTCAAAGCGCCGACGGCTCAGTGAATCCTCGTCATCTCAATTCCTTTCGTCTGCACCGTCCCCGTCCTCGGATGCATGGCTCGAGACTCGTTCGTCTCGGGGGTCGGGAACTTCCCCGAGCTGGTCTGTTGCATCTTCTCCTCGACAATATGTACCGTTTGACGCAGCTACCAGTCCGGTTCGAGTTGCAGAGGAGTATATTCTTAGCCCTGATATTGATTTGCATAGCTCTGTCGCAGTGATCCCACAGCCTCAAGGATATATCAGTCATCTCTCAACACATGAGACTCACTATCTCCAATATCACATGGAGGAGGGTTCTCGACTGCTAGCGAACTTAGAGAGCCATGATAATCCCCTTCGGTCGATGTTGATTCCTAGGGCAATGTCATCGCCTCTGCTGATGAAGGCCGTATGTGCCGTCTCTGCCCTTCATCTAGCAAATCGCTCCCATGGTTTTGGGGCACATACGGCTGCAGTCAAATACTACAGTGGAACACTCAACGGACTCCGCTCAGCGCTCGACAATTGTTCAACGGAGGTGTTCCCTGACGATGCCATGCTGGCAGTCGGTCTACTATGCAAATATGAGATCGTGCGTGGTAGCGTAAAGCAGTGGGTTGTTCATCTCAATGCATTGCAACGTCTGATTGTTTCTCGTGGTGGATTTGCGTCAATGGATCGAGAGGCAGCCGAGTTCCTGCGTGGACTGTATGTGTGATTACCCGCGAGGTACATTGCCGAATGCTAACGTAATATATTGACATCCAGATTCGTGTATGCCCATAATATGGCCCGGATCAGCAACCGAAACTGTATCACTTCCACAGATATTTCTGTCGACAGTGACATCGGTATCCCAAAATTGGATATATATATCGGATACACCGAGGAGCTCCTGAAATTATGTGCACGCACCGCAGAACTGCCTTCCCTCCAAGCTGATTCGTTGGCTCTTCGACTCAGCGTTGCATCCATGTTGGTCTCTCTCTTTCACTAACCAAAAAATAGTCCAGTCGAAGATCTGCACTAACACCACATCTCAGAAACGAATCCCTCCTCACCTGGTCTCATAATTCAACCCCCAACATAATTCCCCAGGGGACACCGCCAGCAACCCTAACTCGGCTTCAACTCGTAGCTGAATGTTTCCGCGATGCAGGTTTTGTCTACCTCCACTCAATCATGGAGCGCATTAGCAGAACCCATCCGCATACCTCTTCCACTGCCAGTCCTGGTATTATTGTCAACACCCAACTCGAGGAGAACCCCTCTCTCCCAGCACAAGACTGGCTTCCTCTCATCTCCACGCCTAAAAATGTCGCCGTCTGCCGCTGTCTTGGCCGGGTTGAAACTTTCCCGCTGGGTGACCACTGTGAGTACTCGGCACTCACGTTCCCGCTCTTTATCTCCGGGTGTGAGAGTGATGACGTAGCGGACAGAGAGGTTGTGCTTCGTTCCTTGGGCAAGCTACAGGATAACTTTGGGATTGGGAATGTTAGACGTGCAAAGGAGTTATTGAGGATATTGTGGGCGAGACAGGATGCTAGCTTTGATGCTCGGTTTATTGGGATGAGTCGGCAGAAGAATGTGCATTGGTTAGATATTGTCGAGGAGCTGGGGTGGGAATTGATCCTTGCATAGATAGCCCACGGCAGTAGCTTGGATTTCAGCTTTATTGTATCTATATTTGTTGCATTGGAGAGATAGAGATTTATGTTTGGATGAATGACACGAAAGCATGGTCGTTATGGATTATATATATGGTATTATGTTTTTAAGGTGCTCTCACACTCCTAGATGTATACCCGCCACACAGATCTAATTGTAATATTTAAGAATTGTAGACTAATCTATCAATGTTTAGGCCGAATTTAGCGGGGTAGATTTTAGAATCTCGATCGTGAGTATTATTACACTTTCCTGGAGGAAGAGTATAGCTATCCGGCTATAGGGATGATCAGGTATTAAAGGCCAGACGAAGTCCTAGAACCTAGAGGGGGTAGGGTTAATACGACGAACCTTAAATACGCCTTATTTAGTACTATTTGCGACGTTCCAAGGTTATTATAGGGGATCTCGCTATATAGAAGTAGAGGGATTCGGAGCCGTATGCTCAGGATATACAGACATAGGCTAATTCACTATCAATCTAGCATTATCATGAAGGCAAGGCAACAGTTCGTGAGTTGACATACATGCGGCATATTAGATCCAGGGCAACATAGTATGGCTGCGTGTATGTACCTTTTGTATGGCAATCACATACAAAAGATACCTAATGTTTACAATTATCCGGGAATACCCCCACATGGACCCTGGATTTGGCCTGGGCACGCGAGCTGGGATCAGCACTATTATTCGACTCCGTAAATGGTACAGAAGTACGGAGTAGATTAATTGATTCTACTCCGTACTCGCAGAAATTTTCTTTTATAATGCTTTTAGGGTATATCTAGCCCGTATATGGGCTGGAGGAAATATTATGCTGTTTGTTATTCTTTGACTCATCCTGAATTCTTTTTCTTTTTTGAACTGCTATATTACTGGCGCCAATCAAGCTCGGGATTGAGATAACTACTATCCTCGCTTGCAAAAGTACCCACTATGGCCCAGAAAATGACTATGACCCAGCAAATCGCGACTAGTGAGATTGATTGTGACAGCTTGGAGAGCGATGGCGTGCTAGGCTATCGATATTAATGGCCAACTCCACGGCCTCTACTTAAGCAACGGATGTCTCCTCTGCGGATTTCAGAGGAAATCATCGCTACTCCCGCCAGGATGACCGCTCTGACAACCTCACCAGTAGAGAGCGTCTCGGCCGAACTCGAGAAAAGAACTCTCGATGTTCAGTCTCCAGCAGGCGATGGGGCACTACAGTTACTAGAAGCCGGTTCGGCGAGCGTCCTCGACCCCGCAGCATCTAGACGACTGTTGCGCAAGATCGACTTGTATATCATGCCATTGATCTGCATCGTGTACTTCCTCCAGTATCTGGACAAGATCGCCATCAGCTATGCCAGTGTCACGGGGATGCGCGAGTCAGCAAACCTCCAGGGCAACCAATTCAACTGGGTGTCGAGCATCTTCTTTTTCGGCCAGCTAGCGTTCGCCTTCCCCACCATGCGCGTGATGCAAGCATTTCCCTGGCAAAATACGTCGCCGTCAACGTGACCATCTGGGGCACCATCCTGGCCTGCATGGCGGCATGCAAGTCGTTCGCTTCCTTGATGGTCTGCCGCACGCTTCTGGGCGCTGCAGAAGCCTCTATCGTGCCCGCCTGGGTAGTCTTCACCTCGCAGTGGTACCGGAAGGATGAACAGGCTTTCCGCGTCGGTCTGTGGTTCTCCATGTGTGGATTTGCGCAGATGTTCGGCGGTTACGTCGCATATGGCGTGGCAACTCACATCGGCGGGGATCCTAGCGCCTCCCTACGAGGCTGGCAGGTTATCTTCCTGATCCTGGGCCTGCTCACCGTGGTGACCGGGATTCTTTTTCTTCTTCCTCCTGCCTGATTCCCCTTTGACAGCGGGTTTTTTGTCTCCGGAAGAAAAGGCAATGCACGCCGAGCGTCTTCGGGGTAACGGACAGGGTATTGGAACCAATGTCTTTAAGAAAGCCCAGGTTTACGAAGCCCTTACCGACCCGCATACCTGGCTCTATGCCTTCTGGGTCCTGGCGGCAAATGTACCTAACTCCACTGCCACAAGTTTTGGAAACATCATGGTAACAGGGATGGGCTTCTCGAAAACGGAAAGTCTTCTGCTTGTGACGCCCATGGGCGCTTATGAGGTGGTGGCTCTGGTTGGCCTGACCTATCTGGCAATGAAGACACAGCGGCGACTGTTCTGGTGCATCATAGGCCATATCCTGGCAGTCGTGGGTGCGATCTTAATGGCGACAACCGACAAGGTGCCGGCCCTTGTGGGATACTATCTCACCGGGGGCATTCCACTTGGATGGACGACAATTCTTGGGCTCACCAGTACCAATGTGGCTGGCTCAACCAAGAAGATCACTGTGTCGTGCATCCAGACGATTGCCTACACTGTCGGCAACATCATCTCGCCGCAGACCTTCCAAGCCAAAGATGCCCCAGGGTATTTGCCGGCCAAGATCTCTATCTGCATCCTGTATTTCATCGTCACGCTAGACCTGTGCCTTATCTGGTGGATATCGCAACGAGAGAATCGTCGACGTGACGAGCAAAAGGAGGCATTGGGTGAGGCGTACGTCGTTCCAGAGAACCACGAATTTTTGGACCTGACAGACCGGGAGAATCCAGAATTCCGTTATGTGATATGAAGACGCACATGTGGTTCTGTGTCCTTGAGTTGCAACAGGCCTGAAACACATTTCTGGACTCATGTTTCATCCGGTTTTTGAGTTGCCTTTCCCTTTTTATGTTAATATTAGACAAAATGTACATATTTCATAAATTATACCAAAATAGGGGATTCTCGTATCTAGGCCGACGGGCTTGTTTCACATTACAAACAATAAGGATATATAAGCGTGTGCCCTAGGTAGCAAGTCGCGGAATTCGAAACGGGATTGCATACATGAATGAAGAACGCCCGATCAACTCAGCCCCATGTTCACCTCATCGCTGAGCCCAAATTCCCTTTCCGCCCTTTCTGTCCCGCCTGCAGCTCGAGTTGACCACCGGTCGAGATGATCTTGCGAGTTGGCCATCTCCTTTTCACGCAAACTGGCGCTGTCACTAGTTGCCACACTTCCTTCGCGGGCATGCGACGATTTGCGGGAATTTTTGATGCTGATGGGTCGCGAGGCGTCTGCTCTATCGGATACGATAGATGCATTTGAGCCCGTAGCACGCCCACTGTCAGCCGGCGGCCCGCCAGGAAAGGCCTGCTCTTTGTCCTTGGTACCGCTGAACCAGCGTCGACGATGGGATTTGGAGGAGGTGGATGGCGTGATGCTTTGTGCGTCGGCGTTGTCATCATTCTCTCGTTGTTTCTCTTTTTCCAGAGCCTGCGTGAGCCCGGAAATGGTTTCTTCAGAGGGATTCTGGGTGTCTTGAGGTGACACGTCCGCTAATTCAGCGTCACGGTACCACTTCCGTCGACGAGTATAGCGATCCCATCCATCTTGACCGCGCCGGCCGTCATTCCACTAGAGGTTTGTCAGAAAATGATACAAAGAAGCTTAGAGGGAGAGAGAGAACCAACCTTGTTATCATAATAGATCCATCCTTCGCCGGTTGACCCTTTCGAGTCCGATTTCCCATTGAAGTTGTCTGCTCCTTCGATGCGCCACTCACTTCCCTCTACCCAGCGCCATTTGGCATCTCCTGTCTGAACCTCCGGTAACTCGAAAGAATCTTTGGGATTCACTGGGTTCATATGCTCGTCTGTCCAAGGATCACGTTCTGCTGGGAACAATGAATAAGTCCACCCGATTCCCAGCCAGCGCCGCTGGTTCTCATAGACAACAAATGTGAACCGCACACCTGCGTTGTTTCCACGTCGCCGAGTTGAAATGTTTAAGCCTTGCTTTTCGCCTTGGGCTTGGGCCGGGGCCTTTTGTGGGCTGCCCAGGGTATCGGCGACGGAGAGACCTGTGGCTGCAGCGCATAGCCGACGCACGGCTCGAGACCGCCACAGAATGACACGCGAGACCCTAGCGGGCCGGGAATGGTAAGTTAGAACGATAGTGCCGACGGCCATGACGATGCGGCGTGTGGTGAGTATGTAGAATGGAGGTAGAGTCAGACCGATCCAGACAGGAGTGACTAAGAGGATGCGGATGAACAGAGCTGTCAGCGCGGGTTTGGTAGTCGCAGATGTAGGAGTGCGCTGGGTGGATAGGAAGTCGGTGAGGTCGAGTAGGGGCTCGAGGAGGATATTGCATCTGGTGGTGAAGATGCGAAGGGTTTCAACAATTTCATCAAGACTCTTTTGATGACGGAGTGAGCTATCTGGGGCAACTTTTGTCTTGTGCTTTTCGCCTGTTGATGTTGTTGATGACAGAGGCGAGTAACGACGTCCATACATGCCGAGGATCAAGGCGACCACGACCAGGATCGGTCCTGCCCAAAGAATGATGGCATCGCTATATAGCACGATAGTCCAAAAGGTAGCCACCAGCAGAAAGCTCTGCCACGGGTCTCCAGAAGTCCATGTTAGAAGACCTGCCAATTTATTTAGAGGAAGTAGAAACGGGTGCGAGTAGGCCAGGGCTCGCGTGATAGCCGGTGGTGTGGCCACCAGGAGAGGTGATTTGCGATGCACGATGACACTGGAGCGCTGGCGCGAGGTGAGAGCAGAGCCGGTAATCGTTGAGGGAGAGAAGGCAGCGACCGTCGGCGGTTGAGAATCCGACTGGCCGTGATCCTGTGCGTTCGATGAGGGTGCCATGGAGTCTATCCACGGAAAGTTGTCTGTTTTTCCATTAGTGATCGGGTTTAAGGAGAAGGACAATCAAATATCATACCTAAAGCTGCCATCCAATCATGGACAGGTCATAGAGGGACAATGAACTCATCGTCTGGGATGAGTGAAGACTTTATATGGTTGTTCGTTCATGTTCGGTCCAAAGAAGATCTGCGGGGAGATCGAACTTGAGGGCATGTGACTCTCGGTATATGTTGTGAAAGGGTGTGATATTGCTGATATTGTTCCGATATTGGCTTTTATTCTTTTTTAGAATGAAGATCTACATATAGAAGAACAATAATAACTACTTCATAAATTATCTTAATCTCAAATTAACCTTACTATGTACATACAACTGTTCTCTATACTCCTCCTGCCCGTGCCTGGACAGCTCCCGACGCTAAAACCCGCAGCCGAAATTTTCCCCTTCTCTCTTTCTTCCTTCAACCGTTAACTTCGTGATCGCCTCCTCTACGGCACTTTCTCAATGGTATGTCCATCGATCTCCTTATTTTTCCCATTCTTAAAATTTAAACTAATAATTTTTCTAGGCTCATCGCATCGTCTCTCAAGTCGTCGTGACTGGAGCCCGGGTCTTCGGCCGCGCCTTCGCCGAAGCCTACAAACAAGCCCAGGCATCCGGCAAATATGCTGGCCAGCAAAAGGCAGCCGGCAAATCCGGTACCACCTCGAGCGTAACCATCGACGAAGCCTGCAAAATCCTGAACGTCAAGCCCCCGGCCTCCGGGGAACACGACCTCGAACATATCATGTCCCGATTCAAGAAACTCTTCGACACGAACAACCCCGAAAAGGGCGGCAGCTTCTACTTGCAAAGCAAAATTCTACGTGCACGCGAGCGGCTGGAGATGGAGTTCCGCGAGATCGAGCGCAAAGCTGCGCACGACAAGGAATTGAAGGAAGGCTGGAACCCCAAGGTCTACAAGGATAAATGAACATGACAAAATCAGTGCGGTTCTCCGGTTGCCCGGCCCTCCGGTTTCCCTCCCGGTTTCCCTACGAGCACATCTACGCTTTCCTGCGATAGAAGCCTCCGACTTCAGCCGGCTTCTTTGTTTTTGATCTGCTCGTCTTTCTTGTTTTGGCATAGCATGGCGTTTGGGTTGTTGAAAGACGCCTTGATTTTCTAGATTGGGTCTTTCTCTCTGATATTTTAAGATGGGCCCTGAATCCCTTTCCTGGGCATCATCTCCGGTTGGACGTGGAAGTGTCTATTCCCGACCTTCTCATCGACCTTTCGGTCTGTGTATATCATCTGTGATGCGCCGCGTTCCGTTGACCTTCTCCACTCTCACCCGGAAAGGATTCATGTACAATAGCTATATATTTGCATTAACTTGTGTAATGTCCGATCTAGACTCATTTACTGTGTATTCTTCGCACATCTATATCGTACCTACGTACAATATAGTTATCGGAATCTGCACTTGACTTTTTCCCTTTTTTGCCACCGCCGCCTTGCCAGGAACATCTTCACGTTGTCCCTGTACCTACCTAGGTATGTACCCTACTTCTATCAAGGGGACATTCGAACCACGCATCTCAAATAAGACCTACAAAAAGAGAATATGTCACACAAAGCCGATCAGGCTGTGGCCACATGCCCCGATATGCGGGTGGGATAATCCCCGCCATGGCGCCATCCGGAGCGGAGCCGAAGGGGGGTTCTATTTTTTTTTTGGAGAAAATCCAGGCACTGCACTTAACATTAAAAAGTTTTTACCGACCGATCTATAGGAGATCACTCACGCATTCATAGCCAACTCTTCAGCATTGACAAGATTGGCCTCCCAGACCATACGCCATGCGCCCCTCCACCCCACTGTCCGCGGCCCTGCCGCCGCTGATAATGGGCACCGCAACCTTCAATTCCCAATATAACGCCGACCCTTACGCCCTCCCAACAACAGAACTCGTCCAACGCGCACTATCACGCGGTGTGCGCGCCTTCGACACATCCCCTTACTACGGCCCCGCAGAAGAACTCCTCGGCCGCGCCCTGGCAACAGAAACCGTACAAACCAACTTCCCACGGGAGACATACCACCTTCTCACAAAAGTCGGGCGCATAACCGGCTCCTCATTCGACTACTCGCCGCAATGGATCAGACACAGCGTGCGACGCAGTCTGCAACGCCTACACACAGACTACCTGGACGTAGTGTACTGCCACGACGTGGAGTTCGTGACGGCTGCAGAAGTGGTCATAGCAGTGCGGGAGCTGCGCCGTCTCCGCGATGAAGAGGGCGTGCTACGCTACGTCGGTATCTCCGGCTATCCGGTCGACACGCTCAGTGAGCTGGCAGAGACGGTTCTCCGCGAGACGGGTGAGCCGCTTGATATCGTTATGTCGTATGCCAACTTCACTTTGCAGAATACGCGGCTACACTCGCACGCCCTGCCCAGGCTGCTTGCTGCTGGCGTTGATGTTGTTCCGAACGCATCCCCGCTGGGAATGGGATTGCTTCGTCGTGACGGCGTGCCTATTGGCTCGATGGGCGATTTCCATCCTGCTCCTAATGCCCTGCGGAGTGCTATTCGTAGTGCTGCGGATTTTGCTTCGGGGCATGGAGAGAAGCTTGAGGTTGTTGCGATTCGGTTTGCGCTGGAGGCGTGGCTGCGTGTTGGTGCGCGGGCTGGTGGTCTCGGCGCACCACTTGCTCGTTCTGCGGACGCTGATCCTGGGTTCTTGTCTGTGGCCAGTATGGGCACCGGCAGGAGACTGGGTGTCAGCGTTATGGGCGTTAGTAATATCGCTGAGCTGGACGAGACTTTGCGCGTGTGGCACAGTATTGTCGATGGACTGGAAAATTGGAGTGAGGACGACGATGCCTCGTACTTCGATACTAAGTTGAAATCGCCTGGACTGTCAACTCCTAGCCTGGATGTTCCGCCGGGTGATGTTCCCGCGGCGTCGAATATTCTCACGCCCCAGGAGGGCCTTATCACAGACCGTGCCTGGTCTCATGCGCGCGGAGTTCATATCTTGCAGCTGGCACGAGAAATTCGGGATATATTAGGTACAGAGTGGGTTGATTATGCCTGGGCCAGTCCAGGGCCAGACTTTGTGAATTCGTTATCCGAGGAGCATATCGCTGCTGTGCGGAGGATCGAGGCCGAGGAGAGAACAGGACGGAAGCCATCTCTCTCTATATCTGATACGGCTATTAGGGAGGATCCTATGCTGACGCCACCGTCCGATGTGGAAAAGCAGCTTGCATAGTCAGAAACAGAACTTCATGAATGCATTGAGATACACCTTTATGGCGTCTCCTAGTGTTTTCTCGTAACTCCTATGTATTTCCATCGATCTGGGTTAGACGAATATTCGCACCTAAGCAGGCAGGAAGGGACTCAGCAGCACGTGGAAATGGGCCCACCGTCCGATAGAAGAAATGCGAGTTCGGCGTCTAGTCCCAAGCCCAGGCTCCTGATGCTGTCCTCTCCCAGAAGTCGCATGTAGCGCTCTCTGGGTGAGAAGGCATGGGAAGGAGAGGGCGAAGGGAAAAGAAAGAAAAATAAACGCCAACAAACATAGACACACGTTGGGCGCGAATCCATGATCATCGGGGGTTTCATTGAAATCACTAACATCATCCCATGTAGGGACAAAGGACTGCAAGAACTAGGTGCTTGCCGAGGGTGTGCCGGGAAGGCATTAGACGTTGAAATGCCGGATCGACTAGAACAGATCTTGAAAACAAGGTCATCCAGGGTTTGAGATTGCCGAGGCTATCCACATTGAATCTGGCTCTCGATCAGATATGATCGGAAACAGATTTCAACATCCGAACAACCCTAATCAATCGCAACCAAGGGACAAGTCAACAGATTCTGGCGAAGTCGGAATCCGGGAGAGAATCCTAAATAGTAAGTCACTGTTTTTCGTCTCAAGCTCAAAGAAGAATGCTCATTCTCGATTTCCACCAGTCATTCGCTGCGCTTCTCGCCATCGAAAAGCAGAAGCATACGCGAAGGTATCACCAACTACACCATCCCGCCATCGCAAACATCCCTCCTCTCTTCCCCGTGCAAATCACCAAACCATTCGAAGTAAGGGGTATCATCATACAAAATAAAAGCATACAAACTGAAACCAAATGAAAGTCGTTGCGGGCGTGGAAGTGGAGGCTCAAAATTAGGCCGAGGCGAGAAGTTTCTCTCTCCTGTCCAAGTCCGCATTCATCTGCTCATCGGTCTCGTAACCTGCATGGCGGCGAGCTTGGCGGAGGCTGAGGGTATTGGGGAGTTTCTTGAGGTCGGGCCTCAAGCGTTTGAGTCTAGCTGCGCGCTCCTGACACAACTGACGTCTTGTTTCTCCCTTCCGAGTTTTGGCAGACTTTGCTTCGGGTCCCGGTGCTTCATCAGAGGAAATATCTTCTGGCTCCGATTTCGTGCCCTTCAACTTCGACTTGGGCTTTTTGGCAGGCTTGCGAGCTGGGGGCGCTGGGGGTGCTAGCAAGGGAGAGTGAGCTCCGTCGGTAGGAGGGGGAGGTGGAGGGGAGGTTCCGTTAGCAGGAGGGGATCCCGGCGGCGGTGGAGGCGGAGACTCCCTGTAACGAGCGAATCTATCCTCTGTCATGAACACCTGACGGAGTTGGAAGCGTTGCTCGATGTATTCATCAAAGTTAGCCGCAATGATGGGTTCAAGAATGCTCTTGTTCGATCCTTGGACAAGTGCGAGATATTCCATGCGATTCTTCAAGGCAGTATGGGCATTAGAAAAGGCTCGGAAAATCAACCCAATTTCCTTCGTGCCACCTGAAATATCGTTGTCTCGGTTATTGGGATCTTCGATTGTGAGACGATCGGGATTGCCGAAGTAATAGCCCTGTTTGACATGATTAGCCGGCTAGTTGATAAGTAATGCGAAGTAAAATCCACTCACCTTGTTGAAATAGCCTGGAGGGTCCATCCGGATTGCCAGCCTATCATAGGAGAATTGCTTCCCGTAGAAATTGAAGAAATCAAGCAAGATTGTTGCAAGGTTCGGCTGCATATGGCCCTGGGGCAGATGCTGGAGAAGACTTGTTACCAAGCAAGTGATGGAGAAACCTCCTAGACCACCGGTCGGCACTTCGTTGAGGCCGCGGATCAACAAGAACTGCTTAATCACGGCTAGGATAACTGGCATCATTGGATACTGGGTTTTCCATTTCTGGAATGTGTCATTGGCGATCAAGCCACTGTCATTGTCGAAAGACAAATCCACTCGCAACCCAGTCAGCTTGTCCACGTACTTGAGAATTGGTACCCGCGCGGAGGCAATGCATTCGATCGAGTTTGGAACAGCAATATTTGTGCTCTTGAGGAAAGCCGAAAACGCATAGATTTGACCCTTCCTCTCTCCGAATGTTCGAACTCCCGTGCGCAAAAATGTGTTGGAAAGCAGCACCAGATCAATATCGGCCGTAGGTAGATAGAGACCTGAGGCAAAAGAACCAAAGGCTCGGATTGAAACGTTATGGTATCGTTGTTGGAATACAGTCTCCAATCGATTGACGAGATCGGCGCGGACGATGTGTTCGAATTCCTGTGGCTTGGCCCAATGATAGAAGCTGAGAATCTCATTATGCAGCCTGGTTTAAATGTTAGAGAGAAAACAGAAAGAGCGCGAAGGATAGTACTGACTGGGTTCCCACGTGCAAGGAAACTGGGGTGCCCTCGAACCAGGGCGTGCCTGTCTCTGGGGAAAGTGGTCTCCATTGATCGATAACGGATCCATCGTAGTTGAACCTGCTGGCAGGCTTTCCGGTCTTTCGGGAGTACCCTTTGAGCTCATCATCACGGGTCCGCTTTCGACTCGCAATGGCGGGATCTAGAGCTTCCTGGGCCTTCGGCCCTTTAGGGGCGTTTTCAGGAGCGTTACTCTCAGAAACTTCTGTTTCGAAGCCCATGCCAAGAGAAATGAAGTCTGAGTTTTGCTTGACTGCATCCGTCTCGTCTGTCTTTGGGGCAACCTCAAGTCTCGCCTTGCGAATCAACTTGACAACATCCACCCTTTTGTTTGTAGTTTCGGCCGGAGGAGGTAGTGCAGTGTAAGGATCGGGGTTCGACCATTTCGGAACAGGAGGAGGGGCTGGAGCAGTCTCTTGAGGCCCGTCGAGGGCTAGCGCACGTCTTTTACGTGGCCGCTCGGCATCGGATTCATCAGACATGTCCATCTCTGCCTCCTCACTGTCGCTCAAAGCAGAAAGCGGAGCAAACTTGAATTCGGGCTTAGTCTCACTGTCAAGCCGTTGGGGTGGGCTTTCCCTCTTCGAGGACAACAAAGGTCGGTCCGACGTGGCAGGTTTCTGATACCGGAAAGTGAACTCATGTCGCGGATTAGGACGCGAGCCACGGTGGTTAGAATTTCCTCTGAACTGGAATGGAGGTGGCATTTTGAACAGCTGCAGTTAAGCAGCAACAATGCAGACGCGTGGAGGAGAGAATCAAGAATTTCCAATTTCGACACGCGAAAAAAAAGATCTCCGAAAAAGTCAAGCGGAGGGAAGGCGGTGACTGGACTTGGTCGCACCTTCCACGTGGATGTCCGCGGGTACTACCACTACCTAGGTACATACACTACACCCGCAGAGGTATATGGGATGACATTCTTGGATTGTAGCATCTTTCAGATGTCAATTCCTAGTTTCTCTTTGAATATATCTTGAGGCCCTCCTCTAGAATATGGATTAAATCATGTTGCACTGCCATCTCAGCAAAGCTGATACGATCTGTGGCCCATTCCAACCAGTCCTCAGCTCGAGCACCATTTGCCTGAAGCAAACCCACACTCACATCAATTAGCAGTGGTCGTTCATCACAGTGCCAAAAGGCAGTAGCCCCACAGCAGCTGCAGAATTCCCTATATACCCCAGGTGAACTTCTATGTCGCTGCATGGTCCCTGCATTGAACACAAGCGGTGAACCGTCTGCATTGAAGATGTTGGACTTCGGCACAAATGCCCAGGTCTGGATAGGAAATCCACTGCTCAATCGACAGCTGCTGCAGACACAGGTTCCTGCGATATATTTCGTATCACCATCTCGCAACCACCATTTGATATCGTTAGGATTCGCCCCAGAACCGGTGTGGTATGGAACCAGGAGATCTGGCCATGGCGAGGATGCTTGTAAAGACGACACATCCGGTTTGGTGATATAAAACTCAACTCCCCCACAGAAGCAACGTGCATACAAATGCTGGCTTGTTGATGTGTATTCTACCGGGTTTGTTGATTCTCGGTTAGGGCTCTCGATGCTGGTTGAAGAACCTAATCTGCAACCTGTGACAGTGGACTCAGTTCCAGGGAGCACCGCACTTAGCCCACCGTCACCAGTATCGCTGCTTTTCCAGTGCTCAACCGCTCGGACCGAGGGAACGTTCTTTCCTGCCAACAACCCTGAGGCAACTAGAAACTGTCCCTCGGGCTGCAAGCGAGCGAAGACGTGGGCACCACATGTCCTACAGAAGAAGCGACTCACGTGTTTGGACTGTTGGTATTCCTGGAGCCCATCCAGGTTCGGTGGTTCATGCTGAAGGAGATAATACGATGAGAATAGTTGCCCAGTCACCATTCGACAGCTGTTGCAATGACATAATTGGAGTTTGGATTGGTCGGTAACAGAGTCCAATTGGATAGGTAAAGCTACACTTCTGCATATGCAAGCGATAGGAGTAGTCATTTGAGGACGCAAATAAATTTCGAGATGGCAGACACGGCTCTCGAAGCATGCGTTGTCTATGTGTGTGAGCGGGGACAGAAATATGCTCGGAAGTGTAACGGTGGAACGAGATGCAAGCAATGAGAATTCACTCAAGTTGTCTGAGTCGACGTATCCCGGAAAGTCACGAGTATATAAAGCCCCGACCCCTCTCCTCTCTCTCTCCCCCCCACCTCGCCTTTTCACAACCAACACAATCCCAAAAGCTTCACCAGTTTTTACCACTCCAACCATACAAAATGAGTAAGCACTTCTATATTTCAACGTTCCATCTTTCATGATATATGTGACTTCACATTCTTGAAGAACCGCGCTTTGCCTTGGCCTGATTTCCGAAATGGCGGGGTCATAGCGGGGTTGTCACCCATCGTATTTCACCCTTTTCCTTTCAATGCTGACCACTACGATAGGCGATCACGGATGCAGCTGCGGCTCCTCTTGCCAGTGCCCTGCCGGCTCCTGCAACTGCCCTGTACGTGTTATACCCTCTTCTTCGATGACGTCTGGCTGACCCGACTCCTCCATCTTTTTAGAAGAAATAAATCACCCATATGGGCAAGATGATTCGAACCTTTCAAGGATGAGCGTGAAGTGAGACGGAGGATATCTGAGTTTGGTAGCTCCTGGTCATGTTACTCGGGGATGCATGTCATGTCATGAAATAGGAGCACTTGCCATAGTGAATGACATGCGGCTGCCCGGCCACTTTTATTCTTTCTAAAACAAGTACCTTGTGGGCATCAGATCCAAAACTTGGATCTTCAGATCGGTATGGGTCAACCTTGTGAGCTTAATAACATGTCCAACATACCTAGGTAGGTACTTGGATACCCGAACCGCCTCCTGAGTGGAGAATACATGTAGCAGAGACACATAACATATATCTACAACGTACATAGCATCTACAGAGCACCTCAGTAAATACAATATAGGTACCTAGGTAAAACCCCCCTATCAATGGAAAAACACAATCTGGGGGAGTTGGCATACCCCAGGAAGGCGAGTCACCGAGAATCTTGTCTGATACGATTTCAGGCATTCTTGTCAACCCAACCACACTCCACTAAGTGATCATCACATCGTCACAGTGACCAGAAATGGAAATAACCTTCCCACCCTTTCACGTACGGCTCCTGCGGCTGTGTTTTGCCGATGCGGCATTTTTTGCCATCTCCAACGTCAAACGTTCCTCGAAACACCCGGTGCCGCTCAGTGTCGATTGTAAGAAGCGATAAAAAGCGGGACTTGATGCTGCACGAGTCCGAGAAGAGTAGTATCTAATCGGAGCCAATCATAATCATGCATGATGCACCTCAGAGAGGTCTGTGATATGCTCTTGGAGCTTCCAAGTGGGCAGCCTCTCCACTTTCTCGGTGCCTGGCTGGTCTGTTTCTAGCTCTCAGTCAGATCCCAAGGAGTCTGCGCGTATAAAATATGAGGCCCAAACGCACGATGTATATTGTAGGCGTTTCTATGTCACGTACATTGTACAGAGTGGTATGCCTCTCAAAGGGAGCGTTATTAGATCTCGCCTCTTGGTATACAGTGCAATAATAAGGTTTCTTTTCTTTTCTTTTTTTTTTTCGAATAGACATTAGCAAATGCACTACGGAGTACGGAGTATGTAGGGGAATGATCTAATGCCTCAAACTGACCTCGGGAGCTAATCCAAACCCCAACAATGCAGGTGCAACTCCAGCGTCTCGCCCGTCATACACTTTTAGTACACAAATACCCCGAAAGCAAAGAAAAACAAAGCCGAAACAACCTGGCACGGCTCCACCGGGTGGATATGAACAATGCATCTCAGGTAATCCAGGGCTACCAATGAGGCCGGATAGCCCCCCTCCTCCAAGGTCCCCGATCCGTGCAAACCTCGCCTCATAGGCTGCCACGATGATAGTCGAACCCGAAACCGCTGCAGGCGCCAGAAATTGCATACTTGGCCCTTACTTGCTGGGGACTATTCATCTTTCCACTGAATACGACGTTATCCTAGTACGTTCTGGTACTGACAGTCCACATCTCGTCCGTATGTTTTACATATGACTGTTCCTATGAGATAATAAGAGGCCCGTCCCGAAACCAGTGGATCAGGGATAGCTTGCAGATCTACGCCGTACCGAAATGTGGCCGTCATCGTGGCATGATGAGGTCTTAATTTACATTGAGACACGAATAGGGAAGGTCGCTGCTACCATATATTTACTATATTCGATGTTTTACACACATCCACATAATAGCCTTTCATATACGGAGTAGTATACATCGTATGACCATGTCCAGTCCAGAACTAAAGGCAAACAATTTACACGTATAGTATAGGCAAAGATGACCATATCTAGCAAAGCGTAAACGACCTTGGAACGCATGTCATTGCTCCACAAAATGAACCCTGCTCGATTCTTCCAAGGTTCCTCTTCAGCCTACGGAGTAAGCCAATAGGCCATCTTTCTTTTTTTCTTTTTTTTGGTTGTGCAGGAACCAGGCCCGAGCACAACGCAATCTGATACACTTCATACAATATACATAGCCTGATTGACCTGATCATGTTGTTCGTACCATACCGAGCAAACCCCGAGGGAGATAACATTTAGAATTCGTAAGAAAATACATCGGAGATGAATCCTTTCAGCGGTATTTGCGCCATATTTAAACGAGAGGGGCTTCAGACTTTAGAAACTTACATCATAGGCAGAACCCGATAGGCTCCGCTTCATTGGCGAGCGGTAGAACAACCTGGTTATAGTACTTTTTACAGCGCATAGCGCGTGAGAATAGACCGAGGATCATGATAGGTGGTATGTTGATTGGGGTTAGTGAGGGGCGACGAGTGGGATGCAGGGCTGGGCTCATTTGACTCGACCACGCGATACGATGGAGTGTGAACGGGGCGCCCCGGCGACGTTGCTACGTCTTAGATTGGATGGAGGCGCAGGATGAATGGGAAAATAGAATATGCGGCGCGCTATTATTGATCGGGATAAAGTAGCTGTCGTGGATTTCAGAGGTATAAAGTAGGCCTCTTATCCTTCCCTTGGACTTTTTTTATTCTCTATCCAAGCCACCTATATCCAAAGCAAACACTACTATCAAGCTTCTTTTCCAAGGTTCTTTACCTACCACATCTATATCCATCATGTCTCCCTGCACCTGCAACTGCTGCTCTGGCGAGTGCAACTCCTGCTCTTGCTCCAGCTGCAAGGTATGTCATTGCTTGCTCATTCCGTGTCTTATAACCATTACTTAGAGTGGGATGCGACCCCGGGGCGAAAGATATACTAACTACCCTTCTAGCACTAAGCCGGCCCACACGTCTTCATCACCGCCATCCTCCTCCAATACAACTCATACCAGACCCGGGCTCCCACTGCTGTCGAACTAGCTTGGGTGCGGGTGCGTCATTGTCGAGATTATGATATAATTCAATTGTGGTCATGATCGAGATGATTGTATACTGGATTGGGGATAATACGGCCTGGAGCCTTGTGGATGGGGTGTTACTTTTTTATAGGTTCTGATCTGACCTTGTGTATGTTTTTGTGATTTAGTCTCCAGCCAAGTACAAATGTGGTTGTATTGCTATCTGTGATCTTTTGTAGTATCTCTATGCTCCAGTAAGCAGGTGTGATTTGATCCTGTTCATGTAATCGGTGTTGGCCTCGAACAACACGCAGCCTCGAGATTCATGCCATTGCACCAGCCGGTTCTTACAATCGTTTTGGGCAGGGTTGACTGTGGGACCTTACACATACAGTGCATCGACCTGAACCTAGGTCACTGACCCCGGGAGAAACAAATTTTGACTTCAATGCTAAGGAACAAGAAAGAAGTACAAAGCGCTCAAATTGCAACCCATTCCAACTATAGGGATGCGTATGAAATAAACATTCAATACATATGTAACAGCTGATCTCTGGATTTATCGTGGCCGTCACAGCTCATCTTTCGAGCGTGGTGCATCATTACCTGCCTCACCACCTGCACATGCAGCTGGCGATGTAACAAGCATGGAGTACACGCACTTCTCCTCTTCCGCTGTCTTCAAGATCTTGTTCTCCTCACCGCACTCCAAAATGACCTTGGTCGACCGATTAGGTCCATTCCAGCAAGACTGGCCGCGATTATACTCAATCGTCATCTTCTCGACATTGACGACCTCGCCAGCCGTGTTGACTTCTTCCACGCTCGTGGTGCCAACATTCGAGAACTTGCCCATGGACACAGAATTGCTTCCCTTCCTCTGGTTCTGCTTGGTCGACTCAAGGAAGCAATGCTCGTACCTGTACTCACCCGCATCCTGGGTGATACAAACCCCCTTGAGTGCGCGGAAGATCGAGCCGGGACCATAGTCTTGCTCAAGGTCGGCACGCTGGTCGCGTAGCTTGTTCTTGAGGCTTGTAACAGAATCTTGTGCGGTCTTCAGGGCGTCGCGTGCCTGGGTCACAGCCTTAGATTCCGATGAAGAGTCTGCATCGGCCTTCGGCAGAATGCCCTTTTCTTCAAGATAGCTCTTGACAGAAATCACCCTGTCTTCAATGAAGCTGACCAGGGATGGTGGGAGATAAGCAGCGAGCTTGTACACTACATTTGGCAGTTAGTAAGCTACAGTAGGTTGCACAAGAAACCAAAGAATAACTCACCTAGATCCGAGTCATTGCATCCATCCTCCTCGTTTTCCCAATGCTCCCAGTTAATACCATTTTCCTCGCCGTCGGCCTTGGCAATCTCGTCTAAGTCGCGGTCCACGGCACCGTTCGCATCCTCGGTGCCTTGCTCACGAGCAGCATAGTCCTCATAGCTACGAACCGCACGTTTGACACCCTCGTCATTGAAGTTGGGGTTATATTCCACCTTGACCTTAGCCAGAATATCCTCGAGCTCCTTCACCCGCTCGCGGGCTTCATCCCGCTGGCGACGCACATCGACCAACGCATTGCGTAGCTCATCAACACGGCCCTTGGCCAAGTTGGCAAGGGCGCTGACCTTGCCTTTACCTTTACCCTTGCCCTTTCCAGTACGAACCACCTTACGGTCCTGCTCCTGGGCGAGCTTCAGATCAGCCTCGAGGTTCTGTTCCTTGAGCTCAGCGCCATGAACCTCTGCCTCTAGCGCAGCGATATGATCCTCAATTTCCTGCTGCTGGCGACCAGCATCGACAAGAAGATCCTTCTTCTTCCTCAGGGCAGCAGTCATCGACTTTTGGTTCTGCTCCTCCTGCTTCCTCCATTGCTTGCCAATCTCCTTGCATCGGTCTTCACACTTTATGCCTCCAACGCGAGCCCACTCGTCGCTACCATCACAGCACTCCTCATAATCACAGATACCATCGTTGACACGCTGGAATGGAACGTATGATGGCCGGTGGCCCTTGTTTTTGCAGTAGAATCCCGGGAGGGCGAGTGCAGTGTCCAAATCGCTATTCCCAGGCCGGTCGGCCACCGTTAGCGGCGAATTGCGCGAGATATGTGCGCAGGCAGACGTGCCAGGCTCGTCGCTTCCGTCGGGACAGTCACAGTAGTCATCGTTGACGGCCGAGAAGGGGATTTTGACCGAGGGATTCGAAATACAGGTGAATGTCGTCAAATCCTGGTAGAATTTGGCAACTAAGAATACTACATTAGTATAATATCCAAGGAGCCAAGATAAAAAGGATCAATTGTCTATCATAGACCACTGCTAGGTGAACCCGCTGCAGTAACACTAGTGGAGATCTAAGTCAGGGCTCAGATACTCACATTCTGGGCCCAAGCCACGGGGACGGACAGGCTTGTCACTACTAGCCTGAGCCGCCGACCCAGCGGCAGCTAGCAACAATAACGACTGGGGGAGTCTCATGCTTGAGGCATTGAGCTTTGTTTGTGGAGGTGCGGAGAGAGCTTCTGGCCAGCTGTTGATAGCGGGCCCGGGCTGGATCTAATCACTGCTGAGTCAGCACGCTATCTTTCCAACTTTATCGTGGCGAAGTGGGAGCATCTTTCATCAACCGCATCGCAAACATGGGTAATGACGGTGGCAGGTGAGTGACTCTGCTATAAATGTGCTACAGACTCAAGCATTTTAACACAAAGACTTTTAGTATTCCAACTCGCCGTGAGCTTGTCCGCGAAGCAGCCCGTGCCCCGAGCACGGCGCAAGTAAAAGAGACCCAGCGCGAACAACAAGAACACTCCTGGACTACCTGTCCTCTCTCGCACAAGTCGCTATCCCGGCCAATTGTCTCAGACTCCGTGGGGAATCTTTACAACAAGGATGCTATACTCCAGTTCCTGCTCCCCGGCGACGATGTTGAGGGCATCAGCTCCAAGGCCGACTGCGAAGAGATCCTGTGCGGGCGAGTGAAGTCGCTCCGGGATGTGGTAGAGTTGAAGTTTGAAGTTGATACCGAACTCACGGAGCACCCGTCAGGCCGTGCTCATGCGCCCCGTGAGCGCCGCGAGGGCTGGATCTGCCCGATCACCGCAAAGCCGTTGGGCCCGAATGTGAAGTCTGTGTACCTGGTGCCGTGTGGGCATGTATTTGCGGAGGAGGCTATCCGACAGCTTAAAGGCGACAAGTGCTTGCAGGTAAGAATCACGCCTTGGATACAAAGTGAGAATAGTGGCTAATCTATGTGTGCTAGTGCAACGAATCCTTACACCGAAGAGAACATCATTAACATCCTTACCACCAAAAAAGAAGACAAGCAACGTCTGATGGCGCGAGGCCAGAAACTTGCTGAACAAGGCCTCACACACTCACTCAAAAAAGCCCCCGGCTCAAAGAAGCGCAAGAAGAATGCCACCGCCGAGGGCATGACTGATGTTCCCGGTACCATAGAGCCCGCTGACTTGGTAGTACCTAAACAATCATCAGATTCCAAAAGCCGAATCAACACTTCCGCACCAGTGTCTAATACTGGTTCTGGCAATGGAATCAAGAACGCTGCTACTTCTTCGCTCACTGCTCGTGTGTTGGCGGAGGGAGAATGAGAAGAAGAAGCGCCGGAAGATGATGGGCGGGAATGAGAATCTCGACAGTCTTTTCTCCAAGAAGACCGGCGGGTCCAAGAGTAGTGATTTCATGACCAGAGGATTTTCTATATCATGACCTGAGGGTGTGCTATCTTTCTGCTGCGCAGAGGTAGACATTAGACCTGAATGGAGTGTCTTTGCTTTTCAATTTGACACACAGTCGTGGGTGGAGTTTTATTTCCGGAGTTCACAAGGCTTTTGATGTTCTTCAATGATTGATGGTGACTACAGCTTTTTATATTGGGCGGGTAGACTGGTAGCAGACATACATACTGTACATTCCAAAATTAACATGTACAATTATTTGAACTCGATAACAAAAAATGCAATTCAATAAACAATTCTAATATACAAAAGATTGCTCTCAGATAAAGGAAAAAGGATGCCTCCAAAATTCTACATAATATGAAGAGAGGCCTAGGCATTCAGCTCGGTCTTCTTAGCCTGCTTCCAGGGCGGGAGTTTCTGGCCCAGGCTCTTGGTGATCAAACCATCCTTGTACAGGGCAGAAACAATAGCCTTCTTGCGGCCAAGATCTTCATCGTTGTCGTGGCGAGTCTGGCGGACGTCAACAATCTTGACGTTAGGCAGCTCAGTGGCACCGTTATTGTCCATAATCTTATGGAGAAGCACAGGCGTCAATCTGGTAGTCTTTTTGCGAAGTGCCTCCTGTGCGCGGAAGACATCTCCGGTGGTAGCGGAAGAGGTGACGATGTAGTCAGGAATGTGCTGAGACATCAATTTGGAGAGGCGGGCGAAGAACTGAGATGTGGCTGTTAGTGATGTCGGTTATGAAAAGGTCCAAGGGGAATACGAACAACAAACTTGATGTTTCCATCAGCCAGCGACAGGGAACCGAGGCGTTTCTGCATCTGGCCCTTGGACTCTGCGCTATACAGGCGACTTTCCTGCTCGCTAGCAATCTTCTTCAATTTCTGCTGGAAAGCGATTTCACCGGCTTCGCCGTCCATAGGCCCTGCCGCATCGCGTAGAAGGGATTCCATTGTTTCAATGTCGGGGAAACGGAGACGTTCGCCCCAGTTGCCTGACTGACCTTCGATCTTAACCGACTTGAGCTGGGCTTGGAGCTCTTGGCTGGTGTGCGGTTTGCTAGCAACAGTGACCTTGTCCCCCAACATTTGCATCAAACCAATCTCCACGGCAGCTTGATGCGCAGCCTGCATATACGGTAAAGGCCGTGGGTTGTGGTACCACCTGTTCAATCAATCAAGAAGGACATTGTCAGCAAAGCTGTTGAGAAATCAAACCATGATGCAGGGACATCGAATTGGAAACTTGGATCGAACGTACGGTTTGACTCTGTCGGCTTTCCTTTTCGAACCCTGAAGACGCCATTCTTTCTCCTTGAGGAAACCAATCTTGGGCATCCCCTCCCAGGTCAGGTTCTCATCAATTTCTTTAGATCGTGCTTGACCCTCTTCAAGACTGAATCCTTCCTCTGGCTCCGGCTCTCCGGGACTCATACCAGCTCCAGGCATGATCTGACTTCCAGAATAGGGGTCTGCTGGACCTGGGGGCTTGTCGGTGCCCCCAAAGCTTGCGCCGAGCGCGCTCGAGGACTCCAGTGGAGGAGTCGGAGGCATAACGGCGAACTTGACCGACCGGCGAGATACGAGGAGTGGCTTGAATTCTGCAGCTAGAACAGATAAAGTTTGCCTCCCGCACAGGGAGGCGCATTGAGGGCCGCATTGTTGAGGTGGGCGCGAATGCTGTCTGAGAGCGTCGAGCTGGCGGAGTTGGCTTGGCCGGAGAAACAAATTCAAGAAAGGCGCGGGTCACGTGTCGGTGATATTGATGCTTGGCATTTTGATGTTCACATCCTGAAGGCCAGGACTTTGACATTGTAAACCAATTATTTTATGCTGATGATTAAATTGCATTAGTCTATTCTATCTAGATTCAAAGTCCATGCTTATGTGAGAAACGTTCTTTGACGGCTATTTCTTGTCTGTACAAAAGGGGAAAAAATCATTCATAGTATGCGAACTGTATATACACATGCACCGCTGGTATCATACTACTGCAAAAAAGACAAAAAGAACATTTTGTGTAAATCAACTAAAATGATTTACTCGCGGACGAACATGCCCGCCATACCCATACCCGTACCAATGCACATGCTAATAACGCCAATCTCCTGACCACTGCGCTCCAACTCAGGCAGCAGCGTAGCCAATTGGCGAGCACCAGTAGCACCGAGGGGATGACCGATAGCAATAGCACCACCATTAGGGTTAACCTTAGCCTGGTCGATGCCAAGCTTGCGAACGCTGTAGAGAGCCTGCGAGGCAAAAGCCTCATTGATCTCCCAAACACCAACCTCGGGAACCTCGACACCAACAGTCTGCAGGAGCTTAGGGATGGCAACAGCAGGGCCAACGCCCATCTCGTCGGGGGCACAGCCTGCGACGGCAGACGCGACCCAGCGCGCCTTAATTGAACCAGACAGACCCAGCTCCTCGGCGGTGGAGCGACGCATCAACAAAGCAGCGGCAGCACCGTCGCTGACCTGCGAACTGTTACCGGCGGTGCTGGCACCGGTAGGTGAGAAAGCGGGCTTAAGCGTGCCCACCTTCTCGATGGACAGGCCGTGGCGGATACCGTCGTCCTGAGAGACGGTCACGTCCTTGGCGGGGGCATCGGGGTTCTCGGGGTCGAGGGTCTTGGTAGTGACCGAGACGATCTCGGAGTCGAAGCGGCCTGCCTTCTGGGCGGCGGAGGCCTTTGCGTGGGACTCGACGGCGAAGGCATCCTGGTCTGTGCGGGAGACGCCGTAGCGCGATGCGACGTTCTCCGAGGTAATTCCCATGGGCATGATGCAGTCGCGGGCGTCCTGGGAATAGGACTCCTTCAGCTCGGGCCAGAGAACTGTGGGGATGGCGCGGGAGCCATAGTTGCGGGTCATGGATTCCATGCCGCCACCGACGCCGACGTTGATGGCGCCGGCGCGAATGCCGTTGGCAATGGTTGTGATCGCTGCCAGGCCGGATGAGCACTGACGATTGATCGTGTTGAAGGGCACGGAGTGAGGGAAGCCGGCGTGGATCTGGCCCATGCGGCCCGCTTTGGCGCCGCCTAGTTCTTGTAGGACGGAGCCAATGAGCACATCGTCGATCTGGGCCGGGTCTAAGTTCGGGTTTGCCTTCAGTGTTGCCTGCAACACGCTGGCGAGTAGCTCTTCTGGGTAGGCATCCTTGAAACCGCCCTTCTTGGCGCGGGTGACGGGCGTGCGCAGAGAGGAGAGGATGACAATGTCATTGGGGGACTTCTGGAGCACTTGGCGGAGCCCACGGGGAATTGGAGAAGCCATGGTTGTGTAGGTTGGTTGGATTGTTTGGATGTATACCGAGTGTCAAGGCTATTTCCAGTCTTTCTCGGCGCTGTCAGTCTCGACTTGAATTTCAGCTCGGATAGTTACTCACATATGTACAATGGCTAAAGTATGCAAGAAAGAGAAAAGAGAGAAATCGGCAATAACTCCATCCAAACTTCCCCCCGGGCGCCAGAATTACTTATAGGCAAATGCCGGACAAAATTCCGGGGTCGGAAGTAGTTTGGGACCAGTACCGTTGCTGGGTGGCCGCGGCACTGAAGATCGGCTAAGCGGTTTCCCGCGAAATGTGGGGAGAGCGAGATTGTTCGATGCTCCAAGTACTAGTTGAATATAGTCTTCTGAGTCTATTGTTAATGGCCTCTACAACATATCCTTGAATATTCTACAATACTGAATAATCCTAATGACAGCCATGCACCTCCTAGCTGGACATCGGGAGCTCATCGGATGCTTATGTCAGCCATTTCGGTTCGGCACTTTAGAACCGGAAGCCAAGCCGAGGGTATAAAGAGACATTCCCGAATTTGATATCTTGGGATTAAATTAGAGATTCTGAGATAGACTGATTTTTATCCCTGATGAGGGACATATGAATAGTTCCCCTTGCTCACTCCTCCACGAGGGCCACCTTTGCCAGGCAAGTAGCCTCCAGGTTGTTCGCCTTGGGCACGAGCCAGAACTTCACCTGGACGACCATCTCAACCATGATGATACCAGTTTCGACCAGCTTGAACATATCAGCGTTAGCGACCGGAACACCCTTGCAAGTCTTCCATCCATTCTTCTTCCACTTGGGGAGCCACTCCGTCAAGCCGCGCACGAGGTACTCGGAATCTGTTTTGATAACGAAGGTATTCAGCGGCATGAGGACCTTGCCCTTGCGCATCATTTTGCGGCGTCTCTCGATGATGGAAGTCGCATTGCGCAAAGCCCGCAGGCAGGCGGTCAATTCGGCGATCTGGGTCGTGTGACTGTGGTCGTCCTTGCCTGGAATGGGCCAAGAGATATTGCCAGCGTTGCCGCGGCCGTAGAATACTCCGATTGCCGAACGTTTTCCTGTCTTTTCGTTGAGACAATCTCCATGAATGGCGATGACAAGGGAGTCTTCATGGCCTTCGTATTGTTTGCAGTCCCGGCATTTGCGGGTTGAAGTGGGACATGCAAGACAGACCCACGAGCCGATGTCGATTTCCATTTCCTGCAAGCGGAAGCGGGTGGGATATTCGTCCTCGGCACGGAAGCGGCGGTCTGCATGGGTTATCTCTCCGTCCTTCTTCTCGGGAGAGCCAGCTACGTGGTGGCCTTTTCCCTTGGGGCTTGGACCATGAGCAGTGGAGCTGTGCACGCAGCCCTCCTTTCCCTAGCCATAATTATCAGTATGTAGAAGATGGTCTTGTGCAGTGAGAATAGGGGAGGTAGGTTATGCCAGTGTGATCTCGAGGTCAGGGCCAGTGCTTACCTGAGATGCATGGCGGGCTTTCTCTTTCTGGGGTATGTGTGAGACTCGAGGCACGCGAGCCAATTCCGACGCCTCGTCTTCAAAATCCTTGGCTTTCTTTTTCTTCGTGTTGATGCGAACAGGAACAACGACTCCAGCTGTGGAAGGCATGACTGAAGATGCTTTTTGAAGAGAGATGAAAAGAGTGGTCAGCTGGAGAGTTGAAGTCAGGAAGAAAGAAAGGAAAGATAAAAATCAAGAGGGGTTTAAAACAAAGGTAAATAGGAGATGGAAAGAAAGAGAAGGACAATCACAGTCAAAGCAGAGTGTGGAAGCAAACATTGAACGTGAAAGAGAGGGTACCTGCTTTTTGTTCAACACTTCTATATATCTCAGCAAAATTATACCTAGGATCCATGGATATTAACCCACCTACGAGGGCTACAGAACTGATGGTCCTGAACATGTCAAAATAAGAATCAAGGACTGTTTTTAAAGGTTCTATATTTCATTGAAGCAGAACAAAGAGCTGTAGTTTGTCCCATTTTTAGGTTGGAAAACTACACAGGTATCCTGTCATTAAGCTAATCAGCGCTGTAATGAATGCAAGCCCAAGAAAAAGATTCTTATATAGAAGTGGATGTCGTACCTTGGAAGCTAGACACTATGATAGAATTACCTAGGTACCGAGGGCGCATAACTTCAATGTTGCCAACAGACAGGTCTACAAATGGAGATATCAAGGTGCATGGTGCAATAGAGAATGAATTCAGTGGTTCAAGAAGCTAAATCCTAAAGCAGAGACAATGGAAACTGAACACGAGACCTTGAGCATCATTCATGTCATTCACAGGCATCAAGTCAAAGTCATTTCGTTCAATCGTGAGTTGGGCCAATCAACTAAAGATAATATGGTTGCGATGACCAGGAACCCGGTTGTGACACTGAGGGCAACCACGGCGAAATCCCATAATAAAGCGCGGCTTCTTGCGAGCTCTTCCATCGGGCCGGCCGAAGTACTGAACTCGAGTGCGCGTTCGAGGAGGGGGGAAAGATCGGGGGTCGAAGTGGAACGAACGAGGAGATCCCGAGGACTGCGAGTCCGAATCGGCCATAGAACTGTAGTCATACCAGGTCTGGGTAACCACAGCGAAGCCATCCTCGTTGACTGGACCGACGGTACGAGTGTATGGCAGTGGCCAGTTCACGTTCACGGTGTTGGATGCCCCGTTCTTGGGGGTGGAAAGACGAGGGTTAAACTTGACAATGGGCTGAGCTTTTTCTTGGGTGCCAGAAAAGAGGAATGGTCCCTGAGTAGGAGTGGCCTCGGATGGTTCGTTGATGTTCAGTGACTTGTTGAGCAGGGCGTGGGAGATTGGAGATGGCTGGCCAAGCTCTTGGACCAGGCGAGGAGACAGGTTATCGCCATTGACCAATTCGGTGGGTGCGGTCTTGAATGGTTCATTGATCTTCAACACGTTGCTAAACATCTTTCCTGGAATTGGCGAGGGCTGGCCAGTCACAAATGGAGACAGGTTATCCCCATTGGCCAGATGAGCCGGCATATCGGAGGAACCTTTGAGCTTGAGGGGGGCAGGGCGACAGACCCTCTGTCTTCAATTAGAGACTGGGATATAGACCTCTGGGATGGATAGTTGATATTACCTTTTCCTTTGAGTGCTCCAGGCCCTCAAGGGTTCTCTTGGAAGTAGACATCATTTCCTTGGTAGAGTACCCGGTAGAGTTCCAGGTAACCATGGAATGCAAGGGAATTGTTCGGGGAAAGAACGTGTCAGAAGAGAAGGAGCGTTGGAAGTAACAAGCAGATTATATAGTAGAGAAATATCTACATGTATGGGTGATCTATTCTACCATTATGAGAAGAACAATAAGAATTAGCTTAATTGAATTGTTCCATTCAGAGAATTATCTAAATGTAAATGAGCTTAATTAGCCCTCATTTAGTCGTCATTCATGTTCTATTGTTCTATTGTTCTGCTTCTATTGATCATTACCCGATTCGATCACCTCTATATGATACGTCCATAATACCATCTAACACATCTACCATTTGACTCGTCAATCACATAAGTACACAAAGAAATGGGGATTGGCCAGTATGATTTTGGAAGTACGGAGTACATGACATGATATGCAGAGTCAGCAGAGAGAGGCTGGTCCTGTCGGTGAAAAAGCAGTGGGACGTGTACTCCGTATAACATTTTGTGTGTGGTCATCCCCGGTCTGGTGATTGGATCTCTCATAATATGCAGAGCCAAGACAACTAGATCTCATTCCTCCGTACATGAGTACAGCTGAAAGATACAGAATGCAGTTTAGTTTAATGTTTAAAATCAATAATAAGCATAATAACTAAAAAAGATAAAAGTCTCCATAAATAGTATTCTGTACTCTTCAGTACATAAAAGCGTCCCTTGTCCCGTGAAATCTCTCGGCCCACTTTTGCCTCTTATTTTTTGTCCCTACTTTTCCCCTTGACACCCCCAAGTCTGTGAGTCATTTCCTGCCCGATTTAACCTGTGGGATTCTGGTCCAGAGGAATCTTCTTCTATAATCTTCTATATAATTTATACTAATCACCACTAGTGTCCCTTGAACATCATGCCTCTCATCAACACTACTGAAGTCAACGAGGACACTCGTGGTATGTGGCATTGTGCCCAGAGCCAATTGCGCGTGATACTGACGATCTTTGGTATTAGTCCTTGGATACGACCCATTGCTTTCGCCCAACTTCTTGCAGAATGAGATCCCCGCTGTGAGTCAACATTTTTTTTCTTCCTCACCCCGCTCTTTGCGGGGACATGGCAAAACTTCCAAGGGCACCAACTGACAGCAATTCTCTGTATAGCCTGCTCGTGCCATTGAAACAGTCCGCTCCGGTCGGAATCAAGCAGTTGAGATCATCGAGCAGCGCGATGACCGCCTGCTAGTCGTTGTCGGACCATGCTCCATCCACGACCCCGACACCGCACTCGAGTACGCCCGCCGGCTCAAGGAGCTTTCCGTAAAACTGGAGAAGGACATCTGTGTGATCATGCGCGCCTACCTGGAGAAGCCCCGCACAACGGTCGGCTGGAAGGGACTGATCAACGATCCCGACATCGATGAGACCTTCAACATCAACAAGGGTCTGCGCGTGTCCCGTAAGCTGTACACCGACCTGACCAGCACCGGACTGCCCATCGCCTCGGAGATGCTGGACACCATCTCCCCGCAGTACCTGGCCGATCTGATCTCACTAGGCGCGATCGGCGCCCGCACCACCGAGTCTCAGCTGCACCGCGAGCTCGCCTCAGGTCTGTCATTCCCCATCGGCTACAAGAACGGCACCGACGGCAACCTGACCGTCGCCGTGGACGCTATCGGCGCCGCCTCGCACCCCCACCGTTTCCTCGGTGTCACCAAGCAGGGTCTGGCTGCCATCACCAAGACCTCCGGCAACGAGCACGGCTTCGTCATCCTGCGCGGTGGCAACCGAGGCACCAACTATGACCGCGATAGCATCCGGACTGCCCGCGAGGCTCTGCGCTCCAAGAAGCAGCGTGAGGTCCTCATGGTCGATTGCTCGCACGGTAACTCCAACAAGAACCACCTTAACCAGCCCCTCGTCGCCAAGACGGTCTCTGATCAGCTCCGTGAGGGTGAGACTGGTATCATCGGTGTTATGATCGAGTCCAACATCTACGAGGGTAACCAGAAGGTTCCCCCCGAGGGACCCGAGGGTCTCCTCCGCGGTGTCAGCATCACTGATGCTTGCATCAACTGGGAGATGACGGTCGAGGTGCTCGAGGATCTCGCGGATGGTGTTCGTGCTCGTCGTGCTGCCCGGAAAGCGCAGCAGTAGAGGATTCTTCTTTCTCTAGATGATGCCCTTCTTGTCTCTGATTTTCACAGCCCTTCTTCTGCGGAGGGGAGGGAGAACGGGTCTGGCATAGATATATCGTTTCGGTGCCTGTTGTTTATTTTTCTCGGGTTTTCAGCGGTTTCCTTTGTACCTTTTTTTAACCTGCTTGTCCCTTGGGAAGCACCCTTGGGATTCATGTGTGATGTGTAGTTGATGTCAAAAAACATTTATGAGGGTTTTGCGTTTCGCTGGGACTGTTGAGGATTTAATTAGTATGAGTGGCTAAAAAGTTTAGGAATATGATTGAAGGCTGAATCTGCTTTATATATTTTTTTCAGGGTCTACCTTCTCTACTTATAAGAATCCTTTATTATTTTCTGCTCCACTGCATGCATGGGCCGTGTGTGGTTTGAAAGCCGCGGCAAAGCGCTTCTCCGGTGTTGGGAATGGGTCCCTCCCTCTTTGGGGATTAGTGCGCAAACTTAGGTTAGAAGAGTCAATTTCGGTGAAAATCGTTGTTAAGTGATCTACGAGGTAGTGGGGTGATATGAAATACCCTACATGTACTCCGTAGTATACATCATAGTAGGTTACATTGTAGATAAGATTGAAGATGGAATAGAAATGAGATAGAAGCAGATCTATGTACTGTACACGATATACATGGAAGCCCGCCCCGTCCACTCCCTTCGGAGTGCCAGGGAAGACTATACTGACTAGGAACACATTCCAGAAAGATAGAAGAAAACGCCGTAGACCCCCTGGGAGAATGGAAGCAGGCCACGAGAAAAGATCGCGGCTTGCTATGCAAGAGAAAAAAAGTATTGCAGATGGCTAGAAGTGAAGATCGACGGAGAGATGGGTCCAGGTTATGTCCGCTGGTAGATGATGAAACCAGATCAGCATTGCATCCGACGATAGGTTAGGTATTATTCCAACCCAACTAATCCGTCCTTCTTTCTTTTTGTTTGCTTCAAGGACCCAAAATGACACGCATCTACCGCCCCGTCAACCAGCTAGTCCAGCTTGATGTCTTGGTCTTCGCAGCTTGTTCCACATTCTCAGCCAGCACATCCAACTGACCGGGCAAAGGAGCGCTGGTCTTCTCCGCAGCAGTATCCAGAGCTTGCTTAGCCTGCACAGCCTCCATAACACTGCCCCGGGGCTTGTCGGCATCCTCTACGACTGACGCGGATGTTGGTGCAGTATTGGCACCGGTGTCTTCCATGTTCAGCTTCTCGAAGAGGAATCGCTTTGCCTTAGCCCAGGGCCTCTGTGCCTTTTCCTCCTCACGCTTCTGCTTTATAATGGCACCGATCCTCTCCTTCTTCAGGAGCTCTTCCTGCTCGGTAGTTGCGGTACCGTTGGCGCAGGCGATCTCGGCCTCCTTGAGAGTCGCGAGTTCCTTTTCGATCCAAAGCGTGCGTTGGCGGCGGTTATAGAGCGTAAGCGAGATCATTGAGTAAACTGTAAGAACACCGCAGACACCTAGTATAATCCATAAGGATTAGTATAAGTCCTGTAGGGGTCAAGTGGGGGGATTCCGTTCGTTGTCATCGCTGACTCGGACTTCGATCGTATGTGGTGTTGCTGGTGTTGTGTTCATATTCCACGGGCAGGAAACATACCGGACGCGGCAATCAATGAATAAACCATTCCCTTGTGCGCTTTATTGGCAAATTTCCGCCCAGTCTCAATCCATCGATCGGCACCGCTTCCAGCTGCCTGTGCCTTCCGGGCAGCCCGTGCCTGTGCTCGCAGTCGTTCCACCTTCTCCTTGGGTGTTTCCGGTTGGCCATTCGGGCCGAGTTGCTGTGGTGATGACTTTGTGCTGGACTTCTTCTTCCCAAAGTCTGGGGCCTGGTACGCGCCTGCGGTCTTTGAGTTGGCGTAAGGGCCGGTGGCCGTGAACCGCGTTGCGTCCGCGGCGGATCGGGACATGGTGGGAGTTCCCGGTTTCGGGGGGAGACCTCAAGGTAGGGATTGAGAATAAAATTAATATTACTGGAGATTGGCCGGAGGCAATTGGAGGGCCGTGGTGGGGTGATGGAGCTGGAGGCAGTTGATTAACCGGGGGATTTGCAGGTTGAAGGTAAATTTTCAGCACGGGAGATGTGCCAAGACATTCAAAACAGCTTCAACTGATAATCACTTTCATCTTCTTTTAGTCTTTTCTGCCCTCTCATTTTGAGAGAATTTGTAATTTATATGCTATCAATAAATTATGCCACTTATCCTTTGCAAGAATTGATTTTCTTGCTAATTACACCCTTTCCCTGTCGTTGCTCTGCATATGTATCCTTCGTCGACGGTCTCTGGAATACTTGACATCTACATCGATCTTCACTTGCCACTCTCAATCTTTATTTATGAATTAAGACTCTGAGGGCCAACATATTGATTAGCGACTTTTGAAACGATATTCACATCTCCCGAGATCCCATCGGAAGGTACTACTCTTTCAATATGGGAGACGGCACCTACAATCCCTCGGACCTGAACTCAGTCCTCAGCACCTTGTCTAGTCTAGCTTCTCAGGGTCAGGGCAGCTCTAACCAGCATAAATCCACGCACGACCATCCGCCAAGAATCACATCGTCTCAACCCAAGCCCTCAAATGATCCACGACCGCCGCAGCCAAGGATAACGAGACCATCCACCACTTCTACTTCTACTTCTGACTCGTCGACTATCACAACTTGGCCTGCAGCACTAAAACATGTGATGCGCACCGTGGGTCAAAACGAAGAGACTCAAGCGCGCATCCGCGGTGTGATCCGAAGTCAACACCGTCATGAACAACAATGGTTCGACGCCCGTGAGGCATTACTGAAGCAGCAGCAGGGTCGGCCTGAGAAACAAAGGGAGCTAGATGCAGTTCTGTGGGTTTATCTCTTTGCTACTGCTCAGCAGTGTTTTTCTATTGACTGACACTAACGCTGAATAAAAAGGAGGTCAATCGGTGCCCCTGTAAAAGAGGAAGATGGCTCGGTATGTTCTCAATGCTTCTTTTAGTTATTAGCTCTGACTGATTGTCGTTAGACCGAAAAAGAGTTTGCCGCAGAGATTGCCGCCTATGATGCAAAGGTTCATAGGGCAGCCGTGCAAATGGCAGATGCCGTCATTGCCGAATTGCGCGGTCTGGGTATTCCATTCTTTACTCTTCGGAAGGACTTGGTTCAAGATACCCCATCCAGTGCAGAAGGCTTACAGCCAAGGAGCCAGACCGAATCCGCTGGAACCGTCTCATCGCCAATTTCTAAGTCTGAGCTTGTGAAGTTGCAGCAACGCATGTTGGAATTGCTGGAGGATCTGTGCAGGTAGTGAGACACCTAGGTAGTCCTCAGCATCCGTGATATATCTTCAATTTCTATCCCCCTTATTGTGAAATAGAGGGTTCGTGAAGGTGGTCGAGAATGATTGAATGGCCACGGAATTTCTTTGGGAATATATACAAAAGTTCTTCCTTGAAACCTGTATGCGTGCAGGTACTAAGTCTAATCAGAATCGGAAAGGTTCCAAGATTCTGGGCTCCTTCCCTTTTAGTCCACGGATCAAAACTTGTCCAGTTCCTTCCTCGCCTTGGGTATAAATACCTGCCCCCTCCCACTTTCCTCCTTCTTTTTCTCTTCTTTCTTCAACACCCCAGGCCCACATTGCACATCGTGGTCCTGTACGTTTAGTCTCCTGTTGGATCTTTGCTGCGGTCCAGGTTAGTCTGAAACTAGATTGGGGCCTTGGCCCTAGTCTAATGGCACGAAGCATGTCGCAGCCTGGTAGGACCATATTCCACTCTGAGACCTCTGTGGATACAGACTGTACTTTCCTGGGGTCTCCATTGATCCTGAGGGAGCTGAACACCGTGCTCTTTGAGCCAATTTTTGGAACTTGTCTTACAGAGATAGCTCTCTGTTGTCTGAAGATTCTTTTTTCTGAGGGCACTTTGTTTCGTTAAGGTTCCACTTCCATTCACGTCGTGGGCCGTTACAAATTATGTTCTAGTAGCAATGAGACCACAATAACCTGACGATCTTGATCTTATGAACTGCTGCTGACATTTCTAGGTCAAACCATGCGCACAATTCACCCCCAACGAAGCTAATATCATCGAGTAGAACATGAGAACATGACCCGTGACTGAAGGATCCTCTGAATCACAAGCAGCAAAAATATTCAAAATCTCACTCTCCCTCTTTGGCACATAACTCCCGCCACCTCTATCCACTCCTCAAAACTGAACAGCTGCGCCGAGGCGATGTTACCGACTGTCGCATCGCGGCCCATGTACATATATACTGAGCAGTACTCTAAGCCGGGAGGTGATTAACCCGAGCCTAGATATTAGTGTGAGGCTTAAGGTGCCTTAAACCCTGGGATATGGTGCTGCCGCTGTTTCTTACTGCTGTGTATACTGATATTGTAGGTGGGCTATACTGGAGGCAAAGCGGGACCCCAGGACTTCCTTACAGGTAATTCTCCTGGACTAGTCGAGCAGGTTAGGGAAGTTAAGCCCTCGGGTCTGAGTATACATTGTACTATTTGTTAGCTTATCCATGGAGAAGTGTAGATTTCATTAGCGCCGGGCCATGCACAACGTTGTAGAGCAAGAGTAATGGGTTCATCTTTGCATGTGTCCTATATTACCTATGCTAGAACAGTCTTAATACATAAAATAAACACTCTTAATAATTAATAAATTTACATCGATTTTTCTTTGATCTGGAACTCGTCGGAATGCCTCGGCCGACCGCCCGCCAAACGCCGATAGGCCCGGGGATTGAAACGTCAACCCTTCATTCTATCATGTTAGCATGACTCCAACAAGGTCAACAAAAACAAGCGGTCTGGCCTCATTGGCCTGTACCGAGTGCAGAAAGCAGCATCTCAAATGTGACGCTAGTAAACCATCATGTTCGCGGTGTGTTCAAAACGGATTGCTCTGTCAATATCTACCCTCCCGACGGGGCGGACGCAGGAAATCACGACTTGAGAGTCCATATCAACGCCACCCGCAAACCCTTGTCACTGTCAGTTCCCCCTATTCATCTTCCTAGTTTTTTTAACTAAATCAATTCTAGACCCGATATCAGTCTGCAGTTCCTGTTTTGCCAATAGCCCCTGTGCAGACCACACCAGAAAATCCCTCGGCGCAGGCAGGTACGCAGACAGGACTCGATATCCCCACTGAGCCAGTCTCATGGCCAGCGATACTTTCAGGAAATGCTCCTGTTCAGCAAACTGTCGAACCAGCAAGCAAACTTTCGCTTCATGATGAGCGCCTGCCTCGATTGTACTATGAGAATTTCCATGTCGCCCATCCAATTTTGGTTCCCATCTCCTTGTATCATGATCGCAACTACCCTCACTTCTTACAGCTAGCTGTGCATTTTGTGGGCTCTCATTATATTGCATCTGTTCCAAGCCAGCCATACAAGGAACAGGTTGTTGCTGAGCTGAAGACAAACCCTGATCGCTCGGCTTCCATGGTCCAGGCTTGGCTACTATATTCCCTTGCACTGTACGCCCGCGATGAATGGACAGAGGCACAAGATGCCCTTTCTCATAGCATTGATATTGCTTTGGAAATTGGCATGAACCGTTTGTCATTCGCTTCATCCGCAAACCCCGAAAAATCCCCTGAAGCCGAAAGCTTGCGACGAACATGGTGGGAACTATACGTCACCGATATATTTATGGCGGTCCCGCTCAAAATCACGACATTTCGATGTAGCGCTGTGGCGCCGGAGGTGGCCTTGCCCTGCGAAGAGTCAGCATATAATTGTGCGGGTGATATCCCAAAACCACGTATGATGATCGAGTTCAAGCGGAGGATACTCGCGGCAGAGGATACTGTCTTTTCATCCTTCAGCTACCGCATCGAGGCCACGACAATATTATGCCGGGTCCTTGTCCTGAACCGACTACGCGACTGTCACCGCGATCATCTCCAAGCGGTTGAAAATGCACTAGTGAGCTGGATCAACCACCTACCGCCCAAAAAGCTCGACATTGTTGATTCATACGGCAACGTAGACGAAATGATGTTTCAAGCGCATTTGACAATATCCTACGCCGCCATGCTCCTACACCTACCCCGAAGCGACCTTCCATCTGTATTGTCCCAGTCCCAACCAGATGATCGCTTCTGGCCTCGTCTGACAGGCCAGCTCTCACCAACATTCAGCCGTCTAGTCCATAGCATCAAAGCAACAGAGGCCTCCAGGCGGATCTCAGATTCCATATCTGTTTGTCCAAACGTCTCGAAGCACACACCCTTTATCATCCCGGCCTTGACCCTCTGCGGACTCATCCAGCTCGCCACCTCCACCAGCCACTCCGAGGAGTGTTTCGACCACCACTGCAACCGTGTCACACTCATTCTAGGCTGTCTCAAGAGCACCCAGCGGACGTGGAAACTGGCCGAGTCCCTATATCATGCTCTTCGATCATCTGCAGCGGAAGTCTTATCGGATTCGATGGAAAAATGGAATGCAGAACCGCTACATCGACTCACCCCGGCAGCCACAACGCCTAATGATCAAGAAGGACCCAGCTCCAATGCCAATCCCGCCCCAGTTATGCCAGACGGGCATGATTTCATGCCACCGGAGTTCTCCCTGGGATTCATCGATCCGACCTGTTACAATGCTTCGTTTTTCAGCGCGATTCCCGAGTTTGATATTAATTAGATCGGTTATACCCGGGAGGCAGGATATTATGCGAGAAAGACCTTATTATCTTGATGTCATTTTTACCTAACAGTTTCTGGGGTAAACATCAGCTGGACTCGCCTTGCAGAAAGATACGCATTAGGTCTCGGGCTTCAATTAACTAAATGCTAAAGATACGCAATAATGATAGGGGTTCAACCATGGATTCTTAGTTTCGTGGACATGTCAAACGCCGATTGATTGGGGTTGAGTCGCCGACCATCGATCCGATATTTGATTGGTCCGTTGAACTCCGGTGTTTCATTGGGGAGCCATCAAGACCATGTGCGACAACCGGGCATTTCTTGTGTATAGAAATAAACATGCCTGATCATATATAAAGACTGGCTTGCCGAAGTAACATCGGTGTCGCAAATAGTATCAATTAAACGTATTACATATTCTGTCCGGTGTTCTACCCGAAAGGAGTTCGTGTTCTACCGTAAAAAGTCCCATAGTACGTATAAAATCTCATTCGCTTTGCACTCACACAATGATACATCGGGAGATAAGGACAGGATACTCACCGACTATTCCTTCGTCGGGTCTGCCTTGCTCGAATATCCGGTGATAACCGTCTATGAGTTCACATTCGCAGTTAATGACATAGGGATTGATTCTTAAGTTGTTCGCCGATGAATTGATCTCCAAAGTCACAATAGTATGTACGTCTGCTGGACTACGGCTCTTACATCATGAATCACACGAGAGCACCCGGTGGTTGAACTGCAGCTGCATGCCTATTGCGTTGGATGTTCTCGTTATGGCGTTATATGTGTTAATTTCAACTCGCCGCGGTCTTTTTGATTGGAATTTCAGGACTTGAGAGATATTAAAGAAATCTATTCAAGAACCTAAAACGAGCCTGAAAATCCCTAGATTGTTTCGATTCAATCCCTGTTGGGGAATACCCAAGGCTGTAATGTGTGTGAATAGAGCCGGATTTTAAAGAAATTTAAAACATTCTAGCATTCTCAACACCTCCTCCCTTTTTGTTCAACATGGATTATTCGTCAAGATGTATGGGTATGTTCAGGCCTCTGGGTATTCTCAGACGAGACTCTAATCAGTCTGGGGTGTTGGAATGCAAGGCGTTGGATGAATCGGCGATTGAGATCCCCGTTTTTGTGATTGACATCGCACGAGCGAGAATCCAGGGGAATCAAATACGAATTGATTCCGAAGATATAACTCATCCATGGATCCTCTTTCTAACTCCTCATCACCTTCCAAGAATATCTCCTTTCAACATCAAACCCTCCGCAACAATGCCTGCTGTCGTTCCCTTACTCCCGCTTGGCACTAGCCTATCACTAGGCAACAAGAACTACAAACCCCAGTACAGCCTAGATGATCTCGTACAAGATATCAAGATCTATCTAGGCGAGAGCGGCGGTATTTCCTCCGCAGATGTGGACAACGAATACCTGATCTCGCTGGCACAGAAGTATATCTCTGATCCGAACGACTGGGCCCGCTTTTTCTACAACGACACTAGCAAGAATTACACCCGTAATGCTATTGAAAACATTAACCAGAAAGCAAATATCGTGAGTTCTATTCCAATCCTAGCTAGTTCCTGTCAACATTGAAGCCCGAGAATTAGAAACTAACTCATCCCAGCTCCTCCTCGTATGGAACCCCGGGAAAGGTTCCCCCGTCCACGACCACGCAAATGCACACTGCATCATGAAGATCTTAGCTGGAACGCTACAAGAGACTATTTACAACGTCCCCGATCAAGACTCCGATCTTGCTGGTCCGTTGGAAATCAAGTCTGATACGAGGCATACCATGAACGACGTCGCCTATATTTCGGATGATATCGGGCTACATCGCGTTTATAACCCGAGTAGTGACCAAGTTGCTGTCTCTCTTCACTGTAAGTGCTGATCACAAGATTGAAATTGGATTTGAGTATTAATGTGTTTCATTTCTAGTATATACCCCTCCTAATGCTGCCGACTATGGATATAATATTTACAACGAGGTGACGGGCAAGGCGAGCTTTGTACCACAAGCTCAAGCCGTTCCCCAGAAAGAATGAGGATATCAGAGACGAAGCAAGCTGATGGCCTGGCTCGATTTGCTATCAATGTTTTTCCTTTTTCCTTTTTTTTTTTGAATGCGCCATTAGCCTGTCAGATATAATGATTATTCCATTTTGCTCGGCGCTGGCGCTGAGGTGTTTGTTGATTTACTCGAGATTATGAAGTCATTTGATATTTCAAAACAAATTGACCAAAGTCCAATAGATGGCCAGTTACTGAATTGATAGTCTTTTCATCATCTGGACTACAGACCTGGGAGCCTCATATGATCCACTCTTATAAAAGCCGGTTCCGGATCCCGATAGGAATGGGTCCACTGACAATTCATATTCCCAAGTATCCTTTGTATGGGTAAGTCATACAAAATATATCTTCTTCATCGATCTGAAAATCTATCTGGTGGGGCGCAACACCTTATGGTGTTGAATCATATGTTGTACGGAGGAGATTGTCTCATGTCGGGGGTCGGTGGTCGGGGGCTCATCCTCCGTGATTTCTACGGGTTTTGCGGGCTTTGGACAGGCCTCGGGGTTCGGACTCTGGTGAACAGTGAACGGCGTAACTAAATTGGAGATTATATTAACCCGTAGGAATAATGCAATAATCCAGAGATTTGCTTTTCAACATGTTCGCCATGTCCAGAACTCGTCTCCCCCAGTCCATCACAGGAAGGTCGGCCGCGGCCGTTACTTTACTAGGCGTTGGAGCTTATTTTGCCCAATCGCGTCTTATATCAACTGCCAATGCAGAGTCAAACGAGCCTCCCAAAGTCTTCTCAGGATTTGGATTTACCACCTTGCGTCTGCAAAGCACGAAAGATATAAACCACAACACGAAACGCCTCGTCTTCGAGTTTCCAGACCAGAACGCCACAAGCGGATTGTCATTAACTTGTACGGACCCGAATTATACACCAACTTCCTATTAAAGCATATATACTAACATGCTGCAGCGGCGCTCCTCACCATATCCCGTCCTGAAGGGCGCTGGTTCCCCGTACTACGCCCATACACACCCATCAGCGATCTAAGTATGAGCAGTAACCCCAAGCCCGGACATAACGATATACTAACAAAAGAACACCAGACCAAGAAGGCCAGATCGAGCTCATGGTCAAAAAATACCCCAACGGCAAAGCGAGCTCCCACATCCACTCCCTCGTCCCAGGAGACACCCTCACATTCGCAGCGGCAATCAAAGGACACGCCTGGACACCGAACCAATCTCCGCAGATCTACCTCATAGCAGGCGGCGCCGGTATCACACCAGTCTACCAGCTGGCGCAGGGTATTCTCAATAATCCAGCCGACAAAACTAAAATCAACCTCGTGTTCGGTGTCAATACCGAGCAGGACCTGCTTCTACGGGAAGAGCTGGAGAGCTTTAAGACGCGCTTCCCGGATCGCTTTGACTATGTCTACACAGTTAGTCATCCGCAGGGACAGCATGATGGGTTCAAGAAGGGATATGTTACTGAGGAGCTGTTGCGGGATGTTGTGAGAGCCGATGGCGATACGAAGGTCTTTGTTTGTGGACCTCCTGCTATGGAGGATTCGTTGGTTGGAACGAGATCCCAAGCGGGTATTTTGACTCGACTTGGGTTTGCGAAGGATCAGATTGTCAGATTTTAGTTGTCTTCGTGTTTATGTATCTCATGTATTATACTCCATATTGGCCTAAGGGTCCATGCTTTGCTCTTGACGGTTAGCATATGATAAGAAACTGGAGATAGATCCTAGAATAAAACAAAAGAAAAATATTTATCAGATAGTCATCATTCCAGAGATATATGCCTCTTGAACAAGAGAATAGGTCCCAAGTCCCAGTCCCTCTTCTACTTCGCGAGAACTGATACTTATATTTAATCCATTTAGACCTGGTTCAACTGCAGGGCCCTATTGCCTTCCATGTTGGAAAAACATATGCTTATAAGCCCTAGTCATATGCCGAGCTAACTCCAAGCTGGTTAGTCTGTAGGAATGCTCTGCGATTGAATGGTATATTACGAATGTGACCAGGGCGTTTTGTACCGCCATATATTATCACAGGCCCAAAGTACTACCCCGCTCAAGATGGCCTCAAACCCAAGTATCCTGACCAAACTCAGAAACCTTGGAATAACCCACGCCCACTTGTACTTGCGGCTCTTAGCTCTCGAAAGGGATCTACATACAATAAGCACTGCTATAATGTCGCAAGCCTCGACCATCTGTGATCTCCCAACCGAAATCCTACTCATAATAGCCCACCATCTTGATGCGTTCAGTCTCATCTGGCTGCAACGTTCCTGCCAGCTCTTTCGTGGAACAATACCGTCTCCTACTCACCTGGAGTTGATAGAGGCGGAAACTACTCAATTCGGGTTTCAGAACGATTTATACGCCTGTCGGGATTGTCTTCGATTGCGACCCAGAGCAAAATTTGCGGATAATATGGTGAAAAGGAAAAAGGCCAAGCTGAGACACAATGCGACAGAAAGGTGGTGTGTTGACTGTGGTCTCAACCCGCGCCCAGGCACCAATAGATACACCGTCGGCAATATCATCACCATTTTGGAGGAAACATATGTTATCTGCTTAGAATGTCGAGAATTCAGAGAGGGCGTCTCAGAAAACGGGAAACCATTAGCTGTGTGCCGAGTCTGTCGGCGATTTACGAGGGCAATCGAGGAGCGTGCGGAGGCTGACAGAGCACGGCGAGAAAGGGCCAGACTGCGAGCTGAACAGGCTGAACGAAGAGCCAGAAGACGTGAGGTGTGGGGCTCAGCTTCCGATAGCGATGAGATAATCCCGCCGAGTCCTACATGGAGTGAAGAGTATATGGAGATGGTCCAGGCCGAAGCTGCTATGTACATGAACAGCCCCGGTGCTGGGTCCGATTGAACAAACCTTGATAAAACTGGAAGCTGCGTTGGGGTTAGTTGAAAGGAGAACCCGTGGACAATTTCGAGACTTCCTTAAGACCCTGGCTATCTTCCAAGGTGGATGCACAGGACATCGATAGGCTCTCACACACAAATCGTATAATTTATGCCTAATCCAAGTTTGCTTTAGAGAAGCACGTTAGTGTCTCCATAACCCAGACATGGAAGGCAATAAAGGTACTTACTGTATTCCGGCATACTCCGTACATATGTACGAATTAAGCCCAACGCATAGATCCGTTCTGGATCCGCACCAGTGCGAATAATGACGCGGCCTCCAGATTTAGGGCCACTCGTCGTCACCCTCACACGCCGCCCCATCTGTTTCATTTTATTGGCTCTTATTTCTGATTTAGTTGTATACGCAGGTGTACTCCGTACGCGTCTATCCAAGCTTATTTTCCTCACCTGCTCCGCCGCGTTTCTAGTTCGCACGGAGGACGATCATGTACCAGCGATGTGGACATTGGACAAAGAACAAGGTATCAAGATGACACGTAACTAAACTTGAGGTCCACACTATATACAATGGCATGGATTTCGTAAAATCAAACGAAGTGAACCGGAGGGTATCTCTCAGGTTATCTCGTATTCTGGGCCATAATAGAACCCCCCTAAGCTGCAGGTGTAGGAAGCTGAAGTTGATTTTAGGATCATGGCTAACCCAATTGTGAGTCGATGCCTGTGGAGAGGAAAGATTAGATTTAAGTGATTTTCTTAAGCACATATATATAGAGGTCCGGGAAGGAAGACTTTTGAAGTATAGTACCTATGGAGAACATGGCGTTGATAGCAAATGAAGCAGCTCGGAAGATCCCGCCCCAGGCGAGTCAAAAAGGGTAGTTTGTCTCGTCCTGTTAGTGGTATAGGATCATTCCGAAGGTGAAAACATAAACAATGATCCGTGAACCTAATAAAGTATATAAAAGCTAATCTGGATGGAGTATGCATGCAACTAGTGCGACCGTTCCATATGGTGCACTGTCGTCAGATATTTTAACAATCAACTACGTGCAGTCCATCCTTCCAGAAAGTAAAGAATGGGGCACCATCCTCACGGTAGCTGAAAAGAGCAACCATACCGTCGACGTTCATACTTTCTCCAGTATAAAATTCGTAGTCTTTAAAATTACTGACGATTTTCTTTGCATACCCGACACATTCTTCTCAAACTCTTGGACCCTGCCGGGATCTGTTTCCCAAAGATAGCTTTCGATGGCTTTCATGTAAACTGTAATACTGTTAGTAGTTTATCCTAGTACTGATAAGGAGGACATACTCTTTAAGTAAGCCAGATAATCTCTCTTGTCAAAGGAAGTAGGTTGTAGCCGGAATGCATCAATAACATCAATGACCTGAATGATGCCATCTTCCAGCCCCTCTTCCGCTTCTTCGGCGGAAGGATTAGCGCCAATATCTAAGTACCGTATTAAAAGTTTGTTTGTAAGGATAGATTATGGTGAATACGCACCAACATCAACGCCCTGGCGGGTTTGTATATATTTGCAGTCTACTTCGTAGACAACATCATCCACTTCTCTTATAGGGTAACTGTCCGAGAGCATCTGGTCACCGGAGATGACATCCTCCACGTTATTGGTTAGCCGGTCTTCAAGATTCGAACATGTGGTGAACTTACAGAGAAGACGAGCATGACGAACACGGCGTAGACAGGCTTGATGGGATGGGTAACAGGTATTTGGGAAGAATATTATTCGGTGGTCTGTAAAACAGAGCATGTACTGTCCAAAAACTGAGAAGAAGAGGAAGAAGAAGAAGAAGAAGAAGAAAGAAAGAAAAAGTGAGAGATCTAGGATCTCGAGGCACCCCTCATCCAAAATCTGCAAGATTGACGCTCGGATTAGTTGGATAAGCTGTTATCAAATTGAGACAGAGAGATGGCACGTTTTATAACCTCAATATCTGACACCCGACACGGCTGAGGAACTCTCATGGCCAGCGCCCGAAGAACCCCCCCCCGAACCAGTGCTAACCATTTGTCATTACTGCATATTCTATCACACTATGGGTCCACTCTGCCAACTGCTCAACTGCGCTAGAATATGCACCTTCATCACATGGAGTCAATATGGTACGCTTACAGACCGCAGAGCATTTTTGCCGCGACATGTCTCATTGTGCTGCTGTGCATATTGTACGAGCTACATGCTCCGCGTACCCTCAGTCATGGTGTCGTGGCCCCAATCAATGGTCCAAGTTTCCCTTAGCTATCACGCCCCATCTGCATCTTGGACTGGTCATACGTAGGTGATCTTTAGCCGATAGACCATCCAAAGTGGAGAGCCAAGAGATGCTGGCTCTATGGGTAGGAAGAAGAGTGGCGCTTCAGTCACTACATGTTTGAGCATGGTATAAATTATTCTTATTGAAGGGGAAGGGACATCGGAAATTCTCTCCCGTCGATCAGCTCAAAGGCCAACTGTCCTGCCCAGGCGCGATGGTTCCATGGTTGCCTACAGCTGCCCAAGACAAATCAATAAACAGAAGAAAAGAACACTGATTAGGTCCCGTCGCAATGATCGCATCTATCACGGGCTCAGAATGGTAGATGACAACGAACTGATATTGCTATCTGTGATATTACACGGAATGAAAAGAGAAATGCACAGAGGTCAGCCCGAGTACCAAGGGAAAACGAAAACAGTATGTAAAATAATCCATAAAAACGAGAAACGTTACTCGAGCGTAGCCTGAGGATATATGTACATGGCAAGAACGGAATGAAAATAACGCCGGATTGGGGGGTATGATATGCATGAAACGATCATGACCAGAATGATATGTACCAAATGGCCTCAGCTAACCCTCTCTTTTTCTTTTTGTTCCTTTCGCGGTCCTTGGGTGTGCAAAGCACAAGCCCGGTCTAGTAATGTTCGCAGATAAAGATTCGAAACAATGCAATGCGAAATGGGACAAGATCTAGTGCTAATCATGCAAGATTAGAAGCGACAAAAGACGTCAAAACATTCAAGGCCGCTGGTTGGAAGTCAGGTGAATTTCTTCCACGGGGAGACCCTCCTCAGAGGGGACGTGTTGATAGCGGCTGATACGGCGGGCACGGAGGTACCGCCAGAGGGCGAATCCAGCTCCGCCCAAAGTACCCGTTAAAAGGATGAATATGAGAAGAGCGCCAACTCCACGGACGACATCGTAGGCCTTGTAGACGGCCTTGGCGACCTCCTTCGCGTCGGCGTATTGGGCGCCTGAGCGATTGCCGGAGCCAGTGGAGGTACTGCCGTTGATCAATTCGGCCGCTTCGCCGTTGGTGCTGTCAGCAGAAGACGTCGAATCCACGTTATCGTTGGCAGCGACGATGATGGAAGGGTCATCAGGACTGAGGGCCGGAGCCAGAACCGGCCCAGCCGGCCGCTTTCCAGTCGGGCGGGGTGCCAGTGCGCATGATTTCAGAAGTGTGCATGACATTGCCCTCGGCATCGATGGCCTCTGCGGAAACAAAGTCCATGAAGCCATCGGCGATGAACATGGTCTCGAAGTCGGTTTTTTTGGTGGTGCCGATGAGTACGGAATCACCGTGGTCGTAGGACTTCGCGTAGAACTTCCACTGGACGACATCGGTCGCGCCGTTCCAGCTGACGTGGATGATAGTCGTCATGTCCTCGTCGCGGGTGCCGTAGACGGATGCGACTAGGTCCGGAGGCGCAGTGGGGCGACCAGTGAACTCGCCCTTATAAGAGCGGTAGGTTGAGTACCGGTCTGATGAAAACTGGGCAGTCATTAGAAGATCGCCGTTCGATGCATGCTCGCTGGAGTAACCGCGTTCGCTCCATCCGATAAAGACGTTGCCGTTAGGAAGGGCTTGAGCGCTACCGCGGAGTCGGGTTAGACCACTATCGGGGCGATTAATTCGCTTAATCACCTTGGCGGTCATGGGGACAACACCCGTGTCTAGCTCAACGAACAAAACGGAGGAGATATTCTCGTCATTGCCACGCTCGTCGGACGCATTGTTTAGGAACGAGAGAACGTGGTGAGTGCCGTTTGACGAGACAAACTTGACATCGTGCTGCTTGGAGAAGGTGAAGTCCTGCTCAAAGTCGCTCCCCGTTCCACCCAAGCGCCACACGATGTTTCCATCCCGGCCAGAAATCAAGTAAATGGTATTGGTGAACCGCATTGAGATCAGGTAGTCACCGGCCTCATTCTTGTCGACTGCATTGATATGTACGTAATCCCAACCGGGCGATCCAGCTGGGGCGTCCGAGGCGTGGAACATGTTCGACTCGGGTAGAGCAATATTACCGAGTGAATCCCACTGGACCAGAACCTCGCTGGTTTCGACATCCACCTCGACAAACCCACCAACCGTGACCCAACTCTCTTCCGTTGGGCGTCCGAATTCGGCTAGGTTGATGGGCTGGGAACGATATGTGCAGGCCAAGGCAGTCTTTCCACCGTCCATAATGTTGAATTCGTGCATGTTGAAATCGTGAACATCGCTGAGAGCCTGGACCTCTTTTTCCACTTCGTAATGGCTGTTTACAATCGCACCATGGCCCTTCTTGGAATCGTCGTATTCCCATCCAACAATGAAGGATAGATGAGGGTCATCGTCGATGTTGTACACTGGCTTGAAATCGAAGACATTATGATTGTCATACAAGGGTGCTCCAGCCCAGATAAGGACCTGTTACGCCAGAAGCCAGTCAGCTGGTCCTTTGTGACCGGGTTTTGGGGCCACGACATACGCCATTGTCATCGTAAATGTAGGGTCCGACTTGGTATTGCTGATATTTCAGGGTGGGTTGATCTGGGGAGATTTTCCCATATGGTGCAACGAACCAGTATCCGGGGGCCAGCCGCTCGCGGTCGTAGTGTTCAACCTCCCATTTTAAGGCTCGGACCTCAGGTAGCTGGCTGGCTATTAGGACAATATTCCCAAAAAATAATAATAATAATTCAAAAGTTCAACCCACCGTCACAAAAGACATCAAGTCCGAGTCATGACGCTCTGCAACGGCATTACCCGAGAACAGGAGTAATGCAGCCCAAAACATGATGGTTGACTCTTAAAGAATGGCTAGGAAGAGTCAATCTTCCTGAAATATAATAAAACAAAAGTAAAAAGGGAATGGATGGGGAGCGAAGAAGATCGCTACATAAGAGCCGGCGCTAAACACAAAACATTCAAACGGTCGTCAGTGGCATGAGTACGGAGTAAAGAAGGTGGAGACGACAGGCAATTAAGAGGATATAAAATCCATCTACTCCGAAATTAAAATTAAGATTAGAAGAGAAAGCGAAGCCGAAGCGCAAGAAGAAGTCAAAGAGAAGAGAAAGTCCTCTCCACCTGGAGCCGAGCAACGTAATGAAATGTCTTGGCATTTGCTTCGAGTGGAGAACTCATTCGCCGTTGGCCCTATAAAGTCAACAGGGCTGCATCTCGTTCCCACAGCGGAGTTGTTCTCCTCTCGTATATTCTTTTCCGACGTGGAAATAGATACGGAGTACTCCGTATGGAGTATCTTATTTAGTCTCTGTCCAGGAAAATATCACTGATGGCGTGGCCTGCATGTCGTAGTCGGTCTACTTACTTTGCCTTAAATGCCATGGGGATTTTCTCCGTTTTAACCGATTGGACTGACAGGGGATCGTCCAGGGGGCTTGGCATTCTATCCCAACATGGTCAAGGATACGTCGAGTTGTCAGGGGTTTCTCCTATTTCCGCTCCATCAGAGTTGATGATCGGCAGATCCTTATATCAGAGACTCTATCCGAGTATTTACCCTCTTCCAGTTCACCTTTGACTTTAAGCCGTGAAATATACCTTAACCCACGAACCATTTTTTAAAATTTTTCTTCACGAAGAAAAGTTAATGCTGTGCTTTGTTCTCTGTCTTCTATGTTAGTCCCGAAGACGCGTACTCCTTGATGGGTGGCTCGGGTGGCTCGGCCAGGGCATGAGGCAAAGCACTTCCGCACCCGCGATACGCAACAAGCTCTCAGTTCCAAACAGATTCTTCATCTGTAGGGCTGGCGGCATTGCCTGCCGACACACATGCTCAAGATCGAGCCAGGATAGATCCGTCATGCCCATCATGCGTGATTACATCATTGGCCAGCACCCGCGCAAGGGGGTTGTACAAGGCGCCCTCATGAGTATGAACTCGGCCAGCGGGTTTCGCAGCGTTGGAGCTGGACATTACTGACGCGGACGCCGCGCATATCGCCCAATACAGCCGAGGCGTTGGGCTATTAACGGGCTGGACGATTTCGCCGAAGGCCGAGTCGGCCGTTGTGGGCACGTAGGTGGATTCGCCTCTATCTGGGCCCAATGCGCGATGCCGGAAAGAGAAATGAAGAATGTCAGTATACGGTATTTCGGCATCTTCGATGTTTATATACAAGGAAAAGAAAGCAAGTGAATTTTCAATTGTCGCACCTTCCCTCTTCTCGTGACTTCCCGAACTTGGCGCAATGGTTGACTCACTACAGTAAACTTGAGCGGCCATGGTTTTCTTAGTGGAAAGAATAGAATCCCTTGGAATTTAGGGCAAATACTATATTTCCGTTAATATGACCTTGTCCACGTCGAGCTACCCCTACCTACAACACGAAAACTGTTGCAACAAGCCAAAGACTGTTAATCTTCAACCCCACCCAAATCAAACCTCCTCAATATCAAACCGCATCTGTATGTAGGGAATATAACGACCTCCCCAAGTCACAACCCTCGCAATGCGTCTCATTCCTCGCGGGTAAGCCCCTAGAACCAAATATACCACACCTTTCGCAAGCCTCGTACCCAGCAGAGCCTGATACTCAGCGGTATTCTCCTCCCAGACACGCAGCCTATCATCTGGCCAACCAAGACCATTCGCTGCGACATAGAGACTCTTCTGCACAAACAGCATAGTCTCCGGGTTAATAATATTACACTGGAAAACATACTTCAGGTCCTCGGTCGGGTGCTCATCTTGGTAAACGGCCTGCGCTATTTGCGCCCAATATGCCGAGTCAGGCCGGAAGCTATCCATGGCGAAAATTACGCCTGGCCCTGTTTGTAACGTGTAGTCATTCACCCAGTACTGTCCGCGCGATATTCCCGCCTTCGATAGTACGATCTTGCGGTAGAGCTTTTCTCCCGAAAGCCCCAGTTCGACGGTTTCTTCGTAGATTTGGTCGGGTGGAACGTGTCGTTTTTGGTGTCGGATTTCCCATCTGGATTCTGTCATATTTTGCATTGTGAGCTGTGAGGGGGTGATTGGACAGTTTTGGTTGGGGTCCCTTATCCATGAAGCTCTCAGGGCCCCTGCTGTTTGGAGTCTGCCATACTTCAATGGTGGGGCCTGTTCTCCCGGTGGTTGGGCAGTAATAGCGTCAGACATGACTAGTAAGTGGAGAGTGTGTTAAAATGCTTGATTGAAAACTGCACTCCCAGGGGTTTGGAATTGGCATCTGCCGTTGAACGTGGGATGGGGTGGAAGAGGGAATGGTGCACTGATGCATCATTGATATACCTTTTTTCGACCTATAGCTAAGACAACATATGCCAGCTCTGGAATCTGGCCACAAAAGAAAACGGATAGAACAATGGGGATTAGACGTCACTAGTGGGAGCTGAAAGACACTCATCAAAGGAACGGCGAGATAATGTAGACAACATTGTCTTCAGACATAAAGGTATCTCGGATGTGCGATAATTTGACGGGTCAAAGATGCGGACAAAGGCATTGTTGACAGAGACTAGAAGAATGGACGATATGAGATCGGCTTATAACTAGTCGATTGAGCATTGGATATCAACATCCATGGATGGTAAGACATCGTGGCTCATTGTTGTTCTAGGGGCCCTACGTATCGAGAAACCCTGTAATCTCTGCGTACAAGGCGTTAACGGTGCAAGGTCTATTCTTTTTATGCGAACCACATATTCCTATTCACTCAAGAATGCCCTTTCGTTTTGCTTTGTTACAGTGTTCGGATAGTGAGCGACTCGGTGGCCATGTTGATCGGCGTAGATGACCTACAAGATGCATTAGTTAAGAAGATCGAGGACAACGATCCGGAGAACCATGGGAATGATGATCAAGAATAACGAAAAGCATTGTCTCGCTGATGTCGGACTTGCCTTGGGGTAGCTGCGCACACCCTCACGTTGGGCACTGGCTTCATCCTTGACGATTGTTTGGACCTGCTGAGTGGTCAATCCATGCCGGACTCTAGCAAAGATGAAAGTTTATGGATGCAGGAATCCTACCTTGCCCTCATGTGACCCGCCTCTAAACGTGGTGTTGACAAAGTCACCTTCATTGATATCGTTGCCTTGCTTGTCCTGTATCTCCTCGACAGACATGATCCCGATCTCATTTAGACCCGATAACGGTAAGAATACCTATCGAACTTGTCCGTCGCCAGGTCGCCTCTTGTCTTTTTGATTTACCTAGATAGGTATGATGTGATATTTGCAACATAGGTGACGTCATGGTAGTTTACTGGAACATCGCCAGCAAAGTAGGATTACGGAGATTTGAAACGAGAGGGAATGTTGATCCATTTGAAGGGTATCATCGTGATCAATAATGGCAGGTGGTTGACACCGGGGAGGATAATGGACAGATAATGGACAGCATATTCAACGCTACACGGTTGATGAGGCTCAAAGGGAGGACCCTATTACCTGCACAGGGTGACAGGGGCAAAGTCTATGTGGATACACCAAAGTATCAGATACACTATGATTCTACAGTTCTATAGCAATATAGAGCTAAAAGGAGAAGCATATCCGAGAGATAAGATGCAACACAGAATAGAATGCCCTTATATTAGATCGGAGAACATGTTTCAGATTCCAAGACAAGAAAATAAAATAAAGATGTTTTTCTAAGGGGGAAAGTAAAAGAGAGGTGAGTTAAGTAGAAGATTTAGTTCCACATGTAACCGTCCCCCCAGTTGGGCCGACTACCACCGTTGCACTCAAGGGGGTCATTGAGTATGTATGGGTACATTGGGAATGTGCTCGGTATTATATTCTGTTCTTATATTCTAAATGATTTGGAGTATTATTCTATCTAAGGAATATATTAGATCTGGACTGTATAACTATCTATCAACACTATTAGGCTATTAACACTGCTACACTACTAGTATGCAGGTTCTATAAAGTAATACATATACAACAGCACATGTAACTCCACTCCACCCATTACTACAGGTGCGGTGTATGTTGTATATGGGATATAAACTGTATATAAATGGTATGGTATGAGAATGGCCTTTTTAATGACTTTTAATGACTTTTATGATGTGACTGTACAATTATCCAAAAGCAATAACCTCCGTAGATTTATTCCCGTCACCTGCACAACATCGACATAAATTACCGTTACGGTACCATACCCATGCACATTGCGACATCGCAAGGGCTTTCCCCCAGTTGCACTCGCGGTGACACTGTCAACTCAAGAATGGGCCAATGTTGATCCATGCTTAGGGTCAACACCCTTCTTTTCCTTCTCTTCTCTTCTTCTCTCTCCTTTTCGCTTTCTCCGGGTGGGGAATTACTGCTTCACTCCCACCGATCCACTCAAGACACAACTCCAGTGGGAGTGTCACATCGGCTTGCACCCCCCCAAAAACCTTAGGTTATAACTTCAGATCTTTCTTCTTTTATCTCATCTGCTCCATGATCATTCACACTTGAACATAGTGAACTTCGATCCTGGTTCCGCGACCAACCCTCTCCTCCCTTCCTCGACTATGTCGGCACCACTGGTCAAGGTGCTACACCGATTGCAACAGTTATTCCATAACGTGGTCGCCGCCCTCGAAACCATGATCCTATTCCCCTCATTGTTCCGCGGCCTCTCGCGACGCCGCCAAAAGACTTTCCTCGGTGTCCATTGGAAACGCCGCAGCCTCGATGACTTCGCCGAGGAAGTGGAGACCTCGTGTTCGACGCCGCTGTCAACGCGCAACATGGTCGATATGTCCGAGAAAATACGCGCACAGTTCCGGGAATGTTTACAGAACAGCCCATGCTGCATGCTTCCATCCTATGATACCGCGCTTCCGGCTGGCTCGGAAAAGGGCACATATCTGGCATTGGACGTGGGCGGGTCGACGTTTCGCGTAGCTTTGATTGAATTGAATGGCCGGGATGAGGAAGTGCGCATCTTGAAAGTATCATCTGTACACATTGACGAACAACTCAAGATGCTGGAAGGAACACAATTTTTTGATTGGATGGCAGGCCAGATCGAGACCATGCTGGGGGAAGTTGGGACAGACTACGGGCGTGGTGATGTACCGCTGGCGATGGGGTTGTCCTGGTCTTTCCCCATTGAACAAACGTCGCACAGCAGCGGGTTGGTGATCCACATGGGTAAAGGATTCAAGGCCTCCAATGGCACGGTAGGCCAGGAACTGGGTGATCTCCTTATCCAGTCATGCCGCAAGCGCAATTTGAACGTAGAGGTTGCTGCTATCGTGAATGACAGCTCGGCGGCTCTACTGTCGCGTGCCTACGTCGACCCCAAGACCCGCATGTCTCTCATTTTGGGTACCGGTACCAACATGGCGATCCACTTCCCGGTGCACGAGATTGGTATGTCCAAGTTCGGTGTCCGTCCGGAGGGCTGGTTCGACCATGCCAAGCATGTTCTCATCAACACCGAAATGAGTATGTTTGGTGGAGGCGTACTGCCTATGACACGGTGGGATGACATACTGAACCGCGCCCATCTGCGCCCAGACTATCAGCCGCTCGAGTACATGATCACAGGTCGTTACTTGGGCGAGATTGTGCGTCTTATCATCGTCGAGGCAACCGAGACCACCCGCCTCTTCGGTGGCGAGCTACCACACTCCATGCGTGAACCCTATACCTTCGACACAAGCATCGTCGCCTGCCTCGAGGACGACTCCTCTGCCTCCCTTTCTACCTCCGCCGCTCTCCTACAAAAGCACCATACCTTCCACACCCAACCCTCCGTCGAAGACCTGCGATTCCTGCGCCGCATCTCTCAGACAGTCTCCCGCCGTGCCGCTGGATACCTGGCGACAGCCATCCACAGCATGTGGTGCCTCCGTAACGAGGTGGAATTCCCTGCAACTCCCTCCACCACCGACTCCCTCATTAAGGAATCACCCGAAATCACCGTCATCGAGAGCGGAGACTCCGATAAGAGCCTTTCCATCGCCTGCGACGGTGCCGTCATCAACAAGTATCCTGGCTTCCGTGCTGCCTGCCAGAACTATCTCGATCAATTGACCGAGGAAACATATCCGGGCGCCGGATGCTCCATCCGTCTTAACCCGGCGCCTGAAAGCGCCATTCTCGGCGCGGCAGTCGCAGTGGCTGTGTCTGTTGCTGAGAACTCCACTCAGCTGTAAATCTGCTACTTAACATGAGTGATGCATGAACGCTATGCGGAGCATAGATCTCTGGCTGTCTCTTTCGTTGTTATTTTCTTTTTACCATGTCCATCGGTCCATCGCCGCATGATATGTGATGGGTTTCTGTCTGGGCCTTTTTGTTTTCTCATCTGCATGGGCATTCCCGGATGGGAGTTGTGGAGAGAGCGTTTTTCTTTGTTCGCCTTTCAACTGTCAAATCGTTTAGCATCAACAGGGAGTTTCTGGTTGGAATCCACATGGTTCTCTCAATATGGTTTTCTGTTGGGATCTTTGATCCTGGAGTTCGATTTCGTTCCTCTCATCCTTATTAACGGGTTTTATGGTTACTCGAATTCAAAAGGCACATTTGATTTGTCTATTCTTTTCCTTTATTCCCGAGCTAGTGCATCTTTCTTTACCTCTATGCTTAGAATATGGCATGAACTGAGTCCATTATACTCCTGCCAGTCCGGTTCTCCTCGAGGTCTTTGTGCATGAATGCCCCAGGGCTAGCCCAGAAGGAGGCAGATCCTTACTTTTGTCAATAGTAGTATACCGAGTCACAGGTGCGCTTGGTGAGATGTCGTTAATAGGAACAGCCGAGAGAACGGGATTTGCCCTTTTCCAGCACGCTGATCAAAAAACACTATCCCTAGCATTGGCAGTGGGAACACCCCCCAGCTGCGAAGAAGTGACCTATGCTGTACCTTGTAATAGTTACTGCCGTACGGAGTGCTACCCATCAATAAACATATAATGATCCCTCAGTCTCGAAATCCTGAGCTTGGTTTCCATTTGGCCTAGATCTTTTCACCAAAGGAGTTGATCTATATTTGAAATTTAGCAAGGCGGCCTTCGCTGCGCGACATGTAATAGATCATGTACAAGTTCAAATATATATAACATTGGTTGACATATCTTGTTTACGGATGAAGCTCTTTAGGCTGGTGTAGGTGGATTTTCGGAACTGAGGTTGTAAACAGTGGGACCTTATATTGTTATAGCAAGGCAACATATAGTTATGAAGGTGCGTTCATGGAAGCTCTTCTAGTATGCTCGGTGCGTGAAGGATTACACCCTTGGCCGTGGAAAAAGCTGTGGTCAATCTTAATATACAATTCCAGCATTTTTATTGGCCATGACTGGATATAAGCGTGGAAGTATTGCCATCTTACCTAATGTCGAAGCCGAAGCCGAAGGCGTACGCAATTTGTACACAACCGCATCGAGGTATACAGATCAGCAGCTAATCCCGTTTCGGTCATCCCAACTCCTTTTTCTTTTTTCCTCTTCAGCAACCTCAAGTCTCCCTCTTTCTCTATGTTCTCTCTAGCCCGTCAATTCTCCGGAGTCCGCTCCAAGCCTCTAGCCTTCAGCCAGGAATTCACCCGATCGACCCAGGTACCCCACCGCCTGTACTCGAACCCTCCGAGATCTTCGCCGCCACGCGCACCCTCCGCCCCTCAATCCAGCCGCTCCAATTTCCCAATCATCCCCATCATCCTCATAACCGTCATCAGCTCCGGCGCCTACGTCTACCTCGTCAAGTCCCGCACCGGCGTCCCTACCTCACGCCAAAACTAGCTTGAAGTAAGCCCGGAAGGCCTAGCCCGTACAAAAAGGGAAAAAAGCCAACTAACGTCCGTTTCAAGACAAGTGCTGCCCCTCCACACGCACACCGACACCCCCCACCAACAACCTCGACTCTAAACTCAATCCCAAACCCCCTTTAACCCACCTCACCTCCCTCAACCTCCCACCACCACCACCAACCACCCACAATGGCCACCCCCCGCTTCTCCACAAACGACGTAACAGTCGTCTTCTTCCTCGGCGGCCCCGGCAGCGGAAAGGGCACGCAATCCGCGAACCTCGTCAAAGACTACGGCTTCGTGCACCTCTCTGCCGGCGATCTCCTGCGCGCCGAACAAGTCCGCGAAGGCAGCCAGTACGGCGAGCTGATCCGCGAATACATCCGCGAAGGCAAGATCGTGCCTATGGAAGTGACCGTTGCGCTGCTGTCGAATGCCATGGCCGACTCGCTGGCGACTTCGCCGCCGCCGGCTGGCACCAAGGCCCGCTTCTTGATTGACGGGTTCCCGCGCAAGCTCGACCAGGCTGTTTTCTTCGAGGAGACTGTTTGTCCCTCCGAGCTTGTGTTGTTCCTCGATTGCCCCGAGGATGTCATGGAGGCTAGATTGCTGAAGCGTGGTGAGACTAGTGGCCGTGATGATGATAATGCGGCTTCTATTCGCAAGCGCTTCCATACTTTTGTTGAGACTTCTATGCCTGTTGTTGATGACTTCCAGAAGAAGGATAAGGTCGTTTCGGTGAAGGCTGATAGCTCCATTGAGGAGGTCTATGGGCAGGTTAGGGCCGGTATCGAGGCTCGTGGTTTGCACCCTCGCTAAACGGGGTTCTTGTGTTTATATGTATATAGTGTTGGGGGGACAATCTAGGGGGGAGAGAGTTGTGTGATTTCCTTGCTCGACTTGAAAATAGAGTATAGAAGAGAAGAATTTAAGCATTTTTAAACTTGATGCCTTTTGCTTAGGAGGATGCTTGGCTCCCCTGAGACCAATGCAGTTGTCAGTTGACTACGGATTTGAATCATGACCAGTCCAGTCTAAAGAAATATAATATTCTTTAAGCCGGAGTTAAAAAAAAATGAACAAAAGAAAAGTCATCCCTCCGGAAAACATAAACAAGACTAAGATTGACATGACATGACTCGTGGGGTCCCAAACATCCAACGGGGGCAGTAAAAACCCAACCCTACAAATTGGTCAGGGAAAAAGAAATGCATGAGGAAAAGACAGCGAGATTTCCCCTCTATTAACTGAAAGATTTTTGTGCTCCGTGAACTTTTCCATTTATAAAAAAAGGACACATCTATTCGGCACTAGCCTCAACCTCACGCGCGGATTGAATGCGTCGACGGTCACCGTTACCGTTGCGGCTGGCGTTGGCTTCTTGGTCAGCAGCGGCCTGGATACCCTCGCGTGCGAAACGCTCACGCTCGGAGCGGATCACGCTCAGAACGTTCTCGAGGGAACGGCGCCAGACCATCAGGCGGCCTTGGACCTCGGACCACTGCTTCTCGCCAAAGACGCGGTAGGTGGCGCGGTGCACAAGGAACTCGGACTTCAGCTGGGACAGTCTGCCCTCGACGAGGCCGGCACGAATGGTGTCAATGACCCACATCTCGACATCGGAGGCGGGGACGCGCAGAGCGGAGGCGATAGTGTCGTAGGGGAGTGAGCGCGAAGGGGTGGAGGATGCCAGCGAGGTGAGAGTAAGCAGACGCATCTTGGTCTGCAGGGCATCGGCGGACTCGGCGAGCACGCCGCCAGAGATGGAAGCGAGCGGGTTGGCAGCGACGAAGGTCTCGTAAGCGTCAAGGGTGTCCGAGGTGAAGATCTCGAGCAGCTCGAAGAGGGTGCTGTCGCTAGAGCGCAGGGCCTGCACGGCGTCTGATGCGGTCAAGGGGGTGAAGTCGAAGACGGTGGAGCGACGCAGAGCGGTAGCGAGTGCGCGCACAGCCAACTCGCGGCTCTCGGGCTTGCTGACGTCGGCAGGGTCGATGGTCTGGAGCGCTTGCACGACGTGAGTCTGGGCCAAATCCTCATCACCGGCAGCGGTGGCGGCCTCGGCAATGGCGATGTGCAACTTCCGGGTATCATCGCTTTCCAACTCCCACGCTGAGAGCCATGTGGGGAGCTGCGAAGCGAGCTGGGGCTTGAGGGCTTCGAAGGCAATTCCAGATCCAGACTGGCGGATCACTGCCACAACAGCGAGGAGGACGTGGTAACGGCTCGAATCGTTGGAAGACAGAGTGTTGAAAATGGTGGTGAGAATAGAGATGGCGAGGGTAGGACCGAACTGAGGCGAGGTGGTGATGGGCTTAGCGAGATAGGTGCAGATGCGAGGAAGGAACACGTCGGCATCGGAGGACTGGTGAACAAGGTGGACCAGGAGGTTGTAGGCGGAGGTGATCTCTGCAATTTTTTTTAATCTATGTCAGTTTTTGTCCATCAAAGACAAAAGTGCAGCCAGATTCCGACTCTCTGCGGATCATCGACACTTTTCGCCAACTTACCCTTCTCGGGGGCACTGTTCAGAGCGGTCGCAGAGGAGACGAGCTTCTTCAGGACTTCATCGCGCTGCTTAAGGTCGGCCTCGCCTTCAGACTGTTCCTGCTGGCGGAGAGGTTCGAGGAGCGGGGCGATCTCGGACTGGAGGCTACCCTCTTTGCGGAGGGCATCGATGTACTGGGCAAACTCGTCGGCGAGCTCGGTGAAGGAACCCTCAATGAGGAGGGTATTGGTAGGAGCGGGCATGATGTTGGATGTGGGAAAAGGAGAGGAAGAGAGAACGTGAAGTTCTTGATGGTGGAGTCTATCGATAAGTTGAGAAATTTCAGTGTGTGCCAAAAAAGTCTTGGCGAAAGGAACACCAGTTGAAACATCTCGACTGGTCTTTGCCTTGTAACTGTTTCTTTGACTTCAGTTCGGATCTTTTATTTAGGTGGGATATTTAATATTACACTGCAATTCTCACTACGCTGATTTTTCTGTCCAATGGGTCGGAAATAATTGGTGATATTACTTTTTAATCGAATAGTTCATGCGCGAAATCGTCACCTGCGCAGACACAGAAGGAACTCCATCCCAAAGCAAAACAAGGAAGGACAGGCGCCACGTTCATAAACATGTGGACAATCATAATAAGTCAAGACTTCAGGGGGGAATTGGATGTCTCGAAGTTAAAGAAAAAGGCAAATGGCATCGCGATGAGTTAAGAGAATACAGCAAAGAGGACGCTATGCGACCCATCCATCAAGGGGCGGTTAACCCAAAGACCGAATGGACATTGTTCCTTTACAGGACCATGCGCGCGGCAACGAACATGATACCAGCCATCAGACCCGTGGAGTACTGAGTCAGATCGAGAGCGACGGCGGCGTTGGTGGTAGTGCTGGCAGCAGCCACGGAGGAAGTTTCGGTGCTGGAAGACTCGGTCGCAGTGGCCATGGCCAGAGTGCTCGAAGGGCTAGAAGAAGAAGTGGTGGTCACCTCACTCGCATTCTTGGAGCCACAGTTGGAGACGGCCTTCTTGCAGGCGCGCTGACCCTCGATATCGTCAGGGTGCGACTTGATGCACTGGCCGAAAGTGGCATGGCAGACGAAGAAAGGAACAGTCTGCTGGTAGGGGGCCACATCGGGGGTCGAACCGTCGCTACAGACACAGTCGAACTTCAGGGTGTTCTGTTCGAGCCGTTAATTACCTGGTCGTACAGACGTGACACATAGCAACATACCGGGTCGCAAGAGTTGAGCTTGGTGCCTTTCTGGCAAATGTCGGGGCAAGTGTTACGCTGGGCAGAGCACCAGACGCCTACTTTATTAGCACTTTGTTGTGGAAGAAGTTGCTGTGGAAGAAGAAGTTGTCGGGGTACATACTCAGTTCACTGCTTTCCACCAAACCAATATTGAAGTCGGTGGGGAGGGTGTAAGGACCCGTGTTATTGGCACCCATGACGGAGGTAGCCAGAGCCGAAAGGAAGATAATAGAGGAACGCATGATGAATAAATTAGAGATGCAGTTGTACGGGAAGAGAGGAGAAGAGAAGTTTGAGGGAGAAGAGAGAAGAGAGAAGAGGAAAAAACAAAGAATGAGCAGGTGCTTTGTATCCCAGAGGTATTCCAAGGTTTATTTTGGTTTTGAAACCAAACTGGAAAGAACCAGGTTAGGCCCTGCCCAGACTTGGGGATTGGGACTATTTGCCAGGGTAACCCCCTATTTGACATACCAGGTGGAGAGTTATATTCACTAGTATTGTTTTTTTTTTTTATGCTAGATAGTACTAGATAAGTATTATTCAAGTTGCACAGGCCCTGTTTCCTCTATAATTTGTTATCCGAAAAGAGTCTGCCAAAGGGCTAAATTGGAGGGTCCTTGGCTGCATGCAACTAAGCCTAGTCAGGCCAAGTTGCCCCTGCCGATAGAACCCGTACGAATCATAGGCCTCTGAACGGAGACTGTTGAATGCACTATGGTGCACTATGGTGCACGACAGTGATACAGGACCCTTAGATAAGTCGTTTCTGGTTCGTCTGTTTACGGAATACCCTCGCATTCTTGCCCGAATTCCCAAATTCCCCCATCATGTCCCTTGTCACCGGTTACATGCTGGGGTGAGACAATGCATTGTCCGTGCTTAAGACTAGCATGATTGGTTCTTCAATTCGAGGAAGGAATATCTACTTCAAAGCTTCTTCTGCTCGCTCCACCGCAAATCAAAAATTTCGCAAATCCATTGGACCGTGCTGAGTGAATTTGACCCAATATATCCACGTGACTGTTTATCATGCCCTGATCGGTGATAGCCGGAGCCGAGGTTAAATTATGCCCTTTGACATCGTTGGCGCCCTAATATACTACAAACTGCTGAAACATCTTCATGCCAGGTCATTTAACTACATGCCGCTTATGACAATTGACTGCAACATAGCCCCGAAGACCAAAACAACAGTCAAAAAAAGAAATGGCCGATCCGACTCCCGCTATCGCGCACCTCCGCAACAACTCATGGGCAAATAACCTAATCTCCTCAGCCGACTACACACCAATTCAAACAGACTCGCGGCGCTTAAAGCCCACAACTGGGGAGGATGGCTACTTCGCACAAACCCTTAATACCCCCACCACAATCCCTCACTGCCTAACCCTGCAACGGTGCAACATCACACCCGCACCTGCAGAAGCCCCCACCTGGCTCCCCGCAACAAAACAAGATGCCGCAGCTGCTGTAAAGCCCACCCCGGGCTTGAATCCTGCGGATATCATTATGATCTTCGATCTCAGCAGCCCTGGTCTGTCCGGCCACCCGTCCACCGTGCACGGTGGCATTGTCGCGACACTGATTGACGAGGCCATGTCCCTCGCTGTCGCGGCGCATACAAATGCGCCCAGTGCGCTCAGCACGACTGAGGATAACCCGCGCGGGAATATCTTTACCGCACAACTGGATGTCAGGTATAAGAAGAGGGTGGCTACGCCTGCTTTGCTAGTCATCAAGGCGCGAGTTGTTGGGAGGGTCGGGAAGAAATTTTGGGTACGGGCGCAGGCATTGCAGGAGGATGAGGAGGGTGCTGGGGGACATTTGGAGTGGGCTAAGAGGAAGGTTGTCAAGGCTGATGCTATGGCATTTTGGATTGTGACCTCTGACTCGAAGTTGTGAGCCTCTTTCTTTTCTGGCTCAAAATTTGGAGTATAGACTAGGACATCAATTTCCCTGCTGTACATATAGGGATTTTGATCCTATACATATAACACTCGATTTTGTACATACAGGAGTAACCAGCAAAGTCATACATATATAGAGAATATAGCTAAACCTGGATTTGAACATACAGGATCTATTCTTTAAATGTATATACATCTATGAAACGACTATCTACAACTTCTCCATCTTCCTGGTTCCAATATTTCGACTAGCACTCACAACCAAGCCAACCTGCGTACTCAACGCAATAACCTCCCCAGCCTCGTCAAGCACCGTAACCTCCAAATCTGTCCGCCCATCCCTAACAACCTTAGTAACAACCCGACTATAAAGCCACTCCACCCCCTCAGCAGGAAGGTGCTTCTTCATATCCACGTTGAGCGTGACAGTGGGGTACCAAAACTTCGCCTTCTCCTGGGCAAGCGACGTCCCACTCTCCTTTGCCGCGGCAGTGGCAGACATAGTATCAAATCCATCCAACGCCATGGGAAACATATCAATAAGATACGCCACCGCAGCGTCCGTCCAGCGACCATTCACATCACCCCCAGGCCGGAACCTAGCCCACTGATCGATCCCCATATTCCCAGAGCGCTTCTGCTGCGCATCGCCAGCACCAGGACCAAACAGCTCGATCTGCGCCGCGGCCTTACGGAACTCCGCGAAAGGCGCGTCGAGCTTCGTCCAAGCGCCGTCAGTGCCGGTCCGGCCCAGCGCTTCCAGATTAACGGACCCGTCTGCGCGCGAACCCGGCACCGGGGCAGGGTAAGGCTTCCAACCTGTGTTCGCGCTAATGCCGACCTCGGCGTCCGGCGGGCTGACGGTGACATAGCCGGCGACCATGATGTCCAGCTGGCCGGGTTTCTTTTCAGAGGGCTGAAGCAGCTTGATGTGGATTGTGCTTGTGCGAGCGCCGATCTTGACGTCTTCGACTTCAAAGGTTACCGGGCCTGACGCTGTGCGTCGGAGGAAGGAGAGTTGGATGGAGATCGGGGACGCGGCGCTCTTGTATTGCTTTGGGTGGGCGTGCGCGAAGTGTGTTAGGGTTAGTTGGTAAATTACGGCTGTTGTGTAGCCGCCGTGCGGGACTAGTAGGATGTTAGCTTTTGGTCAATGGGAGGTTGGTTTTACATGGGTTTTGCTATACCGGTTCCAATGCACCATTCGGGACGGAGGAAGGCGCTGTATTTGTTGGGGCCTTCCGGAGTGACCTTGATGGCCTCCTGGAAGGATGGGTTGACAGTGGACATGGGTGCGGTGGTGTTTGATATGTACAGGTACAAAAGGTCTACATAAGATCGTTCATCTTTTATAGAACCCTTCCCCACATACCAAGTTTACTTGGTGAACCTCGGCATTTTCCCCAGACCGTGGACAGCCGAGAAGCTGAGTCAGCTGCCAATTAGCCTGAGCACGTGGTTTTTTCCAAGGTTCCAACAGTTTGAAGCCCAGAAATTATCTTCCTAACCTTGGAAATGCATCTAGATTCGTGACGTAAGAGGGCTGAACAAAAATATATTGAAGTTGGCGTGTTCCTATGATGCCGATGAGACCCTGCCATAGGTCCGATCGGGTAACAATCGAGATGTTCATGGATTCCGCTACGCGACATTACTTGGCAGCTCGCGTAAAGGGACCTGGGGTAATCAAATTCCCATTTAATATGCAGAATACGAAAACGAGGTAAATTCCATTATTAGTTTGTTCGCGACTACCTACACATAAAACATCTGACCCCGTTCTGCAATGAATCTGAGGGCAAATCTAACATGGATCATCATATCACAGGTACTACACTACAATGCAGCTCCTAGGCTATCACTTTATATCACTAAATCACTAATGGGAAAAATAGCACGACCGTATGGCTATGTTGACCCCAACTTTCCAAACCCCGGCGGCGAAAGGGACACCCCGGTGATCATTTATGGCTACACGCCTTCCATCGCCCTAGCTGCCTTCGCAGCCGCGTGGTTTTTTCTTCACTTCGTCTACCACACGGCACAAACGATCAAGAACCGCAGCTGGTGGTGGATGACCTTTTCCGCTGGTCTGATTTTCGAGGTGATAGGGTACATTGCACGATCACTCTCGGCCAAAAAGGATCCTTATCACCTCATCTACTTCATCCTCAACTACTTTTTCATCGTTGTGGCGCCTGTGTTGCTTGCCGCTGGCATCTACACCATTCTATCGGCACTGATCCCACGAGTAGGGAGCCGGTATTCATTCTTACCGCCGAAAGTCATCCTGGCCTTCTTCATTACTTCGGATGTCATCTCGACAATCGTCCAAGTTGCCGGTGCGTGTCTCATTGGCGTTAAAGAGTCCCGTCGGCAAGACCCCACAACGGCGAACAACATCCTCCTGGGCGGCCTCGCGTACCAGGTCTTTGTCATGACTATCTTCGTCATCTTGGCGGCGAGTTTCCAGTTCCGAGCTCGACATGCTATCAGAGCAAACGAGCTTGGCCTCTTCTGCTTTGCGTTTTCCATTTCGACCCTCATGGTGTATCTGAGAACTATCTTCCGTCTTGCGGAAACTGCCCAAGGTCTTATGGGAGAGCTGCAGACCAATGAGGTCTATTTCGCATGCCTTGAATTTGCGCCTATTGCGCTAGTGGTTCTTCTCTTTGCCATCTGGTATCCTGGCCGCTGCGTAGGCGCAGCGGTACGGGTTAATGATAAGCCATAGCTTTTGACATGGGGCAAATATAATATGTTTTTGTCTCTGAATGAGTCGCACCTGGGCGTATCTGACCGAACGCCGGCAGTTCCCTAGATGCTTGATATCCAATTTCGAAAATGACATGTTTCAGAATGTTATGCCCATATATTCTCTTATAGCACCCTAGGCTCTGTCTTTTAATATGACTACGAAGTGACTTGGGATACAGCTGTTCACAAAGAAGCACCAGGAAACCGCCCTGTTGTTTGAGCCACATTTTTTTTGGTTCTTTTATAAATTAACTGGAAATTATTAGAAGATGTAATGCAAATATGTCTTCGTGTAGAGCCTCCATGTATGTACCATCTCAACTTGATCGAAAATGCGCCGCAGTAGATGTATGTCAGCACCAAATCATAGTTGCTAAAGAAAATGAAAACTCCGGTCCGTTTTGCTATCTTCATGTATTCGTCTTCGCATGTTCATGTTCTGGAAATTTCAAGTAGATCAAATTGCTCAATAGATCAATCTCGCAACGGCAATTTAGTTTGACTCTGTTGCGCCGCCAATTGTTGCAGACAAGAAAGAACACCTGTAAGAAATTAGTCAACTGAACTTTTGAAATAACATAGAATATCATCCCAAGCTTACCAGTAACTCCCTGGGTCAGGGTAGCCTTAGCCTCCGTGCTACGCGAGCCCAATGTGACAGTCATAGCATAGTCGACGGCCTTTGCGCTGTGCAGCTTATTAGCCCACCGGAAGACGGGCTCGTCATCACGGTTATCGCCGATAACCAGCAAGAAATCGGGTCTGATGACGTCTTCGTTTTTGTCGGCATTTGCCATGAACCACTTCCAGACCAGTTCGGCTGCAGATGCCTTGTTGGTGTGAGTGGTCTCCACAACCAAAGCACCCTCGACGGGAATCGCATGCACATCGAGGTTAGCACATGCATCGTTGATATTGCCTGCACATTCAGCAGACGATCGAGCGGCGGCTTGGCGGTCTTCGGCGGATCCGTGGTGGAAGACGAGCGAGCAATGTCGCTCCTCAATCCAGCTACCCTCGACACGAGCCTGGAAGTATGCTAGAATATTAGACACAGATGCCTTCCATGACTTGACATGCATCTTGTCTGCAAGTTGGGTCCAGGAATCGGCGTGCGGCTCGCGCACGAAAGACCCGTTCTCGGCAATCAGTCCCAGATTGTTGACTTGTCGAAACAGCCGTTCCATTTCCTCCGGCATACGAGCACTCATTACGTAGACAACATTGGCGGGGTCTTCGGTCAAATCGTTTAGAGTTGTGATTGCGCGCTGCGGTGTGGTCAGAATGATGCTGCGCGGTGATCCCCAGGAGGCGAGCGTGTCTTCGTAATCTATGATCATGAGTCGTTGCTTGGACTGGCGATACCGCTCGGTGAGACGGGATACGGATAGTCGGGGCACCGCCATGATTTCTCGCGAAGATTGCTCGTTCCAGACACGGGTGAGTGTTTCGTTAAATGATTTCACCCAGTTGGCTGTCGAGTTCTTCAGGACTGCACGGTGCAGTTCCTTCCAAACCTCCTTCCGTTCCTTTTCACCGCGAGTCAGTGCTGTGTGAATTGCTTCGCAACACTGGCGGTAATCCCAAGGGTTGACCAAAAGCGCATGGTTTCCAAAGACAGATGCGCTGCCAGTAAACTCGCTAAGAATCAATGAACCGTAGGCTTTGTCGCCCCATCGACCATCCTGGCAGTAGACAAACTCATGACTAGTCAGATTCATTCCCTCGCGTAGGCTGGTGATCATTAGGGCATCTGCCACAGTGATAAGAGCAAGGTACTGCGGGAAGGCTAGGTCTTGTTTGAGGAATACCAAAGGCTGATGAGCGAGTGTCGAGTGTGTGGAGTTGATCCGCATGGCAATATCGGAGATTGTCGCTTCCAGCTCTGGCTGTTCTGTGGTGCTAGTGGCGACTTGGATCAAGACGACCTTATCGGCCCATTCTGGGTAGGTGTTGAGGAAAAGCTCATAGCTAAGAAGTTTTTGGCGAATACCCCGAACGGAATCAATCTTATCGCGCGAGACGATCAGGCGCTTTCCTTGATAGCGCTCCGAGATTGTACCGACCCATCGCTCCACGTCCGTTGCCTGGCGGCGCTTATCCCAAGAAGTTGGGTCGATGCCGATAGGGAATGTACCGACGTTAACAAAACCGTCTTCCAACTGGATTCCTTCGGGTGTTGCTTCCACACACAAAATCCGACTGCACGTCTGCAAGAAGTGCCGGCAGTATTCATCCGTCTGGAAACCAATAAGGTTGGCACCAAGAATGCCCTGTAGGAGCTCCTTGCGTTGTGCCAAGCATTTGAAGACCTCCGACGATGGGAAAGCGATATGCAGGAAAAACCCGATTTGTGCATCTGGCAGCAATTTGCGAAGCATAGCTGGAACCAGTAACAGATGATAATCCTGGACCCAGATCGCATCACCCCGTTTCCAATTCTTAGCAATGCGATTTGCAAAAGCCTGATTCACCTTGACGTAGTAGATCCACGAATGGTCCTCGTAAGCTTTGCTTTTCGGGTTATCTGGGATTTGATAATGGAATACTGGCCAAAGAATGGTCTTGCAGAAATGTGTGTAGTGCCCGTCGAAGTCGCCGTCGTTTACGAACACCGTCAAAGACCCATACTCATCTTCCAATTTCTCCGCGATGTCTCGCCGGGTGTATTTTGCCAAGGCGTCAGTGGGCATACCCAGGGTGCCCACCCACATCATGTTATCCAAGCCCCCGGCGTCTTTTGCGGATCGCACTGCATTGCGCAGGCCACCATTGCCCTGCTCCGCGGTCTCGATGGTCCATTCAGCTTTCGAAAAGGAAAGTTTTCGGCTGGCGGTGCTGGCCTTTCTTAGTCGCGCATGGGAAGCAATGGTCTCGACCGCAGGAGGCCGGTGAGGCACAGGTTCCTTGGCGGGACGAAGATCTTGGTGCTTGAGAATTGATGGGGATGGCGACAAGACCGCCAATGGCTTTGGCTGATTGAGCGAAGTTGTGGCACCCCATACCGGGGAATGACCCTCACTCTCCGTGAGGAGCCGGTTATCCTGCTTCGCGGCCAAAGGGAACGGGTACCCGTCTTTTTCTTGCTCTGCTATCTGGGCAGCAAAGATGCGCTCATGATCTGTTGTAGCCCCTGGTGTAAGACCCGGCACTTTCCCTGGAACGCCCTTCTCAAACAAGCTAGCCGCAGAATTGGGGATGGGTGTGATGCCCTCGACGGTGGGGTTCACAGATGGAGGAGTTGGAGAGGGAGAGCGAGCGCGCGAGTTGTTGATATGGAAATCGATAGTGTAGGGTAAGAATCTACATAAGAAATTTATCAGTAAGCCATATGTACTTCAAGGTCCAGTTAGCGCCACGTACAGAGATGCTATGAAGACAGTCATGGTGACTGAGCCCGGCCTAAGCGGATAGGCAGAAGAATATTAAAGCACAATGAGAGAGAGGCCTTCCAGCTCTGACGATAGAAATAGGTAGATATATGCGACAATAAAGTGAGCGTCCTAACAACCGGAGGCAAGCTGAAGGGAAAAAAATGTTAGTTACACGATGTGTTTCTCATGACTACGTCATGTGAAGGTGCCAAGTGGGGGGGGAAGAAGCAAGTTTGGCCGTGGATTGCAAGGACAAATAAGAAGAGAACAGGCAGGATCTAGATGCATTCAGAGATGACATGAAAATAACTTGGAATTTTCTTGCAGACCAGCAAGATATCGTGGAACCAAGGAAAGACACCAACTTATCCATCGCCTGACATGAGCTTACGGCCTCGTACCGGTTTTACCCCACTGGAGGGTCGGGATGTTCCCGTATGGTATTTTAGTTACAGAAGTTACAGAACTATAATGGTTTACTTTTATTGGTGGAATATCGGTCACCTGATATGAGGTAATATTCCAAGGTTTCTCCTCCGTTCTGGAATGTTGAAGTTCATTCACTCATGCCATGACCTTGCGTCTTACCTCCGCTCCGGTATCTGGTATCAAGAAACGCAAAGCCTCTGCCCCCAAACCCCGCGCCTCGCCCTTTGCCGCCCATGCGCGCCGCAAACCTACATCTGGTGGCCCAAAACCGACTGCAGATCTAGATTTTGATGATCCGCTTCCAGATGTAGGCGGGTCTCATTTCATATCGGAGACCGCACCGGTTCAGAATGTGCTGCAAGCCATTCAATATATTCGCGATGGCATGTTCGAAGAACTTCCAACACGGGCGGGAATGAACAGCACACGCATCGCAGAAGTCCTCAATCTACGCCGATCTTTGCCTCCACTCGCTTCTGTGGCCCATGTCCATACCCTTTTAGAGGCACCGACGCAGGTGGAAAGGGAAATCGTTGAACAAATTCAGACGGGTCAGATTCGGCGACTAATTATACCGGGTCGAGGCAATGATGCGGCAGGGCTGGGCGATTGTTTGGTGCTAGCAGAGGATTGGGATAAGCTGGTGCAGGAAAGCCCTGCATTGGAACCACCAGTCAAGGGTGAGTTTTCGAGTCCGCGTTTTTCTGAGAATCATGGACTGACGGGATTGTAGAGAAATTCCTCGATATCCTGAAACGTGTTGGGACCTCCTCGGCGATCTCGCAGGGGGTCTTCACGACGGACGAGTACAGGGCCTTGCTCCGCGCTGGCTTTATTGTCTCGTCGTCATCTTACACACAGGGCACATTAAGTATTGCATCACTTCCTAATCTACCTCCAATGGCGACTTCGTCGGCGAGTCGAAGCGAGTCTATCTCGCGTTCTGAGCGCCCTGTACAGTCAGCTGCCCAGGCTCGTGCGGCAACTCTGTTCTTGTCTCTTCCTAACACGGGAACATATCTCCGTTTGTTAGGTTCAGGTCGCGCGCATCTGCTCGCTCTTCTCCGTCGATCCGCTTCTGGTGAAGCCCCTCTGGGTCTGATGAAAGATCGCTGGGATGGTGCTGTTGAGACTGACAAGAGTTTCCATGTAGCCAAGCGAGTCCGTGGCGAGTTTGCAGGGGTTCTACCCGGTAAGACTAAGAAATGGAAAGAGCTATACGGTATGCGCTTTCGATGGGTGCTAGAGGAAGCACTAGGCGCGGGACTGGTGGAGATGTTCGAGACTGGCAGCGTTGGACCTGGGATCCGCTGTCTATAGTCCCTATATCCTTTGGCTAAATTGTGGCGCCGGTATAAATCTATCAATAAGATCATAGACCTATTTGACAGATAAATTGATCAATTCGAGAAGATAGTTGTGTTCATGAAGTCGTCTAAAGCAGCAACCTTCCATTTCTCACATAATCTAACCCTGTGCAAACAAATAAGAAAGGCATAATCTCGTCAATTTTTATTTTGCTTCCTGACTTCTTCCATTTTCTTTACCCTCCATCTCTCCATCTACGTATCTGCTTTCTTCATCGCCAAGCCTTCTTTCCTCCATCCATCCATCCATCATGCCGCTAATCCAATTAGAGCCACATCTGTTCACCAGCCTCCCTCGTCACCCAGATCTTCAAGGGGATGCCAATACTCCAGATCTACGGGAGTTCATCCACGACACCCTTGTGGAAGCCCAGCCTCTTCTAAACCAGTTCCCGTCCACATTGAAACCAGACTGCAGGCTGCACTCTTCTCCACCTTCAAAGGCAAAGGTGCAGCTTTCACGGGGATGGCGAACACTGCAATCCCCCCAGGAGGGCTCAAATCCCAAAAACGAATTCTGGGTATGTCGCCAAAGCGACCACCAAGACTCTGATCGCCTGCCTGGGACAGTTTCCCTATGGGAATTCCACGACGGGTTGCGATACAACCATGCCGAGCACGAGAAGGAGTACACACCCAGTGTGACGAGCGTAAATCAACTGCTGAAGTGGAACGAGCCGAGACAATGGGATCTCAACCAACCAATTACTGTTGGAAACATGAACTACAAGCATTTCGAGGTCGAACGTATGTATAAAAAACCCCCGAGCACAGCTCACACACACAAGGACAGCGCACTGAAACCCAAGGCCAGTCAATCTTATTGTCCACACCTTCCGTCCAAGCGCACTAATCCGGCCCCGGGCCTTCATATCCTGGACTATGTCGGCGACCTTCGCCACCGCATACCCAGCAAGCCAATCCAATCCAGGCCATGGCTTTATCACCGTGCAAATTCCTTTCTATTTGACTAAGCCAATGATCCCGGGCTCCCCGTACGCCGGACTCTACGCACAGATCATGGACGTCGTTTCGCAGCGGGCGGTCTTCGCTTACTATGCCAGTATCGAGCGGGTTCAGCGTGTGCCGCCTCCTAGCCCCTCAGCTTCGAGTCAATCGTCTGCGGCGGATTTGAGCACCCCTCCCGAGCGTTACCTTCGGTGGACTATGCTGACGACGTCTGAGGCTGGTGGAAGGATTCCTAAGTGGGTTCAGCGGAGCTGGACGCTGTGTGGAGTGCCCCGGGCTGTTGTTTCTGATGTCGGATTGTTTATTCGGTGGGCTATCAAGCGGAGGGAAGAGAGGAGATTGGAGCAGGATTCTCAAATGGGTGAGGGTTAGCTTGTTGTGGGCCCGTTGAGTGTCTTTCTCGACATTACTCTACTGTGTCATTTGTGGTAATTTCAATGGCTGTGGATTATGATCAACATACAAAAACCTCAAAATTCAAAAGCAGACAAGTACAAAAACAGGATATGTTTCTTTGTAAAACACCCGAGCTCATTGAATAGCACCGAAGCATATACTCTCAGTGATGATTTCACAAGCAGGCCTTCCCAACACCGAAAGCCTGCAACGCAGCAGATATACCAAGCACAATAGAAGTATCCTTGATACCATACTTAGCATACCAGACAGAGCTAGCCCAGAGCAACAAATTCGCGATTCCGGCCATGGCTTTGTTCACTGGGTCCTGGAGGAGAGTAGGATCTCGCGACCATTGCCAGTGAAGAAGACCTGTTGATGATTATGGTTAGGACTTGACTAGGAAAAATGACACTACAAAACCTACCAGTCAGTAGAAGAAGACCACTCCCCTGTTAATGAAAGCCCGAATTGAATAGTCAGTATGCTGCAAAACAGGCGTGATTGATATCGAGACAAGACCACAAAGGCCAAAGTTGAACGTACCTGGTACCACCCTAGAGTCCCGCAAGCCCATGAATTCGTGCCTTTGATAGCTTTGAATCTAGGGTCTGCTGTCCATTCTCTGCCCTTGATCTACGCAACAATCAATATGGGGGTTTAAGGGGGTTTCTGAGTTCGGAATAATACCGTGTGTCCAATGGAAAGCAACACAAAGGATGCAGCCGACGCTTGCAGGAGTGTGGGAGACATGGTCAAAAATGTACTTCGTAAAGTGTTGAAGGATAGAACTTTGAAGGGGTTTCTTCAGTTCGAGATATGTACTCCATACATGTACCTTGGCGATCTTGTGCCTCGGCTCAATTGGTGTGAAGATGCCCCTTATGACGCGGGGCTACAATCCACATAACATTTGTTATATTTTATCCTACTTCAAGTTTATGGTTTTAATCAAAGATAAAGTCTTGATATCTATGTAGAATATGAGGTAGCTCGGCAGAAGCCCGGTGCCATTGACGGGCTTTCTGAATTCTGAATAAATATGTGGTAGCAAAAACAGCAAAGACTGTAGCTAACCCAAACCGAAACCCACGAAAACCCAGTAAGGACATTCCAGTCTCCATCCATCTCAGACGTTCTGAGGACAAGAGGGAGGGGAAAAGTGAGAAGGATACTTACTAGACTACCATCCTGCGTCTATGAGATCATCAGCGGCGCGCGGGTCATTAATGTCGTCAATGCTAACACCGAGTAGGACCCTTATATGGTGCCTTGCGGCAACCTGTGTCAGACGCCCGGAATGACGGTCCTGGTTCCCTGGCTCCATATGGCGACACTTCCAGTGTGAGGCTTGCTCACATAGATGGGAGAAACAGCGACACTCTACTCAGACTAATCAGAGCCACCTGGGCATCTATTGAGCACTCAGTCCACGCTCGGTCCATACCCAAAGGAGCACTTTGCCCCACAATATTGTTTATTTTGCGATCACTTTTTGATGGCCCTCACTTCTCACTAGTCTTCCATATAGCACGGATGCTGTTACTGTTTTAATTCTTAGACTTGCGAGGTATTTCAAAAGTTGCTGCATAGTACGAATACATGTACAATATATTGTAGCAGTACTGCGCAAATTGTTATAGCAGACCTCACTGACCTCTTCGAAATCCCTAGTCAGTGGTACACAGGGGTCCGTAGGTCGCACCACCCTTCACTTCTTCCCATCCCTCATTTCCAACACATCGCCAGCACCAAAACACGCCTTCAGGGTCATACTTGTGCTTCACAGACTTGAGCCAATTGTAGTTCTCTCCAAACCAATTCTCCTTCCATTGGGGATCAAATCCATCAGCTTCATTCAGATACGTTCCCATGCCGGGGGTCAGATCCTCCATTGCCTTTAGCTTTTTGTAGGTAGCCTTGTCCTTGACTTCCTGGACTCCTTGCGAGCCTGCATTGAGAGGATAGAGATCGACATGCGTCAAGAGAGCATAGGTCTTGCGCCATGCTGGGTTGACGGATGTGAAAGGTTCCCGGTGAAGGACTCGTCCACCACCATCGAGAGACAGCGACAGTCCAGATCCAGAGGGACGGGCCCCTGGGCCTGTCTCGATAAACAGAGTGGAAAGCATATTAGATAAGCTTTCCTGCTGGGAGACAAGTGACTTCTTGTCGAAGAATCGAGAGATCATAAGGAGGTTATCTCCAGCCTGGGCTGCGTGACTTTTAGAGCCGAAGTATCCTTGGAACGTCGGGTAATGACTGAAGGAGGAGGAGACGTAAAGGGCTGTCTCGTTGTACGGAAGCAGATCATTCACGAGGTGCTTGTTCACAAACTCCTTAGTGCTCTCAATGGTGCTGGAAGAGTTGTTGTCGAGGAGCATGATGAAGGTGTGTGCGTAGAGGGTTTTCCCTTTCATATTGAGCAACTCCCCGATACCTCCGAATCCTTGGTCCGAAAGAATAGGATATTTCGATAAAACATTGCCTGTGGCATTCACGAGATCGCTCAAGTTGCCCTTCGTTGGAGTCATGAGTAAAGTATGCGCGAGGACTGGACGCGTAGGATGTGCTTTGATTGTAGCGGATACGACAACGCCGTATGTACCACCACCTCCTCCACGCAGGGCAGTGAATAAGTCGGGGTATTGGCATGGGCTTGTTTTCACAACCTTTCCTGAGGCCAAGACGACTACGTATTCGAGGACCTGATCGGTCGCCAATCCAAAGGCGTGGCTAGTCGGGCCATGACCGGCGCCCTGGATATATCCTCCAATAACCCCAACAGTCTGCGTTATCATTAGCCTGTATTCTAGCCATGGCTTTAAAATAAATGTTCCCTTACGCTATCATCACCTCCAACAGCGATAGAGTTGTGCTTGGCTGCAAAGTCATATACGTCTCCCCAAATGTATCCACCACCGACAGTGATGGCACCTCCAGTCCAATTTGCTGGACAAGAATGGTTTGACGGAGTATAACGGGCTTGGTAAGATAGCCCGTCCTGGATGTATTTGATCCAAATCATCAGGCTGCCATATCCTTGAGATCTGCCCCAAGAAAACGTTAGCACATGAGGCAAACTCCAAATCGACAGGAACCAAATTCTCTTACCTTTGGACGATATCGTGGCCTGTGTTTTTAATCACTAGCCGCAAATTATTCTCTTTGGCGAATTTGATGCCAGTTGAGACATCACTTGTTTTGGTTGCATTGATAGTGTGTACTGGAACGGCACCCAGTTGACAGAGAGGGTAAGCGGCGATCGAGGCATTGATCGGAGGACAGGTCACAGCAACTGGATAGGTATAGCCGACTGGTTGGGCCTCTTGGAACTTTGAACTCGTCCATTCCTGGCTGATATCTTGACATAGCGCTGCATCCTGGCCCGGGCCGGGATAACATGGTTGAGCAATGGGCTGATTGGCTATAAGTTGACCATCAACGGATATATTAAGGGCATTCCATTTAGAAAAAGAAGGCCAACATTCGTCAGTTGGGGTCTATTCAAATCCTGTCAGTTCCCAAGATGTTATAATTCAAGTTGTAGAAGACATACACATTTACAAGTAGCAAAAGCGGACTGGGCTCCAGCAAGGAGCAAAAGACCCTTGAAGAACATGATTGATGAGCGTGTTGGATCATCAACTACAGTATGGAATCAATGTCTTATATACAATTTCATTTTCCATGCCTTAGGGTTTAGTTACTACCTGAGCCGATCGTCAGTAGGATGCGCAATTATTTTTCCGCTCTCCGCCAACGATAGCTAAGGCCGCGAGCTTAGCCCCATTAGTGACGCAAAGCAGAAGGTGAAGTTTCCATGTCTTTTTTTCATATTTTTTCATATATTGATGCGGTTTGGGCTGACTTGATTCTTACGCATGAGGTCATAAAAGCTGAATTCCCGGGGCTGTGGTAGTGCGCAACGAGCGCGCACTAGAAATATAAGCCGCTTTATGGGGGCCAACTCGATTATTTCAATCACGGGTCCCTCGGCATTGGATTTCCTTGATTAGTTCAGCGTAGATTCCTGCATCCTGTGGTGAGGCAAGTTCAAGTCAACGAGAATACTAAATATGGAGAGGGACGAAGAAAGAAATGAGAAGTCCCGAGAGATTAAATAGCAGGCCTGGCACGAATCAAAAAATCACACTATACAACATAGCAAATGGATCAAGGCAAACAGTATACATGCAATGTCACACATCCCTTGTAGACCTCTTTGTATGAATTGCTTTTGAAGTAAACAGAGTGAAAGCAAGACTTTCCTTTGGCATCACTCTTCCGTTCTACGCTGGCTAATTTATTACCATGACTTGAAGGCAGACTTGTTGGTAAAATCTGTTGTATTATCTCAAGCAAGTTGTAGGTATATCAGTGTCGACTCAAAGCCTACTGCAGCTAGAGCTAAATCCCATCACATTTGACATCTGAGGCAGAATCTTGTTGAAGAGTATTGTTAGGCTCTTCATTTGGAACATTGGTCTTGTTCTGCTGCACCATGCTTTCAAATTGAGCCTTTGATATTTCAGCCTCTTCTTCGGTAGGCAGGTTGACAACCGCAAGGTATAAGACGTTCTTCAAGAAAACTTTCTTGAGGTGATTTCTTCCTGTGCTAGGGACTAGTCGGCCGTCTTGTGAATCCGCTGGTTTACCAAAAAGACGATTGATCCCTAACGCTTCATTCCTCTTAGCAAGCAACTTGCCAGGACCCGGTAGAGGAACAAAACCGCCGGTGACGAGAGAAATTATCGATCCGCTGTTCACGGGATGATCTGGATCGTTAAAGCGTGACTTCATTGGTTTCCGCTGCTCAGAAGGCACTACCATTGGCGACCCAGGGTGTTTTGCTTCCTTTTTTCCCCATCTCGTTAGCATGTTATAACAAGACTGGGGATAATAACACACATAAAACACCATCGCCCTTCTATCCATATAGTCATTGACCCACTCTCCGGCGTCTCCGAACTTTTCGAGAATTCCTTGTGATCGCTCTTCTGTGTATCCACCTGCAATAATCCGATCCAACTGGGGGTAGATTAGGCTCGCAGTTTCCGGCAATTCGAGCTCAGAACTTGTCTCGCCGCTCTCCACTCGGATATTGTCCAGTTTCTTTCCGAAGTTCGACCTGTTTACATCATCAGGGTTGCTCCATTTCATGGCTGCCCTATTCAAGTCTACTTTGTCCTTTTTAAAGATGCTTTTCTTGAGCGAGCTGGTGGCTTTAGCCAGTGGTCCCTGTTGTGCAGGATCATCTGGTTTGAATGCGATAACCATAACAAATAGCCCACGAGGCATGAACAAATCACGGTTGACCATCTCAAGAAAGGTATTTGCACGAGTTCGCTTTTGTAATTCGCGGGCAGTGCCGGCAATCACAGAGAGGACCATGCCTACAGCCATAGCGGCCGGGAATGGGAGAGATGATGTGATTTGAGCGGCGATGAAAACCACTTCAATCCAAGGAGAGGCCTATATAAAGTGTGAGTGCTTGGAATCTCAGGGAAACGGTAGCTTGTACGAACATGATTAACGACATCTAGGTATTCCAAGAATTGTAAAAAGATTTCTTGGTCGATACCGCAGTCCTGGAGAATGGGTGCATATGCACGTACGAATCCGCGGTCCTTGTTTCTAGGACGGCGCTGAGGAATAATGACAGGACATGGAAGTCGCTGTAGATTTTCGGGAGGGGGCCCCGCCATCTCAACTAGCTCACGAGCCAATGCTTCCCTCTGCTTGAGCTTTCTTTCCTCTTCGTCCTCCGTCTCATCATACGAGCCAGTCAGAGTGTCGTCGTATGGAAGTGCATACAAGTCTTCGCCGGAATTTGGCTGTCTCAACCGCTCGATCATATCATCAAGCTGCCACGATAACTGGTCCTGGTTGGCATAAGCCACATGATCTGACCAAGAGTCTGATCCGACGTCAGCACTGACTGTCTGCCCTCGAGGGACAGTGTCGTTCTCTGGGTAGTCTGATGAGCACGGTGGAAAAGTGCTGCCCGTGGCAACTGGCTTGGCAGAGTTGGGGTTCTCGAAGTTTTCTAGCGAGGAATCGCTGGGAGGAATGGCTTTAGGTTGATCCCTCGACGAGGGTCGATCTCGAACTGCATGGATTGCTTCTGACGCAAAGCCAAGACCCGTTCGAAGGGCTTTGACAAGAAAAACCATGTTGACTTGCCCTTCTGGTAGATGTAGTAGGATGGAAAGGGCAGGATGGAAAGAGTAGGATGGAAAGGGAGCCGGAATTCTCTTGACATCAGGATCTCCAATTTATCTACTTGTCACAGTCCCCTTTTGGTTTTTGATTCGTCGCTTACAAATATTTATTAAATTTGAAATACATCCAAATAAGCAATTTTTTGCCGCGTCTATGCACAGAGGGGTGGGATAGATCTGCGGTTTGCAGGTACAACATAGGGCTAAGACAATTCTACGTTATCGTTGCCAAAACGACATACTCCGTACCATATTCCCATATGCATATGGATAATCAAGCCAACTATTAGTAGTAAAATCTATTGGTGATCTGCGCGTATTATCACATGGGAATAGGAGAGTATGTCGAATGAGACTTTGGTTGTGGCATTTTCGCCTTGGAAAAGTTGCGCTCGTCGCGCATTTTCTTGTCGCGGGATCGACGACACGCCCTCACGGGAAACATTTGTCAGTTGCGCGCTCGTTGCGCACTACTTCTCTGCCGGGGAAAGTTCAGAATGGACCTACAGCTAGTCCGGTGTTCGTAATCCAGTGGGAGACCAGCTTGCTTTACTCATTCTATACCCGAAAATGTTTGATTCGGTGCCCATGATTCCCTTGTCACAATCATGTCACAGCAGGAATTTGAATTCTATACGTTACATGGAAGCAGAAATTGAATGATTATGCACATATTTTCTTATAGAAATAGGATACTCCCAGGATCAACATCGGTGTTCTGGCCTTCAATCCAGTTATAAAGCTCCAGTGGGTTGGGAAGCGGGTCGAATCCTCCAAGATAAGGCCACATATTCCATGCTTCAGTTGAAGTAGTCAAGTCAAAGAAAGTGCCTTCACTCATGTCTGAGTACATGGGCGGAAATCCCACCCCTGCCTCTCCTGCCTCTCCTGCCTGTCTCTCCTCTCCGTGCTGACTCTCCTGTCTCTCAATTCGCCTCGAAAGGTTTTCTTTCGCCGTTTGCATCACCTGGCAAAAGCCCGATATTATTTTACTGCCCACGGCATAGACGCAGCCATTAGCAAATGCCACGTCGGTTGATGTCCACGGCGCGGCAACCATAGAATCAAATCGCTGTGCGCATATGGTAAACAGCTCGAGCTGTTTGTCAAATTCCGGGTTCAATTGTCCAAAACACTTCAACTGCACAAGATTGTTTTCAACAACATTTTTGCAATGTGTGAGAACCTCCAGAGCAACATGTTGAAGTGGAGGGCGAAAGCTTGTGCCAGCAAGCCTCAAATCCGTGCACCCGATGAAGATCTCCAAAAGACTTGTTAGCCTTTTAGGATACTTGATTCCAAGCTGACTCAATGCCATAGCAAATGGTTCTGGTGTGCCTGCGATCATATCTTCTCTGCTTCCTCCGACTTGATCACTGATTTGAATTGCTTCATAGCTCTCAATCTCGTGGTCCCATTTCAGTCCGCCTTCCAAAGACCTTACTTTAAGGACCGAGGCATATAAAAGCCCGAGGCCCCATATCCTAGCGATAATAGAATTGAACCTCAGCTCTAAGATGGAGCGAGCAGCCTCTATCTCTTGCGAATCAAACATGCCTGATGATTTCTCCAATAAGACACCACTTGTTTTCAGTTGCTCAACGCATCTCCTCTCAGCCTCTTCAATTTCCCCAAACAGCGATCCGGGGTTGTTCCATCTTTCTTTTAAATTTGCCACAGCGTTCAATAGAACGCAGACTGACATGGCCCAATTTATGTGGAAGATAGTTCTTGGTGAGCACTGCCGATATTTCAAAACAACCTGGTACACCTCGACAACAGGCGTCATCTTCGCAAGAGCTTTTCGTAAAGCATAATGTGATTTTGCAAGGTAGCCATCCAGGAATGTGTCATAATGCAAAAGCTGCAAGCGCTCTACCGTTCGACTAAAGCCAAAATCGAACTGGGCACCATCCACAATATACAACTCAGATGGAAGTGTACCTCCTTGTTCCGAATTTTCTTCAAGTCGTTCTGCCATTCTTTGAGCTAGATGAACAAACATTTCAGACTTAATGGCACGATGTAAGACCCTTTGTGTCGTAGCTAAAGCTGTGGGTTTGTAGTCTGCTAAAAATAGGCAAACCACGACCGTGTCATGGTGCGTTGGTGGCGAAAATATAAATTCTTGGCCGACGAATGCCACGGCAAGGCGTAGACTCGAACTCAAAGAGGGGTGGCTTTTGGCTAAGGCCTCGTCAATGTCTAGAGCAGTCAAGCAGAGCAGCGCGAAGAGCAGCTTGGTTGCAGAATTGATCGACGTGAAGTCATTCGAGAGTAGGCGGCTTCTAAGTTCTACCAATCTTGGCATTGAAGGATGAAAAAAGCGATGCCAAGTCAAACTATCCTAGCTAATTAGGCAAGGGGAGAGATGTCGGATCATGTGGACTCACCTCTTCTCAAGCGACTCCGCAGTGTCGTTGTCAATGAGCTCTGTAAGAGATGCGTCCCAACCTGAAGGGGGTTGAGCTATATCACTCCCAAATGCTTGATCTTTGGACAAGATTGATGAAAGAAAAAAATGGGGCTCTATCATCGATTTGAAACGCTCTTCTTTAGTCGGACGCGGAGCTAATTTCGTTCGCAACTCCTTCTGCCAATCGGGACCAATCTCCGCTGCATCGGAGAATAGATGATCTTGTATATCGTCGCTGGAAAGCGTAGAAGTGATAGGCCCATTAATTACGGTATCATTCTCTTGAGCCGCCATGCCACGAAGGCGCTTCGCTGCGGGGCGTCCTAAAAAGGTACGCTCAACAATGCATTCCAGATCCAGATTGCGACATCGTTCACAAGCCTTTTCTTGAGGTTGTGGAACACCCAAGGGACCGAGATCATCCCGGTTCTGCATGATGCATTTAATCTTTCTTGAGCGACAGCCGCGACATATTGTGCGGGCATATCTTCCCCTTGGGCCTCTCTCGGCTTTTTGATTTTGCATTTCTTAATGAATGAAAGAGAAAATCCAATAGTGGTAGGTGGAGTATTTAGTGCACAACTCTCAAGCAACCAGGTTGGTGGTCATAGATACTCGATAACGCGGCGTACGACATATGTTGTAGTGTCAAGCTCAGCTCGATCTTGGCACCACCGCCACCTTGTGTACGACTAGACCCTGTTTGGAAAGCAGATTGACACTTTACTTGATTAGGATGTAATTCATCTCAAAAACCTCGATTTGTGCTGAGATCGCCCTCTGCATATTGTACGTGGCATCTATAAGAAGAATTTGCGCGCGACGATCTCTGATTTCCGCAATAATTTGCGCGATGAAATTCGCTGGTTTATGCTATTATTGCATCCAATGCTATCATTCAGTGTATCCACAATGGTCCTGGGACAATGATTGGCAGTTAAACATCCTGTCCATCTACTTTCTGAGGTGGTTTAGTGTAATTCTCATACTACTAGCTTGGATTGAAAGATCTTTTACTCGTACGTGGTCAAGAACATATATTTTAGGCGCAACTCGAACGTGTACTACATAATTTGACCTACGTGTATGCGACCTTAGGCAAACAAAGAGAAAGTAAGTCAAGCCAACTAACCTTGGAAGGGGTAAAAGCCGCATATCTTCTAAGGTTCACTTTCATCACTTTCGTCCACTTCTTCGACTTCTTCCACTTCTTCCATCACCTTCATCACCTTCATCACCTTTCACCTTCATCACTTCACATCTCGCTTCACTTCGCAATATGGCAAGAAAAGCTTCTTTGCACGAGTTAGTTCTCGTCTCACCAAAACTGAGCCCGACAGCTTCCTCACCTCGCCAACGCAAGAGCATCCCATCTCCAGAGTCCCTCCTCTCGAAAGACTTTCTTTTGGTCTCGCCTATAAGCTCACAACCACAGCCCCTCAGTGCTCCCCTCTGGTTTCGATGCAAAGATATGTGGACCTTCAGGTTTGCCAAGAGAATCGAGAGCTAATGTCAGTTTAGATATCAAACCGCCTCGACCTTCACCCTCTGTCTCAGGTGTTCCCTGGCGCTGTACACCTGACTGTCATCCAGTACCCATCGTAGAACCTGCGCGACCTCTTTCTCGCAAAATCATTTTCCCCTTTGATCTTCGTGAATCTCCACAAGGGTTTTCCGTCCGTCGTTATACCGACTTACTCATGGAACTTTTCCCAACAACACAAGAAGTTGAATTTGATGACAGGATTTTCATTTTCCGCGTGCAAGCACTGCCGCCCAAACCATGGCCCAAACGCGTCGCAGGTGTCCCCTGCTATCTAACAGAGGACCCATATGACGACGGTCCAGCCATTCCCTATGAGTATCGGAGTCGCTCCCGTATTGATCTCTCAAAACACCTTGACCTCCGAGACAAGAATGGCTCTCTGGACGCAATATCAGATATGGTACGCCATTTCTTCCAACAAGCTGGCATCCCAATCACCGAAATTCAGGTGTGGAGCCGCATTGTCGTTATTGTCCTTGAACAACGAATCGACCATGATGAGAAAGTTATGGATGACATTCTGAAATCGATCCCTCGTTCTGTTGCTAGTTGCAGCTGCTTTTATCTTTCAGAACACCACACCATATGGATAGGCCCCGTACGCTACTCGCTCAACGACTCCAAGACGCTTCTATATCGCAACCGGATAGGTCTGAGTACGACACTCTAAGACCGGGAGTGATGATTAGCTCTGGCACGAACTCCAACGGGGAGCCGATGCGTTCGTCTTCCGGTATCCTTGTTCGCGACCATTTGGGCTCGGAGTTTATGACCGTTGCTACCCACAGATTCCCTTTCGGTGAAAACGTCCACCACCCTCATGCCGGTGGTAGAGTGGTTGGCAAACTTCTCAGGAAGTTGCCGCATACGGACGTTGCGTTGGTTAAGCTCGAAGAAGGGGAGGAATTTGTCAATGAACCATTTGAGAATACCCTGACGCCATCCAGTACATTCCGACTCCAAAATTTCGTCCGGATTGGAGAGACGAGAAAGTATGACCAGGTTTTCTTTGACAGTCCATTCTCCGGTCTTGCTGAAGGCCAGCGGATGTCTGAGAATCTCATGCGTGTCCCGGCGGACAACCCTGAAGAGCCGCATTAGTTATGGTTCAAGACGCAATGGAGCTACATGGGCCAAGATGCTGCTTCTGATCTGGCTGATGGGGTTTGCGGTTCTGCGATTTGGGGAGAGGACCATAGAGTTCTCGGATTTTTCCGTTACGCCCCTGCAACAGGGCGGTACAGAGACTATTGCTTGAGTGTCGCCGCCGATCATATCGATGCAGGATACAGTGTGGTGATCTAGTTCCCTTCTTTCATTTGTTTTCTTTTTCTCTTGTCCCCAGAACGTCTGAGATGGATGGAGTTCGGAATGTTTCTATATTGTACTGGTTGCTCGCGAGTTTCGGTCTTGGTTAGCTATTTTTGCTTTCTTTTTGTTTTGAACAAGCCGCTGAGATCACGGAAGAAAGGTTCAAGCACGCACTAGGTTAGTATTGTGAGCTACTAACAAGAAGCTATTCACACTGGCGCTACTCCGTTGCACATCCATGGATCATAAGGGAAGTGTCCCCACGAGGAAACGTCTACATATCAACGATCGTACCAATTCATCTGACAAGTTCAAGAGTATATTATCACTAAGTCGGGAATAGCAGCATTACGAATAAGAACTCCAAATCCAGCGTAACATGCACATATCCAAACACAATCACATGATTCCATCTTTAGTATGGAATCGACAACAGGACACAAGGGGTCCAGGTCGGACCATTTTTGTTTGACACGCCAAACTCCGTTGGCTGTCCAAAAAAAGAAGGGGTGAAAAAAGGACACTTTGCAGCGCACTCCAGGTATGAATAAAGTAGGCTAGAACGGAAAAGTTCCCCGGGCTGGTATCAGTCCGGGGTAAAGGGGGTAGAAAAAAAGAAAGGAAAAGAATAATGGGGCATAGAAAACACCAATGCCGGCGGCTGTCGGTGTGGTGATCATGAGGGCATCAAGGTTGACCCTCGAAGGAGGATGGGATAATCAAGGCGTATGGACAAAGGAGAAGGAGGGGAGGGCATAAAGATCAGTTCACGTGGCTGACGGTCAGCCATATCGTACACGCTAGGCAGAACCACACCCAATAACGTATTAACGCGGTGGTCCGGAATTATTCAAGTTTACTTCCACCGGAGCCGGGGGTACTGAGTTGGACGACGCAATGTGCGCCCGCAAAGCGGCAACTTCAGTGCGCAATCCTGTCAACTCATCGTGCATTGTGCGCACGTACGCCCAAAGCTTATCGACTTGGCTAGCCTCACTGGAATTGGTATCTGGCCCATCGAATCCTTTGTGATGAGATAGACTGTGGGTACTGGAGTGGCTGTGTGAAGGAGTGTGCTTGGTTGCGGCTTGCATGCCAAATCGAGCATCCGGGGAGGTCATACCGGGCGGCGGAGGCAGCTGGGGCGCACCTGGCTGTGGCAGGGGCAAACCTAGTGTAGGCGGTGCGTGGTTCGAAGATTGGTTCGCTCGCCCGAAAGAGGACTGCGGGTGTGGCAAGGACTGTCCCATACCGGGGGAGTGTGCGCGATGTGGCGGTGCACTATCATGTTGCGACGAAAGAGCATTCGGGGACAGGGGCTTAGGGCTGTCACTAATATTGTTGGAAGGGAAGATAGACGAGCTCGAGGTAAGTCCCGCAGGGGGGAAAGTCATGTGTGCAGACTGCGACGCTGATGTTGACGCGCCTGATCCACCATGATTGGCAGGGGGTGGGAAAAGGTGTCCGGGACGACCGGCGGCAATTGGCGGGTAGGTGTTTGACTGGCGTGAGTGAATTGAATCAGATCGAGCAACTGTATCTGCCTCGTGTTTGCGGATGCTCGGCATGGTCATTCGTCGCTCGTCTTCTTCGTCCATGCGCTCAGGCTCTGCTGTGTACATCAACCCATCCATGTCGTCCGGTCCCCCGGTCGTACCATCCCCATACTCGTCGTCTGCCGCGAAGCTGCCCATACTCGAGCGTCGACCCGCACAGCCTCCCTGTCCTTTATTATGCCGAGCGAGCGCATCACCTCGGGCAAAGCGGCGTCCGCATTTAGGGCAGATGTGTGGTCGCTCCCCAGTATGCAGCTTTGCATGGCGCTTTAAATCGTGTAGTCTTCGGAAACGTGACTGGCAGGTTTGACAAACGAAAGGCTTTTCTTGACTGTGTGTGAGCAGATGACTCTTGAGATTATGTTGCCGCGTAAATTCTGTCGCGCAGTATGGGCAGCGGTGTTTCTTCGCGGATGGAGAACGGGGACTGCCTCGGTTGTAGCCTGCATGCGGTAGGCTCAGTCCGCGACGTGGATCGTTAATATTGCCCGTGGGCATTGGATATGAGAATGATTTGCCATCGTGGTCGATCTCGGAGTCATCGCGCGACCGTCGATCCCCATCCTGAGAAGCGGATTCCTCGATGGGACCAGGGCTAGCTACCGTCGAGGTATGCATTAGTGAGTTGTGGTGATGATCGTTTGATCCGTACGGGTCCGACGGCGAGTCGGTCGCGTGCGAGTCGATTTGCATATTCTCGGGGGATGCATGGACTGAAGGGTCATGAATCGGGGCACCTGGCGACTTTTCGCTTGCACCCAGGGCCTCCCGGGCCACCTGCGAACTGTTTCGTTCCGCGTCCTTTTCATGCTCCGGCCGATCCGCCGGTACTGATGTTGGGCTGGTCATCGGAGGAAGTTGATCTCGCGATCGCGAGACGTGTAGGCCGGCGCTGGCAATCGAGCTCAGGCTTTCGGGTTTGGGGGATTTAAACAAAGAGAGGGGTTCAGAGGTAGTAATAGAGTTTCCAGATATGGAGTTGGATACGGCGATGGGCTCGTTGTTTGACATCAATGTCGCCATGGAGAAGGAAGGTTTCGCGCCAGCCTCGAAGGGTGGACGAGCAAAGGCGACAGCTACTTTGGATGTCATGTTAGAACAATGTAAGGAGGATGAGGGGAATGGAACCTGACTAACTTTCATCCACCGGGATATATCAAAGATGTCAAGCAGACGAGGTTGGGGGGGAAAGAGAGCGAAGACCAGGGCGTGTGGGGCGTTTCTCACGAGTGTGGCGCAAGCTGACGAGTGGTTTCAGCTTCAAATCTGTCGAGATCCACCTGAATGATCCCAGGGGCTCAGGCCTTTAAAATAACGATCGGGGGAATGAGTGGATGAGATTCAATGGTCATCTGAAGTTTGGAACGGTTGCAGGAACAAAATAAGACAAAGAGATGGAAGTATCTGAGTGGTGAAGATCGGAAAGTGGATGGTAATGAACGAGTTTCATACCATTTTCCACCATTTACCGTTAAGATTCAAGGCAAAAAAAATTAAAAAAAACCACAAAGAGAGTGAATGTGAACAGAAACCGGGCAGGGGATGATATGTTTGGTGGGGACTGGAGAGTCGAGGCTCTGGAGAAATGAACCCTGAGGCAGACAAGTACTGAGTACTTGGTAGTCAACTACAAATACTATGCATTAACAAGTACACAGTACCTGATTAGGTTTGAGGCTGTGTAGACCGCTAACACTTTTGTGGCTGGCTCGTGGGGGCACTTCCTGCGGCTGACCTTCTCTTCAAGAGTACACGTTGCCTAAGATTTTACATTTCACTTACAAAAGCCCTATGAATGATCTACCTAGGGACATCTTGATGAGGCTTATGGACTATAAACAATATGATATGTTCAAACCGTTTCTTCGTTACCGTGGTCTTAGTATAGAGTCAATAGGAGTGATGTCACTCCGGGGACGCATAATATATTGTATACAATACATTCCAATTTCAATTTACTTGAACGCCTGATCGTTGGAGGCCTGTACTAGATCGAGTGGAGACGGTATTGAGGGATTTCTGCGGGTGTTCTTCGCCATCCGATGTACTCCGTACCTGCTGGGTAGTACATACACGCGGACTCTATTACGGGTAATATACTGACTCATTGGATGAAATTTACCTAGGTAGGTAGTCGTTAATTACATTACTAACATGCCTCATTGTCCAAGAGAATCAATACAAGGAACTAATTTGCTGCGCCATGTTTTAGACAGCATACTTATAAAGTTGTACGTTTTAGGCGTGGCTCGGGGGATCGACCTCCGCGCAGAGCCCCAACGGTACCATCCATGCTGGTGCTAAATACCATACTATCTATATACCTCTATGAACATTCACAGCACACAATTCTCTTTGAGCAATGACTGTAAGGTAGATTTCCAAATCATAAAGCACATTACATTCATGAAGGAACGTGATGGAGTGCCTCGGGGCCCTCCTAGGCTGTCCAACCCTCTACGGTTGCTTACTCCACTCCCAAAAATAGCCTGTGGCTGATACTCATAACTCCCTATATATTACTCTAGACGCCTGCATGAAACGCAAACCTTCATAGCAGCTCTCGCAGATAAATTGGAATGTTTGTGTGACCCACGTACTGGAGATTGATATTCCACCCAGTGGTGGCGTTGATACTCTCCATAATGCATTGACTATGTCGGAATCTCAATCAGGCATCTTCTATAGCAACTGCATTGGAGATATGTCCTCACACAAATTATCAGTGTTCCCTTCATGGAATAGATGTCATCATGCACCCGCTCAAGTCTCTCCGCTGAGAGCTTTATGATTGTCAATGTAGACCAAAATAGCAGGTGGCATTCTTTGATATTATCTTCCTTTTGAGCCAGTCAATTTTATTAGAATATCCATCGATATGTTACAAACGGAGTGCAGAGGCTGCCAAAATTAGCAACGGATAATATCTTCTTACCCTATGGAAGCTCAGCATCCTACTATTACAGTACTTCCGAAAATCAGTCTCACCATCTACACTCCTTGATGGATTATCGAACTCCAAGGCCAATATCGACTATGATTTATGAAAGGTAGTTCCGGAAGAGTAATTTTCCTGTAAATTTGGAATGTGCCCCAATCGACACCCTTCATGTCATATTACGTATGCGCAAGGCACAGCTACATGACCTCGCAGTCCAGGTCAAACCCACCAATGGAAACACAGTTGCTGCATGGCCACGGTCTCCTCGGGCAACACACCCCTCCAGCCTCGTCCCTCCTCTCCGCCCTCGGATCTCTACAGTTAACATCTTGTTTTACTTCTCCAAGCGCCAACGTTGTTGTCCTTGTGTCCATCAATGGACCCAATTATTATTCTCTCGTCCATTGGCCGCGTATATAGGTACGCCGTGACAGCGATTTTCACTTACCCTTCTTGGGAAGTTCTCACTCTCCATCACCTCCGCCAGGACTATGGCAGCCTGCGCCCGAAGTTCAGAAGGTTACAGGCATTAGTACTTATAATAATATTTCCGGACGCGGAGCAAATCTTGGATCGAGTTGAAAAGCATGTGCTCGGTGCCAAAACAGACGAGGTAATGGTATTACAAACATCAACATCGGAAGATTTCACAATGCTGGCTGTTGATGTAAGTTTAGAATATCAACCAGTCAATCGCGAAGAGATTCTTAAGGTATTCATAGGCAGCTATTGTGGCGCAGGTTGCCAAGACAGCCTTAGCACTGGAAGAGCTTTATAGGTGGACTGCAGAAGCAGCATTTGTACTCACCTTAGCAGCTGGAGGTCTGTCGGGTTGTTATGCTTGCTTAGTGCAACAAAGAATGCGCATTCATTTCGCCCCTGACGACGTTAAGGACTTCTTCACTGCAGCTTAGAAGAAATTTACGTCCTCGAGAAATATCTTCACCCATTGACATCGGAAATACGGAACAGCAACTTTGGTGGTCAAAGGACCATCAGATACGAAAGAATAACGGAACTCGAATCGATGACCAAGAAGTTCGGGAACAAAAATAGATGGAAATCTGTTTCTTCTTATTCTATACTCATGGTGAAGACACCCACTCTTCTTTCAAAATATGCACTAGCATAGCATCTTTTGTTATTGGGCTTGGTATCTACTTCGGATGTTTAGCGTTCAGCGAAGGGATTCTCAAAAGCCTCGAGGACGCAATATCGCAATCTTCATCGTCTACATTGTGACTAGCGTTCTCGGTCTCCTAATCTATTACATGCCGTCTATATTAAAGCAATTTGGGTTGTCGCCAGTCCGTCGCTACGCACAAATCATGGCCAACGAATTTGCCAAGAATCCACAGCAGAAAGAAATGGAAGAAACGGTGATTCTTCAAAATTTCCATGTACTACTCAGTACAGAAGAGCGACGAGCCTGTGAGGAGAAACGATCTGGTCACCTCATAGATTGGGACCGAAGTCTTAAAGACATGAATAGACCTCAGGATAATCCTGCGCACATTGTTCCGGTCCAACGGTCGAGCGAAGGCACTAAACATATCGCTGAAGCTTCAATCGATCCGCCCCGCAGAAATGAAGCATCATTGGTCTATATGAAGACAGACAGAGGGACCCAAAAATAGGCATTGCATCATACCTCGGGACCCTTGAGATTTGCCTCGATCTGATGCGGATCTATAAAAATCCATAAAGTGAATATATCCAGATTTAGCTAGATACGGTACCATGGTTCATTGTACCACTAGTGTGCCCATCTGTGTCAATGTAGACGGGATATTAGAAGTCGGGTGGAAGTCGGGAAATACTGTACCAATAAGCCCTGAAATGCGCAAGTGCTTGCGCTCGCCATCAACATGAAACGAGCCATACTTTCCACGATGGTCTTGTGATAAATATCCTGGCGGTATTGCTTGCCCAGTCATGAGCCGCTTCTACAATTCTATACAGAGATTTTTTCAACCGTGGGTACTTTTTGCGAAACAGTTATCATAGGTACAAATCTCTCTCCCGGTGATAGCGAGTAAATAATCGAGTGACGAAGGTGATGACAGCAGTTCCTTTCGAGCTTAGCGCCTTTTTCATCGGCGGTTAAACTGTTCCTTTATCGAGTATCCGATCCTATAGATTCGATGTATGGCTATGATATGATTGACTACAAATTGATTCTTTTTTTTTCCTTCCCTCTATAAAGCCGATATATATTTTGATTGATGGAGAGAAGCTGGGGATAATAAGGGAAGTGATATGGAGTGAAGGATATCAACGAGGTACTTTTTGAAAGACATGCTATGCACACATGTATCTGCAGGCTAAGTGGCGTTCATAGCTGGGCGGCTACGAATCTCAATATCCACTCATACAATATAGAAAATCTCGCACTCATTATTATACCCAGGGCATAGTCTACACCATACCATAGGATCGAAATCTCGAAATGAGAATAGATGATGAAAAGGTAAGTACTCTGTACAATAAGTGAAGGACGACATTCTATGAAAATAAGAAGAGATCATCTCCTAGACAAGCTAGTGTTAATATGCGTGAGCCAGGCACTTTATCACAGTGACTGTGAAGGCAAAAATAGCCTGGTGCACAGACCGTCAGCTTCTTCCCCTCAGGGTGCTTAATCGAGTGATGTGACTGGGCCTGGAATTTGGGTTGAGGTACGGAGTAGTACTTTCATCCATTTAGCATCTTCCCTGTTTCCCTCGGACCTCTCATTCATCTCACACAACTCGAGCGGTTCTGCATTCTGTGTGGTTGGACGATCGGCGGATTAGCGCCGGGCTGGGGGTGATGGAGGTGCATCGTGAGGACCAACACGGCTACTTGATCTCACTGGCCCGTTACTCCACTGTGACAAGCTTGGCTGATCACTCCCGCCGGCCAGTCACACTCCCCTCTCAGTGCCTCGAGGTACAGTGCACTTGCAGCCAGAGGGCTTGACTGGCTTTGGGTCTTCCAATCATGACCCTGGTCGCTGCTGCAAATTCCCCCTCGGCGCTTACTCTGGCCCGACTCAAGTGACGAGAATCCAAAGCCTGCATTTTGGTCCCCCCGCCTCTCGGACCATGCCAGCACTCAAACATTATTGATATTCAAGGTGCCCAGGCCGGTTCCTGCACTCTCTGGTTATCTTCGTTTTTGTTTTTCGCTCTGGATCACCATCTGCTGCTTAATACCCGTGTACGCAGGCTTCGCACACGGTGTCGGTGATTTACTGCAAACCTGATATAGTTCAGCCGTTGTCCTACCACACTTGTGGTCTTTGGTGTATATTCGACTTGATTGAGGGTCGTTTTTCTCCCACCAACCAAACTTGTGGCCGTCAAGTCAAGAGCTGGCTCTCTTGACCTAATTGTTTGATTTATTTGCCTGCATTGCTCATCGATTCAATGGCAGTATCAGACGATAGCCGAGACCACTCTCCTCTGACCTACGAGCCCGTTGTTCCCACGGATCTCACCCGTGCCTCTTATCACAGTGCAATGGGTCCTCCACCACAGCACACTGTGCGAGAGAATCGCAGCGACTCTGATACGAGCAATGCCTCTCTCAAGAGTCCGCGCACTGCTCGTTTCGCCGAAGCCACATCAATTCACTCTCCCATCGATCGCACAGAAGCTGGACGATCACCCTTTCGCCGACCCTCCCAATCCTCAGGCAAGGGGAGATGTTGGAGATGTGGGATTCGGCTACGTGACAGCGAACAATGAACATGCGAATGACCAGGTGCCAATGTCACCTTTCAGACCTGACCTGAAGGTGCCGCAGACAGCCAAGTCATTGAACCCGCTCAGTCCAACTTTCCGCGAGGAGTACATGCTTGAGAAGCAAGAAAAGAAGGCTGAAGTCGAGAATGCCCGGGACCTGGTAAGAAGAACGCCCCACCACGCCAATCAATGCAATTTACTAATTGTCACTAGAGAATCAAACTCCGCGTCCGAATCGCCAAGGTCTTCCTGCGTTTTGTCAACTTCGGCTGCAGTCTGATCGTGTTGTCTCTGATCGCCGTGACATTGACTGTCTTCAACGCAAGCAAGCACCTGCCCACTCGTAACAACCTCCCTGCCTGGGCAGAGGGCACCAACCCATGGGCCCAGTACCTTCTCCTGGCCATGGCTTGCGTTTCCTTAGTCGCCTGTCTATTCGTGTTCTGGGCCTACCGAAAGGGCGGCCACGGACGCGCCGAGAAGGCCGCCGTCTACTACACCAGCTTCTCGCTCGTCTTCTTCGGCTTAAACCTGATTATGTGGATCGTCGGCGCAGCCGTTTACCAGCACTCCAAAGCCACGGGGAACGGCAAGGACATGTGGGGATGGTCCTGCGCGCAGAACACCCGCGAGCAGCTCTACCACAACACCGTCGACTATGCTCTCCTTTGCCGTCTACAAGACTGGGGCCTCGTCTGCGCCATCATCGAAATCGTCATCGAAGTGCTAGTTATTCTGATCTACGCGGTAGTCTTCTACCGCGTTTGGAGTAAGCGCAAGCTGATGAAGTCCATGGACACCCGCGACAACGCCCGTTCAGATCTATACCTCGCCCAGCTGCGCCTGCAATCCGCCCCGAACACCCCCGGCTTCGCAGGCTTCACTTCCTACCCTCCAAAGTCCCCATTCTACGCCGCAGGCCCCGTGGACCCCCACTCGGCCGCCGAGAAGGGCATGGCTCAACCGCAAACTACTCAGTATGCCTCGCCGCGCTCTCCCACCCGCCCTACCCCGTCCTTCCAGCTCCAGCCGCCTCCGATCAAGGTTCAGCAGCCAACCCCGCAGACTGCCCAGGAGGAGTTCGCTCCTCCTTCTCATCACTCGCAGTCACCGCCTCCTCAAAGCCAACGCGAGAGTCCGCCTATGAACAGGGGTAGTGCTCCCGGTGAGCGCACTTACGATGCTGTCCCGATTCCTGGCGCTTATCAGAGTCCCATGGTGCCGGTGTTCCCAGCCCCTGTACGCAAATGAATGGGGACGAGTCCAAGCTTTTCTTTTTCTTTCATTTCTGACTTGGGGTGTTTTGGTTCGATTCCGTTTTCCCTTGTGGGAAACTTTTGAATGAAAGTGCTTGAAAACAATGAAAACACAAAAAAATGTTGAAAATCTGAAAATTACAACTCAGGCCATCGCTTTCGATTGATCTGCTTCAAAATCGGACACTTGTTCGACCTTCTTTTGTTTACCCCCTCCTCGTGGAGTTTAATGTACACCCTGGGACACGCGGAGTTTTGGTGTGAGATACAGATACCTATTTGGACTTTGGTACACTGTCGGTGTATTTACTCTCTTGATATTTGGTTTTTATCCATTAAATGAATATACTGCAATGATACATATAAATGAACAGCTTACCGACTTTCATCGCAGCACCCGTAGATGGAAATTGGCAAGCAGCATTCGACACCAAGGTAGCAAACTGATCCTACCCTGACTTACATTACTGGGATATTGCACGAGAATGGAAATATGTGAAATCGTTTGAATCCATCAAAACAGAAGATGTAATCCGAAGAGGCAAAAAGAACCAAGAGCGCCATTCACTGCGAACAGGAAAAAGCAAAACCACAACGCCGCAAGGATCTACCAAGTCACACCGTCCTGTCCATCAGTCGTGACCAACATGCATATCGTGGTGCTCCTACCCGTGTCAACTGTACATGCAACTAAAATAAAACAAGGCTATCACATTCCTCCTCCCTCTTCGATGATGGCGTGCGTATCCCTACTTACGAAGATCTCTTCCAGGGTAGCCGCATCAGCGCCCATCTTGCTAAGATCACTCTCGAGCACGAGGCCCTGTTCGTTGGCGAGATGCAGAAGACAAATAAACCCGAATGATGTGCTGATATCGCGTAGGGTCTCAGCCGGGTAGACTGCCTTGAGGGAGTTCATGATTTGCGTGAACCGTAGCCGCCCAGTGGTGTCCTTATTAGCGACTGGTTGCTCTGGGCTCTCCGCCTTGGGTGTGGGTGGGACGGGGGCATCCGCTTCGCTCTCAGGTTCGGTTGGCGGCTCACTGGACACAGCTCCTGGTTGTGAAGCTGAGGCGAAGTCCACGGCATCAACCAGGCGCGCGCCCATGCCCTTCCACATCTCCGTTTTGAGGCGCCGGACGTCAACCTTCTTTGCCACTCGTGCATATGCCACGTAGTCTGGTCGTGCACGACGACCACCTTGGGTCACTAATTGTGAGCCGTAGCCGCCAGCACCTGGTCGGCCAGGCGTAGCGCCAACCATGTTCAAGAGTGCGCTGAGTCCAGTTGCACCACCTGCTTCTCCAGCCGATGTGCCTGGAGGCCCGTCTACTGGCGGAGAAAGCATCTCCCGAGCATCTGCGAATGGCAGATTGTCGTCGTCATCGAGATCCATGCCGTTCGGGAAAGCAAGACCATCGTCATCAGCAAAGAAGTTGGCATCATAAGCACCCGCAGCACCTTCCTCGCCGGCGTTTTCTTCTGGCTTGTGATTTGCCCAGAATGCCTCATCCATGTCTCCATTACCAGCCGTCAAGTCCTGCCGACGGCGTTTGCCCAAGATCTTCTTTGATCCCATCTTTGCCTTTGGCTTGAGGAACAACGTGAGTAGGTTGCGGGAGTTAAAATGCTTGTCGTCGGGAAGGAGGTTGCGACCCTTGGTCTTCCACTGCGTCTTGGGTAATGAGACGGCGGAGTTGGAGCTGGCCGGGGTGTAGATCAATTCTGCAACAGCAGGATCCAGAGGGGCAGCAAAATCAATCTCAAAGGGCTCCTTCTCTTTGCGCTGCTTGGGTGCCGATGTAGCGGGCGTTGCATGCTCTTTGATTCTTCGAATCTTCCAGTGTTCTGGGCCAGCCCAATTCTTCTGTAGAGCATTGTCAAAGTAGCTCAGAATGTTTTCGTGGTCGTGACTATTAGTCTGATGGGACATAGAGATGGCGTATGCGTCTTCATCGCCATCCTCGCCCTCGGCATCATTATCTCCATCGTGAGCGACCCGGTGAACATTCAACATTGGTTCCAAGGCGGCTTCTCGAGCCCACACCTCTCCTCCGTCACCAAACCCAGTGTCGCCACTGAGATCAAAGCCGGCTAGGGTAGCATCATCGTCATCAAACCCGACAGCGTTGTCGTCATCGAGCATAATACCAGATGGGTCATCAGGTGCTCGTCCGTCTTCGTCCATCTTGTCTTGCCGCCATTCCTCTGGCGCTTTGAGAAGAGGGAGATCCAACGACCCGCTGGGATCACCCAAGTCAAGGTTTTTGAGCGACGGACAAATATCTTGTTCTTCGAGACGATCCAAATCTGGGAAAAATTGGCTCGCTAGCGTGGCAAGGTCGATCTCTGTGTTATCTTCAAAGGTGTCGCTGGCGGATTTCTGGGTTGGTTTTGTTTGCTCCTCGGTGTCCTGGTCAGGATCCATGGACTCTTGACGGTCATCTTCGGCGGTTTTGGCACTATCATCCACAGCATCGTCGCTGCTGTCGAACACGATTCTTCCGTGGCTATCAATAGCAAGGTGGTTTAGGAGCAAGCCCTTGGCGCCTCCTTCATCGAAGTCTGCTGATGCTTTCTTGAATAGCGGATCCACGGCAAACTCTAGCTCGAACTTCTTCAATTGCAATGATGAGAACGATGGCGCGAGGGTAGCCTCATGGGAGCGTGTCTAGATAGCATTCAGTTAGTCAAATTCCAGACCTCGGACACCGTATAGACCATACCTTTTTCCGCGACTTGCGAGCCTGACCGTCCTCGCCTTCCTCATCCTCGTCACCATCTTCCGCCTCCTCCTCTCCGCGCCCTCTCTTATCACGGCTATCAGCCAGTCCACTCAAAAGTTTCCCTGTCTCAGTTGCGACACTGTCCACACGGCTGGTGTAGATTTTAACACAGCCGTCAAGGGTGCAACTGGCCTTTTGAAAGTTTACACCGTCTCCTTCCTTCAGCAATGACATGTCGTGAAAGTAGTCGATCAATGCAAAGTTCCAGGAGTTATTCGCATTGATTTTGTTATCGGTCGCCATCTTCATCCACTCTTCAAAATTGGCCAGGATAGGCACGCGCTTCATCGGCGTCACTGCACGGCCATTGACATCGCTAGTGCGACTGCGATGACCCGAGCCTCGAGGAGTTGCGGGACTGTCGCTCCCTTCACGATCGTAGGTGTATCGACGGGGTGGCATAGGCGTCTTGACTGCGGCTTTAATCTGACTCATTTGGCGATCATGAAGCGCTTGGCGAGCCTCCATACGCGCTGCCTTTTCGCCCTCATCGTCGTTGAGGGGTATCCTGATATGATTAACTTAATGTCATAACTAGAAGATATCCAGATACTTACTTGACCGGAGAGTTTCTGTGCGGGGTCGAGGTGCCGTTAGAACGACGATGTACCTTGTTTGCGACACGCGGCATGGTTGCGGTTGCCCCCGATAGGGGATGACAATAACAGCGTTGAAACGGAAAGTTCTATGGGGGAGGGGTTGATGTCGACGAAGCAAAACAAATGGGGAAGTCAACAAACATACGGCAGTCCAGCCGCACCAGTGATGCAATCAATATATGTCACGTAATCATGGACGATTGATGCCTGTAATATAAGGTATCAATATCGTACCCAAGCTGGGCTAACCTTTGGTCCATTCTTAAATTGAACTTTCAACCGCCAGTTCTCCAATTTTTGATTCCAACTCCTACTTTTTGGCCATATTATCTGTATCAATTACAGTTATCCTCACTGAGATCGACCCCCCCTAACCTGTTTCTTCAGTACAACAACGATCGGCGGACTAAACGCATTGGCCCACTCCCGAGCTCCGCCACATCTGGGCAGCTCCTCCTCGTCCCCAGCTGACATCACCGCATTCCTCACCGCACTCGCGCTGGCATATACAAACCAACATCTGTTGGACGCGTGGGGTATATATTGTACATGCATTGAGCCATCAATGTTGAGCTTTCCGGTATAAGCTGGTTTACAACATCTACAGCTTCGGCCCAGGATGCCACGATATTCGTCATGATGAACCAGCTGCCGTCCTTCCTGCAGCCTGCCGTCCGGAAGCCGCGATATTCGATCCGACCATTTTACACCACATTGTTGGTGTTTACAGTCATTGCAACAGCGAGTTGGTTCCTAACTGGTACTACAAATGAACATGGGCGGTTTGCGCAACCGGGCACAGGGCCGCATATAGACCTGCTCAAACGAGAGAGCGAACTAGAGGTATCATTCCCTTCCCAAATACTTTCTTGTGAGATGGCGCCGAAGGCTAAATAGTGTTCTGTTACACGATGATATAGTGCCGCTTGGTCCGCAACGTCAAAAATCAGTGTGCATATGTCCGCGCCAACTGCCCCGACCACGAGGACGGCCTAATCTCCTATCTTCAATTCTACTATTGCGGGCTGGCCGATGCAAAACCGGTAGCATTCGTGATATTGATCCTCTGGTTATCACTACTATTCAGTACCATCGGCATCGCGGCAAGCGATTTCCTGTGTATTGATCTCAGTACATTGGCTAGCATTCTAGGATTGAGCGAGAGTCTCACAGGGGTGACATTCCTTGCATTTGGCAATGGAAGTCCTGACGTTTTCTCCACTTTTGCCGCCATGCGGTCGAATAGTGGGAGCTTGGCCATTGGTGAGTTGATGGGCGCGGCGACTTTTATCACGTCTGTTGTCGCGGGCTCCATGGCATTGGTCCGGCCATTCAAGGTCGCGCGAAGAAGTTTTGTCCGAGACGTTGGTTACTTTGTAGTGGCCGTCGTTTTCAGTATGTTTTTGTTGGCCGATGGGAGACTTCATGTATGGGAGTCAGCTACGATGGTAGGCTTGTACGCCTTCTATGTCGTAATGGTGGTCACCTGGCACTGGTACATGGTACGGCGACGCCGAAAGGATGAGAGAGACCTCGCGGCTCGAGCTCACTTTCATATACCGGAGAATCAAGAGCTGGACATCGAAGAGGCCGCCGAGGACGATGATCCAGGTGTAGCGTCGGAGTCACGAAGTCTGCTCCGTGGAGCCTCAACTGAAGATTTTGATCTTTTGGAACGCGCCGAGGCCGTTCCTCTATGGAAAGAAGAGGATGACGAGGACGACGAGGCGCGCAATCGGTACTTGGCCGAGATCCGTGATAACATGCACGTCTATCGACCTGTGCAATCGAGGCGCAATACGATGAACCCCATTCGGCCAAGTCTTGTTGGTGCATTGGAGTTTCAATCTGTTCTTCACTCGCTGCAGAAATCAAGGAACACCCATCGCAATCCGACAATAAGCCTAAACAGTTATTCAGACGATGGCGAGGCCGATTTTGACACGCGCTCGGTGGCATCGCATCCTCGCGCTAGTCGACCATCCGCTACTAACGACCGCCTATCGCCGTCCAGTGCAGCAGGTTCCTCCCGAGTGCGAGCTGTCTCGGCGAACGATGCCGTGGGTTTGAAATTTGACTCCAGTGTTTTGGAGCCCCGGCCAACACAAGGCCCACTGCTTACAGTGAGCAGACCTTCTTTTGAGGATACTTCAGGACAAGAAGCCATGCAGTCTCGCCAGCTACCTCGAATTGATACCGGGACGGCGTTGGAGGTATCTCCTCCGAATCGGTCGCCGAGTCTGAGCCCAGTTACCACAGGTCCTCAAACTCGTCCACAAACCCCTGACCGGCTCGCTCCATCAGACGCTTTCCACTCCCCCAATTACAATGACGGAGGGGTTGGCGAACGGTCCCCTATGTCAGTATCTCCTAGGGGCACTACAATTCGCCGTCATTCGGGCTTCGGGTTAGAAAGTCCTTCGGTGCCATTCCCATCGTATACTGATTTACCCTCCGTGGCATCATCACGACCGCCCAGCATTCGACTTCCAAATTCATCCAGTCAATTAGAACGGCTGCAAGTCCACGACGGGTATGATGATTTCGCTCATGTAGGCCTCCCTTTCCGCAAATACCTAAGGAGCTGGTGGCCTGACTCGCTCCCCATCCTCAGCAGATTGGTTGCACGCTCTTCCCGACCCTGGCGGGATGGAAGTCTAAAGGTGTCTGGGAACGACTGCTCGGTATTGTCGCAGCTCCCAGTGTGCTGCTTCTTACTATAACCGTCCCAGTCGTTGAGCCAGAGGCACCAGAACCTGTGGAAGCAGACCCCATACCGTCGTTGATTGTTCAGGATGTCGGCGATGGAGATAATCCCTCCCCAAGGGTTCGACTTCCAGCAGATAGTCCAGTGATTATGGCTCAGGGACATGACTATGCCGGGCCAGCTTCTAATGCGCCGCCAACGCACCCTCATCGAAAGTCCTCGTATGAACACACTGGTCGCCCGCGATGGGACTCGGAACTCCCGGCAGTGCCGATGCCAGGTTCAGCTCCTGCGCATCCTGCGCCAACAAAGGACTGTAATCGCTGGCTGGTTTCCATCCAGCTTTTCACAGGCCCGTTCTTCGCCGTGCTCATCGCCTGGACGACCATGGACGAGGACCGTCAACCACACAACCTCATTCTTCCCTCCCTCGTCTCCCTCTTATTCTCATCCATCTGTCTCACAGCCCTGCTAGTAAGCACCCGTCATCAACGAAAGCACCGACGTCCCAGTGCAGGTCTTTCCCTCCCGCTCCTTCCCGACGAATCCCGACCTCACACCTACACCCTCCCACCGCAATGGCGGCCCTTCCTCTCCCTACTTGGCTTTTTCGTCGCCATATCCTGGATCGCGACGATCGCTACAGAAGTTGTCTCTCTTCTCAAAACTATCGGCGTTATCCTTAACATCTCCGATTCCCTACTCGGATTGACCATCTTCGCCGTTGGAAACTCGCTAGGCGATCTCGTCGCTGACATCACTGTTGCCCGACTCGGGTATCCGGTCATGGCTCTGAGTGCCTGTTTCGGTGGTCCCATGCTGAATATCCTCCTCGGTATCGGGCTTGGTGGTCTGTATATGACCCTCAATGGCAGAAACCAGAGACACAATGAGGCATCGCAGGATGTTGACCCTGTGCAAGTGCCCTATGAGATCGTCATCTCCAAGGTGCTTGTTATCAGCGGCGCGACGCTTTTGGTTATCCTAGTTGGGCTTTTGATTGTTGTCCCTATGAACAATTGGAGAATGGATCGCAGGATTGGTTGGGGTCTTATCGCTGTTTGGTGTGTGGGTACCCTGGGAAATGTGATTGCAGAAGTTGTCTTGTGAATGTGAATTGGTGTCGGAGGATGAACGACACAAATCTCAAATGAGGAGTATTGGGCTGGTCTTTCTTTTGTTTTAGTTTGGTGTCGGTATTAGGCATTGTGGGATGTTCTTCTTCTTTCCAGTTTTCAATGTACAGCTCATCGCATGCTGCTAGTGCAGTATTTTTGCATATGAAGTAATTATGATCACGATTACTGATCCTAGCAATATTGCCTTGTAAGGCCATTTCAAAGTTGTAGGGATGGACCCGTAGCTCACCGTCGTTGTCGTTGTCGTTGTCGTTGTCATGGGTGCGTCAGTCATCAGCCTCTGTGGTTTTAGTCCAGTTCCTCTCTGTAGTTTCTTCGTTTCCCATTTTCTTGCAGTTTCAGTAGCCTTAACAATTCATCGTCCACCACTTGTCACAATCTAGCCACTTGCCTTCTCCAGAAGCTACATCGGTCACTTGGGTATCCCTCCTAAGCTGCATAAATCATCATTAGCATGCAGTCTCTCTCGGCCTTTTTCGCTTCCTTGGTATCCCGATCTTGGGGAAATACCATCTCCGAGATACCCAAACAGAATACGTTCCCTGGACTCCCGGTCGAGCTCTTATTGTCAATAGCGGAATTTCTCTCGCGCGACGATGTGACTTGCACCTCACTCTGCAATCGTCAACTTTTTGCTATCTTCCACCTTCGGAATGATCCTATACCACTAAGAGGACGGGACAAGCTACCCTTTTTGACTCGCCTGGGGCGAGATCTCCCGAGCTTCTTCATTTGCTATCAATGCTATGTTCTCCATAGGTACTATGCTTCGAAAGGCTTCCTTCCTGGACCTCTATTCCAGGCGTCTCTTAGATGCTTGTGCAAATCGCTTAAATTTAGTGACGAGCCATGGTTACGCCATCTTAGCCGTGATTCTGAAATCGACTTCGACTTCCTACACCTGCAGCTTGCCATGAGGAGGTTCTATTATGGCCCAGAATATGGGATCAGCACAGAGGACATTTCTTGTACACAAGTTCGACTTTACACTCCTCAATCTGGCACTCAGATCCCCTTACTTTCTTCCCTCGATGCACAGATATGCTCTACGTCTCCTAGTCTGATTCTGAGAGTCCAACAAATTATGTCAGTTCCTCGTCATAAGCGATACCTACTGTATCGCTGTCCCGCCCCATCAGCGAAAAGATCACGGAGCCCTCCGCACAATATGTCCATCTGCAAGCATGAATATTTCCGAAGTTTTGACTGCTTGCTTAATGGGGTTGTGGGGGCTCATCGTGCTGGGAAGAAAGCTCCTTCTGCCTCATTTACTTGTGGCCGCTGTGATACCGAAGTTCTCGTTGAGATCTCTGAATACGAAAACGAATTGGCTCTGGTAATCACAAAGTGGATTAACCTAGGCGCTGGCTTGACCCCGGATGACCCTCAATGGAGGAAACATCATGATCCCCGACGTGCAACCATGATACGTAGCTCCAACAAACGAGGCAAGCGCAAGGCTAGTGCCGTAAAAGCCAGTGCTCGAGCCTGTTTCGAAAGTGCGTCACTGGACAGCCTACGGTCTCACAACATTGCCTATCTCAAAGACCAGCGATTCAAAAAATCCATGATCTACAAACCCAACATGTTTGATGGACCTACTTGGTACCTGTACAAACATCGATCGATCAGTCGCTGGTCAGGATTATCCGCATTCTGCATCTAACGTGATGCATGCTTTTCTTTTCGCTATGCTACTTCAGCCACTTCATATCTGGTAATATGAGGCTTGGCATTGGTACCTTCAGTTTGATGGAATCTGAGACGATCAACTGGGTCGAATAATTCCTAAGTTATTCTCTATTGCTTTATTTGTAGAGATAAGCTTGATTTTTAATAACTTCTAATTCTACCTAGTTCTAGGGTAATCTAAGGCTATATGAGAAGCTTCTTAACCTGAATTCTAGATCTGATTTTATATCCAGATGTTTTACTGTCACTAGGTACTATATCTAACTTGAACGAGTAGTCTTTATAAGAACCCCTAATTGCACACCTGTTTAAACTACTTTAGGTAAGGCATGCCTCTCCAAAGTCCTCAGGCCCAAATATAAAATTGTCAAAGTCAAAATTGACATCCTTGAAAATATCGTCGAATGAAACTCCCGAAGACCCATCTACCATCAAACCACACCCACCGCCATCCATACTGGGGTAAGGCTTGCCCGTGATCCTGGCTGCGAGGGTCTCAAACGTCCACAGGCACTGCTGGACATAAGGACTCAAGTGCTCATGAGCGCGGAGCGCCAGCAGAACACTTTCCCAAGACTGGGAAACAGAGTCTGTGAATAGCTCCGATCGAAACATAGCTGCGAGGAAGTTGGCACCCGCGATGTGAAGGTAATATATTCTGTACCACCATGGGAGGAGTCCGATCGGCTCATCTGGCTCAAGCGTCTCGTTAACTAATGAAGCCACCTGTTGCGCGGCTTCGATGCACATGCTGGCGCTTTCACGGAGGAGTCGGTGGCTTAGGCTGGGTGATTTGTGTGAAGGGTGGGTGTCTGGTTTCATCGAGTAGAAGCGGGCGAGCATGGGTCTGTATAGAAAGATTCGGTGGTGGAGGTAGCTACATAGAACGATGAAAATCGATTTTGGTGAGGATAAAGCGATTATTGGCTTACCGGAGATGAAGCAAGTATCTGTCAGCTCGGGACGACCTGTCGACCACCATTCTGAGGTTCTGAGATTGCCAATCGCTGGGGAGACTATTTTCCCAATCTTGAAGGCATGCATCTAGTTGCAATGCCGCGTTGTGGTACTCGTCTTGTTGAGATAGGAGTGGAGGGCGAAATCTGGCTGCGAGACTAGTTCGAGTCTGTATCTGCGCCAGTTGAATTTGACTCCCGATTTCGTGGAGCCTTAATCCCAAGGTATCATGCATGGCGTTCTCACCTAGTTGTTGGGAGCTACTCGGTGGTGGGGACGGAATTAGCACCAATGCCGACGTCTTACCCAATGACCAGGAGATGCATCTACGTGAAGTCAGCTGGAGAATACTATAGAAGAGTGATCACTCCATGACATACCGATCGAGCGCAACACAGCTAGCCCATACTTTCTGTTTCAAAGCTTTGTCGTCACTGGAGCCTTTCAACAAGGGCGTCTCGGTGAGATGGCAGCACAGGCTTTGCGCAATTCGCATCGCCAGACCCGCTGTCATCCATGTCTTCTGCTGGTTATTGGTGCAGTGGAGGTATCGATTCATGAGCATCAGACACTGTACGAGCTCGAGTGATCCAGGTTTCCATAGCATAGACTCAGCAGGAAGCAGGACCCATGCGCGCTGAAAAAATCGATTTGCTTCCTCGTTTCTTTGGTGCAGCGGATTGAGTTCCTGTCTTTGAACTGCCAGGGCAAATACTACATTGAGGATACCAAGCCAGAGGTCGTAGTCTGCACAGAGTGGTGTTATGGGTGTTGAATATGCTTTTTCATAGTTTTCAAGGAAACGCTGACGATCTAAAACTGGCTCCATAGGGTCAACGTGTTGCCAGTATATGTCAATTAATTGATCGGCGTATGCCCGGGAAGGCAATTCGGTCGACGAAGACAAGACACAAGATTGAGAAGGTAGGTTGAGATCTCCAAATAGCGGCGCATCTACCAGTGGGACCTGATTACAGGTGGCTGGAATGAGACCTGCCCTTTCGTTTATGGCAGCGGCGACCTGACCGGCAAACCGCCCATGTGCGCTATAGTATGCCCGGTTTTTCTCCAGGTCAGCCTCTGCCTCTCGATCTTCATTCACATGGTGAGACCCAGGTATCGAATCAACCGTGGGAGGCGTTGCAGCCACTGATTCTGGCGGAGTCTCCAGCGAAGGTGCCGAAGATATGGGAGACACCAGCATAGGAACAGGCATGTGAACTGATGATGCTTGCCCACGAGGTTTATACGCTGTCTGCTTCTCGACGGCACCTTGGCCATAGGCACACGTCTTGCCTCTAGCCTTGCATCTGGCGCATGCTTTATGGTTTGTGTCAGCCTTATGCACAAACTCTGCAGGTCAATGAAACCATGAAGGGAGAGATACCTGGCCGAGCACCATCACATTTGATCTTCCTCGAGCGACATACTTGGCAAGCGCTTGTTACTCTTAGTCTCTGCCTACGTAAAGGCTTCGATTGCGTATGCTGATCAATTATCACTTCATTCATCACGTCTTTATCGAATAGTTGGGGATGGAGAGTGGAGTGTCCCGTCAATCAGGGCCACAGATCTACCTGATTGATAATCAGCAGTCCACCAATCAGATGTCTTCCCGTTTCGGAGATAGACCCGCAGCGGAAGGCTCTGTCATTCGCTACTCGTTTCCACTTCCCGCAATCCTGGAAAACAGCCAATGAGAAGTGCATCCGCTTTCCACGCGTCGACCAATGAAATAGCAGTCCGTCTTTGATAGCTTCCGCAGTAAATAACTCCGCCGTCCGGTAAGCCGTTATATAGATCGAAAGCTTTGAGAGTAAAAAAAGAGGTATCCTGCTGCACAGCCTAGAATTTAAATTTATGCTCTTAATATTCTCGAAGTTGTTAGACGGAGCTTCCTCCCTTCCCCTCTCTTCTTTTTCAGTCTTGTCAATAGTCAATACCATTGTATTGATCTCTCCCTTTCCTCACTTGCACCGCTAAGACAAATCCATGTCTTATACCGAGCCAAAGGCTCCTATCAACACAGGCGAGGCCGAAAATGGTCACACCTACGATGGCTCGGGCACCGAAGATGACCCATTCGTTGTGGAGTTCCAAAAAGACGACCCCGGCAATCCGATGAACTGGGGTCAGTCCCGTAAATGGTTCATTGCAGCCATTGCGACCCTCTCGGTCTTCGCCGTTACGTTTACCTCCTCCGCATACTCGGTATCGGCAATTGAAGTCTTCAAGGACTTTGACATCAGCACGGAGGTCTTCATTGTCGGGCTTTCTCTCTTTGTGCTCGGGTTTGCGATTGGCCCTGCCGTATGGGGTCCTTTGGTAAGTCCTTTAACCACCTTGTCACTTCGATGGATCCCAGCTAACCATATGTTATTTCACAGTACGTTTCGATGGTTCCATCCTATACACATACTATGCACATTCAGCTAACATTGGCTTAAGGTCCGAACTATACGGAAGACAGATTCTGTGGATTATCACTCATATCGCCATGGTCGCTTTTCTAGGCGGATCCGCAGGCAGCCAAAACGTGGCCACCCTCCTCATCTTGAGATTCTTTGCCGGCACATTTGGTGGCTCGCCTCTCGTCAACTCTGGTGGAACAATTGCTGATCTCTTCCCACCTGCTCAGCGTGGTCTGGCATTAACCATCTATTGTGTTGCGCCCTTTCTCGGTCCCATTTTGGGGCCAATCGTGGGCGGATTCGTGTCTGAGAGCGTCGGGTGGAGATGGGTCCAGGGTGTCTGCGTGATCTTCATTGGCGTGGTCGGCATTCTGGGAATCGTCTTCATTCCTGAGACATATGGCCCGGTGTTGCTTCAGCGACGGACACGTCAACTGGCCAAAGCCGATGGCAAGATCTACGTGAGCGTTTTGGAAAAGAACCAAGGGAAGAAGCTGCCGTCGGAAGTCTTCAAGCGTGCTTTGTTCCGTCCTGGATCTTCTTGTTCCTCGAGCCCATTGTCTTGATAGCGTCAGTTTACATGGCTATAATTTACGGCACAGTCTACATGTTCATGGGTGCCATGCCCATCGTGTACAATGAAGACCGTGGTTGGAGCGTGGGCATCGGCGGACTGGCGTTCTTGGGAATTGCTGTTGGCATCATCTTTGGCCTTGTCTATGCCATCTGGGACAACAACAGCCGCTACATGAAGCTCTTTGCGGCAAAATCTGCAACCCCCCGAATCCCGCCTGCCACCTGCAATTGTTGGAGGTGTTGCCCTCCCCATTGGCATGTTCGCTTTTGCCTGGACCAACTACCCTAGCATACACTGGTCTGTCAGTATCATTCTATCTGCACCATTTGGATTCGGGTGTGTGCTGGTAATCCTGCCAATCATGAACTATTTGATCGACACTTACACCATCTATGCGGCCTCTGTCCTGGCAGCAGCTGCCATCTTCCGCTCGGTCGTAGGCGCTGTGTTTCCTCTTTTCACGACACAGATGTACCACAATTTAGGAATTCACTGGGCTTCCTCTATTCCGGCATTCTTGACTCTTCTGTGCATGCCATTCCCGTTGATCATGTATCGCTACGGTGAAGCGGTCCGGATGAAGTGCAAGTACTCATTCGAAGCGGCAGAGATGATGAGGAAGATGCAATTGCAGCAAACAGCTGCTGATACTACTACAGAGAAAGACAAGGACTCATCTTCTGAGTGAGAGCTGTTAGAGATGGGCCCCTTGGTCTGGCATCACTTGAGGGCCAAGGCTTGGGTCTATCATCGGAGGATCGCCGCATATAAATATCAATCTCTGCCCTAGAAAATAGTTAATTAACAATCAACTCAACTCATCGGAGTCCCTAGAAGTTGATTATCACCTCTCTCATACATACTAGCAATATTATTAATGTCTATGAAAGTGCTTCTAGTAGTTTCTCGGCTCTAGTCTTTGAGATACATTATCTGTGTACATGGGTTGACATTGGGGTATCAAGCCAAGGTGTGATTGGGTAAAGGAATCCTGTATGTCGAGCTTGCTTAGAATTGCACTTTCAGGTTAGTCTGTAAATCCCCGTGGACATCTTATTGATTCATCTCGTATCCGGAGTTGAGAATACTCCGTAACGGACCTGCCAAGTGAGGCTGTTTTATGGTTCCGGAATGTCTGTGCCAATGAGAAGAATCGTACTGGTTCCTTGCAGCGGAGAAGAGTAGATCAACTGTCTGGATATTTTTTGGCCCTCGTTCGACCTTGGAGTTGTCCCAAGACAAGATCACAGAATTATAACTAGCTGTACAATGGTCTCGGAACTCTCCTGCGCACAAGAGCCTTATATATAACCCGAACGTCAATGACGAAATAATGCTAACTCTATAGAATTACAATCTCAAAATGCAGGCCGCCAGTGCATTTGCGACCTGCCTCTTAGCTTCAGTAGGTGGCAACACTAGCGCCGTCGCCTTTCCAAATCACCCAACTATTCTACTCTTATCGCGCCGTACAATTTCGATCTTCTCACGACCCCTTCCGCCATTGTCTCAGCCCTAGGATACGTAGCAGGTAGCAGCCGCTGTCAAATGTGCCGTGGATTCAGACATCAAAATCTAACCGAAAAGCGGCGGACACAACTATAGCAACTATGGGTCAACCACCGGCGAGCTATCTATGAATCTAGATAATCTGCAGCACTTCAGCATAGATGAAACCAGCTGGACTGCCCGATTAGGACCAGGTAACTGCCTAGGCCGAGTCACCGAGCTCATGTATAACAACGGTGGTCGACATGTTCCACATGGGACGACCTTCACAGTGGGACTCGGTGGACATGCCACTGTTGGAGGTGCCGGAGCGGCGTCACGAATGCACGGGCTATTACTTGACTATGTGGAGGAGGTAGAGGTTGTTCTGGCCAACTCATCCATCGTCCGAGCATCCAAGTCTCACAACGAGGATCTTTTCTTCGCCGTGCGTGGCGCCGCTTCAAGCGTCGGGATTGTCACCGACTTCTCTATACGCACCGAGCCCGTTCCCGCATCCAGCGTCACCTACTCTTATATCTGGGAGGGGACAGATCCAGCAGCCCGCGCAGCAGTATTCTTGACTTGGCACTCATTGCTCGCCGGCGGCTCTTTGCCCCAACACATGGCCTACGATCTGGTTGCGACGACGAATAGCATGATACTGGGCGGGGCATACTTTGGCAGTCAGGAGGAATTCGAGGCCTTTAATCTCAGCAGCCACTTCAAAGTAGCGCCAGACGTCACACATAAAAACCTACACCAACTTCTTCGACTTCTCCGCCGCCGCAAGCGATCAGACTAAAGCAGCTGGGATTGCTTCCCCGTCGCATTTCTATGCCAAATATCTCGTCTTCGATCAACAGACTCCCATACCTGATGATGCTGCTGAGGAGGTCTTCAAGTACCTAGCCACGACCAAAAATGGTACTGATTTGTATGCGGTCACTTTTGCCGCATTGGGTGGCGCGGTGAGCGACGTCTCGCCATCAGAAACAGCGTTCTATCACCGTGATGCTTCGTACTTTATGTTCTCCTTTGGAAGAACTAGTGGAAATCTGACCGACACGACGATGCAGTTCCTGGATGGGTTGAGCGAAGTCCTGACTAGTAGGCAACCCGATGCCTACTACGGCCAGTACGTGGGGAATGTGGATCCCAGGCAACCAACTGACAAGGCATTGACGGGGTATTATGGCAAGAATCTGCATCGCCTGCAGCAGGTCAAGTCTGCGGTAGACCCGAATGATGTTTTCCATAACCAGCAGAGTATCCCACCTCTGTCCTAGTCTGTCGGTGCCGGGTTTCTGTTAGTCTTAAATTGTCGTCGATCGTGAAGAATTGAATGGCATTTGTACTCATTGGGCGGGAATGACAATATAGGTATGGAGCATAACAGCCAACGCACATAAACTTGATGTGTGACAATAATGTCCGACATAGGGATTCTGTAGGTAACTTATGTAGTTGGTTCGGGTAGTCCATGAGTCCTGGCGGGTGTATATGTACCTAAGCTACGTAGGTAACTAGATAGGAATGTTAGTTCGGCCAGACTGGAGTAGCCCCAGCAGCATCTTTGCAGTAGTCAATGAATCAGATGTGTTTTAAGGCTTCAGGGGCCTGAGGCAACCCCTGGAATGAAACATCGAAGATTTGGGCAGAGGTTTAAGGTATGATGATAATAAACAAAACCGATGAGTATTCCAAGAAAAGTACGGGAAACCACAGCTAACTACTCGCTAACTACCCTCCCATTATCCGCGGACCTCGTCACCTTACTCTCCAACCACGTAGGTACGGTCATATCTTTCCCGTCAACTCTGCATCTGTACAGTATGTAGTCTCAAAACAAAAATAAAAAGAGTCCCCAATTCCATCTTCACAGCACGCGTCCAGCCGATGAGCTGGTGCTACGATCATTCACTTGAGTCTTCTTCAGGGACTTGCCTTGCTGGATAGACGCAAGGAGGGCGCCTCGGCCAGCACCACCGGCAGCAGCTGGGGGAGCAGGTGGAGGCGGGATGCCAGCTGGTGGGGGTGGCGGGGGAGCAGAGGGGGCTCCGCCAGGAGGCGGGGGCGGGGGCATAGCAGGTGCACCAGCTCCTCCTGGTGGGGGAGGCGGAGGCGGAGGCGGGGGAGGTACTGCAGATGGAGCGGCTGGCGGGGAGGCGGAATCGCTAGGGCTTGGTATAGCAGGAACAGGAGGGAGAGTCGCTGGGGGTGGGGGCGGGGGTGCAACAGGGCTTTCCTGTACCGGGGTAGTGTATTTCGAGGGAGACTTGTCTTCGTCCATGGCACTCAGAGGACGTGGGGGCGCCATAGTGCCGAACAGGATGCTGGCAAGTTGTTTGGCGCTGCCACCAGTTGGACGATCGTCCTCATCATCAGACGAATCGACCTCGGATCCAGCAGCGGACCAGTCGTCGTCTTCCTCGGGGCGAGCACGAGTCTTGCGTTCCAGGGGGGCTGCACCGGTGAAGGTGGGCTTGATAGGTTCTTGCTGGGTCAAGCGGTGGAAGGGGTTCGTAGACTGAGCTGTGGTTGGCGGCGAGGTCGCTTGGGTGGGTTCGGATGGCTGAGCCTTGTGCTTGAAGTATGGGTTCTTGGACTCAGCATCGGGCGCGACGGCAGGAACACCACGGCTGCTTTCGGGGGAGCTCATTTCGCTCGGCACACTTTCGGGGGCGGGAGGTTCAGGAATAGCTATCGTGGGCACGGGAGGCGGGGTGGGGAGAATCTGGCTCTGCGTCGGCGTGCTGTACTGGGGCGTAATGTCGGCAGGGCCTTCATCATCGGACGATGACTCGTCAAGGCCCTCGAGTTCACGCTGCAGCTGTCTCTCACGTTCCTTAGCCGCTTCCAGTTCAATGCGTTGGGCTTCAAGCATAGCTTCCTGCTCTTTGGCCTGTCGGCTAGCCTCTTCCTGCGGCGCTTCTCTTCCTGCTTCTTGATCTTGCCCTGGCGGACCTGTTCCTCAAGAGCACGAAGTCGCTCGGCTTGGGCATCCTTCTCCCGTTGGAATTCCAGCTCCCGTTGACTTGCTTCGCCCCTGTAAATGTATTAGCCAGGCCCACTGATTTTGTCTTTATCCGCCGTGGATTACTTACTCTAGACGCTTAGTCTCTGCCTCCTGCACCTCTTGCTCTTCCTTGATAGCCTGCTCACGGGCAGCCTGTTCCGCTTTGGATTCCTCTTCCTTCTTGGCATCGGCTTGGCCGGCACTATCCGTCCGAGCCCTGCGAGTGGGCGGCGCCGGCGGTGGTTTCTTGCCCGCAGTCTTCGGAGCTGCCTCAGTAGGACCGCCCCGTTCCTCAGCGAGGCGACGCTGTCTCTCCTGTTCCCGCTTAGCATCCTCTTCCTCGGCGCGTTTGACACGATCTTCGCGCTCCTTCTTCTCACGCTCCTGGCGTTGCGCAAGAGTCTCAGTAGCGTCATTGGGCTTCAGACCAGCAGCAGCCATGCGCTCGGCAATACGCTTCTGTGCACGCTCTCGAGCAGCTGCAACACGATCTTCATGTGTGCTACCCGGAAGAGAGCTTGACGAGTCCACGGACGGAGGCATCGAAGGGCGCGCAGCGGCAGATTCAGCCGCTGGAGATGCTCGAGACTGCACATCCGGGGAAGGTCTCTCACGCCTATGAGTTGTCAGTATTGGGCACTTTTCTTGATTGGCGACAATAACATACTCTTCTTTGCGAATATTCGCTGTTCGCGCATTGCGGCTCAGGTCGTAGATGAAGTCGCGGATGACGTCCTCAACTCCCAATGCCTCTTCCCAACGACGCTTCTCATGCTCACGTGTAGAGTTCTGGCCTTCTTCCCGGAGACTGTCCTCCAAACTACGAGCGAAGTCACGGACACTTTCCTCAACATCGCGGGTCATGGTGTCGTTGCGCTCCCGCTCCATCTTCACGTTAGTGCTCTCAGACTCCAGACGACGAGCTGCTTGGCCATCGTCATCCTCCGTCGCGGGTGCGGGGCGCCCAGCAAGCTCGGCAGCCCGGGCTTGCATACGTGCACGTGCGCGAGCCTTAATCCGATCCGATTCAGTCACAGTACCGCCAGGGCCAGTGCCAATGATGTTAGAGGCGCCACCGGGGTGTGCTTTGGCGTCCTTGAGACGGAAGAGCTCAAGCTTGGCATCGGCGATCTCACGCTCAAGACGACGCACATCAGATGCAACCTGGGGAACTTGATCTTCAAAAGACTGCAGTTGGCGACGAAGAGCCCTACGATCTGCTCCACTGTCCACTTGACGGAATGCAGCATTGGGATGGGTATCGAGATCGTCCTGTACACGCCGGATACGGTCCATGAGACTCTCTGCCTCACGGCGATCCTGGCGGTCTAGAGCATCATCATCCTCGGCTCGGTTCTCGTCCTCAAAGTCGGCAGCGTCAATCATAACTTTGGCCTCGCGGATCTTCTTGTGCAGCTGTTCCACAGAATACTCCTCATCTGACGCGCCGGAGGCGGCCGGTGACGGGGTACGAGCCTCGTTACCAACGCGACGACGTGCACTAGAGCGGTATCCACCAGCGGAGTCATTGTTCTTGAACATCGTCGCATCTTTGCGGCCAGTCCCAGAAGCGCCTGCTGCACCACCACGGAATGAGTGATCTTTAAGGTAGCTGACACCGGTCTTCTGGGGCTGCAGGAACGCCCCAGTAGCCTTGCGAGATTCAGCATCCTGAGAGAGCAGAGACTTGACTGTACCGATAGAGTCATTTAAGTGTCTCGTAGAAGGAGGGACAAGCTCGGGTGGTAGACGGCTGGGAACTGGGTACCCGTTCAGAGCACGGTAGATCAAGTGCATAGCTACGGCGAACTCATCCATGTTCAGTCGGCCGCGGTTATGGGGATCCGCCAGGGTCCAGATCCGTTCCAGATCTTTTCTATTCAGACCACTTTGGCCCATGATCTCGATGGCAGTCTCGCCACTGATGAAGCCCTTGCGGAAACCGTCCCATGCGCGGAAAAGATCATCGTAAATCTTCTTCTCCTCCTTCGTAATTGCCCAGGCAACTGTAGCATTTCCTGAAAGGCCAACAGCACTGAACCCACCTTCACGCCCAGGCTGCGGCATGAGCTGTTGCTTCATAGCATCGATGTTGGGCAACCCTTGCGCTGGTGTGTTGATGAAACCCCACTGACCTGGCATGCCCGTAGGCTGCGCTGCCAGGCCGGTAGGCTGCACACCCAGGCCTTGCATTCCACCGGTCTGGGCGGGGCTGAGGTTCGACCCGTAACCAGTAGGCATAGGCGGCATCGGAGGCCGAGGGCCGGTATATCCAGTAGCCTGCGGGTTAGTCATGAAACCTGTTTGCTGAGGCTGAAGGAATTGAGACTGGTTCTGGCCAGGGAAGCCCGTCTGGTTTGGCTGCTGGATACCAGTCTGCTGGGGGAAGAACCCAGTAGGCTGCGCTGCCAGCTGCGACAGGAGCTGGGCATTGTTAGGTTGCTGCGGAACGGGTTGTTGGACAATTGGGGGTGTCGACTTGTTCTCTATGAGTGGCGCATCGAAGTTGGGGACGTTTGTTCGTTGTTGGACCGGCGCCGGTTGTGTGTCGGGGACATCGAACGAGATGATGTCAACCATACTGGAAACCTCATTCTTGATCGTTTCGGGTAGGGAAGAAGGAAGCTCGCGACCGGTCAGACGAATGTTGCAGAGGTACATGGCCAATGCGAATTCGGGGATAGCAACTGTCCGGATTTAGTGGTATCAGACAAGACCCAGATCTTAGAAAGATCAGCGCCCGACAACTTGGAGCGCAACAAAAGATCTCTTGCTTTGTCGCCTATTGTGACCAGTCAGTACTACCATCCAAGCCATAACATGGGACCCACTGGGTGTACGGAAACTCACCATCCATTGTCTTGCTATCGCCAACCGCAGACTTGAAGAGCTGCTCGAACCTCGCCTGATCCTGCGCCGTGATAAAAGAAAGCCGAATGCTCGGGATCTTTGACCCTGTCTTTGGCGGCACCTGAGGCGGCACCCCAGATCCAGCAGCATCTTGGAAGGAGTTTGCGATATCGCTAGAGGTCTTGAATCGAGTTGGTATCTGCGGCACCGGAGGAGGCATCTGTGCTTGGTTTTGGGGAGGGTATCCAGTGTATTGTTGCTGGAAGCTTTGCGCTTGTGGCTGCTGAGGTTGCTGGGGCGCGGCACCAGGGAAGCCAGTGAATTGCGGCTGAAGCTGTCCTGCGGGGAATCCGGTGGCTTGAGGCTGTAGCTGCGAGTTACCGAACGGGGAGGGCTGGCCGGCAAATCCGGTCGGCTGTGGAGCAATACCAGTGGGCTGCGGAGCAAATCCAGTCGGTTGAGGTTGTTGGATTGATGGCGGCTGCTGGCCTTGGGGGAATTGCGAACAGGGGGGTTGTTGTTGCTGTTGCATGAATGGTGCCTGGCCGGGACGGCCAGTGGCACCACCCCCGAGGAAATTATTCGACGAGGAAAACATCAGAGACACCGCGCTTGCATGAGCAAAAGGATGCAGGAAAGCCAACAAGAAATTGACGAGAAGAACGAATGCAAAGTAGTAAGTGAGTTGAGTCTCAGGAGGATGCGAATGACGCCGTTGCTGGACGCGGAGGCACCTGCGCTAACCTCATCGGGCGCTTAGTCATTTGCTCGGGATATTTTTGGATCTACGACTGCAATACTCCGTACTGGGTTGATGATGATGATTTAAAGCTTTAAGCTTGTAAATTTCTCGGCATCCGCTAGACAATGGGGTAGCTGAGCCTCTCAGAAACAGTAGAAAGCAGAAAAAAGAAAAAAGAAAACGCGCCCGCGAAAAAAAGGGGGCCCCATAATTCCCCAGATCGAAAACGAAAAAGAAAAGAAATGCAAGGCATAAAAGACCATAACTGCTCCATGCGCCAAATTTTCAGACCTCAGAAAAGAAGATGGATGGTGACTGGGTATCACTCATAACCATTTACTCAACGGTGTTCTGCTGCTGTTGCTGATTGGCGGCGTTGGCAGCCTTGCGAAGCTCGTACTCCTTGGTAAATTCTCGAGATAAGATACCCAGGTCCTTGATCAGAGCCTGGGAGGCGTTGATGACGGCCTGACGAGGGGTGATCTCACCGTCAGTCTGGACACGCAGCTGGAACTCGGGGGTCAGCGGGTGAGGAACCTAATGGATTGTTGTTAGTATCTTTCCAACACCATGTGCATATAGCAGGTTGCTTACGCGGTAAGCAGCAAAGATCACATGGGCAGTCTTCAGGAGACGCTGGCGCAGCATGTTGCCAAGCGTGTGGTCTTCCTTGTGGAAAGTAAAGATGGCGGCGGAAGGAAGGCCTAGAGAGATACAGTCAGTGGGAATACACCGTCTACATTGGCCAGCATGACTTACGGGTATCAACCTCAACATCAATTTTGTTTTCGCGGGGGCGAGCAGGATGGCTTCATAACTATATTCATGACCTTGGTCAGCTTATGGCCCACGGATGAAAAACGAGACACAAGAACGCAGAAAAGGGACAAATAAAGGGAAACAAAATTGTTAATCCGTGAGTTAATTCAACTGACACGTCAGGAGCGTCATCAGGGAGGGCAGGGCGAGGATGGCGCGGATGGCGACCCGGGCCAATGCGACCAGCACGCTCTCTGGCAATAGCCGCAGTGGCCGTGACAATGGCAGGGCTCTGAGGCATGATTGCACAAACAGAGATGATGAAACAAAGAATTGAGAGCAAGCAAGAGGATGGCAGTGCACAACGGAATGAAAGTCCACGATGAAAAAGAGGATGACAGAGGGAAAAGACGTTGTGGTGGGGAGAGGATAAATAGACATGCAGCGCGCGCCAGGGCAGGAGCAACGTTGCGAAGAAAGTGCCATCCTCGCCGTCGATGTCCTTCCTTCCTTCCCAAATTGATGAGAAATGGAAGGGCCAACGCGCGGTTTACCCCGGAATCCGGGGAAGATGTTCTGCGGTACATTTGATATCCAACCGAAATCGAAGATCCAGTATTCAACGTACAACAAACTTCGCCGGAGCAGCTCAAAATGAACAGAACCTCAGAAATTGCAGAAACGCTGGCATGAACTCACCGGTCTGGGGCATTCATAGTGGCAAGAAAGCTTTAGAAAAAGGCCAAAGGGTTTGAGGGCAATGTTGGAAGATGGCTGTATCGGTATAGATGATATGCTTCTATGTGTGGATCCAAGGGGTGCGGAAATGAGAGCTGGCGAGGAACGAGAATCTCGACGTAGTTTCAAGCCCTATTTATAGATGACCAGTCCACTGCGTTTTGACTTGTAAAGACAAGAGCGATCAAAACGCGCGGGATTTCGCAGTTCGCTTTTGAGGGTGCTTATCGATAGCAAATAACTTCAGACAAAGGAACCCAGCGAGGGGGTTACACTTGATATCGTTATTTGGGCCTTGACTTCGCACCTGTCTATTTCTTCGATGTTGACGTTGAGTGATGAAGATATCGTGATACATATCGATATCGATATCGATATCGATCATGTGACCTTGCTGATGTATTCCATCACGTGACCGTGTACTATCGCCCGGTGTTTACTTTATCTTCATCTCACTTCATGATAACACTGTGCTGGTGCTTCAAAATCATATTTGCCCACATTTACCGCACTATACCATGTGTATGTTTGTCAATGGACTTTAGAAGGTACATGTGTTGATCTCGACTTCTGAGGCATAAGTATTTTTTTGGTTTACTGAAATCGACCATGCAACTAATACATAGTTCCACCGATTTTTCATTAATTGGATTGCAATGTAGGAAGCCAGTGACAGTCAACCTAGTAAACCAAGCCGAATTCACGATTGCACTCACTCGCATCACGTAGATTTCTAAGTTAGATGCACGCAATCGAGCTTGATATGACATGACATATATTAGCGGTACTGTATGGAGAACCCATCTTGACCCAGATCTACGCTACGGTAAGATATACAACCCACTGAAGCACCAGACACGAAACCTGAAGAAAAGAAAAGAAAAGAAAAGAAAGAAATAACACTGAAAAGACAAGATATAACGGCCACAAGGCCCGAAATGTATTAAGGGAGTCAAGTAAACGCAGAGCGCTCTGTCGAGAAGACAATGCAAAAACACAGTAAAAGCTGGAAAAGAAAAAAACAAAGAGATAGAAACTTGTCAGATAAGTAACGCCATGTCTCTTCCCGCGCCGATATCATAAGAAAGCAGAAAATGAAAAAGAAAGAGGAGAGCTCCGAACTCAAAAATCAAAAATAGACTAAAAGCACAAGGAAAGCATATGTATTCATACTTGTAAATGTCGAATCCCTGTGCCCAGACCGGAATTACCATGATACGATGGTAAGAAACCCCGGGGCAGGGAACGAGGAGTGACATACAAGATGCGAGATGAGGGCAAGGGATGCATTATCGAGCCCATATCCAAATGGCACGGCAAGCCCTTCTCTCAGTTGATGGTATGTGCGTCATATGTCATGTCGTAGAGAGAGCGGGGGATATTAGAAGACGGAAGCGGAAATGGAAATGCAAAGAAAGAGGCAGGCTATACAGCGTAATGCGGACAGATTTCTTTTCAGATGCAATGCAAGCACGCTTTCATGGTCGAGTTGTGGAAAGATGAAAGGGATAAAGGATGGGAGACAGAAGCAGGGACTTAGTGCACAGCGCTCAGCAGATCTCCGAACGAAGACGTCCCTCGCTTCATCTTCCAGCTGCTCTTCTTCTTCTCGCGTTTCTTCACCATGTCAGCCCAGGCCTCGTCGTCATCCTCTTCATCGTCGGAGCCGGGCTTTCGATTTGCAGTGCCGGTGCTCCGTGAAACGGGGCGGACGGTCACAGTGGCGAGATGCGATTTCGGAATGTGCGACTGAGCCATCGGGTTGTGGTTTTCGTCACTGAAGGGCTTGTTTGTCGAGGATGCCACTGCGTAATTCGATTCGGGCTGCATGACTGACACTGGCCGGTAACGAGACGCCATTCCCGCGGTGCTGCGCTCCGACGGAGCAATTGACGGGGCATATCCGGTACTGGGACGGAATGGGTTGCCAGAGAGATTCGGCATGGGCGAGCCAGTCCCTCGAGAAATGTTGGGGTCAAGCATGCTCATCGTACGCTGGTCGATGTGGGGTGGAAGCGAGGGCGGAACATTGAGAACGGATGATGCAGGCATGGACATAGGCCGCAAGTTCGGATTGCCAGTCATGGATGGGGGTCCTGCTATAGAAGGAGGGCCCATGGGAGGCATGGCCATCCCGCCACCAGGCATCATCATAGGAGGCATTGGCATGCCTTGCATCATAGGCTGACCCTGCCCACCTTGCATTTGCATCATTTGCTGCATCCACTGCATTTGCATCTGCATCATGGTGGCCATCTGCTGCGAGAGCTGGATGGAAGCTTGTTCCCCAGCGCTAACGTTTTGCTGCGGCGGCGGCATCATGGAGTATGGTCGAGGCACTCCTCCCATTTCGTGCATGGCTTGTGTGTTCGGGCTTCCTCTGCGCATCGCCCGCGCCCGCTCCTCATTTGCTATAACACCAACAAGACCCCCGGAAGGAGGTGCTGGGGACGAAGATCCTCCATATACCGAACCACCTCCGAACGCCAACGATTCACGGTTGGAGTTGTTAACCAGACCTGCACCGAAGTAAGGATCTCGCGGCAAGTTCCTCGCAAAAGGTGGCAGACCGCCTCGGCTGCCGTTGGGGTCGGCCCCCGAAACAGAGCTGGAAGATGATATATACGGCGGTTGCATGGATGCGCGAAGGTTAGGGTTGGAGCTGACATTGTTCAGGCGGGTTGGTGGGCGGTTCTGACTGGGGAAGCCGTGTGCGGCCAGAATTCCAAGCGGTACATCGTCATCCTCTTCCTCGCTGCTCTTTCCACTGGTGGACTTCTCGCCTAGTACAGACACGCGACTGGGGTGCAAATTGGGCGTGCTATTGCTAGCTCCGCTCATGACCGGACGTAGCGATTGCACAGGTGCTTGCTGGCCAGTGATCTTCATCATCTGCTGGCGATACACAGAGAGATGAGCCTCCTGCTTTCGTCGTTGGCGTTCCGTCTCACGTTGTTTCTCCACCTCATCTTCTTCGTCGTCAAACTCCTCATGATCAGACTCTTCATCGCTCTTAGTCGCATCGCTATTGGAACGTCGAAGCTCCTGTTGCTGGCGATAGTGCTCGAACTGAGATGGAGTCATCACCTTGTTACCCGGAGAAGTTGACTTGGGGAGAGCATCTGCGTACTGCACAGCCAAACGCGCATGATCCGCAATGGAGGGATCCAATCTGTCGGCCGGAGCGGGCGAACCGCGGGATTGGAACATATTATCAGTTTCTGGGCTAACTTGGCCAGAGTAATTGGGTGCTTTGCCCTTATCAATCAAGGGTGTTCCACCAGAGGAGCTACCCTCAGCCCACGGCGAAGTGCCTTCTTTGCTCCACAGGATAGATTGTCGGACCATTTTGGCATCTTCGTCGTCAAAAGGTGCGGATTCCCCTTGGCCGAATATATCCCACTCCTGCGCAGTCCTCCTCTCTCAGTTCCCCGCGGGCGCTCCAAGGAACGATGTGAAGTAGTGGCCTCAGCAAACTGATTGGGAGACGGTGAAAGCTTCCGGAAACCAACAACGGTATCGAGGGTTGACTGGCTCTGGTCAAGGGTGGAGAATGCGGGCCACGTAGCAAACCCTCTTCGGACGGGCGACGATCCCATGAGTAAGGGGTGACTCGACAGCAGTGGATCGATCTGTGTTAATCGCGGCGGGTGCCGCAGCCCTGCTTTTTTGGAACTCGGGCAGAACATGCGTCGGCGGAGACGAGGAGTACTGCGATACTATCAGCACTGCATCCTTACCTGGACGAACGATAATAGGTCTTACCTTGCCCGGTCTAGGGGATGACTCCCGTATTGCTGAACCCTCTCGCGCATCCATATTCTCAAACATCTTGTTAAAATCGTCTTGCGAGCTGAGAGCGAAGTCTGTATCGGGCAGCTTGGGTGGAGTGGCGGTGCTGTCAGTGCTGCCCGTCACCGGGCGATTCTTCGCGGCATCTGGTGTTTGTTGCCGAGGTACCTGCGGTCCCGACTTGCTGAATCGACCACCGAACGAGAAAGTTCGTCCTGCTGCGCGCAGTGCACTCGTGAGCGGTGGCGGAGCTGGTACATCATGGATCCTGGAATGCGGGGATTGGGTCTCGTCGGGCGGCGGGACTTCGGTCGATGATGGGAGGGTGGATGACGAGCTTAGCCTGGTTGACGTAGAACTTTCGTAGTTACCGCTATCACGGTTCCCAGTCAGTCGTCTCCTGAGAGAATCCATGGTCGATGGGCGATCGTACCGGCTCTTGTCCAGGGGTCGTTCTCTCTCCGCAAAAATGTTATCAGAATCCTCCATCATCGACGGCACCGTATGGCCCTCACTCAGCGGCTTGGTCAACGCCGCTCCATCTGTCATGGATCGATGAGGCCCTGGGCGCTCGAAGACTCGAAAGGAGGGTTGGTGAGGGGTTTCCACGTCGTCTAAAACGTTGCCGGACGATTTCCGCCTCGTAAAGCTTTTGGGCAGCTTCATAGGCATGGGAGCGACTTCAATGTTCTGATAGATCGGGCTGGTATTTGAATAACCGGCCAGTGCGTTAGGGGGGCAGCTATCTCATTAAGGTTTGACGATCCTTGTGTGTCCTCTGAGGGTGATGTGTCGAATGCAAGCGATGCACGAAGAAGCGATCAGTCCAAATAGATTATAACGATCGAGGGTAAACAAAGCAAAGCTTAGGGGGATAAGCTGAGAAAGAATTGAAGTCAGTCAGAAGCTTTCAGGGATAGATGAAGCACAACATGGGTTTGTCAACGGAGTGATGAAAGGCCCGGCAGGAATCCACAGAGTGGGTTGTCTTGCATGTGTCCGATCCGATGGCATCTCACAACCTTGGAACAAATTGGATACCTAGGTAATTATTCCCAAATTCCTTGCAGGGCCTCGAATATGTGCTTTTTTTTTTCCTTTTTTTCCTGTCTTTCTTTTTCTTTTTTTTTTCCTTGAAAAAGAATTTGAACCCACCATAAGTATCGGGTGAGACGCGGAAATGTCCGTTTCAGTTCTGTCAAAGAACACACCAATAAGAGCCGAAGATGGGAGTGGAGAGACTGTGAAAACCACCAAAGGGGAGTAAAGAATGAAAAAGAGAGAAAAAGAGAGAATGTGTACAAAGTACGGAGTAGAAGAGGCAAAAAAAGAGACGCTACTGAGTCTAGTCCCTTATCAGTCCAGACGTGGTCTGAGTATTTTGACTACTATTGGCATTCTAGGATTATTAGTACCTTAGGTTCTATGGATATCATATCCATACTAGTAATACTAATAATACTACGGAGTATTGTGTGCTTTTATTTATTTAAAAATTGGGCACAAGTCCATGATCTCATAGGACTCCAATGTGAAACCGTTTGCTATACATAGTAAGTGGGAAGTGGGAGTGTCTTTGTACAATAAACAGTGGGCTGTTTCTTTTTGTCTAAAAATAAACACAGAATTTATGAAAAGGCAAAGCCAAAGAATGTGGAAAGGCGAAGGGGTCTAGGCATATGCACACAGTCTGGAATATTAATCTAGACAAAAAGACACCTTAGTAAAAAGTACTTTATACTTTGAGGACGGCATACACGAAACATGAGATTTTCGTCTGCTCCAATGCGATGCGCACATGTCACTGATCGTCGTCACGTGTCAAGTCGATCACGATCGGCATTGGCACATTCTTCTGGCACTATCTCCTATCGACAGATCCACATACATGCATCTGCATCTCCAACACAATACAACCTGGATCAGTGTATTGGAGAGCTTACACGGTCGGCTGATGATCCTGTACCACCAATAGTGACACAGGACTCGACCGAGAGATATTCTAATATTCTAATAGACACGGAAGATGTCCTACATCGGGATCGAGTAAAAAGAAGAACTCAAATGGCCACACATGCATGCACATACATAATGGTTTCAATTGATACCAAAGGCCAATATCAATCCTCCATCATGTTTTCAATCGCGCAAAGAAAACACCTTCTCCCCCGCCTTTTATCACAGATTATAAGTTATCTTACAAAAATTGCGACTTTGCAATTTCAGTTCAGCCCATCGTTCTTGAATGGGTCTGTTCTCTCAGATTGGGCCAACAAGGCCTACGAGGAGCTTATTTGGCAAAGTGCAGGTCGTAGTTCAGCCACTTGCGCGCATTGACGCCCGCCACATCGAGGCCGGGGGTACCGTAAGTCAAGGGCGCATAGAAGATGAAGCCCCAGATGGTGGCAGCCAGAATGATAAGTGTGGCAATCCAGCCTGCGATGAGCGACCTGCAGCCCATGCGTTCCTTGGCGGTGATGAACCGTCGCAGGCTGCTGAGAGACCGCGCCTTAGACTTGCCCGAGGGATCATCCACAGGGGAAGTGCAGTGCGGGGATCGAGCGGCTGCAGGTTGAAAATGAATTCAATCAGTGCACCACACACCATGGTGGACGCCAGGTGCGAGGGCAGGTAGTGATGCAGGAAGCGCTGGCGACCCATCAGCCAGAAGGGGAAGTAGTGCGCAGCCCAGCACAGGAACAAGAAACCGGTGCTGTTGTACAGACGCGAACGCGTACCGGGGCCCCAAACTGATGAACATGTTAATTACCGGAACCAAAAAAAGGATAAGAGTAATGTTGGTTTTTCGACTTACTTTCTTCCAACGCATCAACACCACGGCGAAGTGAAAGCTGGTCAGCACCAACAACGCCGGCAAACACGGCCAGAATACTACTGGCAATCCACCATCCAATGGGGTTACCCAAGAAGTAGATCTGCTCACGAGTATCGTTCTTAGTCCAGAAGCTCACACCCCGCAACAGGAAAGGCCACTGGAAGGGCTCGGTGGCATAGGGGTGGCTGCTGGTCAGAGCGTTGTTGTGGTGGAACATGGCACCCTGCAGCTCAAAGTACTTGCGCAGGAAAGGCAGGGTCTTGACCTTACGCTCCTCCTTGACCAGGCGAGGACTATCCTCCGCCAAGTTCTCGATGTTCTCTACGTACCACATGTTGCTGGACTGGAGGATATTCTTGTTACCGTTAATTTCAGCCTGCTTGTAACCCCACTCTGGCAGAGGGGTTGTGTGTGTCCACAAAGCGACCCGAGTTGGGACGTGGACCAGCTTGAACAAGCTAGCAAGAGTACGGAACTCCTGAGCAGTCTTGCCCGACTCGATCTTGAGCTCGAACAGGGTGTCATTGTGGCGCTCACCATCAGCCAATTCTTGGGAGACTGTAGTGAACTCCTGGTTGGTGGGGAAGAAGGGAGATGCAACATCGTGAGTCAGGAGATAACTCTCGGTTCCAATGTGACGGAGCTGGATGATGTCGCCATTGCGCACGCTCTTGGGCTCAGACGGATCTGCCAGAGGCTCGGCCGGCAGGATCTGCCACTGGTTGTTGGTGTCGTTGTGGGGATAGCCAGTGACCTGCTGGCCCTGGCTGGAAATACGGCCGTCGTCATAACGCAGGGGGTACTTATCCCAGTGGCTGTGGAGGAAGACCTTAGTGTCCTTGTGGCGCATGGTAATGGTGTCGAAGTATTGAATGCCAACGGACTGAGCGGTCATCTGGTTGTCACTCAGAGTCTCCTGGAACTCAGGGGTCATGAAGTCGTCACCGGGGCCAGACCGGTTGAGAATAGCGAAGTGGACCTGGAACCAGAACAAGTAGAACATGAAGGGGATGATGACCAATCCAACAGCGCGAGCAATAAAATGCTTGCCCCAGCTGATCATACTCAGCGCTCCCTGCTCGCGGTTGATATCCAGGAGGTTCCACAGGTCAATGAGGACCGCCGCGCCGATGGTCACGAAAGTGAAGAAACCGACGTATTTGGTGGAGATGACACAACTCATGCAGAAGCCGGTCAGGAGAAGCCATTTCCACCACTTCCGGCCGAACGGTTCGTGACGCAACTTGTAGAAACGGACGTAGCACAAAATACTGAGTGCCATTGACAGAACTAGGGTCGCGTCCAAAAGGATCAGGCGGTCCTCACCCACGTGGGCGTTATCAAACACCATCAGACCAGCAGACAGCACACACGCTGGCAGGGAGTAGCCAGACTCCCACATGATGAGGAACACCACGGGAATTGTCAAGGCACCGAGAGTAGCCGGCATGGCACGGAGGGAGAGGTAGGGCACATTGTTTTCGATGTAAGAGTCGCCGATGTTCTCAAACAGGAAGCTTCCATCGAAGCCCACGAGCCAACCCATGAGGGCAAACAACAGCTTTCCAAAAGGCGGGTGCACATCGAAGAAATAGGTACGTTGAAGGTAGTAAGAAGCGAACTAGACAAGTCATATCAATGTTAGTCGAAGGGCCCCCTTTTCCGTAGAGATTGTGTCACCACAAAAGGCATTCGATCTCCTACCTTGCCGAAATGAACCTCATCGAATACAACCTCATTGGGGTAATCGAGGCGGTAGAACCGTGTCGCGAAAGCCAGAAGGGTGAGAATCACTATGGCCAGCCAATAGTCCCATTCCGACTTCTGTTTGACCGGCACCGACACGGGAGTCGAGGTATCGTCAGAGAGGCAATGCGGTGTAAACATCCTTCTTTCCGCCTCTCTTCCGCAGAGAGGGCGAAGGGGACGACATGTTGAAAATATGAAATGTAGAGAGCGACCGAGAAACTACCTATAGCCAAATAGACTTCCGGGGGGTGTCAGTAATGATCAACAAAGCAGAAAAACAATATGGGGAAAGAGGAAGCTTACCAGAATCACCAAATAAGCATGGCACCCAACAATTGAGGCCAAGAGAACTATGAGAAAGGGAAGGAGAAGTGGAGGGGGATGACAGTAGAACGTTGCGTGTCTTCTTGGTTTCCGGGCAGGGCGGTGGCCCCAGGCGGATCTACCTGGGTACGTATACAAATCAACAAAAAGGGTGAGATGTACTTTGAACACCTCCTTGTTTCATTGGTCGAGTCGAGATTTCAAAGAAATTGAACCTTGAAAGTTTCGCTTTATCGTCGATTTACATGTATAGTGTCCTATGATTGCAACCTTGGAATCTTTTCATGCAGATTCATGCAATGGCTTGGGACATGGGATCTGATCTCTTCTTTGATCGCCTTCCGTTGGATTTCTGGCTTTTAATTGGACAAGTACTCACACATGAAGTTCTCATATGTTCTCTTTAAAATATTTCTGGTCTGGAGTCTTGCTGGTTGATAAATAGTTTCTCTAGTTGGCCATTGTCTAGTGTAGCCCTGGAGATATGTAGAGTGCCGAAGTGGTATATATATTCACGGATTAACTAACGCCTTTCATCCTCAACCTCCCGAATAACAAGCCACAAAGCCTTCCTGAAAGGATCTTCTTCCTGCTTGATCTCCTGGTTGTAAACAACACTTGGCCTACCCCTGTTTCTCGTCTCTTGATCTCTCGGCTCATTATACTTCTTCAACGAAGCGTTGAACCGCGTCAACTTAGACTTGGAAGACCAAGGCAGAATTTCAAATTCGAGCTCAGCAATCCAGGGCTGCAGAGTTGCAATCCTCCGCTGCAAATTAAGCTCCTGCTGCTGCCTTTCATCTATCTCAGCGTTTGCCATGGACGCCTCATTCTGAAGTTGTAGAAACAGAGGCGCTTGTCGATTGATCTTGCCCTGAGAATCCAATATAGGAAGTTTTGCTACATGTGCCAGCGCATCCAGCTTCCCAATTTCAACTCTCAAGCCACGTGGACCGAAGATGTCCTTATTAGCTTGTTTGACGGATGAGTCCGTACGGCTTTTGGACATTCCTTGGCTACCCAGGCTTGCGAGTCCGCTGACAGCTGTTCCAATCCAGTGCAGTGGGAATCAGGATGGGGACGGACTTCAGGATTCCACCTGTTGCGTCTAGGACTTGCAGGGTGGACTGGCCACTATGTCTTTGTTCAGTTGGTCAAGGAAGGTGAGGAAGGATTCCTTGGGGAGTTGGTGGTTTCTTAGGACGGGTGGATATGCGCGGATGAAAGGAGAATCAGAGGAGGAGGTGATGGCTGGAATTGCGATTGGTTTGTGGCTTGATTGAGAAGGGGCCTGTTGTACTGGTAATCGGCTTGGTTGTGTTGAGGGTCCTGCTGTGTATGCTGGAGGGTGATCTGCTGCCTCTCCCTCATCAGAGCGTCCCATTTCCTCAAAGGGATTTTGTCTCTTTTCGTCGGCCATTGTGTGTGAGCGAAAAGAAAAGAAGCTTCTACTCGTAAGCGTCGCATGGGGGCCAACATCCTTTTAAGTGTAAAAGTGGGGTGGCCTCAGCCCTCAGATTATTCTAGTTGCTTGAATTGGTTAGAACAATACCTCGATTATAAAATAAGCCTTGACTTAGCCACACCTGGGCAGCATCCATGGCCTTTCTAAGGTTGGTTTTGGGCTACGCTACGCCTTATCGGGTATCCTGTGCGAGATGGCGTCACCCGCGTAGTATTTATTCCACAGCCTCAAATTATATGCCAGTTACTTATGGCGCAAACAAGGTAGTATGGTATTTTATTTTTTATTTGAGTTTTTATTGGTTAGGTGTTCGACATAGAACAAGATCAAATGCTCAAAGCAAACCATCACTCCCAATAATGCTGTCAAACATACGCAAAACGGATTGGCCGAAGATGAACCCAAAATCTCAAACAAATATTATGGTCCATGGGTATCACTCAAGTACAATTTAGGGCCTTAATCATCATCCGTAATATTCAAAAGCTCCAATTCCGTCGAGACCAATGCCTGGAACTCTGCCCGGGGCATTCCAGTGGCCTTTGCCAAGCGGAACAAACTTTTGATGCTCGTGCCAATATGTTGTTTCACTCCCACCTCGTAGGTGGACTGGCTCTCTGCCTCCTGTTCCAGCTTGGCAATAGCATCAGAACCACCGGAAGATGTAGAGGCCGGCCGTGGGTGGTTTAAACATTGTGCGGCCTCATCACTGGGGACATGGCCTGGAGAATATCCGTTGGTGCGCGGCTCCTCCTCTGAATCGCCTCCGTTCACCTGTCGTCGCAGGAGACTGGCCAGCATATCCCCGTTGAGCGATGACGGACCAACCTCCGGTTGTTCCTCCGTGGGATCATGATTGTCCATGGCCGGCTGCACGTCGCCGTACTGCGAGAAATACGACTGCTCAGATAAACCAGATGGACCCGGCTTTGATGAAGCAGCACGCGGCGCGGGGGTCTTGGCTCCGGGGTGGAGTCGTACTGAGCCCAGTAGTCATCGTCGTCGTCGTCATTCTCCATGCCGTTGTCCTGGAGCTTCTCTTCCTCAGCAGCCTTTAGAGTGTCAGCAAGGAGCTGGTCCTTTGCCTGAATATTCGCCTCCCCGATGGAAGAAGCCCAGGTATTGTCATCCTCAGAAGCTCCCTCCCGCGGCAAAAGCTCCGCGACTCGCCAGCCACGGCCACCTCCCTCCTCGTCTGTCGGGCACCACAGATAGACCACCGTCAAGCTATATTCGGCGAGTGGAACTTGCGCTTTGAGAGTCTCATCGTCGATACGCTTGTATGTCACCGGAAGTTCATCCGGAAGCTCGATCTCGCCCGATACGGGGTGTGGTTCAAAGGTGGCACCGTCAATGACCCTCTGCAGACGCTCTGCTTTCCCAGAATCCCAGCACAGTAGCTGGAGCCATGAATCAGTGGACGAAGTGGATAGCGAACTAAGAACCCCGACTCGTTGGCGCAGAATAGGAGAAAGAAGTGGTAACAGAGCTGGGGGAGCGCGGGGCGAGACAAAGGCTAGTGGGAGGCAGGCGAGGAGGGGGGGAGTAGTTCGCGAGTTTCGGGTGGGTTGATGAGTTCGACCATAATGGATATGTAGTGTAGGTATGGGATGTATGAAATGCGGAGAGAGAGAAAACAGAAATCGTGGGGCAAAGCAGTGTTTTGCAAGCTCTCTCCATTCGACCGAACGTGGGGCGACAAACAGAGCAATCAGCGGGCCGTAAAGCTTACTGGGTCCATGGTTCAATCGGATCTTCTTTGTACCTGGACATTTTGGATATTTGGATATTTGGATACTTCTCTATGTACATTCTACTATAGTTTATGCTTATATACTTCTATTTGATTTTCTTTTTCCTATTTTAGACTTACGCGGCAGAGGCTCTAATTTGGATCTTTTCTTCCTATTGGCCCTTTCGGATCTTATCCATACCTGGGTAGAGGTAGAGAGCCCAGTTGGACATCAACCTGAACATGAATATCTACACATGTAATGAAATAAACCCATGCTTCCTTCCAACCTCGGAAGTCCCACATTCCACATTCCACACCCCAGATATCAGCTGTCAGCCTGGGATACATTCGGAGTAGAATCTGCCACCGGCCAATTTAAGATCATTTCGGTACTACGGGAGTACGGAGTACTGAAAAAAATACAAACCCGTATGCCTTCGGTCCATTGTAAGGAAATTAGAGGAAGATAAGATCACAATATACAACAATATACATTATAAGCATATGCTATACTACATGTATACTTCAGATATTTAGATGCACGTTGGTTCTGGTTCTCCCGAGTGGGCCTATCGAACCCTTCGCATGCCTGAGAAGTTCACGCAAATGGCAACTTTTCGCGTTCATTTGCCGGGATATCAATAAGACCTGGAATGATGGTCTTCTCACTGGCTGATGTCCACAGTTTTCTTTCCAAGATTGTCCGTCTGTGGGGGCTAATACTGTGCCAAGCACTACCAACTAGTGGTACTTATGCGCAATGCAAGGATTCAAAGCGGAATTAATTCCTTAAGCATAACGGTACTACTAGCCCCGAAAATCCCAGTATATCTGTCAAAACACATTAGCTCTGCACGAATACCTTGGTATCTGCCTATATAGATAACCCCCGAAGATATCCATCTAGATAGTGCTCGGATCGTTCGTCTTTGACTTGAGAAGCCGTTCCACACCATACAGCAACATCCCGATCGCTTTCTGCAACTGCAGTTGCTCCTTTGTTATTCCCCAAATCCCTCGGCAGCAAGATTAGCCAGAGCCCGATCGTAAAAGGCTGTCTCGAGCTCCTGACGATCCTCCGCGTCTTGCCAACCACTTGGGGTCATGGACCCAAAAAGACTATCCATGAAATGGAAATTTGACCCAACTGGGAGGTATAAAGCACTATCCCAATCTAATACAGCTTGAACCCCGCCGGTGGATTCGTCAATAAGATAATTAAATGGGCTGAGATCCTGGTGGGTAAGGGTGATAGGGAGGGTAGCGAGATCGCGTAGCTGTGGCCGGAGCTTGCTGATGCAAGCAGAAATGCTATTCTTAAGAATTTCGTTTCGGAAAATATAGTTATTGACCGTATGACAGATTCCACCCAGAGTAGAGGTGAGGTCGGATATAGTAGTTTCGGGTATAGCAGTGTTCACTCTAGCTCCCCAGGTAACGAGATCCGCAAGGTCCATAGCTGTCACCATCTTCTTCTGTAGCGGCAGTTCAAAGTCCTCGCAAGGCATCAAGAAACTGATATACGGTGCCCCTTCAGCGAATGGCGATGTATACACGGACAGTCCTTCGTACATGCCTTGGTATGTTACTAAGGGCACAATAGGTCCATGAATACGGCTAGCTTCGGAGACTCCGGAGAGATCTTGCTTATCGCTTCGGAACTGGACGGCAATGCGATGATCGGCATGCGCAGAGTGAATGGAGTTGGTATGTAATATAGCGGTATAGCTCATGCTTCCCTGCTGGGTTGAATGTCTACCTTACCAGCAGTGCTGGGAAGAAGGATCGGGGCAATATGGTGCAAGACGAACTGCTGACAGGATACCTGGGAGACGTTTGACAGTGGCTCGAAGAATTGAGTCACGACTAGTCTCTGATAATCGTCCATTGTAAGAGCCTATCCTCTCTAGGCATGACGCTTAATCATTCTCTAAACGTGAAAGCGAGGAGTCTGAGTATGCTGTAGACGCTTGAAATTTTCGTTCAGCTATGTCGCGGGGTCCAATTTGGAATGTGCCCCGGTCACATGCCCTCGGTGGGAATTCTTCAAATTGTCTACGCGTCTACCCCGTATGAGTCTGAGAAATTGATTCATAGACTGGCTTGTTTCAGCCCTATAATCTTGCACATCATGAAAAAATAGTCCCGAAATATCTGGATTGCTAATCCGAGGTCCGACATACGCGCGCTAAGAGACGCACTACTCTGCCGGCTTCTATCACGTTCTTATCCTGGAATGCCTGGGAAAACAAAAGAAAGACTGCACCATCAAGTTAACATGTGATATATCTGATTACAGAAATCGGGAATTGGCCTGATCGTTCAGACAATCAGTCGGAAGATGGTCGACTCAGAGAAGGGCCAATTCTCGTTCACTTTGAGACCAACAGCCCCAAAAGCCCCTACCCCGGAGCCAGCGGCAGAAGAGACCAACGCGCAGTTCGACAGTGTGATATTCGATAGTGCTCCTCTTGAAGATGGCCAAAGCAATCTCAACCCAGGGCGCGGGGACGAGTGGGCTGCTCTAGAGAAGCGGGTACGATGGAAAGTCGATCTCCGTCTTTGTAGCATCGGCGGGCTCTTATGTAGTCTCAATTTGCTAGACTCGGGCATTCTATCCTCGGCATCGGTGACGACTATGCTCGATGATCTTGATTTGAACCAGGGGAATCGGTACTCCGTCTCTATATTTATTTTCACAATTGCCAGTGTGGTCTTTCAGCTGCCATGCACAGTGGCAGTTCGCTTTGTCGGTCCACGCCTCTGGTTTTCGACAATCACATTCGCATTTGGGCTGTTGACACTGTGCACTGCTTTTGTTCGCAACTGGCAGCAGATGATTATCCTGCGTGTTTTGCTCGGTATTTCCATGTCCGGTATTTACCCTGGTCTGACCTACCTGGTTAGCGCCTGGTACCCGCGGCGAGAACAACAGCTCCGATTTGCATTCTTGCAGTCCGGGGAAGTTGTGATTCTGGCGACTGGCAATATCGTCAATTTCGGTCTCAATCATCTGAACGGTGTGGCCGGGCTAGCGGGTTGGCGTTGGATGTACGTTGTCCAGGGTCTCATTACTTGTGTCCTTGGTATTGTTACCTACTGGTGGATGGTCGACTTCCCCGAGAATGCCCAGCGCAGCTTTTGCTTTCTTTCTGATCAAGAAGCGCGCCTAGCAACGCGCCGAATCCAAGATGATCGAGCTGATGTTCTCCCCGAACCGTTTACATGGGGCACGCTTCTTGCTAATTTCAAGGATCCGAAGATCTACGGCTTTGCTGTCATGTTCTTTTTGCTCAATCTCATATCAACTGCCTTGTCGTATTTTCTACCCATCATCTTACAATCCGGTATGGGTTTCAGCACAAATAAATCCATCCTGCTTTCCACACCGGTAAGTTGATCCAAAGTATAAAATGCCGCACTTTCTGACCCCTTCACTAGCCCTACTATTATGCTGTAATCCCGGTTATTCTCACGTCATTGATCGGAGATTTCTACCGCGTCCGTGGGCCGTTGATCGTCTTCAATGCCCTTGTCCTCATAGCTGGTTTCCTGATGTTCGGTCTTCCCGGATCTACTCTGGTGACAGTGCGTTACATCGGGACCTTCTTGGCGACCGGTGCTTATATCTCGAACTGGGCCGCCCTCAATGCCTTCCAGGCCAACAATATCGTGGGCCAGTGGAAACGAGTGGCCACTGCGGCGGCGGTCACTGCATGTAACGGACTTGGAGGTGTGGCAGGCAGCTTTATTGTCCGGCAGCAAGAAGCACCGCAATATCTGACCGCAGTTTGGGTGTCAATTGGGTATGTCTCAGAACCTATTGGACACCGGGATCTCGCTGACAGCATTACTAGTTCCCACATTCTTCTCATTGCTATCGTGGGCGCATTCACGATTTACTTTTACTTCGCCAATCAGAAGCAAGGGCGGGGATCAAAAGTACTTGAGGGTGTGGTGAGTGCCTTTTATCAACGGTCGGTCAATTATATGATCTTGCTAACGAATGAAACCCAAAAAAGTCTGGATTCAGATACACTTATTGACGAAATGCACGTATGAAAACTCGGCAAGTCGTATTGACTGAACACAGATATCGTTTTCAGAGGTGATATGTAGATAGATACATTTTGGTTTACTAGCCAAAGCACATTTTTTGGGGTTTCTAGGCATTGACCGTCACCCAACAATTAGTTGGTGTCACATTTTATGATTATATATTAATAGATATAAAGCACTTCTATTCATGACCCACCCCAACACTTTGATGAGAGCCACACACCTCGTCATCCATAAGGATCGACCATCTCTGATCCTCCAAATCCGCCAACGAAGAAGGCAATGACTGCGAGCTATTTCTGTCTTTCTCTCTTAGTAAATGAACCTCTCTAGGGCGTGTGATGCTGTCCCCACTTTCATCTTTTGCGGGTGTTTCTCTCGAATACAAGAACCGGTGTTGACTTCTGCGAGGCGTGGACCTAGCGAACGTTGTTCGAAAACGCCGGGGCATGAACTGAGTGAAAAGTGGCCAAATGCTGATAATGCAAGCAGCGATGATAATCAAGCTGCCTTCGAGAATCGTTAGGACACCATATTTGGCCGCGAACCCTGGTTTGATATAAATTAGTACTTATTTCGATACATATTTGGGATTGGCTCTTACACGTTGGGTCGTCCCTAGCAAAATCTGATTCGGCGAAGTTTATCACCATTTTCGAGATGCTTGCCACGTTTCCTCTAAGATGTCCCGTCAGTATTTCGTAATTATTCCAAGCGCAGACGATGGCAAAGTTTGGATAACTCACAGTCCACCCAACAGAAAAACACCCGTCACAGCCAGTTTATGTGCTTTAGGTACATGCAATTTCCACACAGCTGGAATGGGAATCACAAGGATCAACACACCAGTAAGGACATTAACTGGAGCAAAGATTCGATAGGCGTCGATTGGATGAATGCACGTTCCACCTGGGATACTTCGATCCCATATGTACGCGAATGGTCGACATTGGAGGAAGTTCTCCAGAAGAACGCTGACTCCCAGCGCAAGAACCAGCGATCCTATTATGTAGACAAGGATCTGGAACTTTCGGGTTGTGAAAATACGTAGATAGAATAATAGCACGGCCAATTTGGCCGGGGTGATAGTGAAGGGATAATCGAGAGTTTCAAGAGCAAGGGTGCACTGGATGTTGTCAGTCTGCTACCTAGGGCTCAAGTGAGTATAGAGAAAATACCTTTCTTGCGAGAATCACCTTATCAGGCATCTCAGAAACGTAGTCGAAGTGGTACCCAATTACGCCGATTTTGGCCACTGCATGATATGTTAGCATCGTTGTTCTTTGAATTGGTTGCTGAGACCGTTCACATACAGACAATAAAGATCATTGAGCATGCCAAACTTGCAACCTGGACAGTGGGATGTTAGTATGGTGTGTTCAAATAGCTATGTCCGAACGGGATACGTACTAGGGCAAGTAGGATCAGATAGTCATCGAGGCCAAACTTCACCCGCTGCATAAACCGAGTATAGAACTTGGCTGCAACGAAGACAGTTTGCACAGCAGCAATGGCAGCAGTAGGTCCCACTAGGCCATTGCCACTATATGGTTGTTGGTGCCCCTGGTTCCAGTCGGCACCCATGACAATGAGGAAAGGGAAATTGTAAACCTCATATGTAGCGTAGCAACTCGTCTGTGCTATAACAAGTGAGTAGGAATGGGTCCATTGATGGCATGATATATTAAATAAGAAAATATCTAACAATAAAACCCTTGAATCCCCGAAAGTATATCGGACCGCGGAGACATCCGTGGACATTCACGGAGATATATGAGGCAAGGGCCTAGCCAACCATCGGGACAAAGCCTTCGTTTAAAAGGGAGAATAACATCATCACCTACCAAGGTTAGCGATTCTAAATAACATTGTGAGGCGCAGGTCCGTCGCGAGTCTATTATTTTGAAGTTGATATCTTCCGTGGAATCCAACCAACGATTCCATGGGTTTGGAACAGATCTTCAAAGATCTCTTTCAACTATCAGCTCTCGAAGTCAGATGAGTGACATCATGACATACTGCTGCGGGAGCATCTCGGGGAATTGTCGAAGCCGACGGCTCTTGGTTCATGATAACAATCTAGTCCGTACGTATTGGATACATTGGTTTACAGAAGCTTACATACTTGCTTGCCCTCCGGTTTAGGAAACAGGCTGTGATCTGGTCGCGTGCTTGGCTTGGCCTCCACCTTTCGGGCTTCTGCCTCGGAGGTTTCGGAGTTATAAAAACAATCTCGCTCTGATCTCGGCATTCCATACCCATGGGTTCTCATATCGGGGACAAGAAGAGCTCGCCCTTTCTATACACCGACGTTTTACCAAATCTCGGATAAGAAGGGAGCCGATATGAACGAACTTTTTTATGGCGTATTGTTCGCGGCCTTGTTGCTTTGCCCTTGTCAGCCGAGATCTTTGACACACGCAATAAGTTGTGATCATGTCTGTATCAATGTATAGGGGTAGTCAATGACGAGACATATTACGGTTATTGCGAGGGCTTGACTGGCTCAGACGCCAAGCCTGTAGACTTGGCTGTCTACAAAGGGCTTTTTCGGTATCTCCGGGAGACATCCGTGGCGGCGGCCGGCAACATCCCGCGGCCTAAAGTCGAGTCTGTTTTTGAGGTCTGGCACAAGGTCCATTTCCACGTCTTTTCATTATCATTAGTTCTCAGGATCTTCAAAGTATAGTTTTGTAATTTAGTCGGAGATGAAGAGAGAACAAGAATCTAGGGACATAATGACGCTTTTCTATTGCAACGGCGATGAGATACATACACATGCACAAATTATGTGATCGAAGGGAAGGGGGTATATGGCAAGCAAGACGGGAGACCTCACAGGGAAAAAGGTAGACGGGGAAGGTCGGCCCGCAGAAGAAAACTACATCGACAATCGTTGGAAAAGACACAGCCCTTGCAGTGATAACCCTAAGCCATCCGATCCTTGTCTTTCTGTTCCAGCTTTCCAACAAGCCGCTTCATACCCGTCCACTCGTCCGCCGGCACTTCCTCTGGCAGCCCACAGAGACCCTTGCCAACTTCAAAGACTGTAACAACACCATTGAGGCCACCAGTTGCCAGGCGGCGTCCTTCACGCTCGTCCCACGCAACCTTGTTAAGGCTTCGGGACATGATGTTGCCATGGGTATTGTCGACAAATTCACGTGCAACTGGCACTTCAGTATCTGAAGCGAGGTCCCAGATTTCGACGTTGCCAGCACCATCGACAAGAGAGAACACACCAGGCCGAGTTGGGTGCCAGCGGGCATCGTAGACAACATCGTCACGGGTAATGTCGAGAATGGGTGAAACGACTTGGGATTGGGCCAGGCCAGATGTGGCAGAGGCGGTCGTCGCAGGTGGCCGCACACGCCAGAGCTTCACGCTCCAGTCCAAACTGGAGCTCAGCATAAGATCGCCAAGGTCTACTGGTCCACGACCGGGGTGGAATGCGGTAGACATGATTGGTGCCGTATGCCCCTTGTAGGCTAGGCGGTGGTCTGTGCCAGACTTGGCTCCGGCCCGGTCGTACCGGTGGCATGGGTAGATGACTCCTTCTTCAGTGCCGACGATGAAGAACGTAGGATCAGTGTGAGGGAACGACATGGTGGTTGGAGCAAGATCCTCAGTCTTAGATGGGGGAGGAGTAATCAATTCCACTCGGTCTTGTGGGTAAGAGAGCATATCCATCGTCCAACCGCAAACCACACCGTCCGTGGAAGCGGTCATGATATTATGTGCATTCTGTGTGCCAACAATCGAGATGCTGTAAACGGGATGGGCGTGTCCGCCGCCTGATAGGGGGGTCTTTTGTACTGGAGAGCCTCCACCGGCACGCGAGGAACGGGTGTCCCATACGAGCACCTGTCCCGAATAGGAGCCTCCAACAACAAGGTTCGGATGGTAAGGAGAGAATTTTGCGGTAAGAATATCGGATGTCGAGTGGAAGACATATTCTGGACGAGTTTGCAAGTGCTGATTCCAGATCTGAACAAGGCCATCGGGTTCGTGAGGAGCTGAAGTATTCTTGGTGTATGATGCAAGCAACAATTCAGGGAACTGGAGTCAAGGTTAGCGTGAGCCAAAGCACATTTATTGTAAATGGAAAGCTTGCCTTGGGAGAGAAACTTAAATCACTGATAATGCGATTCTTGCTCCATCGTTCGTCCCAGAAATGGCACACTTCTTGCATTCCCCTCCTTTTTTTCCCAGTCTCCTCGTCTTCTTGCAGATGCCCATCCGTTCCACCAAGCTCATAGTCTGCCAGGACATCGTAGTCTTCATCCAAAGCTCGCTCGATGACCTTGGAAGAGCGCTCCACGAAGTCCAGGAAATCATCCGACGACGTGACTGCCTTCAGCTCGTCATCATCGAGTTTGCGTAGAGGATACCGCAGCTTTGTGGATTGTGCAGCTGTGTTTTCATTACTATCGACCTGATTGGTAGCCTGAAGCTCGTCCTCAATTTCCTTGCGAAGCTTCTGTCGGATTTCCTCGTCTCTCTCACGGTCTCGTCGACTGAGACGCTTGCTCGACCGCGTGGTACCGGGCGACTCCTCACCGTCCGAAGCGACAGACCCTTCAGCTGTCTCGGGCTGGAAATCTAGTTCGTCTGTTTGTACGGCCTTGCTATAGGTGACAACTTCTGGTTTTGGTGTGGATTTGTATTCGGGTTCAAGATCAGGGGGCTGCGGGGCTTCCGTTGCGGAGGAAATCCAAGGCTCATCTGTTGTCTGGACGGCAATGGACTGGGATTGGGGTCGTGATGGAGCTGCGTATGTATCTGGATTCTCCCCGCTTAGTTGGCTCGCACTCAACACGGAGGTTGGTCGACTTCCTCTCCGCGACTGGCCATCGGCGCCGTGGCTGAGGGAGGCCGATCCTGGGCGGTCGACCAAGCGAGAGATCAAGTCATCGAGGTCGTGTCTATTATCTGTGCGGCTTGGAACTGGTGAGATAATCTAGCAAGGTTGTTAGACCTGGACGAGCTCCGTAATTCATTCACATGCCGCGGTTACCTCTGAAGTATCGCCGACGCTGGTTCGGGAGGTGAACTCTTTCTGGCGCAGCTCGCGCTGCTTCTTGAGCTCCGCAAGCTTGGCCCGCTTTGCGAGGATCTCATCCTTGCGCTGCTGCATCGACATCTTGCACAATCATGAAAGGTTAGACCAGATGCAACCGCGTTCAAGCGTAGTACCTCCACTGCGCCCGGGGGTTTATTTACGGGGATGACTAAGCTCCGCCTTCGGGATCTCTGGAGCGGTCCGGAAAAACTCGCGCGCGCAGAACATGAACTGAACCTCGCCATTTGACCAACCTGGAGATTTATTGCCATTGACGGTTGACACCTGTTGCACGGCCCCTTCTTCCTACACAGTTTATTCCCTCATTTAATTCCCGTCTTCCGGAACCCTCGCAGAAATGGCTAGCCAGGGTGTCAATGTGAGTATCGGCTAAGGGTTACCCTTCCCCGAACGTCTGTTGACCACATCTCCCAACCTCCAGGTCCTCCGTTACTCGGCTCTCGTTGCCGGTCTCGTCTACGGTGTCTACCACCAGTCCTCCCTCAACTCGGTGACTAAGCGCGCAGAGATCGAGCACGAGTATGCTCGCAAGGAGCGCTTGATCGAGCAGGCCAAGGCGGAATACAAGAAGAAGACCCAGCCCCAAGAGACCAAGACACAGACCAGCGGACGTACGTTTAATTCCCTCCGATGATACAGCCCAGACATACCCAACGACATCCCGAGCCGCCGCGTGTCTTCAAGACCCAAAGTGCTGACCACAATCCCATAGTTATCACGAATTTCGAGGATCCCAAGTTCGACCTGGAGGCATTCTTGAAGGCTAAGGCTGGAGAGTAAAGGTGATGCATGATATAGAGGAGGAATGCTATGCAATGATCTCTTTGCGGGAATCGCACCTCCCCAGGGTATTAGACGTGTTTTGCTCAACTCCGCTCCATTTTATTGTACGATTGTTTGGGTTTAATCTGCCCCCGAGCTGTGGCATTGCGAGCGCAAGATGGAATGATTTTTGTTTCTCATTTTTAGAATTTTATCTGGGTCCTGTACATACCCTGGGCTGCCGTGCGCCTGTACACTACAGTTGGACCACAAGCAAGAGCAAAAGATCGTGTTATGCATTCCGGCGTTATCAATGGTCCTAGTACGTACCAGACCAAGTTTAGTTTTGGCGTCCCGGTCCTCGCATCCCACACCCCGAACAGAAGATGTAGCCGTGTGCAATGTAGTCCTCGGGAGAGGATTTGATCTATTAAGTAGACTTGTAGTTCTCGAGGATCCAAGCAAGTTTAACATGCCCGCGTTCCCAACATTGCCATTGCCTTGCGAATCCCGTTGGAAGACTGAGGTTCCGTGGGCGATACCACAATAGGTTTGGGATGCAGCAGCTTTGATTCCGAATCCCATGACCACCCACATTTCGTGAAATTCGATATTATGTTTGGATCTTCCTTCTCGGCAAGCTGCTCATCAAGACCCAGGTGGATCGCTGCTGTAACTAGTCGTATAGCTTCGTAAGACCTGCTCACTGCGATCAAGGTCTTGTCTTGGAAGAAACCTAATTATAGAATAATTGGTCAATTTTAAGACCTTGCTGAAAAAAGAAGCTCATTTGCCATAGGAAACATACTCTCATATCTCCGAACTAGTGGCTGTAAAGCGTCTGGCCATGGTAGGCCTCGGAGTACCTGGTAGACCTGTGCGTGTTGAGTCTGCCATACCGCTCGCAGCAAAGTCAAGCAGTTCTGTAAAGAAGGGTCATATTGTAGCAGGGCTTCGGGAATTCGTTTCGTTAAGGCGCGAGCTTCAGATCTGGTACTCAAGCTTTATTAGCAGTGTGGCAACCGTCAATAGCACTCTGGCTAAGCAACTAACACTTGGTCGGTAAGAAGATGGACGAGAAAGAAGCTCGAGTAGAACATGCTCAATAGTGTGGAGCCATCGCCGCCTGCGTTAGGACCATTGCTCCCGGTAGAAATGAGACATGCTTGAAGCTCATATCGTGATAGGGCTTCGAAGAGCTGTGACGGTGGAGCGTTGGAAGCCACCAGCTGTGAGAGCTGCTCCATGGTCAGTGGAGGCAGCTCCATATGGGTAGGTGAGGTGTAGATAAATTGCAAATGGTTTGTTGTGGAATACTGATGTACTCAACAGTGGTAAGTATACTGAGTCAAAAGTTAGTGAAAAGAGCTCTAAGCAAAGATTATTGATGGGTCGTAGTATTGCGGGGAGCAATCGGAGGTGGCACCTCTGGCCGGTGCCAAGACCTTCAGAAGTGACCACCTTGCGCAGCTCTTGCTCTTCCCATCTTCCACCACGGCCCTCACCACTGGCATCTCAGCCCAATTCATTCCTTGGTTTCATGTTTCTAATTTGATTTCTGACTCTGGACTTTGCTCCGTTTTCAAGGCCATCATGGCCCCGTCTTCGCTTGATGTTGTCCTGAAAGGCAGCTCCGGCCGGAACACGCGCGGTCTATTGCGGGTTATCATTCTCTGTACCATTGCCGCCGCCGCAGTGTCCAGCCGCCTGTTCAGTGTTATTAGTATGTGTCAATTGACATCCTTTATGACCAATATGCTAACTATTTCCTAGGATTTGAAAGTATCATCCACGAATGTATGGTTTCCTTGCGCTGCTGCACTAGATGCGGAGGCCACCTCGACAGTCCCCCGAGCATACAAACCTGATATTGATACCGTCTTATTCTAGTCGATCCGTGGTTTAACTTCCGCGCGACAAAATACTTGGTCGAAAATGGCTTTTATAGCTTCTGGGATTGGTTTGATGACCGTAAGGCCCCTTCCCCATGATTGCACGTCCTCCGCATGATAGTATAAATGGCATTATGCTGATGGAAATGCTTTGTGCTATAGGAACATGGCACCCTCTTGGTCGTGTTACTGGTGGTACATTGTACCCTGGCCTGATGGTGACCAGCGGCGTGATCTACCACATCCTTCGACTCCTTACCATCCCCGTCGACATTCGAAACATCTGTGTCTTGCTCGCCCCCGGATTCTCTGGACTGACAGCACTGGCGATGTATTTGCTCACTTCTGAGATGTCCGACTCTCCCTCCGCAGGTCTCCTCGCCGCTGCTTTCATGGGAATTACACCTGGTTACATCTCTCGGTCTGTGGCAGGCAGCTACGATAATGAAGCCATTGCCATTTTCCTGTTGGTGTTTACATTCTATCTTTGGATCAAGGCCGTGAAGAATGGCTCGATCATGTGGGGAGCCTTGACTGCATTGTTCTATGGATACATGGTTTCTGCTTGGGGTGGATATGTCTTCATTACCAACCTGATCCCTCTCCATGTCTTTGTTCTTCTGTGCATGGGGAGATACAGCACTCGTGTCTACATCAGCTACACCACCTGGTATGCCCTGGGAACATTGGGAAGCATGCAGATCCCCTTCGTCGGTTTCCTGCCTATTCGCAACAGTGACCACATGTCTGCACTTGGTAAGACTCTTGGATTCTGAGCCATCCCGTTGTCTCATTCTGATTATTTGATAGGTGTCTTTGGATTGATTCAATTGGTCGCGTTTGCCGAGTTCATCCGAGGCTACCTGCCCGGAAAGCAGTTCCAGAAGCTCCTCACTTCTATGGTCTTGCTTACCTTCGGCCTTGGATTTGGTGGTCTTGTCCTGCTGTCAGTCTCTGGGGTCATTGCTCCCTGGAGTGGTCGCTTCTACTCTCTGTGGGATACGGGATACGCCAAAATTCATATCCCAATTATTGCCTCCGTTTCTGAGCACCAGCCCACCGCCTGGCCTGCCTTCTTCTTTGACCTGAACTTCCTTATTTGGCTGTTCCCGGCCGGAGTGTTCATGTGCTTCCAAAAGCTCAAAGATGAGCATGTCTTTGTGGTGATCTACTCGGTCCTTGCTAGCTACTTTGCTGGCGTTATGGTCCGTCTGATGCTAACCTTGACCCCTATTGTGTGTGTTGCGGCTGCTCTGGCCCTGTCGTGCATCCTCGATAACTTCCTGGTTGCGTCGACACCGAGCACTGAAACCAAGGCTAAAGCAACTACGGAAGATAAGTCACTCCGATCAGCCCGAAACCCCGTTGTCGGTATCTACTCCTGGTTTTCCAAGTCTGTCGTGGTGGCCTCGGTCACTCTTTACCTGCTTATGTTTGTTGCACACTGTACCTGGGTCACTTCCAACGCATACTCCTCCCCCTCTGTGGTTTTGGCTAGCAAGCTTCCTGATGGAAGCCAGTTCATCATCGATGATTACCGTGAGGCCTATTATTGGCTCCGCCAGAACACCCCGGACAATGCCAAGATCATGTCGTGGTGGGATTATGGATACCAAATTGGTGGTATGGCTGACCGCCCTACTCTGGTCGACAACAACACCTGGAACAACACCCATATTGCCACTGTCGGTAAGGCAATGAGCTCGCGCGAGGAAGTCAGCTACCCGATTCTGCGTCAGCACGATGTTGACTACGTCCTGGTCGTGTTTGGTGGACTACTCGGCTACTCGGGTGATGATTTGAACAAGTTCCTCTGGATGGTTCGTATTGCCGAGGGTATCTGGCCAGACGAGGTGAAGGAACGTGACTTCTTCACCGCTCGTGGCGAGTACCGTGTCGACGAAGAGGCCACTCCTGCCATGAAGAACAGCTTGATGTAAGAACCCCGCGTTTTAATTATCCAAGTCACTACTAACCCCACCAACAGGTACAAGATGTCTTATCACAACTACCAGTCGCTGTTCCCGGCCGGTCAGGCCATGGACCGTGTGCGTGGCACAAGACTTCCCAAGGAAAGCCCCCAGCTCAACACACTGGAAGAGGCTTTCACCAGCGAGAACTGGATCGTTCGTCTCTACAAGGTCAAGGACTTGGATAACCTCGGCCGTGATCACAGCAACGCAGTTGCCTTTGACAAGGGCCTCAAGCGCAAGCGTGCCACGAAGCGCAAGGGTCCTCGTGTTCTGCGAACCGAGTAGAGATTTCTTTTCTAGATTCATCTTGCATTTCCTTGTTTTGTTGGCTGTTATGATTCGCTCCGGCATAGCAGGCCATTTGTTTTGTGCCTTAAAACCATACCGAATATACTCTAGGTCTAGTTACCTAGAAATATATCAGTGCCTTTCGTCTCGGAAGGCTTATATGACTCTGCCTTCACCTACGTAATACTACACATAAAAGTAGAGCTGGGCCCTGCGAAGCATGATAGACATCCGTAGCCCAAATTCATTGTACAGCCTATATTCCAAGCCAATTCCTTTTGTGCATGGCAGCACAAATGCTGATATTATCGCTAATCCTACAGATCTGAAAAACAAGGTCTCCCTGAAGACTCCAAAACCCCAATTGCAGCGTCTACCCATCACCAAGTACCGGTCCGGTGGGAGTTAAGTGTGCTTCATTTCTTATCCGCGGGGGCATTGGGGACCTTGACGTCGGAAAATTCTTCTTGGCCGACAGCCTTGAGGGTGTAGGTATCTATAAATTGAAGCCATATCAGCATGAGGTCCTATCTTTTGTGGATATCGAGCTCGCATGGAGACTTCTTAGCAGGCAATTCGTGGTGGCGTGATCGTCCGCAGTTCGGAGATAGGAACAGGGTTGAGGCAGAACAGCGGTATGCGTCACAGGGTCTACTCACAGACTGCAATTGTAAATGCGAACAGTCCGAAGCCTGTAATGGTATTCTTGAACAGATATGGGCGGCGGGCGCGGAGGAGAGCAGCACCGGCGCGGTAGTCCTTGCCGTAGTAGGTGGAGTTGAAACTATCACAGAGGCATGATGTTAGCAAGATAAGAACTCTCTGAGTCCATAGAGACTATACATACATTCCGGTAGCCATGGTGAGAGTGGTTTTGTTGACAGAGACGTGAGACAAGAAAGTTGAGGCCGTACAGGCAGACCCGGAGGAAAAGTCTTGGCGTTAGAGGCCCAGACAACGTGATGCGGGTTTAGATGTTTGTAATTAAGATTAGATCAAGACCTTTTATTGTGATTGAGACACTGGTTGGATTCAATTTCGAATCATCGGAGCATAGACAGACTTTTAGCTTGATGAGTCGAGTGTTGTATAGAGATACGCAGCTCACATATATCGGAGTCTTTGTCGGCCGCCCTTTCAGGCTTCGCAGCTTTTGTCGCATCCTCGACAGCCGTCGTTCTCACTTCTCAATCGCCTTTCCTTCACCACCCATCGCATAACCACCTGCCCTCCCCAACCTTGGAGTTGATTTGCCATTATCTCCTAGTTCTGCGATTGCGACCCTATGCTTATGCGCGTTGCTTTTGCAACTGCATCCGTGTTTCCCGTCCACCCACCAACGTCCTCCCTTCCTCCAATACCTAGTGGCCCAACTTGAATCCGACACGTCCGTCGCGTACCGGATACATTTCCATTAGAGCTACAATGGCTCAGCCGATGGACAATGTCGTCGACCAGGTCGCCCAACTCAACGCTGCCCGCAGCCTTGTCCTCGGTGATGCCGCCTTCTACCCGCAGATCGTCAACGGCATCCTTCCTATCGTTGGAGCTAGTACACGGTTGGAACTACGAAGATGGGGTGCAAATTTTCTGGCGGAGACCTTTGCTAGCCCAATGTTAGCTGTTGCGCAGAAGGAGCAGCTGGCACCGAATGTCCTGCAGACGATTCGTGAGATTCTAGAGTTGCCGGAGACAGACACGACAGTCCTACAGAGCTTAGTGCAGACTTCAGCTAGTTTATATCCCCTCGTCTTCAGACATGTGTAGGTTATTCTCAAGCTTTCGGGGCTGCGACGCACAAGCATGCTCGAAAAGCAAACTTGGCGCAGAGCTAACAATACCGACAGAGTGAACAATCCACAGGACGGCAAGTCATGGGAAACGATGAGTGCAATTAAACAGGATATACTTAGGAGAATGGACTCGTTCCCATGCCCGGTTAAGCTTTGCTGTTCCAAGTTCATCCAGCGTGTGGTCCAGGTTCAGACGCCTGGGTTGATCTCGGACCCCAGAGTATGTTTTGCGAGTTATAGACGCTTGAATACACCACTAACTTTGATAAGCGACCGGACCAGAATGAGACGTCTCTAGCTGTTGTTCCCCGAAACCATGCTGTTCTGTCAATACCAAACCTGGAAGCGGAATCCTCAGGTCTCCTCGATCGACTCCTCGGTGTTTTCCAAGAAGAGACTAGGTATGAGGATCAAACGACCTGCGCGAGTTAACGGTGACGCTAACACAAGCCAGTGATGCTCTTCTTGTGAACGCGACCTTAAACTGCCTTGCGCCTCTCATCCGGACGCGACAGTCTGTAGCAAACAAGATCATTAATGCGGTTTTGGAGTTTTATCCCGCCAAACACGTCCGCCCGCCGTTTACTCCGACAATTCGCGTCAGCGTCAAGTCCATGGAGCGCACAGCTCGAGCCCTGCTTATCAACATCTTGAAAAAGTACGTTGTTATCCTGGTTGTAAAAAATGTAGTTTGACCTAACCTTTATAGGAATCCGAACCACCCCCTCGCGGGTCGGATGCAAATGTACATTGAACGTCTAATGCAATCGCGACTTGAGGCCACCGACGACGCTTCGCGGAAACGCGGATTGCCAAATGAACCTACCGACGGGCTTGACAACGCTAAGCGGGCGCGTCTCAATGCTTTGTCCCCTCCAATGCTTAAGATTCCTCCAATGGCACCCGGGCCTGCAAGCTTCGACCGACTCTTCACCTTGACCGAGGACACCGGACTCTCCTCTTTCGACGTAAAACAGCTGCCAATCGACCTAGTCCTCAAGATTGTTGTACCTCTCTTGTCACAGGTCAATGATTCAACACTTTCACAAGCTGTCGATGTGAGTACTTCCATGAGATTGAAGCCTTTTTCTTTGCTGACATGGCCCTAGGCTGTTCGTACTCGATATCAGACAATCACCAAGGAACAAAATTTGCAACGGCAGCAGCAACAGAAAACAGCTGCCCAAAATGAGGACGATGACTATGAGCCCGAATACCAGCCGATGGATGTAGCATCCGTTGTTTCAGAAGAGGCCAGTGCTGTCGCGGCGGAGGTAGCAGATCTACAACCAGAACTGGTCTCTTCGGGTCCTTTTGTCCTGCCACAGCCACCTCCATTGAGCGAAGAAGAGGCCGGAGAAATCGGACGGAGTGCTGTGGCGCGCGTGTTCGGCATGCTGAACGCAGCTGAAACATCACCTGCGCCTGCCAAGGGTCAAAGCCAACAAAAGCTCGGGTTCGCTAGGTTAGCAGGCAGTACATTTGACCGGGACGCATGGTCTGTTCTTCTGGCTCGGCTGGCTACGCGGGCTCCTGCCGGCCTCGAAAACGACCAGCAAACCAAAGGAGACGTACGTAAGCAAACAACTATTGCTGAGTCGATCCGTGAGACGCTCTATCGGTTCATCTTGGAAGATTTCCGAGGACGACTTAACATAGCCATTATCTGGCTCAACGAAGAGTGGTATAATGATCGGATCCGAATGAAGAGTGCTGCCAATCAGCGTGATGACAGCGAGGAAGACTCGGAACCGACTGTGGCTCTTAATTACGATACCTGGGCCACCCGACTTTTGGATGGCTTCCTGGCTTATCTGGACTCTCGAGATATCAAGGTGCTGGTCCGCTTTCTCAGTGAAGTCCCTGAGATCACGATACCCATTACTCAGCGTGTGGCCAGTTTGGCTAAAGATCCTGAGCGTGTGAACCTTTGTGTTCAATCATTGATGTATGTCACCGTCCGTCCTTTCACCGTCAAGAACCGCCTTGCTGATGTTTTTCCTAGGTACCTGATCATGTTCCGACCTCCAGCACGAGAGATGTGCTTGAACACCGTAGAGGATGTCTACCAGACTTGTAAGTTTACTCTCCCTGTTAATATCCATTCGTATCATATATCTAACATGCGACAAAAAGACGAGGAATCCCGACCTGCTGCGGGCAAAGTTCTCACCAAGTGGCGTCCTCAAAGCACAGTTCTGGAGACAGCTGCAAATGCCGCACCGGAACCATCAGAGGCGAAGCCCGTTACTTCAGAGCCATAATCTTGTTATTTGCACTATTCGATGAAAAGAAGATGATGACATGAGACGAGATGCTTCAATTTTCCGCAATTTTGAGTTCTGGGGATTATCAGCTTCATTCTTCGGGCATTTCTTTTTATTCATTATTGCGCATGTCTTTCGGTTTGGTGCTTTTCAGCCCCAGTTTCATTATACCTCTCTTCTAGTGTATTCATCTTATGGTCTTAATCTTTGGACATGTGACATTCATGGTGCCTCCATGTCGTTCGCTTTGTCTTTTGAGAAGATGTAGTATGTTCGTTTCTAGCCTCAAAACATTTTATCAAGACATCTAGGTTTATTCACTGGTAATTACTGTACATTCCCAACACCTTGGCTTGATCTTGCAAGGCCCACCTGTCATACCGGACGTATAGTGTTTGCTCAATTTAGACATGCAAATCTTGGATGGAAGCTACGCGGACGTATAGACACCAGGGACCAACAAGAAACAGGCCAAAATCAGGCATTCAGACATAGCATAGACCTAAATGCGGTTTTGGGTCCTGGCATCTATACGTCTGCGTAATAGAAGTGCTCTTTTACACCTTAGGAAAAGTCTCTCTCTAGCTTGCTAGATTGGAATGTCTTTTTCACAAACGAAGTAATATACATTCCTCTATTTCAAAGACACTTGCCGCTGCCTAAGCCTGTTAAACATCTGTCACCTATATACCGGGATGCTCTCAGACATTCTCCGTTCCTGAGGTCTCCGACTTCGCTGGCCACTTCACCCTCTTCTCCGCGCGAACATACAGGTTATTAGGCCGAATCAACTGGAACATGGGATCGTATTCGATGGGTTCATTGCCCTCCCGAGTGAACTTATACCGGAAGATAAGTTTCGGAAGGAAAACCTTGATTTCCTGCAAGGCAAAGTTGAACCCAATGCACATACGTGGGCCCATAGCGAATGGGATATAGGCAGCCTTGTGTCTGCCCTTGACCTCATCAGTGTCCCAGCGGTCAGGGTTAAACTGATTAGGATTATCCCACAGATCGGGGTTGTTGTGGATGTGGTGTAGCGCCGGGAGAATGACCGAGTCCTTGGGGATCTTGTACCCTCCCGGAAGCACGAGGTCAACCTTGGCGGTTCGTCCCGGTTGGAAACTTGGATTATGTCGGCGCTGAGTCTCTTTTATATACTTGTCTAGAAAGACGAGTCGGTCGGTGACATCCGCCGTGATGGTAGTGTCCTCGTCGATGTCGTTATCGATGAGCTCCTGCAATAGCTTTTCTTGCATACCCGGGTAGGTGACGAGACCGTAGATGAGCCAGGATAGAAGGGAACTGGTAGTTGTGAAGCCGGCTCCGGTTGCGACGACGAGAGCCCAAATCAGGCTTCCTTGGGGTAGTTTCTCGCCTTTGTTGTCGGTTGCACGGATGGCATAGTCTGCAACGTTGGTTAGCATCCAATTGTATAAGAAGCGGATTGGTTGATGTATGATAGCCACTTACCGACCATGTTAGACGCCTTCAGCGCTGCATCTTGCAGTGGTAGGTCTTCGATACCACCACGTTCAGCCTGTTTAATTGTTTCTCCCACAATCTCCTCAACTCTGACTTTCATGTCTTTGAGCCGCTTTGGATCACCGAATGGCAGCTTACCATACCAATCTCCCTTGGACGAAACTTTCTTATTGAGAGAAAGAACTCCAGCAATCAAATGCACCATCTCATGCAACTGTGCATCCCGAGTCAAAAAATGTTGGAAGTCCAAGCCAAGGGTAAGCTTGCCAACTGCTTGAGACCCGAGCTTCAGCATATACTGATAAACGTTCCAGGCTTCACCCTGCTTATCAAAGTCATCAAAGACCTTGAAAGAATCCTCCACTGTCTTCTGCATTGTCGGCGCATAGTGACGGACAGCCTTAGGACCGAGAGCTGGCGGCAAAAACTTATGGGCAACCTTCCACTCTGGAGTATCCGTATCACCAAGGAAAACACCAGCCTCAGGCTGCTTTAGAGGATATAGAGGATGGGCCTCGTTGATCTTCTTTGTGAAAAAGTCGGATTCGGCAAATACGATTGCGGAGATAGCTGGGTCATTCGTTTGATAGGTCGTGCGGCCTAGATTGGTTGTCTTGATGACCGGTCCATATTGTTCGAAGAGACGCTGATGGTTGCCGAGGTGGTCTGGGTAGACTTCGAAGAAATTTCCGACATATGGGAGACCCTTTGGGCCAGGAGGATCACGGACCGCGTTCCCATCGATGGTTATAGCGATAGGAGTGTCGGCCGAAGTGATTTCGGCGATCTCGTTCAGGTGAAGATCTTGAGCATGAAAATCGATACCTATCGTACACGTCAGTCATTAAGACATAGATTTATCAAAAGGAAATTCCCTTCAAGCTTACCACTCGACTCAACGATTGCGAAGTGAGCTGCAATCAAGTTCTTGAGTCCATCTAAATCACTTTTTGGGTCGACATCGATGTTCCTGGCGGAGGAGACGGGCTCTCCAAGGAGATAAAATTGCTTTGCAGGCATTGTGCTTGAGTGTTTGTGAACCTGGCCAGCTCAATCCAGGAAGCCAAACTTATATATCGACTGTGTAATGGCCATCAAGATCCCATTTCCTAGTTTGGGATCCCGCGTCCTCGGGTTGTGGGTCAGTGTGGACCTTTCCGATTGGCTTTGCCTTACCTCGGATGTCTCCACCTGGGTAGGACACCTCGGAAAGGCAATGTTTCCTCGGTGATCTTCAACATAGTAGAATTTTCAATAGGCGAGACATTATTTACATTATCTACATTATTTACCTTCGGGACTATTCGGTACTTAGGTAGATGTCCACTGTGGATTCAAGCATATTATCCGAATCCAGCAGTATTTGAAAACATTCCATCCCATTGGCGTATTTACTGTTTCCCTACGATGTTGAAATCCACTTGCGGAAGGCTCAGGATCCCACAGAATATCCGATATAGAAGACGTGCTGCTGAAAAAGACTTTCTCTGTTCTAACTTCTCGGCCATCAAAAATACAATCTTTGGAGTATAGTTCTGTCATGAAAGGTACAGCCGCTAGACTTTATGAAGCCGTTAACTTAAGTGACCATGTTAAAGGTGGAAGCCGCCCTGAACAACATATCTCCTAAATTCCTGGTTATCAGCTACTGTGTGTATAACTGAACCTGTAGTTTCATTAAAATAAGGCGCTAATGCAATCATGCAAGGTTATATGTGAGATAACCCTCCGATGTCTTTTTTGCATGTTCTTTTTATAGATCTTTTTAGATGAAATATTTCCTCAATACATCAGAATATAAACACGTTGAATTCACAAATAGCTCTAATATACAGCACAACTATAAGCACAGAGTAATCAAAGAGTATATAATCAGAAACACTCTAGAAGCAGAAGATCTGGTCGGTCATCTTTCCGACAGCGCCAGGAGCTTCAAAGCCCGCGGCTACCAAGGCCTTCTTCGAAGCATTCACCATACCTGGTGGTCCACAAAGCATGATCTTCGTATCAAGCGCTGGTCCAGGCAATCTTGCAGCCATAACCTCTGGCGTAACATATCCCTTACCATAAGCCCAATCGTCAGAAGGATGATCAAGCATATACCAGAGCTTAAAGTTCTTCGGATATCCTCGTGCAAAAGCCTCCAATTCGCGGCGAAGAAGAATGTCCTCTTCAGTTCGGTTGGCGTAGATCAGGCTGATTTCAGTCGTATCCCGATCATCCTCGCAAATCGCCCGGATAAGTTGGTACATCGGGGTGATTCCGGTTCCACCGGCGATCATACCAATTTTCTTGCAAAGGCCGCTGTGATATTTCATGCTGCCTTTTGGGCCTCGGAATTCCACCTTGTCACCAATTTCCAAAGACTCGAGGTATTGTCCGGTGAGAATGCCATCTGGGTAGCATTTGATGACTAGTTCCAGTTTTCCAAGATCCAGATTATTCGATGTCGGGGTATAGGACCTCGAGACAGTGGCACCGTTAACCGTGGCTTTGATAGCAACATGCTGGCCGATTGGGAGTCCAATCACGCCCTTTGGATCGGGCAGTTTAAAGACGAAGCGGTATACATTGGGCGATAATTGGTCTTTCTCAACGAGGGGGAGCTTTTTGTAGATTTTGGGCTCGAGGAAGCCTTTCACAAGATGTGGATCCTGCTTCTTCAGTGTCGAGGCTTTGATGTACGGGCGGTACTTTGTGAAATCAGACTCGACTTCGGTGAACTTTGAAAGCTTGGATCCGATGACACCACCAATCGTCGCACAACCCAGAGTAGCAGCAGTGACACCACTCAAAAAGCCACCTTGCAGAAGGCTCACGAGTGGAATGCGAGCCTCGGAGATTTGTAGGGAAGCTGGGGAGTGCTTTGCGAAGAAGTCGGTCAGGGCTCGGTGATTCTTGGAAGAAACATAAACCAGGGAAGCAGCAGCAAGCGTGGCAGTAATTGTAGTCGTAGCTTTGAGGGCCATTGATGTCTTCTTGGGCGTCTCTGTACTGGAAGAGGGTTGCTTGATTACACGAACAACCTTGGGTTGGACAAATTCGTGTGCATCCTTCACAGTACCGATAAAATATGTCTCCAGAATTTCAGAGGCATCCTCTGAGTGACCGACATCCTCATATGCAGCTGTTGCATCTGTGCCGGCGACGTCTATCAACACATCCGCACCACCGGGATGGTCTCGAACGTAGTTTGTAATGTCGTATACTGGGTATGTCAGAAGATTGAACAAGACAGTGCGGGAAGGGAAAGATTACCTTTTCCATGAATGATAACAAAAATATCGTTTTTAGTGTTGTGAGCTGCCACTTCGCTCGCGTCGAATTCTTTCAAAGATGCCATTGTGTATGGAAGATGCAATATCAATTTTAGCGCGACACTGAACTCAAGACAAGTGCTTTATAGTTTTAAGAACTAAATGCGCTATTTATTTTTCGTATATCCTATAAAGATTTTTTTTTTATATTTAATATTCAGCTCCAAACAGGGGGACTTTCCGAGGTATACTCCCTCGGCATGGGGCTCCACATTGTTATCCATAGTATAATGGGCCGAAAGAACAAGGTCTGACCTCGGGAGATCAGCCCATATTAAGCGTTCTGCATCTAATTTCCTGATTACACCTGTCAACTATATTTCCACATCTGCCGAAATCGTTGGATTTGCCAATCCTAACCTGTTTGAGAAGTTTTCCTCATTGGTCTCGCTTCCACGGCCCGGGACTGGAGTTTCCGAGGAATGAACCAGATAGATGATCATTGGTATAGAGTTTGTTGACGTGTCTAACGAACTCCCTTGATATTTCTGGTCTGAGTAGTGGATAATGGACTTCCGAGGGTAGTACGGAATAGCAATGACGATGCCAATGGCAATGGCAATGGGAATGGGAACAATGGGATATAAAAGGAACTTACCTGCCACTGTGATTGAACCAATACACCAACTAGACCATTTTTTACACTTGAACTCAAAGCACTTGCTTCACAACATGTCATCACACTGGCAACCTCCGCGAAATTACCGCAGCCGCCCTGTTGCCATTCTTGGCGCAGGTGTACTCGGCCGCCGAGTAGGTCTGTATTTCATCCAGCGTGTCATTTATGGATTTTGCTGACAAAATTCTTGCTTCAGGATGTATCTGGGCTTCAGCCGGCTTCGACGTCAAGATTCGAGACCCGAACGCGCAACAGCGAGCAGACGGTGTGGCATATATTGAGAAAAATGTTCAATCATACTCCGCCAAGACCAACCAAGTCCCCGGATCATTCGAAGCCGTCGCGGGTATGGAACAAGCTGTTCGAAATGCCTGGCTTGTCATTGAAGCTGTCCCCGAGAAGCTCGAGCTCAAGATCGCCACTTTCGCTGAATTGGAGGCCCTCACTCCCAATGACTGCATCTTGGCTTCCAATTCATCCTCATACAAGACTTCGGAGATGATCAGTCAGATCTCGGATTCCACAAAGACGCGCGTCCTGAACATGCATTATTATATGCCACCGGCGTGTATGATTGTGGAACTTATGACAGATGGATACACTTCCCCAGAGATATTCCCTTTCATGGTTGAGCGCTGCAAGGAAGCTGCCACAAGTCCATATGTCGCAAGAAAGGAGTCCACTGGATTCATCTTCAATCGGCTGTGGGCTGCTGTAAAGCGGGAGGTCTTGACTATCTTAGCTGAAGGTGTTTCGGTTCCCGAGGAAATTGATTCGATGTGGACTGAACTGTTTCTCAAAGGAAAGAGTCTTCCCTGCCGGACAATGGACGGTAAGATGATGTTTGCTCACCTTCACTGATTTTATGAGAATCTGTTCGCTGACAGAATATTGCCTAGATGTTGGCCTAGACACCGTTGCCTTCATTGAGGGTCATTACGTGGATGAACGTGGACTCTCCCCGGAGAAGACGGTCGACTTTTTGAAGAGCAACTACCTGGACCATGGAAAGCTGGGAACAAAGTGTTCAAAGGGTGGCCTCTATGCAACTAGCGACTCGACTCCTATCAAGGCAGACTCAAAGAAGCCCGACATTTTGGTGTTGGACGTGGGACTCTCAGCCAACACACCCACTATGACAGCAGGAGAGATCCTCCGGGTTTCCGCAGACGGCAAGCTACAGAAATCGATTCTTAAAGGCCAACCATTGCCTGATGGACTCGCTGTAGACCCAACCTCTGGCCGCATATTCTGGACTTGCATGGGCGTTCCCGGAAAGACCGACGGGGCCGTCTTCTCCGCCAACGTGGATGGGACGGATATCAAAACTCTTGTTGCCCCAGGAACTGTGAATACACCAAAACAGCTAGCCCTTGATTCCATGGCGCAAACCGTCTACTTCAGTGACCGTGAAGGATGCCGAGTCTATCGCTGTGCCTTCGACGGCTCCAACCTGGAGGTTTTGATTGATAACACTGGCCGTGATTTTGCCCCTGCGAAGCGTGTCTCCGAATGGTGCGTGGGAGTCGCTGTGAGCCCAAGTCAAGGTAAATTCTACTGGACCCAGAAAGGACCCTCCAAGGGTGGTGAAGGCCGGATCCTCTGCGCGGATATCATAACTCCTAAGAGTCAGTCAGCTGCTGCTCGAGGTGATATCCAGTGCATTCTGTCTGATCTTCCCGAACCCATTGATCTTGAGGTAGAAGAAACCTCTCGCGTACTTTACTGGACCGATCGTGGCGAAATCCCATGGGGCAACTCACTAAACAGAGTCAGGTTGGGGGAGGATGGTCTCCCTCTATCAACCAGTTCCCCGAGAGGATATGAGATTCTTACCAGGGGTCTGAACGAGGCAATCGGTCTGAAGTTGGATTCCATCAATTCTTATGTCTATCTCACTGATCTAGGTGGATCTATCTACCGATGCGACCTGGATGGCAACCACAAGGAGAAGGTTTACTCCGAGGAGCACCGGGCTTTTACTGGGATTACTCTCCTATAGCCCTGAAACACTATAGAGATTCTTGTATTTAGCCTATTTAACTTGAATCAATACAATATGTGGAGCATAAAAATACATGTCATATAAGAATTGTGATGCCTGAGGTTACAAAGATCTGTGTAACCACATGTGTACCTAGGTAACATCGCGTGTAACGATCTGTGCAACCGCCTACATCATGTGTAACGACCTTAAAACCTTATAAATGCCCGGGCGTCTTGATATTTCTATTTTCCGTGTAGTCCCAGATATCCCGTATAAAAAAAATATTACCTCGGAACTGTCGGGACCCAGTTTCTAGTTTCGGCTACCTCGGAGAACCTCTACTTGACATTCACCTTCTCTCGGCAGATGCATCCTTGTCAATACTTGGCAGACTAACCATGTCTACACGACGTTATCGATCGGCTGCTGCTTGTCAAAATTGCCGGCAGCGCAAGGTTCGCTGTAGCGTGATGGTGACAGGTATCCCTTGTATAGGCTGTACGCAAGATGGCAGAGAATGTACCGTTCCGCCGACAAAAGCCCAAGCGTGAGGTTTTCTTCCGGACTGATCGAAGCTCATCGCTGACATATACAGCATACGAGGGAGACGTACACGTCGACCTGCGTCTATTATTAGCAGCCCCCCCTAATGGCGATTCGAGTAGATTGATACCACAGGCTTCACTTCCATTTGATTCATTCCCAAATGCACCACCTTCGCATAATTTAGATCGTCCTGAGCTATCTTCTCGGAGTGTCTCTAATCCCCCGGACTATTCTCGGCGCCAGGATGAAGAGCAGACTGGCGTTGAAATCGCAACCAAAGTCCTCGGGAAAAGCAGCAAAACTGGCCAAGCACCATTCTACACTGGTCTGTAGTCACCGCACGAGTTTCTTCATTTTGAAAAGAACCTGAAGCTGATCCAAAACCGAAGGTGATTCGCCTGGGTTTGGTGCCGTCTTTGATATATGCTCGCCTTCACACGAGCCTGCACAACGGCATATCCTGCTCACTTCTAAAACATCCGTCTCGCTATCTCCCGAGGATAAAGCATACTTGCAGTACAAAGGGGTCTTCAATATGCCCCGAAAAGAGATCTGCGATGAACTTCTACGGGCATACTTTCATCATGTGCATCCCATTATGCCGGTGATTGACGTTACAACGCTTCCACACCTCTATCCCAGTGGAGATGGTCAACCATACAATCTGATATTACTATGGAGCATTTTCTATGCTGCTGCAAATGTAAAGCCTACCTCCTCTGAGCGGAACTGCGGTCTAACTAACGCGGATATAGCATCTTCCGGCTGAGACCTGGAAATCAGAGGGATTTTCGTCCAGGAAAGAGATGAAGGAATCCATGTACTCTCGTGCAAAGGTAAGCAATCTAACATTTGATCTATTCCCGAATTACGCCTGGCTAATGCCCTGCTCTTAGTGTATGCATCATAATGGGGGTGAGACAGACAACACAGTTCTCCTTCAATCAGCACTTCTCTTGGGATTTTACCACTCTGAAGCCGATACTTATACCCAGCCGTGGTTTTGGCTGGGTATTGCCATTAGCCTTTGCCAAACAATGGGCCTGCATCGTTTCTCCGCTGCGGTCTGCGCCAATTCACCTATCAGTAAACCACAACAGCGTCTTTGGCGCCGCCTTTGGTGGACCTGTTTCTTTCGAGATCGTTGGCTAAGTCTCACCATGGGCCGTCCATTGAGAATCAACATGAATGACTGTAACACTATACCACCATCTGCAGATGATATGCTGAGTGATTTTGCCGGATTACCCGAATCTATATCGGCAGCATATGTTCCGAAGGACCTGCCACAGCTAGCGGACTACTGGGTGACACTTATTCAACTCACTCAGCTCTTGGGGAACACACTCACTTTGTGCTACCAACCCTTTGGGGCCAGTTCGTCCATTGAGCAGGTTGAAGCCCTTGAGCAAAAGATTTTGCACTTTCCACCTCCCGAAGACCAGGGGACGGGACAAAGTCCACTGGCAACCTTTTACTTGTATCACTTGCAGCTTCATTACCAGTGAGTGTTGATACTATCTCCGCCTATAATTGCTGCTAACAGCCAAAAGAGCATTCATAATCACTTTTTACCGTCCTTTCATCACAAAGGACCCGGAAGGGCTGCCTGCATCTCGCCAGAACACATGGCACACTCACGTCCGAAATCAGATCAATACGGCTGCGCTACAGACCAATGCCATCCTCGATAATCTGGCAAACGAGAAGCTGTTGGCATTCTCGGGTCCAATGACGTGAGTGCGCAAATCTCCTGCAAATAATATTTTATCTGACAATCACTTCAGGCCACCGCTCTTAGTCCCGGCAATGCACGTCCACCTCCTCAACTGCAAATCTCCTGATCCCGTTTCCCGTCGTCTGGGTCTGAACAAGATTGAGGTGTGTATGATAGTCTTGGAACAGATGCGACACACCCACCCCTGCTCTTCAGTCTTCCGAGGTATCTTTCTCGAAGCCATTCGGTATATTTTCCCAAACTATGTCGCTCAAAGAGTTCTCCCCGAGTTGGCGTCTGAGTCTTCCCCACTGCAGGAAGTCCCAGTGGATGATCCTATGGCAGGGATAACAATTGGCGAAGATGCCATTGATGCACTTATGGATGAGGTGTCGATTTTCAATTTTTGGGAGTCCCTTAACAATATGCAAACTTAGTTCCTAGAAATATATATATGAGTAGATATAAGTGTCAAATTGAATGACAATGCATCTACGAAACTAGCTGGTGTGAGAGAAAACAGAAGAAATATGCTGTGCAACACGCAAATTACATTATACCTAATCGTCTTGACATCAATAGTCAATCTGACAGCACAAGAATCATCACCAGGGAGGATTAAATGTCGCCCAGGCTGGGTCAACTCTCGATCTAGCATCGTCATCAAATCTGTGCTTCATCACATTTTCTGAATCCTGGTCTTTATATGTACACATTGTCCGGTTAATCATTTTATTGTTCATCTTCCTGGATGGTGAAGTCCACAGGTGAATCTTAATGTCAGATGAGCTCCACTTGGGATAAGGCTAAGGTGTGGCGCCGCCATGGTTCCAAGGCTCAGCCCCGCTATGTAGATTTTCTCTTGAGGCTCATTGAAGATGGCTTGGTGAACCTGCCAACCATGGCAGGGCCTCGGGAGTTACCTAAATGTCTCAGTAAGATAATTAATGATCCGACGGAGAGTGGGTGTGGTTGTGAATGTCTTGAAACAACCTTGTTTCATAGTACAGTTGTAAATCGAAGATCTTAACACAGGGAATAAGAAAAGAAAGGGTGTGGAGGCCTCATATGAAATAAAGGCGTGGTATGTACACCAATAAGCACAAAACAACTAGAAAAAGCAGACACTAGAAGGAGAAAAGGAAGAGAAACTCCAGGCAAAAGATGTCTCCCTACTGTCTGCACGAAGAAACAAATCCAGAACCCATACACCCCGTCATAAAAAAAAGAAACTATAACATCTTCAACAAGATTCCGTTCCATTCAAATAAAGTCTTCGAATCCAAAGTTAGAAGTAATGACAACGGAAGTATCCCACATGTGAACGCTGTTAAAACTCAAAGACAAGACCCCAGATTGGTATTCTATCCATGCAGCACAGGCAAAAATGACAGTCAAGATACATTTGCTGCTGGAGAAAGAGCTGGAGAGTAGAAAAACATAGGATTTATCACAGGAGAAGAGAAGTGCAATGCATGAAAGAGGAGGTAGGAGACTCCCGGGTATTAGGGGGTGTTGACCAGTCGTTTTAGAAAGAATCGCAAGGGTAACCGATCATCGATTAGGCATGTGATTTGAACCAGTCCCTGTGGAAATCCCTGCCTGATGAGCGCGGTAATGTACCACATCAGCAGGTTTAGGCGGGAGGGATGGCGAGGTCTCCCGTTGGAGAGCGGCTGAAGGTTGAAACAAGCCTTGTCGTGCTGAAGGCGGAGAGAAGATATGATTGTGTGACGGGGCGTCGGTAATAGGAGAGCGGTGTTCAAGGGCATGGCTAAGATGCGGCTGTGCTTTCCGCACGTCCAAGGGGGACGAACTTAGTGACCGGAACCCGGATTTGCGATGATCGACATCATAATCTGGGTTGCGGAAGGGCCCTTGCGCCTGATGCCTTGGATCGTGCTCCATGCCGTACGGGGTGTTGTTAGCTGACGAGTTGGCAGCAGAGGCATTCTCGGGAATGGTGGAGGCAGATCCATTGGGTGCATTGATGTCGACCATCCGCTTTTGAGCGGCTGGCGTTGCATATGATGACGGCTGCGGATGCTCAAATGTACGGCCCTGTGGTCGAGGTGGCTGCGAGTGCTGCTGTTGCTGATGCTGCTGCTGATGAATGGGATGCTGTGGGTTTGCCCAGGGTGTTTGTTCTAGGAATGCTTCTTCAGCGGCCGAACGGAATGCATTAGAAGACATGGTAGACATGGTCGTCCGTGGTATTGTGGATGAATGCCGTGGTGCCGAAGCGCGATTCTCGATAGGAATCTATACCTTGCTGTCAGCAACTGTTCAAACTTGGGAAATGTGAATATGACTTACCCCCATCTTTTCAAGATCGTCATCAAGTTCCGTGGGTCGTGCACCCATCAAGGATGGGGCAGCCGGGAAGCCAACATACTTGGCGACACCGGCCATGATTGAAACCTCCTGGTTGTATGCAGTCTGATGTGCGATTTGCTGCGAGCGACGGGTGGGGAATGGGATGATATGGTGCGGGCTAAGCTCGTCTGTCTTGAAGCGATCATGCTGAATGGCGTAGAATTGCTTGCTGACTGCACTTGAATGCCACTCGCGCGCATCCCGGATCCGCTGGTAGTATGTGCTATGTGCCTGTGATCGCTCGGCCAGACCCTTGTGCATGAGTGACTTCATGCGGTATCGATACAAGTTTTGCTCGTATTTGATCTTGGCGTCCCGGTAACGTTGCACACACTCAATCTGCCGCAAGTACTCAGGATGCGTCGGGTTCGGACCG